CGTCGCAGAGCTCGGCATGGGGCGGGTGCTTTCTTTTCTTTCGTCGAAAGCGGCGACGGGAAGATCTGCAAGCAGGGCTCTCTCGCAAGAGCGGGTGAAGGCGCTGTTGTTTCGCAGCTGAGTGTGCTACGTGACTATGATTGCCATTGCTTGCCCAGATGCGCGCAGCAAAGAGAAAGACGCCTCCTCCATCTGATTGCTAGACGCCCGACGCTGACTCCCCCCCGCGCTCGGGCAACCCCGCAACAGCGGCCTTCCGTCCCGCCTTTGCCGGGCTGCGCACCAGCGCGGCCGTGGCGCGGCCCCAGTCGACGCACATGTCGCAGGAGGAGAGCCTGCAGCTGCTCAACAAGCATCGCTCCGTGCGCCCCATCAGCCCGCATCTGACCATCTACCGCGTGAGTCTCTCTGGCGTGTGCCCCGCACACGCGCTTCGCTGCTGTTGCCTTGAAGCTGACGCGTTGCTGGGCAGTACCCCCTGAACATGTACATGTCCATCTCGAACCGCATCACCGGTGCCGCCCTTTCCGCCGGTCTTGTACGTCGCTCATCCCCCCCTCTCCACTCCTTCCCCACTGACGCCGGCGCGTTGGCAGTACGCCGGTGCGATTGCCTACGTCGGCCTGCCCTACCTGGGCCTCGGCGATGCCGTGTCGGCGTCGAGCGTCGTCGGCTTTGCCGCCGGGCTGCCGCTGTGGGCCAAGCTGGGCGCAAAGACGGCACTGGCGGTGCCCTTCGCCTACCACACCATCAATGGCGTGCGCCACCTGATCTGGGACACTGGACGTGCGTATGCATGCCTCGCTGCCCCCCCCCCCCCCCGGGGGCCCGGAGCGCCTAGGTGCGGCGCCCATGTGCTGACGTGTAGACCCCCCCCTCCCCCCTATCTCCGGAAAACAGGTCTGCTCTCACTTCCCAAGATGCAGGTCAGCGGCATCACGACGCTCGTGGCGACCGGCCTCTCGACCGTCGGCCTCGTCGGCTACGGCATCTACTGGTAGTCCCCCCTCTCGTGGGAGGGGCGAGGTCCGCAGCCCCTGTCGAGCAAGTCTGTTGAGAGAGAGCCACACGATTTCCGCACTCCGAGAATTTCCATGAGTCATTGCCCCCACATCTTGAAGCTTGCAGCGCGCGGCAGCAGTGCCGGGACAGGGGGGGGAGGGGAAGAGGGGCAGGGCAAAAGAGGGGCAGGAAAGAAGGGCAAAGGAAGAGAAGGGGGCAGTGGGGGGTTTCCCGCTGTTGCCTCAAGGCAAATGCCACACGCTCACGCCCGCAGCCTCGATGGTCTCGCTGCTGTTGCCCACGACGAGCGTGGCGCTTTTGGGCATGTGCGGCAGGCGCTGCGCCTGCATGGCGTAGTTGAACGCATACACGACGTCGCCGCGGCGCGCCAGACGCACGTGGGCGCCGAGATCGGCGGCGGCGTCGACGGGGCGCGCGAGGAGCGTGGAGATGTTGAGGGCGCGTGCGGCGGAGGCGAAGAGAGGCAGCAGCGGGGTGGAGCGCGCGTACCAGCCTAGATAGGTGGTGCGCTGCAAGTCAGGGCAAGGAAGTGGGGGGTGGTCAGTTTCTGTCAGCGACAGAGAGGGAGAGGAGAGAGGGGCGAGAGACGTACGCTGCCATTGACGACATGCTCGCACGCCGCTGCACTGCCATTGCGATATCCAATGTATCGTGCTGGCGCCTCCTGGTTTGCCTTCTCTCCGTCCCTTTCACACTCCAGCCATTCCGACCACACGTCTACGTCCGAGGCGTCCTGCCCGCCCGCAATGGCCACTTGATCGCCGAGGCCCTTGCGCAGACTCTCGACGCGCACCACCTTCATGGGCAGTCTGCTCCGCACGCCTCCCTGCGCCGGCGGCATGTCGTGCGGCAGCGAGAGCGTGTCGACCTTGGAGGCCGAGCGCGGCCCAAAGATGACGTGTCCTTTGAACGCGGCCAGCTGCGCCTCGAAGGCGTGCGACACTTTCGGCATCGTCGGCACGACGACGAGAGAGTAATTCTGCAGCGACGTCGCGGGAGAGATGACGTCGACGTCGAGCGCCAGACGCCGCAGCGCCGAGTACCACTCGGTCAGCAGCTCGGGCAGCTGGAAGTCATACCCGTGAAACGTCTCGGTCTGCCAGACGCCGCCTTGCGGACTTGCCTGTGTGGTTTTGGGGTCGGTCGACGTTCAGGGCATGGCAAAAAGCGCGATGGGGATCTGGGCCCAGCAAGAACTGGTCCCAACTCACCTCGAGCACGAAGCCGGCAGTATAGTCGAGCACGAGCGCCACCTTTGCAGGCCGAGGCGCAGCGCTCCACTGCAGCTCTGCGCCTTGGCCGCGCACAAGGCCAGCTTGGCGCAAGAGGAGCAGATCCTCGCGCGTCCGTTGCTGCTCGTGCCACGCCACATCCTCGACGCTGTCGGGACGGAGCATCGCAGCGTGCATCTGCTCCTGGCCGTACGGCACTAGGCGGAGAGAGGAGGGTGAGCACGCGATGGGAGAGGGTGGGAGTTGGGGGGGTTGGGTGGAAAGGACGTACCCTGCCGCCAGCGAAAGATGTTTGCGAGCGAGCCTCCGTGTGCGAAGATCTCGTGCAGCCAGAGACGGACCATGCCTGGCGCTGGCGAGGGGTTACTGCATTCGCGGGAGTGAGGGAGGAAGCGGGAGGACAGGGCTCAGCAGGGCCTATACACAGCGTGCAGACTCGTGCGCGCGGTACTCACTGCGATGCCCAATTGACCGGTCCAGGTTGCTGCTCCATCACTGCCGCATTCGTAAAGGTAGCCCCTTTCAGAAAGCCGAGCAAACAGGCAATCGGAGCGTCTACAAGAAAGCGGAATGCGCAACTCACCGCCCCATTCGCCTCTTGCCACTCCATGCGCCGCACCCGCGACGCCTCGGTAGCTGGGAACGCACGTGCGCAACAAGCATCAGCACAGTTCTGGAACGCTTGCGAGTGACCCCCCAGGCCGCCCGCTGGTCAGAGCGTCCACTGACATAGCGTGATGCAAGGACTGCGCATCAGGTCTGCCGGTGCGCGCAAATGCCCTCTTGTCCGTCTCGGCCACCCAGGGTGTGGATTCGGTGTAGCCTAGCGGATAGCTTTACGCGGGGTCGTTGTCAGAGAGGTCAAATCGAGGGGAAAGAGGAAGGCGAAGGCTTACCTGTCCCACGTTGCGAAATCTAGACCCGTCTCTTGCGCAAAGGCATGATGCTGTGCTCTCAGGTCAGCGTGAGCAAAGGGAGAGTGGGTAGACCTTGGGACCTGTGCAGCAGCGTAGAAGGGGGTGTTCAGAAGCTGCGTGACTTACGTCGAACTCAAAACTGCCGAAGACGTTGGTGGTGATTGGCTGTGGCCAGGGTTGTTCGCGCCTCAGCTTGGCGCCAGGGAGGGGGGGAGAGAGAGGGGGGGGGTGGTAAAAGGGGCGCCATACCTGACGAGCATGCTTGCGAATCACATCCACCTGTCCCTTTGCGAATGCCGCCACTTGATGCGAGGAGAACGCGAACCAGTCCAATCTATGAGCCGGGTTGCTCTTTGCATCGTTCACGCAAATGCACAAAGGTAGACGTGAGATGGAGAGAGAGAGAGAGAGAGAGAGAGAGAGAGAGTCAGGCCAGTTGACCTGCGAATTGCTTCCCCAAGCGCACACGGAATCGATGCAAACGCCGAGAGAGAGAAAGCCTCACCTCGGTGACTTCATGCGTGGGCGGCGACACATCTGCCCACTGCTCGAACTGCGAAGACCAAAAGACGCGCCCTTGCTTCTCGTTGAGCGCCGACAGACTGCCGTACTTGGTGCGCAACCATGCGCGAAACGCAGCGGCGGCATGCGCGTCGAAGGTGCGCACTGTGTTGCTGTGTGTGTGGAGTTTGCGTCAGCCGGGGAAAGAGGAGGATCGGGAGGGTGAAGAGGGGAAAGGGGGATGGATGTATAAGGACGTACTGGCAGCCGAATTCATTGTCGAGCTGTGTGAGATGATGATGTGTCCGCCATTAAGCAGAGGCTTACTCTGTCGCGAGGTCAGAAGAGGCGCGCGAACTCACCTGCCACGCCACGACCCTTCGATCCTGTCCATACCTCTGTGCCAGCTTGTTGGTGATCCGCTCGCTGAGCATGCGATAGTCGGGCGCGCTGAACGAGTAGCTGCGTCTACTGCCCCATCGTCGCGGCTTGCCGTCGGCATCGGCGCCGAGTATATCATACTCTCTCACCGCCCATCGCGGCGGCGTCGCCGTGGGCGTGCCGAGAATGACCTGCAGGCCATGCGAGTCGAGCACGTGCAGCGCCGCATCGAGCGTGCTGAAGTTGAACGTCCCGGCACGAGGCTCGAGAAGCGCCCAGTCAAACTCGGCGAGGCGCACGAAGCGGATGCCGGCGGCGGCCATGCGCCGCGCGTCCGAGGCCCACTGCGAGGGGGCCCATTGGGTGGGGTAGTAGGCGACGGCAAAGGAGAGCGCCGGCGACCAGGGCTCGCGTGCGGGCGGCGCAGAGGAGAACAGGGGCACCTGCCAGGTATGAGCGGCTGTGCCGGCGAGGCAGAGCAGACTGAAGCCCAAGAGGCGGAGCGTCGAGAGTGCCCAGCGCATGGCTTGGCCCCCGCAAATGTTTGCTTCAGGACTTGAGGACGATGGGAGTGAAGACGACGACGCCGAGCGCTGCGTGCATCGCTGGACAGGCAGCGGATTGGCGCCCCGCCTGACCATCCCCGCACCGAGTCGGGTGGAGGGCACGTGGAAGGAGCCGCACTGGAGCGCTGCGCTGTTCCCACGCGCGTGCGCCGCCGCGATCTGGCGGCCGCTGCCGCGGCCGCGTCAGGTCAGACGAGCGAGTGCCACTCTTACTCACACTGCCTTGCTTTCTCTCCACCACCATCCTTCCCAACACACTCCCGTCATGGCTGCGCTGCCACGTCTCGCCGCACGGCCAGCAGCCTCGCTGCGCCCAGGCATGCCGTCTGCGCGCTCCGCCGGCGTTGCAGCTGCTGCTGCCTCCTCCTCCTCCTCCTCCTCCTCCTCCTCTCGTCGCCTCCACTGCAGCGCCCTCGCCTCGTCCAGCCAGCGCTCCAGCAGCAGCAGCAGCAGCAGCAGCAGCAGCAGCAGCAGCACCGCACCTGAGCCCATCTCTCTCCTGCACAAAGTCCTGCTCGGCACCGGCGCCGCCGTCGCCTCGCTGCACAACCCGGCGCGCGGCGACATGATCGCCCTGCTCTCCGAGCTCAGCGGCGAGCCCGTGCTGCCGGCGCTGCGCGACGCCATGCTCGCCTCGCCCGAGGGACGCCGCGTGCTGCTGCAGCGCCCGCAGATTCACACAAAGAGCGTCGACATGGCCTATCTTAGAGGCCTGCAGGAGGGCACGTTTGGCAAGGAATATACCCGCTGGCTCGACTGGAACAATGTGGGCCCGGACACGCGCGCCGAAGTGAGTCGAGGTGACAGGGCGTGGGCGCGGGGGAAAGGGCGAGGATGTGAGGGAGCAAGAGGGAGAAAGGGTCAGGGGGGCGGGCAGGATAAAGAAGGCGATGCTGCTACAGCCGAAGCGGCCCTGCCACAGCTCAAGGGGGCGTCCGGCACTGCCACAGCTCAAGGGTGGTCCGGCAAGGGGCAGGGAGGAGGGAGTGGGCAGGGGGGTCAGGGGGCGTTGGAACGCAGACACAAGTGGGCGCATGGCTGAACAGGCTCTCTCTCTCTCCTTCAGGTGCTTCACGTCAACGACGAGACGCTGCGCTACGTCATGACGCGCAACCGACAGGCGCACGACATGCACCACGTGTTGTGTCTCATGCCCGTGTCGCATCTCGGCGAGACGGTCGTCAAGATTTTCGAGGCGGCGCACTTTGGCCTGCCGGTCTCCTACCTCTCCTCGCTCGCCGGTCCGCTGCGCCTGAGCGCCGCCGAGCGCGCCCAGCTCTTCGGCGGCGCCGGCGGCGGACTGGCGGGCTGGGCATGGCGAGAGGGCAGGCGCGTCAAGCCGCTGATTGGCGTGTACTGGGAGGAGCGATGGGAGCAAAACTTCGATGAGATGCGCGCGGAACTCGGCTTCGAGGAGCCTTTGCCCAGCCGCGTAGACTACGAAGGCCGCAGCAAGGCAAGCGGCATGATGAGAGGCAGATGGCCAAGTAAGGTGCTGGAGGAGCAACGCAGAGCCAGCGCAGCATCGTCAGAGCAGCAGCACACTCCCGCAGCGCAATGACAAGCAGCATGTTCGTAAGCAGCCCAGTGTGTGTGTGTGTCATTTGTCTCAGCGTTCGGCCGTGCCTCAGGCGCAACGGCTAGTACGCAAGAGGGAAAGAGGCAAGTAGGGCACATGTGGGTCAAGATCGAAGCGGGTCATCGTGACAAGAAAGTGTGAACCATGTGTGAGCAGGTGAAGCGTGTGGGAGAGGGAGGAAGTGGTGACGCATCGCGGCGCGCGCGCATTGCTCTGCCTCTGTTTTAGGCGAGCAGCTTCTCTGCGAGCCGGGAAAGCGCAGCGTAAGCATGAGCTGCTTCAAAGAGTTTCCCTCTCTGTCTCTCTCGCGCGCGCGCTACGCACCGTACGAAGGCTCGAACATCTCGCCACGGCACCACGACACGAGTTCGTCGTCGGTCATGCTGGCCGTGTAGCCGCCGTCGCGCGCGTGGCCCTGCCGGTTGGCCATGATGATGACGCGTGCGCAGACTGTCGCAAGCAGAAGAAGTGAGACGATAGCAAGAAAACCGCGCCTCGGGCAACTCACCGTAGGCGCTGATGTCGCGCATGCGCTTCAGGCTCGGGTAGATGCGGCCCTCGGCCTTCTCCTCGTCGTTCAGGCTGTCAGCGAGGGCGAGAGCGGCTGTTCAAAAAGGAAGCGATCGGTCAGTGCACTGGGCCTCTACAGCTTTTGCGTCGCTCGACCAGCCGCGCGGCGCGCTACGCACACTCCGTGATCATCTCGTCGCTGATGCGTCCGCACTTTGCCAGGGCGCCGGCGAGGCCAATGCCGGGGAAGACGTAGAGGTTGTTGCCCTGGCCCGGAATGAGATGCTTGCCCTCGTAGTCCGTCTCGGGGAACGGCGAGCCGGCGGCAAAGATGACCTGGCCCTTTGTGGCCTGCACGGCCGTCTCAAAGTCGCACTCGGACAGCGACGATGGCTGGGGAGCAGCAGGCGGTCAGCAACAGCACACAGAGAACGAGGCCAGAAGAGCTGCGTGCTCACGTTGGAGAGAGGGAAGACGATGGGACGAGGGTTCAGCTCGGCCATGCGCGCCAGAATCTCCTCGGTGAACGTCTTGGGAACCGTCGAGAGACCGATGAGCGCCGTCGGCTTGACGTAGTTGATGACGTCTAGCAGGCCCTTGTACTGCTTGCCCTCATTGTCATCGCGGCTGAAGTACACCTGCGCAGAAGGGCGGTCAGCTTCGCGACATGAGCCTCCGTCCTCTGCGGCCCTGCTCACCTTGTGCTCCGCCAGCTTGTCGCCACGGTCATTGGTGATGAGGCCCTTGGAGTCGACCAGCCAGATGCGACGGCGTGCCTCGTCCTGGCTCAGGCCCTGGCGCGTAAAGAAGGCGCACAGCTGCTTCGCCACGCCGACGCCCGCACTGCCGGCGCCAAAGAAGAGGATGCGCTGGTCGGACAGCGGACGGCCCGAGGCCTTGGAGTTGAGGCGCGCCGCGTTGGTGAAGCCGCCAAGGATCACCGAGCCGGTGCCTGTGGCAGAGCGCATGGATGAGTGTGTGCCGCATGCAAGGCGCGGCGGGCGTCTGCTCACCCTGAATGTCGTCGTTGAACATGCGGTACTTGTTCTGGTAGCGGTCAAGGTAGGCAAAGGCGCGCTCGCTCTGGAAGTCCTCGAACTGGACGATGAGGTTGGGGTATGCCTTCTGCAGCGCCTCCATCATCTCATCCACCAGCGGCAGCACCTCCTCGTCGCTGGCACGCTTCTGGCGCAGGCCGAGGTACAGCGGGTCCTTGAGCTTGTCCTCGTTGTTCGTGCCCACGTCGAGCACGATGGGCAGCGTGGCGCGCGGGTGGATGCCGCCGGCGGCGACGTACAGCGAGAGCTTGCCTGCGAAGCGGATAAGCGTGTCAGCGAAAGTGCAGAGGAGACAGAATGCTTTTCCTGGACGCACCAATGCTGATGCCCAGGCCGTCCCAGCCCTGGTCGCCGAGTCCGAGGATGCGCGAACCGTCCGTGACGACGGCGATGCGCGGCGCACCGGCGGGCACGGGCCAGTTGTCGATAATGCTGGCGACGTTGCCCTTGTCGGAGAGCGAGATGGTCAGGCCCTCGGGCTGGCGGAAGATGCGCGAGAACTTCTGGCACGCCTCGCCGACAGTGGCTGCGCAGGTGCGTGTCAGAAGCGCCGCTGCTGCTGAAGCTCTGCTAGCATGTGCGCTCACGCGTGTAGATCATCGGCAGCGTCTCCTCGGGGTTCTGCATGATGAGGGCGTAGAAGAGACGCACGTTGCTCTGGCGCAGCGCAGCGAGGGCGATGTAGCGGCCGACTGACAGGCACGAGCGGCCATCAGCTGGGGGTCCTCATCGGTGCGCGATCTGCGTCGCGTCCCCACTCACGGTCCGTCTTCTTGACGCGGATCTGCTCGAGGGCACGCAGGATCTGCACGTCGAGAGACTGCTGGGCCGGCGGCAGCAGGCCGCGCAGCTTGAGCTCGTCGCGCTTCTTCTCGGAGAAGGCCGTGTCTGCGTTGGCGAAGGGGTCGCGCAGCAGCGAGGTGGAAGGCGTGGCGGTCGAGTCGGGTTCGGAGTGGGCGTGCGGAGAGGGCAGAGGGGCAGAGGAGGCGGCAGGGCCGGAGTGGAGAGGGCGTGAGAAGCTGGGCTGGCAACGCGGGGCAGACGCAGACGCCGAGGCAGGGAAGAACGGCCGCGCCGACAGAGCAGGCGGCGCAGCTGCGCGACGCAGCGGGCCGCCAGCAGCACGCGTGCGCACGGCACCGCCGCTCACCGCGGCACGCCACGGCGGCAGCGAGCGTGGCGGCATCGCGGCGGCGGCGGCAACGAGCGTGGCCGAGGCAGCAGCGGCGAGCAGGCCGGCCGCTGAGGGGTTTCAGAGGTGCGGAGAGGCGAGGATCAGGATCAGGACGCGCACAGGGCGTAGCAGAGCGTCGCAGCGGGGGCCAACGCAAGACGCTGGACGCTGGCACAATGCACTGAGCCCGGCGACGGGTGTGGAGAGAGGTGGTGGAGGAGGTGAAGCACGAAGCTGGCACCGCTGCTCGCCCTTGCCCATGCCGCCGCAGCACGCGCGCGCGTGACTCGGCACTCGGGCGTTGAATCCGTCTGCACGCGCCAGAGCGCGCGCATCGGATCTTCTCGAGATGCAGCGCGCGGTACCGCACGGCAGCGGGCAGGGGCCGCGAGCGTCATGCGGCAAAATCTAATCTGGCGCGGGCGCCGCAGCGCCGCAGGATGAGCGTCCCGAACGTCTCCGAGGAGGAGGTGTTGGCCCGTGCCTGAGAGCCCGCCGCCGGCGGCTGCGGCACGGCCTTCTCTCGATCTCTGTCTCTTCGGAGCACCGCACCGGCAGCCCCGGCGCCGACATGCAGCGGCGCAACGCCGCCAAGACGCGGGCACGCAGCGGCAGGATGAAGGACAAGCCGCCAAGCTGGCAGAGCCCAACACTTGATGCCCTCGGCGTGGAGCGCGGCATGGGGCAGCCCACTCCTTGGCAGCACCGCAGAGACGACTGGCGAGCGCCCGCCTCGGCGCTGCACCGGCTAGCTCAAGGCTCAGAGACCCATGGCGCAACGGAGCAGAGACGCAGGGCACACTCTGCAGAATGGCGCACGCACCTTGGTTGGAGAAGGGGTCGCGCAGACTGGCAAAGCCTCCTCCGCGCGAGGCGGCGAGGTGGACCTGGATCGTCGTCGCTTGATCAGCTGCTCGGCTCGCAGCAGGCGGCAAGAGGCGCGAGCAACACGCACCATGTCCTGCACCGGATCATCGCTCGTCTTGTGGTCGGGCGTCGGCTGCGGCGGCTTGTCGCGCTTCGTCGCCGGCGGCGCGGCGATGGCCGAGGGCTGCGTGAGCAGGTTGAGCTTGTCGTCGGCGGACGCGGACGGCGGGGCCATGCTGGGCCGAGGAGGAGGTGAGGGGGTGATGAGATGCAGGTGATGCAGGTGATGAGGAGGGTGAGCGAAGAGAGGCAGAGGTGAGGGAGCTGAAGGAGGACAGGCTGGGTGCAAGACACAGCTTTGATGAGGCGGCGGCGGCGGCGGGGTGCACAGCCCGAGCCACAGGCGGCAGGCTCGAAGAAGCACACGCTCGGAGCGGTGCGATGCGGCGGCGGCCTGCTGCGGCTTGCGGGCGCCACAGCTGCGGGCGCTGCCGGTGCCGCGCGGCGGCGGGACCCTCGATGCAGGGCCGGGTCGCGTGCCTCGGCGCTCGGACGGTGCCGGCGTGGAGGTCTCGTTAGCCGCGCGGCGCACCTCCTCAAGACGGCAGAGAGGTACCACAGCTGCCCGCCCGGCACCCAACGAGCAGATTCGCATTTTGCAGGCGCAGCAGCGAAGCGCAAGCTCAGCTCGACGGGGCACGGCAAACTCGTGCCATGCTCGAGAGTCAGAGTCGAGACGCCATGCATGCCCGAAGGCACGGCCTTTGCTTGCCAGCAAAGCATCGAGGCGGCGCAGCGGAGAGGCGTCGTCGCGCGCACTTTTCTGCGGCCGCAGCCTGCAGAACTCAGCCGCCGGCGCGTCCCGACGCACCCATGCGCCGCGCCGGGAGGTTGCGGAAGCTCAGGAGCCCGCCCTTCTCTCGGCACGCTTCTTGTCGGCCCCACGCCTGACGACAGCAGACAGCCCGCAGCAGACGGGGTCATGCAGACGCCGCAGCGAGGCTCAACAGTTCGAGGCCTGCGTGCTGCGTCGCGCGTGCTGCGTGCTCAACATTGGGCGTCGTCTGCCGTGCCCGGGACTCGTCTCGGACGAGACGAGGGTGCTCGCCAGCCGTGCGAAAGGCGTGTGCCGCCATGCTCTGCGTTCTCTCTGCTGCGGCAGCTATGGACAGCGGCCGGCAAGCACAGCGGACAGGAGCGAGGGATGACGACGATCCGCGTAGCAGCAGGGCAGCATCTCTCACGCAGTCGGCTTGACAATCTAGTCCATGAGGGGCCCCGCATTCTGAGCTGCAGAGACGAGAGCGGAAGCACACGCTCGGCGGACCGGTAGACGTCCCGTCATCGCACGCTCGTCTGCAAGTCTGACAGATACGGGCCAAGCGGCCAGAGCACATGCATGACATGCAGAGATGCAGCCGCCAGCAGGGTGCAGAAGCCGGGTGCGGGGGAAGCATAGCCAGAGATAGCGAGGTGCCTCTGCGGTCTGGGCGGCTGAGCTCGACGGGTCCGAGGACGGGAGCAGCATCGGACGCGCGCGCGTCCTGCTGCGACGCCCGCTACGCCCGCCTCCCTTTCACGCCCGGCCAGCCGTGGGCTGCTGCAGAGCGCGGGTCCGGCCAGAAGCGTCTGCAGCAGGAGTGCGTTGTCGTGTGAATGATGCACAATGCACACTATGCACGATGCACTCGAGACGCAACTTTTGTCCATCGGAGCCGGGGCAGATGCAGGGCGCACGCCGGCGGCGCAGACTCAAGCACTCTTACTGAGGCAGACGACGTCGATCGCAGAAAGACGCTCCGGACGCCGAGCCCACTGCTGTACTGAAGATGGCAGGAACTCGTATCACATCTAGCAGTCAATCTCGGATGTGGGCCTTCGAGCGAAGGGAGTCTCGTCGAATCTTCTTGAGAGCAGAGCCAGAGCGCGCTCGGCGCTCGGACAGTTGCCAGAGACGGGCAGCGTCGAAGGCATGCACGAGCAAAGCTTGCCAGAACAGGCTCGCGCGCAGGTAGAAGCACAGTCATGCACCATAGAGCCCCTGGCAGTCTGGCTGCTCGCTCCGCTCAGTCTGCCCATCGCTGTGGTGATGCAGGCGAAGGAAGATGCGCAACAAGACGCATCCGCGAGACAGCAGCACGGCGGCATGGTGCGCCACGGCAGCCGTCGCTCGTGTGCGCGCCCCGTGCGACGGCCAGCTCCACCAGACTTCCTCTTCGTCTCCCTGGCACCACGCAGTCGCGCTTCCACGCGTTCAGTGGTCGTATCGATTCATTCTCGAGCTTCCGAAACAGGTCTGAGGGTGACGCAGCATGGGATGGGGAAGTTGGCGCTGGGGGGAATCTACAGCTCCTTGAGCAGGCCCTCGGTGAGAGCCCACACGCCCCACGCTCCCGGGTCCGGCGGCATGTCGCCCTCCATGCTCGCCACGTACGTGGCCCGTCCCAGGCGCGCCTTCATGCCCTTTGTCGCCTCTGCGCCCTTCTTGCACGCCGCCACCGCCTCGGCCAGGCTCTTGCCCGCGCCCAGCTCGACGCAGAACGGCGTCAGCGCATCGACGAGGGTGCGGTCGCCCGGGCGCGCGGGCGTGTAGGTGCCCAGCTGCTCGAGCGCAGACTTGGCCGCGTAGCCCCACTCCGCCAGGCCGGCGGCAGAGCCAGTCTTGCCGGGACCATTGACGATGCCCTGCACGAGGCCGGCGAAGAAGAGGGCGTAGATGGCGCCGGAAGTGCCGCCCATGGCCGACTCCAGCACGGTGCCGAGCGTCAGACACGTGCCGGCGGCGTTGTTCAGGTCAATCTTGTCCTCCCGCAGCGCCTTGAGCACGGCGTTGCTGGCAAACGCCAGCGTCTCGCCGCAGTCGCCGTCGCCGACGATGGTGTCGAAGCGCGTCAGGTCCGGCTCGGCAGCGATGGCCGACTTGCAGGCACCCTCAATCGCACGACGCGCGAGTGCCGGATCGGCGTTGGAAGGGCCGCCAGCCGACTTGCCGGCGTCGGCAGAGAGGCCCGAGACGGATCCGCCCTGGGCGCGCACGGCATCGAGCCGGTCCGACGCCTCCTTCTCCTCGGCCGCACGGTCCCGAGGCTGGCCCGTCGCCTTGCCCCAGCCCGTCTGCACGCCCGACCAGGCGTACGCGTCGGTGGGCGCGTCGAGCAGCGCCAGCAGGTCCTCGCCCGTCTCGCGCGCCACGTTCTTGTGGTTCACGAGCGAAATGCCAAAGCCGGGCGCGTTGAGCGACGTCATGTACTGGTTGCAGTACACGCGCGACGGGTGCAGGCTCCACGTCTTGGCGAGCTGCTCAATCGTCACGTCGGTGATGGCGTTCATCTCGAGCTGGCTCATGCCGCCGAGGTTGTTGATGAAGAGCACCGGCGCGTCGTCCCTGTCAAAGTCGAGGTAGTGGCGGTCCTCGTCGTCGGTGTTGAGCAGGTAGCCGAGCATCTCGCCAATGAGCTTGTCGGGCTCCGGCACGCGGTCCAGACGCTTGAAGCCGGGCTCGTTGTGGATGCCCAGGCCAATCTCGCACGCCTCGTCGGGCAGGCCGCCCCACTCCTCGCGCTCTTTGGGACGGCCGGGCACGTGGCAGTGGTCGAGCGACATGCCCACGGTGACCGTGTTGGCAATCGTAGAGTCGCCGAGCTTCTTGAGCTGCTGCACATTGAGGCCCTTCTGCGTGCCGGCGCCGAGAATCTTGCACGTGAAGATGTTGCCGCCGAGGCCGCGGCGGCCGACGAGGCCGCCGCGCGCACGGCCCACGGCAACGTCGTCGCCGATGATGACCATCTCGACGCCGCCGCTCTTCTTGTTGCCCGAGATGGCAAGGGCCGCGCGTGCCTTTTCGGCAGCCAGGCCGAAGTTGAGGCAGTCGCCGGTGTACTGCAATAGCAGCAAGAGGTCAGCAGGAGCAGACAAGCGCGCATTCGCAGCTCAACGCACGTTGTTCACGACCATGATGACGCCGGCGTCGGTGTTGGCCAGGTCGAGGCCGGAGCAGATCTGGCTGGCCGACGGCGAGGCAAAGACCTCGCCAGAGATGGCGGCAGTGAGCATGCCCTTGCCAATGACGCCCGCGTGGCCCGGCTCGTGGCCGGCGCCGCCGCCGGAGATGATGGCGACCTTGTCGTTGGAGTGCGTCGCATCGTAGATGACCTTGTGCTTGGCGTAGCTGTTGGGCGTTTGCGCGCGTGTCAGCACACATTTCGGAGGCGCGAGGCGAGGCGAGAGAGCACGCAGAGGCCAAGACGCCGAGCCATGCCGCCAGCGCGCGCGCAGATCCACGCTCCGCGCGCGCGAACCGCGCCGCACCGCGCCGCATCGCGCCGCACCGTGCCGCACCGCGCCGCACCGTGGGCTGGCGCCTCGCGAGGATGGCAAGTGACGCCACTGCGCAGGGCCGCCTGCGCACCGGCGTGCCCTCATGGACCAGCGCTCGAAGCACAGGAACGGCTCGGTCATCTGAGTGCGCGTCTCGCAAGAGACGCGCCACTGCAGCCCCCCCCCCCCCCCCCTTGGCACATGTGCGCTCGCGGAGCGAAGCACGCAGGAGAACGTGGCCACGCCCTTGCTGCCGTGCACTTTGCCGCCTGCCCACACTGCCGGCTCCAGCAGAGAAGCGGGACACGCCTCAATCGGGTCACGTCGCCATAGCACACATCGACGAGACAGAGGCACAAGGCCACTCACAAGCGCAGTGCAGGGTTGAGCGCAACGGCGCCGCGCTCGGCCTTCTCGACGAGGCCCTCGGCGGTGGGGAAGACGTGCTTCGTGCTCATTGCTGAGGGAGTGTGGTGGGGGGCTGCAAAGGCGAGTGAGCAGCTGCGGTGTGTGAGAGGTGGGATGAGAGAGTGCAACTCACGTATGGGAAGGGAAGGGTGACCTGTGGGGATGAGCAGGTCGGGTTGGTGGCGAGAAGGAAGGACGATGCGCACCGGCGCAGAGAGAAGTGGCCAACGCGAGCGCTGCTGGCCAAAGAGCGACCGCTGGGCTGGCGTGGCTAAGAAGGGCGGTGCGGAGAGGCAGGCACCAGAGGAGTCAAAGCGAGCGCACCTGCGGCCCACTCTGCCAATCTCGGCCTCTTGCACGCTCGCCGCGGCGCGCCGCGCGCTCTGGCAGAAGACAGGCAGCAGCGCGCCGGCAACGCTCCTCGCGCGCGCGCAAATTAGCGGCGGCGGCGGGGGTGGGCCGTGCGCGTTTGGAGCTCCTTCTCCACTTCCTTCTCGCCCCGGCACAGGCACCTCGTCGCCTTTGCTGGTCCGCTCTCTTCCTTTGTTCTCTTGCGTGCATCGGCTGCTGCTGCTGCATGCTCTGGCAGGTGCAGAGCGGTGCAGCATTGGGCATCTCCAAGGCAGAGGGCATCGCACCGCCGCCGTCCAGCACGGCACGCGGCGGCAGCCTCCTATCGGTGACGACGGCCCGCCACCGCTCATGCCTGGCGCACCGTGCTGCGGCTGCTGCGGCGCCCAGACGTGGAGAAGCGCTGCGCTGTCTGAACGCTGTTGGTGCGCTTGAAGCGTTTGCTGGAGATGGAGCTGCGCCATGGCGCAGCGTGGTTGTCACACTCGCGAGATGCCAGACGATCAGCCTCGGCGTCTAACGCAAGGTCGCAGCGAGATGCGCAGTGGCGCGCCTCTCTCCGCAAAATTCGGCGCGGCAAGGCAGCGCGGCGTCGCTGCTTCGCGCTCCGAGTTCTTGGGCAAGCTCGTGCGTCACTCCACGCCCAGCATGCCGGCTGGCTTGACTTGGGCGCAGCTCAAGAGAGCAGCAGACACAGCGCTCAGGAGGCAGGGCGAGCGCAAGACGTCTTGCTCGGGTCGGATCTGGTCGCCGCCGCCTCTGGGCGGCCCTGTGGCCCTGCAGCGCTGCGTCCTCCACCTCTGCCCGCTGCATCTGCCTGTGCTGCCTGCCGGCTCGAAATCAGGCGGCAGGGCGTGGAGCTAAATGGAGCCGCGCTCTCGCCCTGCTTCTCTGCGCAGAACAGATGAGCTCAAGTCTTAGTCAGTTTCGCTGATGCTCGCATGTGGCCTGCGCGATGGGTCAGACAGCTGCACCCGTGACACGCGCCGCGCGCCGGCCTTGCGTCGCAGCCATACCCTCGCAGCGCCCCGCATGTCGGCGCAAGCAGAACAGCGTCAGCCAGATGCGCTGGCAAACTCGCCCATCGAGACGCCTCAGACCAGAGCTCAGGCCCGCTGGAGCCGCCTACGGGGGGCGGACGCAGGGTGCGCCATGAGGAGGCGGCCCGCAGCGCATCTCGGCCGAGAGGGCCGCCGCTTCCCACCGAGTCATGTGACCTCGCCAGCGCGCGCGCGCCCTCGCTGCGCACAGAGCCGCGGCGCCGCGCCCGCTCTCTGGTGCCGCACGGTCTTCTCCCAACACCCTCCTCGCCTCGCTCCACCAGACTCGCGCGCACCTCTCCAGCCTCTGCCTGCGCCTCACGACCTCTCTGCCACGCCCCCTCCTTCTTTCCTTCACGAACCTCCACACCTCAGCCGGGCCGTTGCTCCCGCGCTTCGGCTGCTCAGCCAGCCCAGACCGGCCATGGAGTCGGAGCTGCTGCGCGCCGTGTCCATCGCCTCGGCGCCGCACACGGCCGACGCTGCGCTCGTGGCGCAGGCGCACCAGTACCTCGAGCAGCTCAAGGCCAACACGCACGAGAGCTGGCAGCCGGCATGGAACGTCTTTGCCGCGCGCCACGTGCCGGGCGGCGAGGGTGGGCAGCACCCGCACAGCGTGCGCATGTTCGCCCTCAATCTCGTGCAGGACTTTCTCGAGAACCGGTGAGCACCAGTCGTGGGGCACAGACATGCGGCACTCGCCCAGTCCGCACACTGCTATGATGAGATACAATCAAATCACGAACAATCCAACGCCGAGAGGTGCAATCACACCTGCTGCGGAACACACATTAACCAGATTCTGAGCACTCGCTGCTGCCGATGCCGTCTCCAGCCCTGCCCGCATCTCTGCTGACACCACACCAGGGTATCGCAGTCGGCCGATCCCGCCGCCGCAGTGGCCTGGCTGCAGCAAGAAGCGCTGGCGTACGTCAATGACGAGTTTGTGAATGGGCAGGCAGAGCGCGGCCTCTCGTGTGAGTAGCAGCTGCGGGGCAAGGGAGGGAGAGCCTCGGCTCACCTCCGCCCGCAGTCTTGAAGAACAAGGTGGCACAGGCGCTTTCTCTGCTGCTCGTGCAGAGCTACTCGCTGCCGCCGCCCTACACGCTGCTGGCCACGCTGCTCTCCCTCACGCGCGACTCTGCGGGCGCCCTGCGGCCGGCCAGCACCGATCTGGTGCTGCGCATCATGCACGATCTGTCCCTCACACTTGGCTCCGACACGATGCTGCGCGCGGTGCGCTCGCGCGAGCGCCTGGCGCGCGACGGCGCGGTGCGCGACGAGATCCGCGCACACAACGCCGCGGCCATTGCCCAGATGCTGTGGGCGACGGTGCAGGAGAGCCTGGGCAACGTTGGCTCGGGCAGATGGCCGGACAATACTGCAGAGGAGATCACGGAGCAGGCCGTGCGCGTCGTTGGCGACTACGTCTGTGAGTCTGCATACCGGGCCTGCACATCTCCACATCTGACACATCCCTGCAGCATGGACCGACATCTCGCTCATGGTCACGCCGGAGACGGTGCAGATTCTGTACACGCTGCTGCAGCACTCATCACCCGCACTACGCAACGTGGCCGCCGAGTGCCTGTACGAAGTGACGACAAAGGGCATGCTTGCGCCGGACAAGATTGAGCTGCTGCGCGCGCTGGACCTCACCACGGTCGTCGACAGTCTCGAACAGTCGACGCGCGGCAAGACCGAGTCGGGCGAGCCGGACAATGAGTTCCGCGAGCGCCTCGCCAAGCTGGCCAATGCAAACAGCATGGAGCTGGCGCGCATCATCGAAGACACTGCCGTGGATGCGGCCGTGCGAGCGCAGGCCGACGATCTGCTCATGCGCTCGCTGCCGCTGGCGCTCACGTTTCTGGGCGACGAGTACGACGACATGGCCGAGGTCATCCAGCCGTGTCTCAGCCAGGCGCTCACCATCGTGCGTCGCCGCGTTGCATGCCTGTTGCGACGCCATCGCTGACGCAGAGTCCGCCATCCCAGCTCAAAAAGGCGCGACGTGCCTCGCCAAACGCTGCGCTAGACTCGCTCTTCTCGCCCGACAAGCGCGCCTTTCTCGCTTCGCTGCTCGACGTGTGCCTCGCCAAGATGCGCTACGACGAGGACGCTGAGTTTCTCGGCGGCGACGACACGTACGAGGCGGACAGCGAAGACGACGAGACGGCGCACTTTATGATGCTGCGCAAGAGTCTGCAGGTCATGGTGCAGGCCATTGCCGCCATCGACGAGACGCTCTTCATGACGCGTGTCCAGACGCTCATCCACGAAACGCTCAATGCCTGCGACGCCGGCCTTGCGGGCACAGGGCCGGCGCTCACCTGGCAGCAGGTCGAGGTGGCGCTCTTTGCTGCGTACTGGTTCGGCGAGCTCATTCTCGCCGCGACTGGACAGCCAAAAGCAGGTACGCCCGCCTGCTCACTCGCACGCCGCAGGACTGTCCGCTTACTCTCGCGCTTGCCAGGCATCGTTCCGACGTCCTTTGTGGTGCTGCCGCCCGGCGAGGCTGCCAAGGCCAAGCGAGCAAAAGGCACCGTGTCGACGTACACCAACGCGCCGCTCAACCCGCTCGGCGAGACGATGCAGCACCTCGTTGACTCGCAGGTGTCGGCCTTTCCGCACGCGGCCGTGAAGCTGCAGTTCTTCGAGTGCATGGTGCGCTATGCCGCCTTCTTCCAGGCACGGCCACAGAGCATCGGCGCCGTGCTGCCGCCGTTCCTCGACGAGCGCGGCCTGCACCACGCGCGCGCGGGCGTGCGGCATCGCGTCAACTACCTCTTCTTCCGCCTCATCAACGCCACGCGCGCCGTCATTAGCCCCGAGTTCGTGCGCGGCGTGCTGGAACGCATCCAGGACCTGCTCGTCATCGAGGCCGAACTGCCGTCGGTGCTCGAGGGCGAGGATCCGCTGGAGCGGGCAATGGATGTCGTCGGCACCATCGACAGCCAGCTTAACCTCTTCGAGGCCAGCGGCATCATGCTAGCGTCGCTGCGGCAGGCGCCCGAGACGCAAGTTGCTCTGCTGCGCGTGAGTGCATGCGCTCAGAAGCTCCCGCGAGAGCCACCTTTACTGACTGGCCCCACACCCTCAGGCCATCGTGGATCCCATGCTCGTGCAGCTGCGACAAGCCGTGCAGACCTACACGGGCGAGCGGCAAGACCTGCGCGCCGTGCTGCAGGCGCACCATCTCTTCCTCGCCTCCAGCACGCTCTCCAAGGGCTTCCCCGATATTACGCCCGAGACGCAGAGTACCGACGCGAGCGCCTGGGTCGTCGTCTTCAAGGACATCACGGAGCGCATCCTCGAGGCGCTTGGCGAGCTGAGCCACTTTGCCATCATCCGCGAGGCGGCGCGCGGCGCCTTTTCGCGCATGGTCGCCACGTGTGGCGATGTGGTGCTGCCGTACGTGCCGGCGCTGCTGAATGGCTTGCTCAGCGAGACGCAGCCCAAGGAGCTCGTCGAGGTGCTCTCCTTCGTCGGACTCATTGCGTCGCGCTACAAGGCCACGATTCGGCCCGTGATGGACGAGCTGCTGATTGTGCTCGTCTCGCGCGTCTTCCACTTTCTTAACCGCGAGGTGGCGGGCACGGACGATGCGGTGGAGCGCACGGAGTTGATTCGCGCGTACATCGGCCTGCTCTCGGTGCTGCTGGGCGCCAATCTCGAGGGCGTGCTGCGCTCCGAGAAGAACCAGCCGCAGCTAGAGGGCATCCTCCAGAGCCTCGTCTTCTACGCCACCAGCGCCGACGTCAACACGCAACGCGCGACCTTTTCGGTGCTGCATCGCCTCGTCGCCGTCTGGGGTGGCGCTCCCGGCACGGCTGCGCCTGGCAACACGCCGGCCGGCGCCACGCGCGAGCCGCTGCCGGGCTTCGAGCAGTTCATCTACGAGACGCTCGTGCCACTCGTCTTTGAGGCGCCCTCCAAGCCGACGTTTGAGCTCGGCGATGCGCAGTCGCAGCAGGTGCTCCTCGAGATTGCCACGCTGCTCAAGACGATCGCAGAGGTGCGCGGCGACGAGGCCCTCTCGTATCTTACCACCGTGTACTTTCCACGCGTGGGATGCCCGTCCGACATGGGCCAGGAGTTTGCGCAGAGCCTCAAGCTGCAAGACTCGCGGCAGCTGCGCAGGGCACTGCACACGTTCATCGAGAAGTCGCGCGGCGGCTGATGATGAGCAAGAAGAAGGGGGCCGCCGCCTGCGACCGGGCCCTCCGCGCTCTGCTCTGTCCTCTCCACTCTCTCTCTTCCCCTCTCTACACACCCGTCTCTCTCACACACATCCCCCTCTACTGCACGCCTACACTGCCATCGTCGCTGCCTCTCTCCATCACAGTCACCCTCTTACAACAACGCCATACTTGCCCGCAAAGTAATCACCAACATCATGCCTTGGCCTGCGCGTTGGCCTGCTGCGGTGTGTGCTGCTGCAGAATCAAGGCACGTCATGGCAAGCTCGATGCGGGGCAGTGGGCCTCCTGTAAGAGCTCTTTATCGCTGCTCAGGGCGGAGTGGTGCCTCGAATGAAGCCCCCCGAACTGCGGCTTGCCCCAGAGTGCGGAGCAGAGACGCTATCTTGGTTCCTCGGGGAGCGTAGCAGCTGCAGAGGCACGCCAGCAGCGCCTTCGCGGCGCGGCACGTTGCTCTCGTTCTTGGCGCTGCAGGCTGCACCCCAGCAAGGCGCGCTTCGGGCGCTCCACAGAGAGGCGAGCTGCCGCGGACGCCGAGCCCGCCGCCGGCTCCGCTCCGAGGGAGCGTGCGGTGCGGCGGCACAGCAGGGCGGCATGTGCAGGCCGCCGGCGCTGACGCGGTGCCTGCAGGCTGTGAGAGGGTGCAGCGCGCGCTTCTCTGCACGGCGCGCGTCACGACCTGATGATTTGGGCCTCGCCTCGAGCGGAGGGCAGCGCATCCTCGCCTCCGACTGCACCCGCTCCTTCTGCGTTCCGACCACCTGCTCCGCACCGCTCTCGACAACACTTCCTTCCGCGTGTGCTCCACCCTCCTTAGACCGTGCTCCCACCTTCTCACACCTTCACCTTCTCACACCTCGGTCGTCCGCGCGTCTACACCTTCGTCGCTGCGCCACCTGCATCCTCTTCACGCTCGCACTCAGCCGACGCCTCTTCGTCGTTGCGCACGCTCTCGAGCCATCACCAGTCGCATCCTTCTCGCTGCCACACCGGTCCTCTGGCAGCAGCAGCGTCCTCTTTGGCCCCTCGCGCCAGGGCTGCCCCGCTCCACCTCGCTCTGCGACCCCTGGCGCGCGGCGCAGCACTTCTAGCCCAGCATGGCTGCCGGCTCGACGGCCAGCCTTGAGCCGTCGCGCTTCCATCCCTTTGAGATCACCGCGGCGCATCTCATCTATGTGGGCCTCGGCTTCTTCATCGTCATCGTGAGTCGCCGTGGAGGCGAGGAGGGCCCGGCGTGCCCGGCTCGCAGGCGGCAGCACGCGCAGCCGCGCGGGTGCTCCAGCGGCATCAACGAAGCCACTGGCTGGGCCTGTGGGACGGGTATCAGCAGCGTAGCCTTGCACCGCCATGCGTCGTTGTCAGTCGCCCCCCGGCTGTGCCGCGAGGCAGAGCGCAGGTGTGCTGTCGTCAGGACATGGCGCCGCGCTCCGTGTCTGCTTCAGCAGTGCTCACCCCTCGCGCGCGCAGTTCGGCATGCTGTCGCTCTTCATCAAGGAGCGGCTGTATCTCGGCGAGGCGCCCATTGCGGCGCTCTTCGGCGTCATCGTCGGGCCCGTGGCCATCAATCTCTTCGACCCCGCCGGCTGGGGCGGCCACGCCAGCGAGACGCCCGGCGGCCACATCACCAACGAAGTCACGCTCGAGATCATGCGCGTCACCATTGCCCTCTCCGTCTTTGCCGTCGGTGTCGAAGTGAGTGTTCGCGCAGCTGCCTCCTGCGGCGCACTGCGCTGACAGCTGCGCCTCGCCAGCTGCCGAAGAAGTACCTGCTGCGCCACTGGCGCAGCATTGCGCTGCTGCTGGGCCCTGTGATGATCTGGGGCTGGATGATCACGGGCCTGCTGATTTGGGCGTTCATTCCTGGGCTGGACTTCCTGAACAGGTGAGTTGAAGGCGCCCTTGCGCGCACAGCCCCCCATACTCACTCTTTGCCTAGCTTGGTCGTCGCTGCTGCTGTGACGCCGACGGATCCCATCCTCGCACAGGCCGTCGTCGGCGGCCCCTGGGCCGAGCAGCACGTGCCGGCGCATCTGCGCCACATGCTCATGTGCGAGTCGGGCTGCAACGACGGCGCTGCGTTCCCCTTTCTCTTCCTCGCGCTCTTCCTCACGACGCACCGCGACAACCGCGGCAAGGCGATTGGCATGTGGTTCTACGACGCCTGGGCGTATCAGATCATCCTCGGCACCTTCCTCGGCGCGCTCATTGGCTTCCTGGCGCGCAAGGCGATGCGCTTCAGTGAGCGCCACCGCCTCGTGGACCGCGAGTCGTTCGTGGCGCAGTACGTCAGTCTGGCGCTGGCCAGCATGGGTGTCGGCGTGCTGCTGGGCAGCGACGACTTGCTCGGTGCCTTTGCCTGCGGCACGGCGTTCGCCTGGGACGGCTGGTTCACGCGCCAGACGGAGGACTCCAACTTTTCCAACATCGTCGATCTGCTCTTCAACACGGCCGCCTTCATCTACATTGGCGCGCTGATCCCCTTCCACACCTTTGTCGATGCGAGCATCGGCCTCAGCCTGTGGCGCCTCATCGTCGTGACGCTGCTGACGCTGCTGCTCAAGCGCCTGCCCATCGTGCTGGCGCTCTGGAAGTGGATCCCCGACATCAAGACTTTCCGCGAGGCCATCTTTGCCGGCTGGTTCGGCCCCATTGGCGCAGGTGCCATCTTCATTGCGACGCTCGCGCGCACCGAGCTGCCCGAGGAGATCCCGGAGCCGCCGGTGGACACGAACGACGTGCTTGCCGCGACGATCCAGCCGATCATCTTCTTCTTCGTCATGTGCTCTATCCTCGTGCACGGCCTCACGATTCCCTTCTTTGCCTTTTCGCGCCACGCCACGACGGTGACGCGCACGTGGAGCCGCGCCGCGTCGATCAGCCGCATGTCGGGCGAGGGCGGCGGCGAGCCGGGCTGGCTGAACCGCGTGAAGCGCTTCCGCACCAACGACACGCTCAAGCACGAGGAGGGCAACATGACGGAGATCGAGCGTGTGCTCAACGCCCAGCTGGGCGTCATTGGACGCGGCGCCATCGGAGGCGATGCAGAGAAGGAGCTGCGCGAGGACCGCAACGGCGAGCTGAGCAGCTCCAGCGGCAGCGGCACGTCGGGCGAGGGCTCGCACTCGCCCACGTCTGGCAGCCATGTTGGACTGATGAATACGCGCACCCAGCGCGATCTAGAGAAGGCAGATCTGGACCGCCGCTTCAACGACGATCCGGAGGACTACGAGGACGAGCACAACGCCGACCCCTCGTGCGAGTGGGGCGGCGACTCATGCATCGAGGCACGCCGCTACCGCGAGAAGCTGGCGGCCGCTAAGGCGGAGCGCGAGGCGCGGCAGCGCAGAGAGGGGCAGCTCGAGGAGGGCGACGAGAGGCGTCGCTCTGCCGAGGCGCAGCAGGACGGCGAGGAGGGCGACATCGGCGGCGCAGCTACGAGCCACGACCTGGAGAAGCAGGCGCCAGAGGCAGTGGAGGAGGACGAGGAGCGCGCGCCGTACCACAACGCGCAGAGCGGCTACCCCAGCGTGCGCTCGTGGGTCGAGGGCAACAAGCTGCTGCTCGAGTACCAGAAGACTCGCTCCGACGATCCCGAGGTGCACGTCCTCAACCTCACCGACGCCGACGTCGAGGCGGTGCGGCACGCCGACAGCCCCGCGCACGCATGGGTGCGCCACCACGCCGAGGGCATCGAGGAGCACCTCGGCATCACCGAGCACCACCAGTGGGACCCGACCGAGGCGGTGCGCAACGTTATCCATCACGGCATCCCGAATCGCTACAATGCGTACCTCGAGTCGCGCAAGAACGGCGCGCAGAGCAGCTCGAGCGCCGCCGAGCGCGGCCGCCCAGCGGCGCAGCAGAGTTCCATGTCGCGCGACGACTCGCACGGCGAAGACAGCCGGCAGGAGCGTGCCGAGCGCACTGCTCTCATCTACGGCGCCATGAGCGCAGCGTCTGGCCGTCGCGACGCCAGCGATGAGCGAGCAGCCGCACGGCAGCCTGCAAAGTCGGCCTCTGCGCGCTTTGCCGAGGATCCGATCCACAGCCGCAGCGCAAGCGGCTCGCGCTCGCCCGACGGGCGCCATGCCAGCGGCGCGCATGCGCACAAGCTGCAGGTGCACGCTGCAGGCACGGACAGCGTCACGGCCAAGCGGCGCTTCTCGCTGCGCAAGCGTCTGCTGGCTGGTCAGGTCGGTCTGCAAGGCCGGCGCAGCAAGAGCCACAGCGAGAGACTGCTGGAGGACGAGGATGAGGCGGAGGACTACATCATCGAGGACCCGACGCCGGAGAGCTCGCGCCCGACATCCATCTTCCTCAGCGGCAACAGCGGCGGCAGCGGACTCGGTCTGCCGCGCACCGACTCGCTTCCAACGGGCGCGGTTGCACGCACGTTCTACCGCACCACGAGCCACGGCGGTCTCGCAGGCGACGAGGACTCTGGCCAGCGCTCGAACACGGTGCAGTGGGTCAACGCTGGCGACACGAGGCACGAGCGCTCCTCAAGGGCGCCTGGTGCGAGCAAGCCGAACTCACGCTCCACCTCGCCGGCTCGCGCGGCCGCTGCGGCCGCCTCGGACAGCCGCCACAGCAAGACGCTCAACCGCAACCGCACCATCTCGAACGCGTCTCTGCGCGACGCGGCCGCACAAGACGACGGCGAGCGTGAGCAGGGCGACCAATTTGGCTCGCAATCCGGCCGCGGTGGACCACGGCGTGGCGGGCGTGTGGCTGCGCTCTTCAGCGCGCTCACACCCGGGCCACGGCCACGCACGGATCGCGGCGGCTCTGCGCCGCCAGAGTCAGACAGCTCGCGTCTGCAGCATGCCTCCAGCTCGCCGGCGATTGCACGCTTCATGGCGCGGCCGGGCACCGCAGAGAGCAACGGCCCGCCGGAGCGTACGGGCTCGGGCATCTCGGGCATCTCGACGCCAAGCGAGACGGGCATCCTGGCGGGCGGCGCCAATAGCACGGCGGCCAGCTCGCTGTCGGGCCACGAGAGCGACCGTGTGATGATCGAGCTGCCTGGCAGGGACGGCCCCGTCTTTGCTGGCGGGCCGCGGGACAGCGACGCTTGATGGGAATAGAGACGCACTGCTTGCACAACACATGCTGACGGGACTACAATGCAACGACTGCTCGGAGTGCCCCCCAAGACAGCGCTGAGACTCGGCGCAGCCGTGCTGCTGGCGGTGAAGTGACACGCGCGCGGCTCACTCCTCGCTGACGAAGACCTTGACGACGCCGCGGCCGTCTTCGCTGCGTCCCGCGCGCAGCACCTCGAAGGCGGCGCGCGCGTCGACGAGGCGGAAGCGGTGGCTAAAGAGGTTCTCGATGCCGCCGGGCGTGATCGAGGAGCTTGCGTGACTGGCTCTGCCCGGCGGCTCGGTGGCTTGGCGTCCGAAGCCGCTGGCGCGCAGGGCGCCGCTGGCGAGCAAGTCGATGGCCTTGGGATACATGCCGGCGTAGCGGAAGACGCCGACGAGATCGACCTCACGCAGCGCGGCTGCGCCCACGGGTAGCGTCTGCACCGGGTGGCCCATGCCTATCAGGCCCACCCGTCCGCCCGATCGCGCCGCGTAGATGCTGAGCGCCACGCACGCCGGCACGCCGCTGCACTCGAGCACCACGTCGAAGCCTCCGCTGCTTGCGATGCAGGGAAAGGCACTCTGCACGGCGGCAGCCTGCTGCTTGACGAGCTCCATCGCCGCGCGGTCCTCCTCGGCGCGGCTGCGCAGCGGCTCTGCCTCCGAGCTGTCGCTGCTGTTGTCGCGCTGCAGCGGAAGCACGAGCGTGTCGTCCGCCCAGCCATTGTCGGCAGCAAAGGCTACACGGCCGGCGTCGATGTCGACCGCACCGACGAATGATGCGCCGCTGGCCCGCGCTGCGGCGCACGCCAGCTGGCCAATGGCGCCGGCGCCGACGACCAGCAGTGACTCGCCCGGCCCGAAGGACGTGCGGGTCAGTGCTTGCAGCACGACAGACAACGGCTCGATCAGTGCGCCGGTAGTGAGGGACAGATGTGGCGGCAGGCTGCCGCAATACAGCGGATCAGTGGCGGCGGCATTTGCGAATGCTCACTCGACTCACGCATGCACCAGGCTGGCCGGCCAGTTCATGCGCTGCTGCAGCGTGCCGTGCAGATGCGGAAACGTCTTTGCGCTGCTTGCGAAGCGCATGTCGGGACAGAGGTTGTACCTGCCTTCGCGGCAGCGATTGCAGCTGGCGCAGTACCTGCCCGCCTCGATGGCCACGCGGGAGCCCATGCGCAGGCCTGACGCCTCAGCAGCGCCCGGACCGAGCGCCACGACGACGCCGGCGCTCTCGTGTCCCAGACACATGGGCGCGCGCAGCGCAAAGTCGCCGTTGCGGCCGTGCAGGTAGTAGTGCAGGTCCGAGCCGCACAGGCCCGTCTGCTTGATCTCAATCTGTACCTCGCCGGCGCCTGGCGGGCCCAGCACCATCTCCTCCTGCCAGTGCAGAAGTGTGTCAGCGAGGCTGCGTGCCGGAGCCCTGCACACGACGCACCACGCGCAGGTCTTGCGGCCCGTAGAGGAGCGCGCCCAGGCTGGAGGACGCCATGCTGCGCGTGCTCCAGCCCGGGCGGCCGATGTGCGGCGAAAGACGGACGGCCAGGTGCCTGTGCTGGAGCCGCTGCGCCGACTGCTGCTGCGGCTGCGGCTGTGGTGGAGGTGAGGCAAGCTGCAGTGGCGAGCCTGCTGCTCAGCCAAGAGCTGTCATGTGCGGGTGCCGCGTCGAGCCTTCAGGGGCGCCGCCTTGCCTTGCCCATCTCGCCCTCCACCGCAACGCGTGGCCCGTGCAGGGACGGCCAGCCGAGTTGAACATCGTCCGAGCACCCTGCCCCATCGGCGTGCAGCAGCGCTGGCGAGTGCGAGCTGATCTCTGCTGCTGTTGCACAGATGCAATGGACCTTGCTATTGACGAATCGTGCTCGCACCGAAGGCAAACGGGCGCACAGCCCAGGAAGCGTCAGAGTTTGTCCTGCCCTGCCCTGCACCTGGCCGCGTCGCGCTTCTGACCTCGGATTCACGCGACGCGCAGCGCTGCGGCACGGACATTGCGCAAGAGCACCTGGCTGCGCACTGGATCTCACGGTGAAGGGCGCTGGCGGCACCTCTTGGCGCTGCGGTGGTCACCACAACGGGACTGCAGTGCGAGGGCGGGACCGGGCCGGCCTCGCTGCCGCTCTCGGGTGTTCCCACACGCCTCGGCGCGTGGTTGCTGCGCTCATGCGCCATCGCGCATGATCTGCCGTGCATGCACGCACCAGAGCAGCGGGCGGCAGGCCGAGTCAGCCGACTGTGACTGCTGCGTGCGGCGTGCGGGGAACGGCACGGCAAGCTCCGGCTCAGCCTCAGCCCTCTGTCACTTCTTCTCTCCGCACCCCATCCGCCGCAAGCGCAAGACTCAAGGACCTTCGTTCACACCAAGTGCAGCGCACAGACGCTGCTCGCCCAGCGCGGCTCTCCCAGGTCAGATTTGCAGCTGTATGCCCCGCTGCTGCACCTCAGAGCGCCGCTGCGAGGTGTGCACGTGAGAGCGCGCTGATCCCGGGCTTGCCGCGACTGCGCCTCGTCCGCATTGCGGCTGGCTGCGCAGCCCCATCTCGCAGTCACCGCTGCGGAAGTACATCGACGCTGAGCGCGACGGCACTCGGCTCGCATCGTGAAAGGGCAAGCGATAGCACGAGAAAGGATAGCAGCTGCGCCGCGCTGGCCCGCACTCGCGCAGATAGCTCTGCTCGGGCAGGCAGTCTTTGGAGATGAACAGCACGGAAGCTGAAGATGACGAGGCGCGGCAACAGCTAAAGGACGCTCAGCCGCCGGCATCCGACGCGAGCGCCGAGGAGACCTATCCCATCCATCCTCTGCTCCTGCCCAAGCACTCGGACTCCGCCACAAGCGACGAGGTCAGCATGGCCGCAGAGAACGTTGCTGGCCCGTCAAGGCAGGAAGCCTTGCGCGCTCACGAAGATGACGCCTACCCAATGCTGGGCGCCTACGGAATGATGGGCGGCGAGGACACGGACGACGAGACGACGCCGGCGGCTGGTCCCTCAAAGGCGGCCCCGCGCGGTGTCCTAGGGTCGCTAGCCAGCACCCTGCGAAATCGGCCTCAGGCCGGCGACGGCACATCGCCCCGCAAGGAGCGCAGTTCGGGCAGTCGCCCGACATCCAGGCATGCTGCCGGTCACAGCAACAGCAGCGGCCCATCGAGCGGCAAACACACGCCTGCAATAGTCGGCAAGGCGACTGAGGGCGACTACGCTAAGTTCTTGGCAGCATCCGACCTCAAGGACCGCCTCGAGGAGGAGGAGGCACGCATGATTGCGCGCGACCTCTACCTGGCCAAGCACCCGGGCAAGCGCGAGAAAGGGCGCCGCAGCTTCTCGGGCGGCAAGCAGGCGGCGCTGAGCGGCGAGGCGCTGGGCAGCAGTCCGCCCAAGTCTCGCGCCGAGCCGACACTCGAGGAGCGCGGTTACTTTCCGGGCGACTTGAGGCACCACGGACATCTTGACGGCTCGCGGCAGAGGAAGAGCCACTCGCGGCGCAGCAGCGCACACGCCAGCCGGCCCACGTCGGTCAAAGAGCTCAAAGCGCCGGCCATCTGCGGCGCCGTCGAGTCCTCGGGCTCGGACGAGGAGGCTCGCGCCGCCACCACACTGGTCGGCTCTGCGCTAGACAGCTCCGACGATGAGGCCTTAGACAAAGCAGGACCCGTGCTGGGTGGCGAGTCTGACTCCGAGTCGTCCTCGTCGCTCCTTGAAGTCGTGTCCGAGGACCGCGACCCCTCGACCATCTCGCTCAAGTCGCACGGCTCAGACGACACGTCTGGCGTCTTCTCGCTGCACAGCGGCGGCGCCTCGCACCACTTGCAGAAGCCTCTGCTGGAGCTCGAGGAGCTCGAGCTGGAGAGCTTCCTCTCGAACTTTGGCCGACACACGCGCGAGGTGCGCGTGCCGCAGTCTCTGACGTTTCCACAGCGCAGAATGCCGCGCCTCGATGACTTTCGCGTGGATCCCGAGGAGGCAGTCGCTGCTGCACGGCGAGGGCAGCGCGTCACGGTGCTGACTCACGTCGATCGCGGCCTGCAGCGCCTGGCCGAAGATCAGGGCCCCGGAGTGCCTCCGAGTCGCAGCAAGCAGATGCTCGCTGATACGCCCGTGAAGCTGGACAAGAACAGCAAAAAGGCGCGAGAGGGCGGTCGAGCCGGCAGCCCGCATGTGACGTGGGCCACAGACGACGGCTACGTTCCGCAGTCGACGGACGAGGGCGCGGCCGTCTTTGGCGCGCCGGAGGACAACCTCGAAGGCCTGCGGCAGCGGTCCCTCGAGAAGTCGGAGCGTGCGGCCAAGAAGGAAGAGGGCAAGGCCGCCTCGGCAAAGGCACGGCAACGAAAGGAGGAGCAAGAGGCGGCAGAGCAGGAGCAAGAAGCTCGTGCAGAGGCGCTCATGAGCAACCCGTCGGCGGCGCTCAAGCACGACGGCGAGTCGTGGGAGCTCGTGTCTGCCTCGGAGGGAGTCGAGAGCAGCATGGCCGGCGAGCCCAGGGTAGACACGATTGCATTCTGCATCGCCTACATCCTCGCGCTCATCGAGCGCTACGCGCCCGAGGAGCTTGACAACAGCCCGGACCAGTCGTACCGCGAGAGCAAGGCGCGCTCGCACGTCGAGCGCCTCTACATCATCGCGCCCTTCTGGGAGCGCTTCCTGCTCGGTGCTCGGCGCATGTACCGCTGGGAGAGCCCGCGCCGCACGGGCACGGCAGCGATGGCCTACTTTGTGCTGTGGTACATCGACGGCATCTTTGTTGCGTTCTTGCTGTGAGTGACGCCGCCAGCAGACTGCGAGACTGTCGACTGACACACGCTCGGCCGCAGCATCCTGATGTTCTATGTAAGCCGGCTACGGGCATGCTCGCAGCTGCCGTTGCTAAACGTGCTCTGCAGATTATGCAATTCCGCTTCTTCCCGCCCGACGCCTCGTATCTGCACGAGCAGGTGCGCAAGCGCATGGCCCGAGGCCGCGAGGCCGACAAGCTTGCAGAGCGGCTCCGACGCGTGAGTAAGAAGTGAATCGTCCAGGCGACTTGCTGCGCAGGCTGACAGCGCCGACAGAGATCACGACTGGACGTGCTCGAGATCTACAAGCGCTGGGTGGTCAAGGTGCGTTTCCCCGCTAATCCAGACGCAGAGCCTCGCTGACGGGCATTGGCAGTTCGGTCTCGCCTCGCAGATTGCTGCTGGCGACTTGGCCGATGGCGTAAGTGACACCAGCACAGTGAACTACCGCGCCCGCTCATGCCCCACCACAGCACGAGAAGATCAAGAACCTGATCCTCTGGCGCAACCCAACGGCGACATGGCGCACGCTCTCGATCTTCGGCGTCGTGACGGTGCTGGTGGCGGTGACGCCGACGTACTACATCGCCAAGTTCCTCTGGCTCCTGCTCGGCTTCACCTTCTTCATCCTGCTGCCGCTGCAGAGCCACTATCCGCGCTACCGACGGCCCTTGTCGCCCGTATGGTGGGTGCTCTGGGGCTCGCCCACCGACGCGCAGTTTGCCATCCAGCTGCTGCGCCGGCGGCACCTGGAGAAGCAGGTCTCCAAGGGCGCCACGCTGCAGCGCGCGCCCAGTGACGAGGACGGCCTGGCTGCTGCCCCGGCCGGCGCGGCGGAGGAGATGAAGAGCAAGTCGCCGCTCAAGATGCTCACGCCGCAGAAGCGCTCCTCGGCCGCACATGCCGTGGCGCACGGCGCCATGCGGCCGCTGCGCGAGGGCGAGGGCCTGCTGTCGCTCGAGGAGCGTGTCGTCAAGGACGGCGTCGAGACGCTCAAGGTGAGCAGGTGGCCCGGCCCTGGTGGCGATGGCATAGCCTGACCCCACGCTCGCCAGCCGCGCAAGCTGGGCAGCTTCTTCTGCCAGCACAACGCAATTCCCGGCCATCTGACCATCACGACGCGCATGATGTGAGTCAGCGGAACCTTCGGCCCTGCCAGTCGCAACGCTCATGAGCATCTCTCGGACGGCAGCTACTTTGTCGCGCTGCACTCGGTGCGCCCCGAGCGCAGCCACAAGACATGCAAGACGCCGCTCGAGGACATTGCCGGGCTGGTCAAGACCAAGTGCGTGGAGGATGAGCAGCTGAGCGCACCGACTCTTGCTGACCCGCGCGCACCTGCCCACAGGTCCATCCGCCTGCTGGTGTGGAGCTCGTCGGGCCTGCAGGTGCAGCGCTCCAGCAAGCCATCGCTCTTCTTCTCCAACATGAGCCACGTGCGTGACAGCGTCTCGCGCGCCGCCATTGCACTGCCTCTGCTGACGTCCCCTTGCGCGCTGCCCAGCGCGACGACGCCTTCAATCTGCTGCTCGCCATCTGCTCGGAGCACTGGTCCAAGAAGAAAGACTAGCGCGCGGCGCATGCTCCTTGCCGCCACTGCTCTCTCTGCTCTGCCCCTGCGCCTTATCTGTCCCCGCTTGCCTATGTACCCCCCTCGCTGCGTCGCCACGCCTGTCATGCGCGCGCGATCGATTATACCTGGATTGACATTGCTGGCGCCTGTCGTGCCCGGCTGGACATGACCAGGCCAATGCGGAGCGCGGGCCTGGAGCAAGGCGCGCGCGCCCGGGAGCAGCTCTAGCAATTTAGGGGTTCTCGCCGTACCTGCGCACACAAGATAGGCGTCAGCATCACACTGTGCACTGCTAAGGCCGCTCAACGCACCACTGGACACCCTTCTGGATGTTCTTCTTGAGCTCGGGCAGGCAGGCCTCCATGAGCTGCAAGCGTGCGCGAGCATGTCAGCTTCAATCTCACTGCGCGCGCGCATCTCGCACGCACCTTCTCCTCCTCGGCGGAGAGCTTGCCGACGGGGTGGATCTCGCCGACACCCTCGCCGCTGAGCGTCACCTTGGAGCTGAAGAAGTCGACGCCCTGGTCCTTGTACAGCGGCGAGTCGACGTACGTGCACTCGACGACGTTGCTCTCGCCGCCGATGGCGCGCATCAGCGAGTTGCTGAACACGGCGGCGGCGTAGGCCATGCTGAGCGTGGCCGAGCCGGCGCCATCCTTGGCCTTGACGACCTCGTCGCCGCCGTACTGGATGCGGTGCACGAGCTTCTCGTACGCCTCGCCGGCCTTGACGGCCGAGCCCTGCGCGGCCTGCGAGAGCAGGGGCACAATCGTCGGGCCCGAGTGGCCGCCGACGCACGGCACAATCGTCTCGCTCGGCTTGGCGCCGGCGATGCCGCTGTGGAGGCGGCATGGGTGAGCCCGCGCCACTTGCGGGCGGCTGAGAGGCCGAGCACTCACCTGAGGAACGTGCTGGCCCGCGTCACGTCGAGCGTCGTGACGCCGAAGAGGCGCTTGGGGTCGTAGACGCCGGCCTTCTTGAACACCTCGGCGACAATGGGCACCGTCGAGTTGACGGGGTTGGAGATGACGAGGATGTGGGCCTTGGGGCAGACCTCGGCGGCCGTCTTGGCCAGGTCGCGCACGATCGAGGCGTTGGTCTGTGCACAGACGGGTCAGATGCTGCTACTGCTGCTGCTGCTGCTGCTGCTGCTGTGGTGTGGCTCGTGCAGCACACGCACGTTGAACAGGTCGTCACGGGTCATGCCGGGCTTGCGCGGCACACCGGCGGGGATGACGACGAGCTCGGCGCCCTCGAGCGCCTTCTTGAGGCCGCCCTCGGGGCCGTCGGGCGAGTAGCCGGTGGTCTGCGGCGAGCATCAGTGCACAGTCCGGCAGTGCAGCATGTTCTGGGCGACGCACCACGGCGGGCGTGTTCACGTGGCCAATGTCGGCTGCGACACCGGGCGCGAGGCGCACGTCGAAGAGGCGCAGCGACGTCACCAGCGGGTCGTTCTTGAGCAGCAGCGAGAGCTGGACAGGGCCGTGTCAGCATGGCAGGGACAGTGCAGTGCGACGGCGCGGCAGCCGAGGCCGCTTGCACGGCTCCGCAGGCCGGCGCAGCAGAAGGCCGCCGCGCGCTCAGCGCACTCACGGGCTGGCCAATGCCGCCGCTGGCACCGAGCACGGCGACGGCGTGGCGGTCGGCGGCCGAGGAGCTGAACATGCGCGGCGCCGACGGCGCGGCGGCACGCAGCGAGGAGCGGAGGGCGGAGCGGGCAAGCATGGTGGGACGCGGATGGGGGATGGGTGGAGTCAGGAAGATGCAGCGGCGGCCGCGCCCAACTCCAACGGCGCTGCGAGCGGCGCAGCGCGCAGGCGCAGCGCTCGCGTCGCCCTCGGTGGCCGCCGCTCGCTGACGCTCTCGGCGCGCTTTGCCGGCTGCCAGCCGCCGCGCGCCGAGGGCCGCGCCCCAGCAGCGCACTCAACGTCACGCCTCGGCCGGGCGATCTCTGCCCCTCTTCGCAGCGCACGAGGGCCTGCTCGCGGCACCCCGCTGCCCCGCTTGTCCCACAGATAGCGCGACAGCACGGCCCGCACGGTCTGCGAGGACTGCGTGCTGGCTATCAAGGTCCTCGTCTGGCCCCGCTGCCGCCGCCGGAGGGTCCGTGAGCTGAAAGCGGGGCCAGAGCTTGCCTCTCTGTCTGCGGCTGGTGGAGGACAAAGCGCACGCACGGCCTTCGGGCATCTCTCGGTGGGCACAGTTGAAGCTGCGACTTCAAGCGCTCAGGCGAGCTTGTACTCGCGCACTACAGCCGGCGAGACTCGCCGGCCCGGTCTGCGCCGACTCGTCGCGCGGCTCACGTCGGCCGCTGATCACCGCAACGCCGCTCCCGGGCGCTCTGGATGCCGTCGGCCTGGGGTGGTGGTGCGGCTCCAGAAGCCCCAGCTGCGCTTCACTGGCTTCGTCTGCCTGAGCTGATCGACATCCTGTGCCTCGCAGTTGCCTGCGTCTCGGGACACTGGGCTCTGCGGTGGCGAGCACGCAGGGCGCGCACATGCACAGCCTGGCCCGCCTCTGCACGCCCGAGCAGACGACGCAGCTCTCTCGGATCTGTGCAGCGTGTGGACCTCTCACAAGGCCTTTGCGACATGCAAGCATGCCGTGTGGGCTGCAAAGGCGCGGACTGCGGCGTGAGGCGGCGGCGAGGAGAAGCGGCCGCCGGGCGCGATGCCTGTCACGTGACGCTGCTGCGGCTGCGGCGAGCGCGCCCTGCGCCTGCGCGCAGAGGCGCGGCGGCGGCGCGGCGGGGGCGCGCAGCCAGCCAGGCGGCAGCGCACGGCAGCCTCTGCTTCTCCCCACCACATCGTCTTCCACCCCTCAAGACCGTCGTTCACAATGGTGCGCAGCTAGTCCGTCACCTCGTCCGGCCGCTCGGAGCGTGCCCCCACTCGCATCACACACCACACTCGGCGCACCGCGGTGCACGGCTGCCTCGGCAGCGTGCCGGTGTGGGCAGGGTGCAGGAAGACAAGACGAAGCGTGCGGCAGAGAGCTGTGCCTCCGTGACGCCACATCGCACTCGTCTTCCTGCATGCGCATCGACGGCTGCTGCGACATCGCCATGCGGTGATCTGGGCGGGCCTGCTTCGCCGCTCGCTGCGTGCGCCCAGATCATCCAGGCATGGCATTGCGCCGCTCATGCGCAACCCCTGCCGCTCTGTGCCGGCGCATGCACACACCCTAGCGGGAGGCACGCCTGAGTGGCTGCCGCACCGTGTGCTGCGTCGACACAGCAGCCTCAGAGGTCGTCATGTAAGCACCGAGGCGGCCAGTCTTGCGAGACGGCCGCCGATGACGTGCGGGGAGGCTGGGAGAGTGCTGTAGAGGCACGCCACGAGCTCACCACTCGCTGCGACCTCTTCGCATCTCCCACGCCGCTAGAGCTCCGAGCTGTCGTCCGACAGCTCGTCTCAATGATCCCCTTCTTACCGTCCTTCTCCCCCGCAGCCCAAGGCCACCACCACCGCCAAGACCGGCTCGAAGCCGTACGCCAAGAAGGGCGCCAAGGCCCCTCAGGACCCGCGCTTCGAGAAGCGCACGCGCAGCTTCGGCATCGGTGCGTTGCGGTGTGCACGTCGCTGCACAGTCTCTTTGCTGACCCTCTCTCTCCTTGTAGGCCAGGACATCCGGCCGTCGCAGGACCTGACGCGCTTCGTCAAGTGGCCGCAATACGTGCAGCTGCAGCGCCAGCGCGTCGTGCTCAACCAGCGCCTGAAGGTGCCGCCGTCGATTGCGCAGTTCAGCAACACGCTCGACAAGAACACGGCCACGGCCATGTTCAAGCTCTTCAACAAGTACCGCCCGGAGAGCAAGCAGGAGAAGAAGGAGCGTCTCGGCAAGATCGCCGCCGATGTGGCTGCCGGCAACAAGGACGCCGCCAAGGCCGGCCCCAAGCCCGTCAACGTCAAGTACGGCCTGAACCACGTCGTGGCCCTCATCGAGGCCAAGAAGGCCAAGTTCGTCGCCATCGCTGCCGACGTTGACCCCATCGAGCTCGTCGTCTACGTGAGTCGGCCGCCGCTGTGAGGTGCCCTGCGGCGCCGCTGACATTCTTTCGCCTTGCAGCTGCCCGCTCTCTGCAAGAAGATGGGTGTGCCGTACGTCATCGTCAAGGGCGGCAAGTCGCGTCTCGGAGCCGTCGTGCACAAGAAGACGGCCGCCGTCGCCGCCCTCACGGCCGTCAACTCGGCCGACGAGCGCGAGCTGGCCACGCTCGTCTCGGCCGCCAAGGCCAACTACCTCGACAAGCACACGGAGCTCTCGCGCCACTGGGGCGGCGGTGTCCGCGGCGCCAAGTCGGCCGAGATGATGCGCAAGCGCGCCAAGGCTGCCGGCGCCAACGTCGTCAAGGAGGCCTAAGCGATGCGCGCGCTCACTGTGCATCGTGTTTCCCCTCCCGTCACCCGCATCAAAAGCAGCTCGCCGTGATGTCACGCACTGCTCCCCCACCCATGTCCACCGCGGCCGCAATCTCACTTGTCTGCCGCACCACCATCATCTCTGCCTCTTCACGCTGTAATCTACGTCTCGCTCTTCCTCTCTCGTCTGACCCAGGGTGCAGCGCGGGTGACGTCAGAGTGCCATTGCGAGGTGGTAACCAGGTGGAAGGAGGTGCGTTGGGTGAACAGGTGTGCCAGTGCTAGGGCCGAAGGAAAGGCAGAGGCTACCGGGGTGTATGCAGGTGACAGAGGCGGGCCTAATGGTGCGGCGCCGCGAACGAGGAAGAGATGACGGGACGCCGTCTGGTGGGGTAAAGAGGGATGGGGGATCCGTGCAGCAGCTCAATAGAACGTCTGCTGATGCGTGCCGTTCTGCATCGACGGGTGCGGGTACGCCTGCGCCGAGGCGGTCTGGTGCGGTGGCTGGTGGTGGTGGTGCTGCTGCTGCTGTTGAGGGGCGCCGTACGAGGCGCCGTCGTGCGGAGCGTAGCCGTGCGGTGCGCGGCCGTGGTGCAGCGGCGGCTGCTGTTGCTGCGGCGGCGGCGGCGCAGCATGGCCAGTCGACATGCCGCCCGCCGCCACAGCGCCGTACGCCGGATGCGTGATGCCGCCCGTGGGGGTATAAGTGGTGACGCCGTAGTAGCTCGGCGCCTCGGCCATGCTGCCATTGCCGGTGCCGTACGTCTGCGCCGAGGGCATGCCCGGCGGCGCCGAGCTGATATGTGCGCCGCGCTGCGGCAGCGGCTGTGTGCGCCGGTGGTTTTGCCCGACGGATGAGCCGACGTCCTGACCCATGGCCGGGCCGCTGCTCGGCTCGGCCGTGTCGAGGCCCTCCATGTACTCGGCGGCGAGCGTCTGCAGCGCGTCGGCCTGGTCGTAGCACTCCTCGAAGGCCTGGCCGTACTGCCGCAGGCCGTCGATGATGGAGAGAATCTCGGGGCGCCGGAAGTGTGCCAGGCAGTAGCCGGCCTCGCTCATCGTCACCTTCATGATGCCGGCCTCGAGGCGCAGGTAGCCATTGTTCGTCAGCACCTGCGAGAGCGAGGCACAGCGCAGCGACGCATTGAGCGCCTCGTCGTAGATGCGCGCCTGCATCGCGCGGATCTTGCCGAGGTCCAGCTCGATGTCGCTGCCGCCGTGCCGCAGCGCGCTGCGCGAGTAGGAGCTTTGCGCCTTGGCGGCGTTGAGCTCGGCAATGCCGAACTCCTCGATCGCCTGGAACATGAAGATCCAGACGAGGTGGTAGTTCATGTCCGACGCCGCCGCCGTCACGGCAGACGCAAAGCTCCAGTTCGACGGCCACGTGGGTGACGGCGCACCGACGAGCGCCAGGTGGTTGCTGCGCCAGCGACAGGCCAGTGTGACAAGCTCGTCGAGGCGGCGCGACGACACACCGACGGCCGCCGCATGTGGCGTCCAGAGCGCAGGGTAGACGGAGCGCATCAGCTCCACTTGCTCGCGCGCCGAGTCGAGCCAGATGCTGGGAACAGCATGGTCAGTGTATGTCGCGCCTGCCTGCTTTAGACGTCCCACTCACCGGTGGCTTTGCGCGTTGGACAGCGGGCCAGGACCCTCTCCGGGCGCCTCGGGCGGCGGAAACGGCAGTTCCACCGAGTAGTCCTCGAGATCGAGATGCGGCTTGCGCCGGAACATGGCAGCCATGTGCGCGTCCATCATGCAGGCGAGCCACCACGTCATGACGGCCTCGCCGCGCACGCGCATGTCGTCGATGCGGCTGACGGTCTCCTGCAGGTGCACTTGCAGCTGCAGAAAGGGAGCACAAGTCAGCGAACGGCTCCGCTGCCGCGTGCATGCGCACAGACGCACCTCGATCAGATGCCGCAGGCCCGAGACCATCCACACGCCGTTGCACATGTACACGCCGCGCTTGCGCGGGCGCACCGTGCCTTCGCTGCCCGAGAGGCCCTGCTGCATGGCGCCGCGCGGATCGTCGAGACCGCGCTGCCAGAAGAGAGCCTGCACAATGAGGCAGGCCTTGGCATTGTCCATCGTGGCGATGCGGTGTGCCTTTTGTCGCTCCAGCACCTCCTGTGCCTTGACGATGAGGTCCTCGGCGATGCGCGAGCGGCCCACGACAGTGGCTGCCTCGCGCGCCGAAGCTGGATTGACAACGTCGCGCGGCGCCGTGAGCCACTGCGTCTCGGTCGCAGACGTCGATGTCACGGGCGCCGTGAGCAGCGTCGACGTCGACTTGGCGGACTGCACCGCCTCGCGCTTCTGCTTCTGCCGCGGCGTCAGCTCATGCGCCGTCTCGGCGCGGTCGGCCACGATGATGGGCGACTCGGAGTACTTGGCGCCCCATGCGAGAATGACGGCCACCAGCACGTCGGGCGGCGGGCCGCCCAGCTCCGGCGAGCGGTCGTGCCAGCGCTTGCGGAAGAGGTCCGGGTCGATGATGGGGTATCGGATGTGCACGATGGAGAAGTAGCTGTCGCAAGAGAGAGTCAGCAGGCTGCATAGGGTCGCCGGGCTTGTCACGCTGCTCACGTCTCAATTAGGTCAGAGCAGAAGTCGGCGCGCGCCTGCGTGTTCGCCAGGCGAGTCTCTGCCGCCGTTGACGGCACGTTGCGCCGCGATGGCGGCGGTGAGGCCGAGCCCGTCTCGTAAGAGAGGCCCGTCACATTGATGTTGTACTCGGCGTCGCGCAGCAGCAGGTAGCGCACGAGGCTGGGGCCCCTGTCCTCGGGCGCCTGCGAGGCTGCACTGTCCTCGCCGCCGGTGCGTGGCCGCTTGATGGGACGCGGCTTCGTGCCGCCGGTCGCGAGCTGGATGTAGATGGTGGTGCACTCGATGCCCTTGGCCTTGCAGTGCACGCACTTGGCCTCGCCGGCCACCTTCTTGCACGCCACCTTGCGCTGCCGGCAGGCGTCGCAGCTGCTGTTTTGCCGCCGCTGTGCCTCCTTGCCCGCCGCCGTCGCAGCATCTGCGGCGGCAGTTGCGTCTTCCTCGGGCGTCACGGCGCGCGGCATCTTGGGCGCAGCAGCAGCAGCAGCGGCGGCAGGCGGCTGCTCCTTGCCACTGCGGCGCGAGCTGGAGCGCGAGAGCGGCTTGGCCGCGAGGCTGTCGAGCGACGAGGAGCCGTAGTCGAAGAGCTGCTGCTCTACCGGCACGCCCGCTGCGGCGGCAGCCAGGCGCGAGATGCGGCGCGACGAGCCCTGCGACGGCGGCACGCGGCTCGTCCAGCCGGGCCCTGGCACGGCGTCGCCGCGGCCTCCCGAGGTGGAGACGGGCAGTGCAAACGCCGCAGAGAGCTCGCTCGACGGGCTCTGGGCGCGCGACGAGACGGAGACGGAGCGCGAGTGCGGCGCGTGGAAGGCCAGCTGCTGCGCCTGCGGCGGTGGAGGCCAGGCGGCGTGCTGCAGCGGGCTGGAGAAGGCGGACGGCCCGGCGTCGGACCCGTCGCCGAAGGACAGGTGCTGCTGGTGATGGGAGTAGGCGCTGTGCGGCGGAGCGTGGTGCTGCTGCTGCTGCGGTGGGAGCAGATCGGGCGGGCCGAAGTGCTGCTGCGGCTGCTGCTGCTGCGGCGGCGGCGGCGGGTGCTGCGCGTGCTCGGCAAGGGGCAGGGCAAAGGCGGCGTCGAGGGCGTGCAGGGAGTGGTGATGGTGGTGGGAAGGGCCGGCGGCCGCGAGGGCGGCGTAGTCGGGCGCCTCCATCGGTGCGTGCGGCAGCGGAGCGGAGCGGGCCGCGGAGCAGGGCTGCAGGACAGGGCAAGGTCAAGGGGACAGCTCGGCTCCGAGAGCGGACGGGCAAGAAGGAGGCGGAGAGGCGACGGGCAGCGGCGGCGGCGGCGGCGGCGGTGCGGTGCGGGCGCGGGCAAGGGCAACCGCGGCAGCAGCGCCGGAGCTGGCTGCCTCTGGAGCTCAGCCGCGCCTGCACCTGCCGCACACGGAAGCGGCACGCCGTCTGCGTGCCTCTCGCGGCTCCCTCTGCGATTTTGCTGCTGCGCTGCTCCGCCCGAGCTTAAGCACCTCGTGCAGCAGCGCTCCTTTTCTTCCCGCTCGCTGCCGCGGCGCGGCGCTCCACCCATGGCGTACCCGCACCGGCAGCCGCCGCAGCGGTGCTGCGCCGGGGACTGCGCACGATCTCAGCCATGCAAGTCGTGCATGCTCGTATCGGCACGGCCTTTGTGCTGCAGCATGCAGGGCGCGGTGCAGCGTGCAGCTGCAGCGCTCCGCTCGGCTCGACAAAGCCGGCGTTGCGCGGTGACGACGACGGCGAGGACAAGGAAAAGCAGCGGCAGAGTGGCAGGCAGGCCTCGGCATCCGGCAGCGGCGTACGGGACGACGCCTCTCACCACTCTGCCGCACCTCTTCCGACGGCAGGGCTGATGGGCTGGACTGCGGCACTTCACCCTCGGACGTCGTATGCGGCGCAGATCGCCCAAGGAGGCGTCCCATTGCGCTGGGCCGCCCACGCCTGACCCGATCCCGCGCCGGCGCTGCAGGCAGTGCACCTGCTGCGGCCATCGAGGATGGCGAGCAGCTCCTCGGCTGGCGTTGCGCTCGAATTCCTCTTCGTGCTCCATTCGGCTCCGCCGGCACCACTCGACGAGGCCCGTGGTGGTTGCGGCTGCATGCTGGCGGGCTGCCGTTCGGCGCCGAGCCGGTCGGCATAAAAGCTGCTGGCGCGCAAGCGCGGCGGGTGCGGCGGCGCTCCGCATACGAGAAGATACAGCCGCATCCTGCCGCAGAGTAGAAAGAGGCAGGCATGCGAGCTCGTCGAGCAGAAGGGCTGCTTCAGGCGCTGCGCTGCCCTTCTCAGCATGGCATCCTGCGCAGAGCTGCGGCTGCGGCCAGGTGCAGTTGGGCCGCCGCAGCAAGGCCGCGAGGATGATACGCACGCGGGCCAATGGCCCGGCCCGCGGGGGGGACGAGGGACAAGGGAAGGAGGAGGTCGCACCTCGAGCTCCACAGCGCAGCGCATCAGCACAGCGAGGCAGAGCATCCTCCCACTTCATGCTGCAAAGCACCACAGCTCGAAGCACAGAGAAGCATGAAGCCGCCTCAGCAGCAGCAAATGAGACTGCCGAGCGCATGACCTCTTGCCGGACCCCTGCTGAGCGGCCTCGAGAGCGCGTCCTGCTGCGTCTCAGAGGGCAAGAGCTCTGAGACGGCTCATCATGCCTGTTGTCCCGCTGCGGCAATCTGCCCTCTCTTCCTTTCGCTTGAGCCGCTTCTGCTCGGCGGGAAGAAACGCATCTCGCACGGCTGCGGCAGCAGCGCGCGCTGTCCTGCGACCAGCCGCAGCATGCAGACGACGCCATGCCGCAGCATGCCGCACCCCTCTGCTGTAAGGTGCAGCTGCAGCTGCTCGACTCTTCGCACAGCGCAACCTCTGGCTTTGTCCGAAGGCACATGGTGCGCTTCGCTGCTGATCCGGCCACGGCGGCAGCCGAGGTGCGTGCAGCGCGAGCTCTGCGGCAGGCGAATCTACCGCACGCATGCAGCCAGGGCCGCCGGTTGCTTTGCGCCGCAGCGTCGCGCGGAGCCGAGCCGAGCGCCGCCAAGCGAGACGCTGCCTTCTTCCTCGCGAGCTGCGAGCTCGTCACGACGAGGCTGACGTGCGTCAGCGTCAGAGACAGCGAAGAGGTAGACCTCGGCCTCTACGCGCTGTGCGACGTCGAGATCAACGGAGCTGCTCCTTGCTCCCGCTGCATCTCGCCATGCTTATTCTCACGGCGATGGGACGCCGGCTCCGACTCCGATCGCTGGCGGCTGGTAGCCGCGGCATCCGGCGCAGCCACGGCACACAGCAGCCACAGTCGAGTCGAGTGGCTGGCGCCTTTCGCACGACAGCTGGACAGCGGCTGCATGTCGGCGATGCGCCGCAAGCCTTGGCACGCCGAGCCGTCGGCTCGGCATTCTTGCGGCGTCGGCGACGTTCCCGACGGTACGGCGCTGCCAAGGAAGGGCGCCATCTCACAGCAACCCCGAGGCGCCCTCCCGCCGGCCGCGTCATATAAGGTCAGCTCGCATCGTGATCCGTCGTCCCACAGCGAGTGTATGCATCGCCTCATCCATCCTGCATCAGCACGCAGGATGGCGGATGTGTGTCGGTGCCACCTGTCTCGCTCACTCGCGGTGTGTCTCAGTTAGTCCGCGTCGGGAACGGCGCGCCCATGCATTTCGTCGCCGCAGAGGGGTGAGGAGGGGACCACAGTGCCGAGGGGGAATGGGAGAGGTGTGTTGTCGTTTGGATACAGGAGAAAGAGAGGGAGAGCGCGAGAAAGAGAATAGAGAGCGAGCGCAGGGTTGGGCACACGGCCCCGGGTCATGGGTTGATGTGGGGTGAGAGAGAGATGCGGGGTCAGGTTGGATGTAGCGGAGAAGAGTCAGGGGAGGTATCCCGGCAACAGGTGCGCCCGACAGGCGGGCCTAGGCAAAGCCGCCATGCTGGTGCCCGGCGACGGCAGGCAGCTACTGCGTGTAGGCGTTCTCGACTGAGCGGCGCGCCTTGGGCGACGTCGGCGAGCTGATGTCGTTGGCCAGCCGCTGGATCTGCTGCACACGAGTAAGGGCACGTCAGCGAGCCGTCCGGTCACCAGCGCTCATGTATCGCTCACAGCCTCGTCTGCGCCCTCCTCGCCGCTCAGCGCCTCCTTGATCATGTTGACCGTGCTCTCGAGGCTTCGTCGTCTGTTGCTGGGGCTGCTCGTCGCCGTCGTGCCCAGGCTGCTGGTGCGGCTGTGGCCGCGGCGGTGGCCGCTGCTCATGCTCGGGCTGCTCGGCATGCCGCCGGGCGACGACGGCACCGAGGGGCTGCCCGTTAGGTCGTCACTGCCCACCACGGGCGACGAGATGCGGCCGTCGGCCGGCGAGGCCGGGTCGAACTCATCGGCGTCAATGAGGTCCGGCGGCAGCTGAGAGTGTGGAACGTCAGCACGAGCACCACATGCTCTCTTGCATCGGCAGCGCATACTCACGCGCTCGTTCTCAATGTCTGCGCCGCGCGCGTCGTCGAACGAGGCAATCGACTCCTTGATGCCCTCGCTGCCCGACGCCAGCACGCCGTACGGCAGCTTGCCCGACGTCGACGCGCCCTTGAGCTCAGAGACACGCTCGGCCTCCTCACTGTAGGGTACTGTCAGCGCAAGGCAGCCGCGGTGGAACTGGCGCAGAGACGCACCGGAGCAGAGCAAAGACGCGCGACATGCGCCCAACAGCGAGGATCTTGTTCTTGATGACGACCCGCCGCTCGGCGCCGTCCTCGTCGCCCTCGTCGCCCTCCATCGAGTGCTCGCCGGCCTCGGGCTCCTGGATCTCCTCCTCCTCCTCTTCCTCCTCCAGCTCCTCCTTGCTGCAGATGTTGAGGATCGCAATGAGCATGTCGGTGACTGGCGCGCGCATAGAAGGCATCAGCGGAGCAGCAGGCATAGAACACATGCACGCGCGACGCACTCTTCTCGCCGACGAAGGGCAGCGACCAGGTGAAGACGTCCATGAAGTTGGGCAGCCAGTACGGGTGCGGCGTGCAGTTGAACTGCCGGATGTTCATCACGTTGTTCTCGTACTTGAGCACCGCCGCCTTGTTGTTGTACACGTCCAGGTAGTTCGGCGCACTGAAGATCGTCATGACCGACGGGAAGCCCGTCGTCTTTGTCTTGCGGTACATGCGGTAGCTGCGGGCAGGCGGTGAGCGGGTGGCCGCGGGAGTGCGGGCGGCGGGCAGCGCAACGCACCCCGCATCCTGCGCCTCGTGTGCGCGGATGATCGAGAGCAGGTTGTTGCGCTCGAGGAACTGGCACGCTGCTTGGTATCTGTGTGGCCGGCGTGTGAGCCGCATGCGCCGCGACACGGGCGCGGGGCGGGCACTGACGTGAAGAAGTACGAGCAGCCGCGCACGTGGTTGTGGATGAAGCTCTCGTTGGTCTTCTCCGTGCCGAAGTCCTCGAGCGGGTCTGCCCACAGCAAATCACACATGAGGCCGTGCGTCGGCGGTTCCCGGAAGCGGTTGATCTGCGGCGCGCAGGCGGCTCAGCCAGGCAAGTGCTGCAGACGGCGCTGCCACTCACGTTCCGCAGGTCGTCCAGCGTCTGCAGCTCGGGCGAGAGGCCGCCGTGGATGCAGAGGAACTGCTTGTTCATCACGGCACCCAGCGGCAGCGTGCAGAAGCTCTCCATGCACTCGTCGTAGATCTGCTCCGAGTACTTGTGCTTGCCTGCAGGCGCATGTCTGCCTCAGCATGCGCGTGTTGCACAGCTGCTCGCTCGCGCCACTCACACTCGAGCTTGAACGTGAAGTAGTCTGTCAAGTGGCGGCACTCGTGGTTGCCGCGCAGCAGGAAGAGCGTGTCCGGGTACCAGATCTTCAGCGCCCACAGATACAGCACGCACTGGGAGTGGACAGTGGTCAGTGTACGTGCACCAGGATGCCAGCTCAAGGCGCAGGCAAGTTAGCAGCAACAAAGTGCTCGTGCATCATGGGCCAGGCCTTCGACCCAGCCGCGCCGCCCGTGACATGTCCCAGCTCGCAAGGATCATCGCTGCCACTCACCTCGATGGAGAAGTATCCGCGGTCGACGTAGTCGCCCAGGAAGAGGTACCGCGTGTCCGCCGGGTTGCCGCCCACCTCAAACAGCTTCATCAGGTCGAACTGGAGTCGCGAGCGTGAGCACGGGGTGCGAGACAGACCTCAGAGCGCCGCAGGCTGCTCACATATTGCCCGTGGATGTCGCCGCACACTGCATCGCGCTGTCAGCACGCGCTCAGGCAAGCCCTGCGCCACGCCCACTCACCAGTGATGGGCGCATCGACCTCGAGCAGGTTGGGCTCCTGGCGCAGGATCTCAGTGGCGCGGCGGATGATGAAGAGCGCCTGGTCGTCGGTGAGGCGGCCCTCGCGGTAGAAGTGGTTCTTGAGGAAGGCAATGTCGGGCTTGCTGGGGTCCTGGGCGCTGTAGAACTGCGCGTCGGTGGGCTTGAGGAACGCCGGCGCCTGCACGTCCTTGACGACGCGCTCCGTCGTCGACACGTGCGTGCCGTCGTCGGTGACGTGCAGCGTAAAGTCGATCTCCGGCGGCGGCGCCTTGTTCTGGATCTGGCCCAGCGCATTCTCGAGGCGGTGGCGCTTCTCGCCGGGCGCGCCGACAATGCCCGACATGGCGGGCGCGAGGAGCGGTGTGGGCGGGAGGGCGGCGGGTGGCAGACGGAGTCTCGCTGCACTAGTGAGCGGCCGAGAGGGTCGAGGTGGGACGGCAGCGGCGAGGCGCGATCAGCCGGCGGATGCGTAAGCGTGGGGGCGTGCGCGGCGGCGGCAGGACGAGACTGCGAGGGGCTCGCGCGTGGCGGCACGTGCGCGGCGGCGACGAGGAGCGGTCACGCGAGCTGGAGCAGCAGCGGGCGTGCGAGGCGTGACTGGACGGACGTCGAGACGGGGCGTGAGGGTGCGGGTGCGTGGTCGTGTGAGGAGGAGGAAGGAGGGGGCTTGAGACCGACACCATCGCACCTCGCTGGCCGGCGGCGAGGCGCATCGCCTGTGTGCGCGCCGCCGCCGTCCTGCGCTTGTGCCCGTCTCGCAGCGCAGCGAGCGCTGGCGCGCGTGTGACGCGCGCCGGAGCGACATCGCGCCCGTCGCGCTCGCGCACGGGCGACTATAAGCAGGGCGGTGGGGTTGTAGTCGCGCGGCCACCCCGCAATACAACTAAGACGCCGTGCGCGTGCGGGCGGTGTTGGACCCCTGGCAGCGCGGGAACGGCGGCAGCGCCTCGACGGCGCCAAGCGCAGCCTCGCGTGCTGCTCCACCTCGCACCTTGCCTTGCCGCACCCATCTCCTCTCCACGCCCGGCGCCGGGGTCCATGGCACTCTCTGCGCGCGCCGTGCTGCGCGCGCTCGCCTACACGCCCTTTGTGCTCGTCGAGGCCCTCTTCTTCTTCGCCTGGCTCACGCTGCTCGACATCCACCTGCGCTACACGTGGCGGCACCTGCACGCGCCCTGGACTTCGCTCCTCAGCGCGCTCCTCGCGACCGCACTCGTCGCAGCCGCCGCAGGGTGCTTCGCACTCGCAGTGCTGCGCCCGCCAGGCTATCCGGACAAGGACATAGAGGGCGGTGCGGAGCGGCGGCGGCCCGTAGAGTCTGAGCATGACGCCGACGACCAGGGGCTGGAGGAGGGCGACAACGCGCCGCTGCTCCCGACGCGCGAGCCCGAGACGGACGGCGAGCGCGCCCTCGACGTGGCGCTCACCCTCTTTCCCGGCGCGCCGCAGTTCCCTGCGCGCTCCGGGCGACGGCAGCTGGGCGACGTGCTGAATGCCGCCGACGCGCACCTGGCCGATGAAGCGCGTGGGCGCAGACGACTGCACCTCGCAGACGTGCAGGTCAAGAGCAGCGGCGAGCGCCGCTGGTGCAACAAGTGTGCAGCACCTAAGCCGGACCGCGCACATCACTGCTCGAGCTGCAAGCGATGTGTGTTGCGTGTGAGTAGCGGCAGTGACGCTGTGCTTGCGTGTACGTCAGTGGCTGACGCGTCGCTTGCAGATGGACGTGAGCATGCAGCTGAATGCGCCCGGTGCGAGACGGCGGCTGACCTGGCCCTTGCGTAGCACCACTGTCCGTGGATCACAAACTGTGTGGGCCTGCGCAACCACAAGAGCTTCTTCCTCTTCCTCTTCTACACGTGCGTGCTGTGCGTCTATGGCGCACAGGACACGGCGCGTGTCCTGTTAGTCTGGGTGTCGAACGAAGACAACGTGAGTCCGCCTGTGCCGTGCGGGAGAGCCCGCTGCGCGCTGACACCGAAGTTGCACCAGGGCTTCGAGACGTCGCCAATCGCATGGGCCATCCTGCTCTTCGTCGCCTTCATCGTGCGTGCAAGCGAGGAGCGCTGCTACAGGCATCTTGCTGACTCCTGACGCAGTTCGGCGTGGCGCTCATTCCCTTCACGGGCTATCATGCCTGGCTCATCTGCCGCAACCGCACGACGCTCGAGTCGATGGAGGGTGCCGGACGTGTGCGCGTTGCCTCGCGACCTTCGCCGGGCCGCGAGAGCGTCTCGGAGCGGCTGCGGCGCCTGACTGACGAAGGCTCGCCGGAACGTGAGCAACAAGAGACTGAGGCGGGCGGCGAGCAGTGGCGCGCCGACGAGGAGCTCAGCAGAGACGAGCGGCGCGCACTGAAGCGCGCAGGCAAGCTCAACATCTACGACGTGGGCGTGACGCAGAACTGGCAGGCGCTGATGGGCCGCACGTGGTGGCAGTGGTTCCTGCCGACCACCCAACCGTGCGTAGCGGTGCCGTGTGCTGAGTTCCCGCTCCGTTGCTGACCTGATCTGCCCGGCTTCCAGCGAGTCCGACGGCTACTCGTATGCGGTCAACGCCGACAAGCTGTCGGAGCTGCAGCAGATCACCGCTACGATCCGGCTCGGCGCCTCTTCGCGAGGCGACGGCGTGCGGTTAGCGGGGCGCGGCAGCAGCACAGGTGGCGCTCCAGCCACGCCCCTGCGATCAGCTTCGGGCACCGGCGCCTTCTCCTCGCCCGTCTCGTCCATTCGCGGCCGCGCACGCTCGCCGCCGCCCGCCTCGCTGCGGCCAGTACCACAGGTGCCCGACAGTCGCCTCTCACCGATGCGGCGTACAGACATCGCAGGAGGGCGTTTGCCGCACGGGTCGGCGGCTGTGCGGCAGGCCGGCATGCGCACGCAGAGCGCCCACGGCGAGGTCGAGTGGGGCGCTGCGCCGCGCCGCGACGGTTTCGTGCTGTACTCGGTCGACTCGGACGACGAGGACGGCACAACGGCGCTGGCCTCGCCTGGCGCCTCTCGGGAAACCTCGCCGATGCCGCGACGGCCCACGCGGAGAGAAGACCAACACGACGCCGATGTATGGGGCTAATGCTAGCGACGTGACGGATTGCCGGCTGTGTGAAGGGGCCTGTATTGGCGAGGATGCGCGTGACGACGTGGGATGGCTGGTGGTACAGATGATGGAGGATCTACGGACGATGTGTGGGGAGGAGGGCAAGAACAGAGGAACAGGATTGGCAGAAGCTGTGGCGGGGCGTCAGTTAGGTGTCGGAGGCCAGCAGCAGGACGGCGGACTCACCGGGCGCCGCCGTAGACGGCCTGGGGCTGCGCACAGGCCGAGCAGAAGAGGCCGCCGCCTGGGCACCACAGCGTCAGTCGATGTCGCTCGGGTGTGGACAGCACGCCAGCCACTCACAGCTCACGCAGGTGCGCTTGGCTTCGAGCACACCGAAGCGCTTGGCGCACGGACCCATGCACGAGCCCGAGTAAGAGTCGGGCACAGGAATCGCGTCGCCAGGGAAGGACCAGACTGGGGCAGGAGAAGCAGCGTCAGCCAGGACTTGCTGAGGGACACACGCGTGCGCTGCGCACCATAGAGGCGGCCCAGCTCGTCGCCGGTGAAGAGCTGCGTGGCGCTCGTGTGGATGGCCGTGATGAGCGGCGTCGTTGCCGGACCCACGCGGTCGTGGTGCTCGAACACCTATGCAGATGTCAGGACACTGGACTAGGGCGCAGACAAGAAGCCATCACTCACGTGGTGCGGCTCGAGTCGCCAGAGCAGCCGGCTCTGCTCGTCAGACGAGCGCGGAGTGCAGGCCCAGGCAATGACCTGAGGCGAGCTGTCAGCACGCTGTCAGACACGCTACTCAGCGGCAGCACACACCTTGCGTCGATGGCCCGTCAGGAGCAGTGCCAGCTTGCCCTCGTGCCACTCGCGCGCGAAAAAGGCTAGGCTGGCGACGGGCTCGGAGAGGCTCGCGTTGGTGGAGATGCGCGAGAGCAGGTCGCCGTTGATGCTCCACAGCCGCACCTCGGGCCCAGCGGCTGTGGCAATAAGGCCACTGCCTCCGTCGACGGCCACCTGCTGCACGGCGCTGGCGTGCCCGCGTAGAGAGCGAACGTACTCGCCGCGGTTGAGGTCCCACACCGCAGCGGTGCAGTCCTCCGAGCCGCTAACGACGATGCTGTAGCTCATCGATGCAACGACACAAAGCACAGCTGCAGACGCAGCGATCAGTCGCAGCAGCTGGCGGACGTGCGTCGCGGAGACTCACAGGCCGAGTGTGCGCGCAGCGTGCTCGAGAGACTCAGCTCGGCTTTGCTGGCGTTGACCTTCCAGAGGCCAAGCAGCCCGTCGCTGCTGCCGACGACGATGGAGTCGGGACCGGCCTGCTGCATGCAGGTGATGCGCGCGGCGGTCATCTGCTCGGTGACGCCGGCAGCACGGCCCGCGTCGTGCGAGCCAAAGATGCGCACGCTGCCATCCAGATGGCCGGAGCTGATGCTCAGCCCAAGCTTGGGCATGATCAGGTAGTCGCGCGGCGAGGCTGACTCAGGACACGTCAGCACATGTGATAGACGGACAGCTCCAGAAGCACTCACCATACGCGCGCTCCGGCCGCTCCGCATAGATGGAGTGGACGCTGCCACGCAGTGTGCGGATTGGCACGATTGCCTGCGCCATCAGCCACGGCGTCTCGGACAAACTGGGCAGCTGGCCTCCGGGCAGTGCGGAGGCATCGATGCGCGGTGCACGCGCAGGATGCGGCTGCGTGAAGAGCTGCGGCATGCACTGGCCGAAGTTGTGGATCTGGCTGGCCGCCGCAAGACGCTCGTGCGGCGACTCGATCGCCTCGAGGTCCACACCATCGTCGTACGAGAGCGGATGGAAGACATTGGTCGACTCGACGGCGCCTTCGCCGCGCGAGCGACAGCCAAAGATCAGGTCGATCCAGGAGCCGAGATGGGCGGAGACGTAGTCAGACTCGAGCGCCTCGCGATGCTTCTGGATGAACAGCCGCGCGTCGCCGTGCGCCCACGGCGGCAGCTCTACGTCGTCGACAGCCTCGCCGTCCTGCTTGTGGCCGAAGTCGAAGCGGTTCGTGTTCACGAGACACTCGGGCAGGAAGAACATCTCGGGCACGAGCTCGCGCACATCGCCGCTGGAGAGCTCAGAGGCTGACTGCCAGGCTCTCTGGATGCTGCTGAACGTGCGGTCGGCCAAGTCGAAGGTGCCACCCTGCAGCGCAATGAGCATGGCCGAGTATGGCCGCACGCGGATCAGGTATCCGCATACGGTCGCTGCGGTGCTGTAGTGCGTGCCGTAGTGCCGCGGGACCTCGTCGAGCTCGAGCAGCTGCGCATAGCGCTCATCGAATTGGCGGCGACGTGCGGGCATCTGCGCACCCATCGGCAGCTCGAGCTTGCGGAACGTCGAGGGGTTGGAGAGGTCGAGCGTCGCCGACGTGTAGTCCGCCAGGATCCACGGGAAGACGGGGTACGCCGAGAGATCAGTGTAAGTGCGGCCAGCAAGCGTGTTGAGCTGCATCAAGTAGTCGAAGTTGCTGATCTCACGGCGCATCCACGCGGCTGTCAAGGCACCCGGCTGCTGCGATCGGCCAAGCACTGCGCCAGCCAGACGCGAAGACAGGCTGCCGCCGCCTTGAGCGCGAGCTGCGGGGGCCGCAAGGCGAATGCCAGCGAGGAGCGAGTCCGGGGCGACGACAGCTGCGCGATTGCGCGTGCCGAGCTCCTTGAGGAGCCGCTCGACGGTCGCTGTCTTGTCGAGCACCAAGAGGCAGCTCTGTCCGTCCTGGAAGAAGAGCTCGACGGCGGTGCGGCGATGGAGGAATGCACGCCGATGGCACGCCACGAGCTGCGCCCAGGGCCACTTGCGCGTCTGCGCCTCGCCTTCGAGCGTTGCGATGAGCGTCGAAGGCCTGTCTGCGTCCGCCTCAGAGGCGACGGTCGCCATTACGAGCGCATCTCGCTCCTCTCGAGGTGCCTCCCACGCCGCGCACAGCTCGCCGGAGCGCAGCTGCACGTAGTCGTCGATGAGCGTCAGACATGTGCGGCCGACGATGAGCAGCGCAGCGCGACACTCGATGCCCACGACGCGCGACGTGTTGTACACATCGACGATGACGTCTCCGCGCTCGAGCGAGCGCAGCACTCGGCGAAACTTCTCTTCGCCATCGCCGAGCTCGGCGGCGTCAGTCTCGTCCCTAGCCGCCTCAGGTAGACCGGTCTCGGTTGGGTCCGTGCTGGCCTCCTTGCCGTGGCCCGGCGTCTCGGGATGCGGAGTGTTGTCCGGCACCAGCGCCTCTTCCGGCTCGTCGACGAGCTGCTCACCGCTGCCCCACTCATCGCCGTGCGCCTTCTCGTCTGACGTGTGCTGAAGCGCCGCGCCCTTGATGTACGGAACCTCAGCAGCCTCTTCGGCGCGCGGCAGCTCTTGCAGCTTGATGCGCATGCGCTGCGGACCCTCCGTGGGATCGAGCTTCCACATGCGGCTCCCGTCTCGGCCGTCTGGGCCCAGCAGGCCGCGCTCGCGCTGCAGCGACGCCAGCATCTTCGTCCACTCGGCCTGTGCGAAGACGAAGAGCTCCCGTGCGTCCAGGCGATACTTGTTGTACCGCACCTCGTCGCTGACGGCACGGCAGGTGTCAGAATGTCTCTCGCGGCTAGGGCACGGACACACTCACTCGCTTCGGAGGCTGGCATGCCAGGCTACCATGCGGCGCTCCGTGGCCACTATGGCGTGATCCCGCGCGTCCGAGCGGTCCAGCAGCTCCTTGACGTGTCCAATGCGCTCGAGGTGAGCAGCGGCCTTGAGAGTCTCAAGCGACTTGAGGAAGCCGTCCCACTCCTGCTCGTAGGGCACGGCCGCAGTGTCGGAGTCAAGGCCTTGGACAAGCGAGCAGACGTAGGACGGCTCAGAGCCCTTGAGTAGGTCGGAAGCATTCGAGCCCGGACGCTGCAGCGCGTCGAAAAGCGGCGGGCGAGCCACGACGAGCAGGCGGAGGACATCTCGGCTCTCCAAGCTCGTCTGACGATCCTTGTCCTTGAGGTGCTTCAGCGCCTGATGGAGCAGGCAGCGGAAGAAGGTCTCGTCGCTGTTGTCAGAGGCGAACACGCTCGTCTGCTGCTGTGCCACCTGTCGCAGCGTCTGACAGACCGAGGCCTCCTCAGTCGCGAGCCTGAGCAGCACAACCTGGTTGAGGGAGGCCAGGAGCGAGCGAATCACAGTGTGCACCGCGTCCTGCGGCTGCCGCGCACGCATCGTCAGCTTGTTGAGCAGGGCTGTGATCAGGTCGAAGGTGGAGTGCAGCAGCGGCGAGCCTTGCAGCGCCTCCTCCGAAGCGCTGGCCGCCAGCGTGGCCAGGACGCCGCAGGTGGCGTCGCTGCGAAGGATAGCCGGCCTTCGCGCCAGCATGTGCACAGCTGCTTCGCACAGGCGCGCGAACATAGCCGCCCGGAACGACGAGGCCGCCTTGAGGTCGGCGGGCGGTGCCGCCGCAACGAGCGCTGCAAGTACAGCAGTGCCACCGGTCTCGAGCATGGACTCGAGCGCCAGCTGCGCGAGTAAAGTGAAGATGCGATCGCAAAGCGTGTCTACGAGGTCGAGCTCGTCTTCACCCGATGCAGCATCGTCTTGCTTCGCACGCCCGCGAACACGGGCGTACGGGCTGACCGTCGAGACGAGCAGCCGCAGTATGATGGGCGAGAAGAGCAGCTCGCGGAATACTGCCGACGCCAGACAGTGCTTCTCCAGCAGAGAGACTGCATCGCGCAGCAGCGCCTCCTCGCTGCTCGTCTTGAACGACTCTGCAAGCTCCTTCGAATCGATGTTGAACGAGGCAGAGCGCTTGCGTCCATGTCTGCCCTTCGCGCTCGGCGTCGGCGCGGCAAGGAAGTCCGAGGGCCGGCCGCGATTGGCGCCCGGCCGAGTACGCGAAGGCGCACCACGAGATGCAGTGGCGCGCAGGCCTTCGCGCATGGTAGCGACGATGACTCGCATGATTGGCGCACAGCGAACCTGGAGCGCTGGCGCGGGCTCGAAGGAGCTCAGACCAGCACCCGGCTCGAGGTCCTTGCCGAAGAGGATGGCAAAGCACGTGGGCAGCACGGCTGGACTCGACCAGAAGCGCGGCAGGAGACGCTCGAGCGTCTTGATGCCTCCGGCCGCGTTAAGGCGCTCGGCATAGCGCGGCAGCGTGGCCAGCAGACGCGACAGAATGGCCAGCGAGAGCACGGCGGCGCGTCGCTCGGCGTGCGGATGGAAGAAGAGCAGCAGCCATTTGCTGCTCACCGACGTCGCCAGCTTGGACAGGTACGAGGGCCGCTCCAGCACAAGCTCAGTGAGCATCTCGAAGACGCGCAGAGGCGTGCTGCTGGCGGAGGCTCCCGTGCTGGCACGCACTGCTCCAGCGGACGAGGAGTCCAGCGTCGACATGCGCTGCGGTGCGGGCGACCGTGCCTCCTCTACCGCCTGGCAGAGCTGAGAGGCCAGGTACGTCGTGAGCGCGCGAATGTTGGCCTCCGAGAAGCTGGCTATGAGAACCACGCGCAGGGCCTGTATCGCCTCCTCGAGCGTCTCCTCGCTGAACACGTTGGCGCGCAGAGCGTACAGCATCTGTGTGTGCCATGGATCAGTACGGACCGGGGCCGATGAAGCCAGATCGCTCACCTTTCTCGCCAGCTGCATCTTGCCTGAACGGCGAATGTTGAAGCGCCGGTGCCGCGAGATCCGCAGCAGCGTGCCAAAGTGCTGCAGATGAACGCGCTGCGTGTCGTCGTCGCAGCGCGTCCAGAGCTGGAAGTCGAGCAGGAAGAGGCGGAATAGGAACGGATTAGACAGCGCCGTCTCCTCTGGCTGCGCATTCTCCACGCCGACGGCCTCGAGGAACATGTCGAGGATGCGGCGCGAGAGCAAGCCGCGCTCTTGATGCCGATGCAGCAGCAAGCTGAGCACCTCGTAGCCCTTCTTGCGCTCCAGGTCCTCCGACAGCCGCCAGCTGTCCTTCGTCACGCTGAACAGCAGCGCCAGAGCGCGCTCCAGGCCCACAGCATCGCTCGCACGCTCAACGAGGGCCAGCAGCACGCCAGCGCCGCCCAGCTGCCAGATCGTCTCGTCGAGGCCCTTGGGCACGCACAGCACGGGGTCGCCGTACAGCTTCGCGTACCCCGACGGCGCAGCGATGGCATCGCGCGTGAGCGGCATGGCCTGATTCAGCACCACGAGGGGTCCGGGGCGTATAGCTGCATCGGCAGCGACGGCCTGTCGTGCCAGCGCCCACGTATTGTCTGCCGAGACGACGAAGTAGAAGCGCTCCTCGTTGAACAGATCCCGCGCGCTGCCGGCAATCGCGGCCACGAGCGGGTGCGAGGAGAGGTCTCGCTCGCTCCCGCTGCCAGTAGTGCCGTTGCGCGAGAGCTCGCTCAGCCGCAGATTCACGTGCGTGCTCGTCGAGTACGTGAGGAAACGGCCGAGCGAGTCCTGCAAGTTGCCGGCGTAGCGTGGCGAGAGCTCCGAGAGCACGAGGGGCAGGTCAGGAGGCACGACGGCGTCGAGCAGGTGCGCTGGACCGAGCGACCAGACGAGCCGGCTTGCCTTGCGGCGTGCAGACTGAGGGGTCGTCGGCGAGACGCGCGCAGGCGGCATCGTGCCGAACACTGCCCGCACGTTACCGCTCGCGCTGCTTGGCCACAGCACCGTCTGCTCATCGACGAGGCGCCCGTTGAGAAAGAGCTGTGCGAGCGACGAGCGGGCCTGAGCCTTTGGCCGCGCGTGCGTGAGACAGATGTGCGTCCATGCGCCGGCCTGCACAGCGCCCTGGAAGTGCGTGCGCGGCGCGCCCTCGGCGGTAGAGTAGTTGACCTGTCCGGTGCCCGGCTCGATGCTGAGGCGCACAGAGCATTGACGTGATACGTCGAAGAGCTGCAGCAGCTCAAGCTCGGCACTCGGCTCGATGCGCTCGATGTAGATCGAGGCGAAGAAGCTGAAGCCGCGCGAGTTGGTACCGGGCGGGAAGGGCCGCCGCAGAGAGGAGAAGGACAGCGAGGCATGCCCGGTGGTGCCCATCTCGAACGTCACGCTCTTCGGCCCGCGTGAGGGCGCGGCGATCGAGAGTAGCAGACCGAGATGCGAGTCGGTGGCCAGCGAGACGTCGGACTTGCTGATGAGGCGGCGCAGCATCGTCTGTGCGGTCGCGTTCGACAGGCCGAGCTCGCAGAGGCGCTGCGCTGTCCGCCACTTGCATGCAGTAGCGGCAGAGTCGCCCTGAGAGCTGGCAGGCTCGAGCAGCTGGTCGCCGAGGCCGGCCTGCGCCATCGCGACCTGGTTGCGCCGACTGCTCTGGGCGATTCGCTCGAGGATCGAAGAGACTGCGGTGTCCAGCCACCGATCGCCGCAGTCTGCTAGACAGCTCACCACCAGACTCAGGCCCTTCGGCACCTCAACGCGTGTGGAACCCCAGGCTTGCGAGATGCGCCGCAGCAAAGCCTCTTCATCGGCTGCTGCCTCGCCGCTCTCGTCCAGCTTTGCGCGGTCCAGCCAGCCGATCCACGAGCCAACATCGCCCACCGCCAGGCCGAGCAGTGCGCCATAGAACTGTCGCGGTGAGGTCTCGAGCACAGTGCTGAGCCGCAGGCTAGCCAGCAACGTGTCCCAGCCGACGGCACGCTCGAAGTGGGCCGTGTTCGCCGGCACGCTGACGAGCGTGGCCAGCAGCACGGAGAGCGTGAGCTTGAAGATCTCGACGCGCAGCCGTTCGTGAAGCTGGGCCGCATCATCAGCAGCGCTGGATCCTTCAGCACGAGCCTCGCTGGACGCATCGGCCGGCGCTTCGGTCGGGCCCGACGACGGATCTGCCTTCGTCTCGCCCTCATCAAGATGCAGCACTGCAAGCTCGGCAGAGGCATCCTCCGACTCTGCTTGCGGCGGATGCCGACTGCCCTCGAGACTGCTGAGCAGGCCGACGAGGGTCAGGTAGCCGCCCAGGCGGCGGAACTCGTCCTTGGGCGAGGGCCGCGCGTGGTTCGGCGGCAGCGAGTCACCTTCGTGGACGAGACGCTGCAGCTGCGAGAGGAGATGCAGCTGCACTCTGCGTCAGCACGTGCGCGCCGTGTGCGAGCTCACAACGACCTGCGCGTCCCTCTCGCTGCCAAGGCCTACTCACTGTGCCGTCGAGCTTGTGTGCCTCCACCTGCCGCAGCGCGCCTAATACGACGGCCAGCTCGCGCAGACTCTCCTCGCGCTCCTCCTCCCACGGGCCCGGGCTGCCGTACTCTGCGCTGGCCTGCCGGCCGCGGCCGGCCGAGCCGAGACTGGCGAGCGAGGGCGAGTGGGCGAGGCCGCGGGCAGTGCCTGACGGACTGCTGGGCGAGAGATGCGGTCCATTGCTGCTGCCGCTACCACCACCGCCGCGCAGCAGATTGGAGGGAGAGAGAAGGGGCGAGAGGATCGGCTTGCTGCTCGACGAGGCGCCCGGCGAGCTGACGCTGCCAGGCGAAGCCACGTCAAGCGCCGAGGCCGAGGCGCGCGGCCGCAGCGACATGGCGGAAGGGAGACGCCGGCGCTCCGCGCTCAGATATGCGGAGGCTCCTGAGCAGGCTCGGCGGCCGGGCAGAGCGCGGAAGGAAGGTGCAGCCGAAGGGCTGGTCTGACGACGAGAGGTGTGGAGCTGGGAGAAGCAGCGCGCGCACAGCGCGCGTCGGGTGCGCATCTCACCGCCTCGGCGGCAGCGCGCGGCGCAGCCCCTGGGGCTGCATCGCCTCGTCGCGGCTGCCCGGCGCGCGCCAACGCGGCTCCGGACGTCCGCCTCGGACAGACATCGAGCGCCTCTGCATGTTGAGCAATGGCTCTCAACAGCCGGCCTTGCCTTCCCAAGGTGCCAAGGTGACGTCCGCAGCCGGCGTGGACAGCAGGCGGAGGAGGCTGCTGGCAGGTCGCGTCGCGCAGACATCGCGGGGCTCACTTCAGGCACGGCGCCTGTGTCTCTCCGTGTCGCCGGCTCGGCACACGGAGCAACACCTTCGCCGCGCGCGCACGGGCGTGTCTCCAGCCCGCCCTCGCAGTCCGCCGCTGACGGCGAGCAATTGCCAAAGAGAAGCTGGAGTATGCCCCGAAATCTCGCCAAGACTCTGGTACTGCGCGTGCCACATCGAGGCTCGGGATCCCGAGCAGAGAGGCCGTGGCTGTGCTGGGAGGTCGTCTCGAGGCACGAAGCGCGCCTCGCTGCGCCAGAGCAACGCCGTGCAGATGCCTCGCAGATCCCTGTCCCTCCTTCATGCCCTGAGCGGACTGCATACCCATCTGGCGCAGCACGTTCCTCGTCGAAGCCACTCTCGGGTGTCGTCTGATCTCCGGACATGCATGCAGCTCAGCCGGCGCGGGAGGATGCTGGCTTCGACGCAGAGACGCTACGAGGCCACATGGGCCGCGCGCGAGACGGCGCGGAGATCCGTGGCTGTGCCGCGACAGCGGAGCGCGCAGCGGCGTGGCGTGCGCACGCATCTCGGCGCCGGCTCGGCGCCCGCCGCGGCGGCCACGACGGTGACGCTCTTGTGCTGCACGCTCGGCAGGCCGCCTGCCACGCCAGCGCCGGCGCCGCCGCTTCTCCGCGCCGGTGCGGAGCGCTTCAAGACGCTCAAGAAGGAGCTCGCGCCTTGCCAGCGCTCCCCCACCATCTTTATCGCCTCACGCTCCTTCTTGCCTCTCTCACTCCAGCGTCCGGCCTGCCTGCCTGCAGCGTCGCTCCTCGCTGCGCACCAGTTGCCGCCTCCTCTCGCGCCCTCCACTCGCCTCCACCATGGCGGCCCCGTCGCGCACCGCCTACACGGTGCTGCAGCAGACGTTCCTCATCGACTCGGCCTACGAGATCAGCAAGGAGCTCGGACAGGGCGCCTACGGCTGCGTCGCGGCGGCCACGCACAAGGCCACCGGCGAGGGCGTGGCCATCAAGAAGATCACAAACGTCTTCTCCAAGCGCATCCTCACCAAGCGCGCACTGCGCGAGATCAAGTGAGTGGGGCGATGCTTTGAGCTGCGGCGCGGGCGCCCGGTGCATTTCCGACGCTGTGCCGACGCTGTGGGCGTGCGGCAGCAGTCTCACAACGAAGCGTCGCTGCAGCGGGCACTGTCGCGGTGGAGCATTGCTACAGCAGCGCAGCATTGCCAGGCCCCAGCTTGCTCTTTCTGCGCTGCTCTGTCGGCACAGCTTGCGCCGGCCGCTGTCCATGTGCTGCATCGGGCCGCTCTGCCAGCTGCTGACCTGCCGCGCCAGGCTGCTGCGGCACTTCCGCGGGCACAAGAACATCACCTGTCTCTACGACATGGACATTGTCGAGCCCAAGGACTTCAACGAGGTGTACCTGTACGAGGAGCCGATGGAGGCCGACCTGCACGCCATCATCCGCTCCGGCCAGCCGCTGTCCGACGCGCACTTTCAGTCGTTCATCTACCAGACGCTGTGTGGTCTGCGCTACATCCACTCCGCCTCGGTGCTGCACCGCGACCTCAAGCCAGGTGCGTAGCGTGTGCGCGTGCATGTGCCGCGCAGGGGCTGACTGGCACGCGCTGCCAGGAAACCTGCTCGTCAACGCCGACTGCGAGCTGAAGATCTGCGACTTTGGCCTGGCGCGTGGCTTTGAGACGGACGCTGAGCTGGCGGCAAAGGGCGGGCAGCCCGCCGGCGGCTTCATGACGGAATACGTCGCGACGCGCTGGTACCGGGCGCCGGAAATCATGCTGTCGTGAGTGGTGTGCAGGATCGTTGAGTCGAGCTGCAGGCAGTGCTGTCTGCGCTCTCAGGCAACTGCTTTGCCGCTCGTAATGCCACGCGCTGACGGCCCCTCGCGACTCACCAGCTTCCAGAACTATACGACGGCCAGTGAGTGGCCTCTCTGCAGCGGTCCAGACGAGCGGAGCTGACATGCGCACGTCTCAGTCGACATCTGGTCCGTCGGCTGCATCCTTGCCGAGCTGCTCGGCGGCAAGCCCATCTTCAAGGGCCGCGACTACGTCGACCAGCTCAACCAGATCCTGCACTACCTCGGCACGCCGACGGAGGAGACGCTGCGGCGTGTCGGCTCGCCCCGAGTGAGCCTTGCCGCGGCGCATCGCGCTTAGACATGGTCGCTGACGCAGGGGCTTCTCGCGCACAGGCACAGGACTACATCCGCTCCCTGCCAATCAAGCAGAAGATCCCCTTCCACCTGCTCTACCCGCAAGCAAACCCGCAGGCGCTGGACCTGCTCGAGAAGCTGCTGGCCTTTGACCCGGCGCAGCGCATCAGCTGCGAGGACGCGCTGCGGCACCCGTACCTGGCCGTGTGGCACGACCCGGCAGACGAGCCCACATGTCCGACCAAGTTCGACTTTGGCTTCGAAGCCGTCGACGAGGTCGAGGGCATGAAGCAGCTCATCCTGTCCGAGGTCAAGAGCTTCCGGGAGGAGGTGCGGCAGCGGGCTCGCGCGCAGCAGCCGCGGAGGCAGGAGAGGTGAGTCTTGCCGCCTTGGAGCTGCACAGATGGGGTGAGCTGACACGAGTGGGCCGCACAGTCTGCCGGTGCCGTCGCGCGAGGAGCTGCAAAAGGCGTCGCCGACCGACGCGCAGGGCGGTCAGCTGATCGGCGCCTCGTCGGGCATCATCCAAGGCGGCGGCGAGGCGGCGAGCGGCGCGCTGCCCGACTCGCAGCTGATGGAGGATCCCAGCGGTGCGTTGAAGTGATCTGCAGCTCGAGTCTGCGTGGGCGGCTGACTGACGCTTGCTGCGCACAGAGGCATTCGAGCGCGAGCTGCAGGGCCACCGTTAGAGCTGCATCTGCGCTGTATCTCGAGACATCACAATATACCGTCCTTCCCACAGACACACCACAGTCGAAGCCTGATGGCGATTAGCAAAGGGCAGTAGCGTGGCGGAGGGTTATGGTTGGTGCGCTGTCCGTGGCTCGATGAGCGGGCACTAGGCGGCAGCTCGGGTTCGCGGATTGGCGTCCTCGTCGACCCACGCCGACTCGATGGCGCTCACAGTGCGAGCGTAGAGCTGTGTGGTGAGCACGAGCTCCTCGAACACGATGGCCAGCGGCTTGACGTTCATCAGCGTCGAGCTTGGATGGATGCGGAACGTCTGCGAGGAGGTGCACAAGAGGCGTCAGCGCGCGCCCTCTCGCAGGCATTCTCGACAGCCAGCACTCACCAGGTCACTGCCGGGCCGCAGGTACGAGCCGTCGTTCTGCTTGAAGGCATACTCGCTCGAGCGGCCGAGGAAGATGCACTTGCGCAGCTCGGCGTAGTCCTCTCGCTCCTGCTCCGCGCCCGCAGCGCCGCGCCCGCGAGCGCCGCCACGCGTGACGTACAGGCCCGCTGCGGGGTGGCTGTCGTCCGAGTCGTCGTCCGAGGCATCGCCGGTGCCGGAGCTGCGAGGCGTGCCCAGCGGCGTCATGCGCGGCACCTTGTTGCGCGGCGTGCCCGGCATCGACGGCGTCGCATCGTCGTCGCAGATGATCTTGGCGGCGCGGCAGAGCTGCTGCAGCTGCCGCCGAATGTCCAGCACCTGCACCAGGCTTTTGTCCGAGATCCAGTTGTCGCGGCACCACGCCTTCATGTGCATGTGCAGCGCCGACTTCTGGCCCTTGCTCTTGTGGCCCTTGGCGTCGGGCGTGCCAAGCTCGGCCATGCGCGCGGCACTTGCCTTAGCCTCCTGCAACGCATCGAGGTAGGCGTAGAGCGCGTTGAGCTGCGTGGCGTGGTCGCCCGACACGTGCGCGAGTTTTGCATGCGCCTCGTGCGCACGGTCGAAGTCGCTCGGTCCGGCCTGGGCGCCGGCGGCGCGGCTGGCGCTATTCGAGCTCTGCGACGGCACGTGCAGGATGCTTGCGCGGTCCGAGGAGAGAATGGCGACGAGGTCGCGCACCTGCCGGGCCACATGTGGGCCCATCTCGCCGCCGGCGATGAGCATGCGCGCCAGTGCCGCCGGCAGGGGCAAGCCGACCATGCGGCGGCCCAGCGGCGTGATCTCCATGCCGCACTCGCGTCGCTCCGCGCGCGGCTCGACGACGGCGCCGAGGTGGTAGAGCGACATAGTCGACGCCGCCACCTCGCTCTTGTCCGGCATGGAGATCCAGTCGAACGTGAGCGGGTTGATGCCTAGCGAGTAGAGCGTCAGGCAGGTGTTGGTGAGGTCCGAGCGCAGGATCTCGGGCACTGTCTCAACGTCCAGATCCTCGTACGCGGCCTCGGTGTAGAGCCGGAAGCAGCGGCCCTTGGAGACACGGCCTGCGCGACCGGTGCGCTGGTCCGCCGCACTCTGGCTGATGGGCAGGGCCTGCAGCGACGAGACACTGCCGCCGCCAGCCTGGCCCTGGCGCGTCAGGCCGCGCTCTTTGGCGAGGCCATAGTCGATGACATACTGCACGCCCGGCAGCGTGATTGACGTCTCGGCAATGTTCGTGGCGATGACAACCTTTCGGCAGCCAGGTGGCGTCGGCTCGAACGCCTTGGCAATCGCCCCAGCTCCGAGCGCGGCATAGAGCGGCACGACGTGCAGGCGGCTGCCCGGCTTGCCTTCCTGCTCGAAATGAGCTTCAACGACAGGATTGAGCCGCTCGAGCTCGGCTCGCAGACTCTCGATCTCCTCGGCGCCCGTGCTGAAGACTAGGATGTCTCCTGGTGCCAGGCCCGTGTGGATCTGGAAGACAGTCTGTCGCGCAGCAGCGGTGAGGTCGGCCTGCGGCTCCATCGTGTGGCACACGTCGACCTGGAACTGCCTGCCTGCGACGTAGAGGATCGGCGCAGGCACGGGACCGTCGTTGGGCGAGATGCGCGGCTCGGCGAAGAAGCTGGCGAACTTCTGCGCATCAAGCGTGGCGGACATGACGACGACTTTGAGCAGCGTGGGCGCCACGTCCATGCTGCTGTCTGCGCCCTGGCGCGTACGCCACGCATCGTACGCCTCTCTGCGCGCACGCTGGATGCGGCGCACAAGGCCGAGCAGCAAGTCGGTGTCGACCGTGCGCTCGTGTGCCTCGTCGATGATGATGACGCCGTAGCGCTCCAGCATGGCATGGCTCGGCGCACCCGCCTCGACGGCCTGCTCGCGGCGGCCCATGATCTCCCGCAGCAGCAGACCGTCGGTCATGAAGCGCAGCCGCGCATCAGGACCTGTGCGATCATCGAAGCGGATTGCATAGCCCACCTTGCCGAGGGTCCGTCCGGCAGGCGCTGCGCCGCCCGCCGCCTTGCGCTTCTTGACGGGCACACGCGGCACGCTGGCTGGGTCCGGCTCGCCCATCTCTGCGGCCACGCGGCTCGCTAACGATGTAGCTGCCACTCGCCGTGGCTGCGTGATGCCGATGAGGGGCGCCGACTCGGAGCAGACACCCGCCTCGTGCAAAAATTGCGGCACCTCTGTGGCGCGCACACAGCCCGATCAGCCTAGCGCAGCAGTGCGACTATGCGCCGTGTACTCACGCGTGGTCTTGCCGCTGCCAGTCTCGGCCATCAAAATCACAGTGTCATGCTCGCGCACTGCCTTGACGATGGCCTCTCGTCCCGCCCAGATGGGCAGCTGCTGCCGCGTATGCCGCAGCTGCCGTGCCAGCTCCTGGCGTGTCTCGGCATCGCGCGGCCCGCGTGCGCCCAGCACCGACGAAGGCATGTTCTTGAAGGGGCGAGGCGAGGCTGCGGCACCTGTGCGGAAAGCCGCAGTGCTGGAGGAGGGCGACGAGGCGTGCGGCATCGTGCGGTTTCGGCAGAGGGACGAGGCAGAGGAGATGAAGGAAGCGTCGCGGCGCTGCAGGTGGTAGGGTGCGGCACGCTTTTTGGGCGAGGTGCGGGACTCGGAAGTAAGAGTGCGGCGCCGCGCCTCGCGGCCAGGCTCTGGTGCCGCGCATGCTGCGCCTCTCTGATGGCTTCGGGGACGTGCTCACTCGCAGATAGCTCACTGCAGAGATGCATTGCTGGCTGCGCACTCGGCAGCGGCTGAAGAGGGAGGTGAAATGCGGCCGGGCCCGCTTGCGTCAAGCGAGGCTCGGAGGGTGTATGGGGGTGCGGCGGCGTGCGGAAGGGTTACATGCAGAGGTGGTCTCTCAGGGGGGGCGCAACACAGAGAGGGTGCTCGGGATTATAGGCGATGGACACGACAAAGTGAGTGTGGGGGTGCTGGTGCTGCTCGCATCGTCTACCAGTTCGCCGCGCGCATCGTGGCGGAGCGCGGCAGCGGAATCGGCGAGAGGTTGACGAGGGCAGGCGCCATGTGCGGGTATGAGGGGTTGGACGGACGGCTCGACTGTCTCGGCGCGGCGTGCTGCGGCATCATGTGCTGCGAGGGCATAGCACCGTACTGCAGCGGCTGCGCGGCGTATGCCTGGTGCATGCTGGCCATCGACACGGCGCTCGGCATGCGTGGCGAGGCACGCGGCGAGGCGCGCCGGCCGCCCTCGGGAGAGGTGGGCAGCGGCGGCGGAGGCAGCAGCGAGGCACTGCGGGGCATGGCCGAGCGCGGCGAGGCATCGTGCATGTTGCCCTGGCGGCTCGGCGACGAGCGCAGCCGGGCCTCCTTGGAGCCCGAGCCTGCGGGCGGCGAGAGCGTGCTGGGACTGCGCGGCGGCGCCGAGCCGCTGTGCAGGCGGACGTTGTCCGACGGCCGCGAGCTGAGGCGCGCATCGCCGGCGCCGGCGAGCTGCGCCGAGCTCGACGTGCGCGCGACGGGTGAGCGCGCAAAGGAGGGCGAGGGCATGAGGCCGGTGGCAGCGGACGCGGCCGCCGGTGCGGCTGCACGGCTAGGCGAGCGCGACACAGAGGGCATCGGCGGGACAGCCTGCCGATGGCTCGAGAACGGCGGCTGCACCAGGTGACTCTGGCTGCGACTGCCGCGCAGCATGCCGGAGCCGGCCGAGCGCTCTTGTTGCTGGGCGCGCAGCATCGCCAGCGGCACATCCTCTTCATCGCTGGCATCACTCTCCTCGCGCACGGCCGCAGGCATGCGAGAAGACCGGCGTGCATGCGGCCATGCCTGGCCGGGCAGCGTTAGGTCGGCTGCGGAGCTGGCACGCGAGAGCGAGCGCGAAGGAGACGGCGACGCGACGGCGAGGCGCGAGACAGACTGCGAGGCTTGAAGCGCCGGTGGAGATGCGACGGCGAGGTGCACTTGAGACGCAGAGGCAGGCAGAGTCGACGAGCGCTTAGCTTGCGGCGGGCGAGGCGCAATCCACGGCGGCGGCGCACGTCCCGAGCTCTTGCGCGGCTGCTCCTCGCGCGCGGGCCGCCGCGAGGGAGAGGCAGCAGCAGAGGTTGGCTGCTCGGTCTGCAGCAGCTCACCGATGTCCGGTCGGCGTCGCTCGCGCTTGCGGAACTTGTCGGGCGAGCTGCGCACCAGCGGCTCGGCAGGCGGCAGGCCGGCCAGCTCGCGCAGGCGCGGCGAGAAGGCCAGCGGCGCCGGCTTGACGACGCGGCGCTGGCGCGGCGCGGGGAGGAGCGAGGTGCGCTTGCCGACGGTGTAGACTGCCTCGGACTCGGCATACACGATCGCACCCGGCTCGTGCGACTCGTGGGCGGTGATGAGCAGCGTGCGCTCCAAGTACGTGGGGCGCCGTGCCCAGAGGCTCATGCCGCTCTCGCCGGCCTGGGCCGCCGCGGGCAGCGCCGTCTCGGGCGTGGGGCCGTCGGCACGGGCGCCAGCTGCGAGCGCATCTGCGCTGGAGAGGGAGCGCGAGAGCGGCGAGGTGGGCAGCGGCGCGACCGGCACGCCCATCGGCGGCCGCGCCAGCGCCTCGGGGCTGACAGCCGGGCGCTGCGCTAGGCCCACAGCGACGGCCTCGGGCGAGATGACCTCCGAGCCGTACTTGCGCTGGAACCAGCCGAGCTCCACCTCCTGCGCCATGGGCAGCGTCTCGCGGCGCAGCTTGCGCATCACGCTCGAGCGCGCTACAGCCACGCCCAGGTCGCGTGTGAACGCCAGCGTCGAGGGGTGTGTGCGCAGCACGGCTGCAGCGTTGACCGAGCGTGGCGAGCGCAGCTCCTCGGGCGCCGGTGCGTCCAGCACGGCGGCGGCGCCGGGAATGAGGCGTGCGCCGTCCTGCGACGCCTTGAAGGACGCCGCCAGCTGCGGGTGCACCTTGAGCAGCGTGCACGTGTACAGCGCACGCTTCGAGCCCGTGTTCAGGCCTACGGAGGGCGCACTGGGGCGGCGCGGCGCTGACGGCCCCGCAGCCTCTTCATCGTCCTCCGGCTCCTCGTTGGCCGCTGATCCGCGCCGCGCACTGCCCTTGTACCGCGCAAACGTCGAGGGATGTGCGGACACGGGCAGCGCCATGTTGCCGGCGAAGCGCGGCGAGGCCTCGGGCGAGAGCGGCGGCGTGCCGCTCATCGCCGAGGCATAGCCGCTCGTGCACTCGTCACCCTCTGCGCCATACTCGTCCTCCGAGTCGTCTTCGGCGTCGCGCGGGTCGTTGCGGAAAAGGCCGGGCCGGATGTAGGACGGCGACGGGCGGAAGGAGTCGTACGAGGGCACGTCGGCGACCTGGTACTCATCCTCCGAGAAGCTGAGGTCGAGCACGGCGCGCAGGAAGTCCGAGTCGGCGCCGGAGGCAAAGACGCCCGCCTCCTTGGGCGACGGCGGCCCTTTGGAGCCGCGGCGGGCCGACGAGACGCGCGACGTCACAAAGGGCGCATGGCGGCTGCTGCCGAACGGCGCCTTCGCCGCAGCCGCAGCCGGCGGCGTGAGGACGCCGCAGGAGCTCGGCGGGCTCGACATGAGGCTTTCGTCGCCGCTGCGGCCGTACATGCCTGCAAGCATGGAGCTGCCGAACGACTGCAGCGCCAGCGGGCTCGAGGCATCGGCGGCGAGGGCGAAGCTGTCGCCGAAGAGGCTCTTGCCGCCGGCGAGCGGGAAGTCGAGGCGCGGCGGCGTCGTGGGCGTGGCGGGCCCGAGGCGCTCGCTGTCGGCGCTCGTGCACGAGCCCGACGACGAGTCGGAGCGCGGCGACATGGCTGCGGCGCGCGCCGAGCGTGCCTCGGGAGCGCGCGCGTCGGCGGAGCGCTGGAAGAGGCGCCGGCCAAACGCCTTGAAGCCGCCGTTGCCTGCGCCGGCAGCGCCGGCGCTGGCGTTGCGGCGCGCCGGCCGGCCAGCAGAGGGGCCGTCGTCACAGCCGCCGCGCGAGCTGGGCGCTGGTGACGATGAGCTCTCGCCGCCGCAGGCGCTCGACGAGGCGAGCGAGGCGCTGCTCATGCTGGCCTCGTGCTCGGCGCTGCCGCGGCGGCCAAGGAACGCGGGCTGCGGCGGGAGCAGCATGGGCATGGCGAGGCGGAGCGAGGTGGTGGGAGAGGAGAGAGAAAGGATGCTCAAGGGCACACACGGCGAGTCGGAGAGAGGCACATGCACTGGCGTGCTGTGACTGGCGAGGGCGAGGGCGAGAGAGGGGCTGGAGGTGGGAAAGGTGGGCGCAGCGAAACAGAGAAGAGGGGAGATGGCGGCGGCGCGGAAGGAACGTTGAAGACACGGAAGTGCGTCCAGAGCAGGCCAGAGTGGAGCGGACGGGCGGACAAGGCGCTGCCCCTCTCGTCGGTCTCGGATCAGGCGCCCTGCTCCGCTCCGCTCGCTGAGCCCGTCTCGCTGAGACGCATGCGCACGCTGCGCACCGATGCAGCACAAGGCTGCATTCTCAGCAGCAGCGCCGAAGCAGGCATGCGCCTCGGGCCTTGCAGCGGTAGCCGCGGCGACCTCAGCAGGCGGCGGAGGAGCTCGCCCGACATTCGAGGCACACACATGCGGCCGGCGAGGCCCCTCGGCCGCACGGCATGGTCCGGCGGCCCTTGCGCCGCAGGGGCACCCGCTGAGTCTTGGCTGGTCTGCCGAGGACGGCCGGCAGCCATGATCTGCGCTGTGCAGCAGCGAGTGCAGCTCCTGTGCGGCTGAGGTGCCGGCCGCGGCGGCAGAGGGCGTCAAAGTGTCCGGCGCACCCGTCGCGTTGCAGCCGGCCGCGCGCGCGCGCCCTCGCTGAGAGCTGCTGCTGCTGCCTCTTGCTCCTCCTCCTTCCTCTGCCCGTTGGCCCCCCCCCGCCTCTACGGCGGTAGCGGCCGGCGCGGAATGCGCACAGCAGCAGCGCAGAGGCCACGCATGGCGCTTGCGGCCGCAAGAGGCCCGGCGAACGACAGCACATCGCAGGACAGCAGCGTGAGGGCCCAGCACCCGAGGATGCTTCCGCACGTCGCCTGCGCTGCCCTGCGTCTGCGCGCTGCACCCTGATGCTGCGCAGCTGCCGCGGCAAGACGACGCAGCATGACAGCGCCTCGCAGCGTCTCGGCGCCCTCAGACCTGCGTGCTGCGGGCGGAGTGCTGCGCTGCTGCGGGCGGCTTCGGCGCTGCCACACGTGGACGCCACGGCGGCAGCTTGCGCCGTGCGGTGCGCCGCGGCATGCGACAGGCAGACGACGAGCGGCGTCGAGCAGCGGCCAGAAGGCGGCAAGCGTCGACGCGGAGCGCATGCAGCAGGAGAGGAGCAAGGGCACAACGGCGGCCGGCGCAGCGGCAGGGGCGGGAGAGGGAGAAGGGAGAGGGAGAAGGCAGCGCGGCGGCGCGCACACACTGCCGCTGTGCCTGCGCCGGTGCCTAGCGCGCGCCGGAGCACGGCAGGAGCGAGCGTTGCTGCCTGCCTCGAGATCGGGGCTGAGGGCGTGGCGCTGTGCGACAGCAAGAGAAGGTCGCGAAGGTCGCGGTGCGTTGTGCCGGGCGACTGCCCACATGCCACCCTGGGCGCTAGCGCCCTGTCGTACGCTTCTCTGACGTGCGCGCTGCTGTGCTGCCGGCGGCCGGCCGCCGAGGCAGCGGGCCAGCAGCCCGCAGAGCCTAAAGTTGCTCGAGCACGCGCGCGGGCCAACCTCGCCCGTGATCTGCAGCGTGCAGAACCCTGCAGGGGCTGATGATCGCCAGGCCCTCGGCCACGCTCCGCTCCACGCATCCGGACCGTCCCTCGGGCGCCCGGAGGTCCGCCGTCGCTCAGCGCCGTGTGGCGCAGGCACACACCGCGCTCAGGGCGGGCCCGCTTCGCAGTCCGGCGCGAAAAGTTACATCCTTTGAGCCGAAGGGCTCGCGGCGCTTTGCGCAGAAAGGTGGAGCGGCATCCGGGAGCGCACCGCGTCGCGCCGCGCGCGTGTGGCTGAGCCGCGGGAGAAGCGAAGAAAAGGCGCCGACGGCAAAGCACGGCGCACGGCAGAGCGCAGCATGAGGCCGTCCCGGTGCGGGCTGCTGCCATGCGCATGCGGCGAGGGCCCGCACGCCGACGGGAAGGGCGCAGCATCAAGTTGGCGCTCGGCCTCGGCTGCAGATGTCGTCCTCGGCTCCGCGTCCTCGGCTGCCTGCGCGAAAGCTGAATGCTGCGCGAGGGACAGGTCGTGACGCATGAAGCCTGCGCAGGCCCGAAGCCCTCTCCGTGAGAAGGTGACTCTGGCGCAAGGCTGCGCCAAGGCAGCACACGGGACGGCACAGCACCGTCGGCAAATGCCGAGTCGCAGGTGGTAGAGTGGAGGTGTTCCTTGGCCAAGAGCGCCTTCGCCCCTCGTCCTGCTCGGCGCGGCCCGGCTGTCATCGTCGATGCTGCTGCTGCTGCGGCGGCCCTGTCTCTTCATCGCCAAGTGCTCACGCAACATCGCGCATGCGGGCGTGCTCACGCCGCAGTGGGCTTGGCTAGCGTGGTTGGCAGGTGCAGGCATGTAGCGGTGCCGCGCGCGCGCATCGAGAGGGCCGACAAGGGCGCGAGAGGCGCGTCAGTGAGCACGGATTGCCTAGCGCCTCGCATTCGCTGATGACGAGGCCTGTCTGGGGGCGACGACGGTGGCATCGCGGCGAGTGGTGTATGCGGTGTGTGCGCTAAGCTACGATGGACTTGGAAGGTGTGTGTGGGATGCGGCGGATGAGGTCAGTGTGTGGCCCTTTCGGGCCGTGTCGTATGATGATCATATCGGAGGTCTGATATCAGTGGGCCCTGTCTTGTTGGTAGCGCGTCTAGCCATCGCTGCTGCCGCGGCTCGTCGCCGTCGAGCTGCTCCTTGTTCGCCTCTTCGCCTCTTGGGAAGAAGGACGATGCAGCGGCGAGTCAAGCCACTTGGGCACGCGAGCGGGACGCAGCAAGCTCTGAGCAACGCAATGCTAGTCCTGCAGCGTATGCTGCTGCGGCGGAGCGTAGACCTGTGCGACTACCTGCGCTCGCTTTCTTATCGAAGGGGAAGCTACCTCGATGTAGCGAGAAGCTTGTCGAAACTTCTGCGGCGTCGGAGGGATGAGCTGGAGGAGCAGTAAGAGCGCGACGCGGGATCGGCGTGCTGCTGCCGGAAGTGTGCGGTGCGAGCTCGGGCTGCAAGTGAGGTGTGCGAGATCTTGGTGCGGCTATACTTTCAAGAGCTGACGCGGCCGTTGCTGGGAGCTGTGTGTGCAAAGTTTGTCGTGGATGTGCAAAGAGGGGCAGCGGGGAGAGGACGTGAGGGGGGCGGGGTAGGCTCAAGGCGGCGCGCGCCGCACCCAACTACAAAATTGCGCCCGCCGCCGCGGATCCTTTGAAGTCAGCGGTGCTCGCATTGTATTCAAAACTGCCGCGCGAGAAGACGGCGCCGCTTGCCAGGCTGTTGCTCTGGCCTGGGCTTCCGCAGGCGATCTTCTTGCTCTCCTCCACACCACCATCATAGCCCGCAGCTCCAACAGCCCGCATGCCGCCCAAGCGCCGCCTGTCCAGCAGCGATGCTGCAGGCGGCGCCGCTGCCGCAGCGCCGCGCAGCGTGCGGCGGCGGGCCGAGCTGCGTGCCTCTCGGCGCATCGACTCGGCCGGCGCGGCACCGACGCCAGCCGTGGTGCGTGCCGTCTCTGCCACGGCGGCGGCGCAGCTGCCGGCACAGCTCGACGTCGCCTCACAGCTGGCTGCACACGAAACGCAGATCTCGGCGCTGCAGCGTGCCATGAAGACCGCCCGCGCCGGCGCGAGCACGCGCGCCTGGCAGAGCCTTCCGCGCGCAGAGCGCCGCCGGGCCGCCTCGCACAACCTCCTCGCCCTGCCGGCCCGCCTGCGCGCTCGTGGACGGGCGGAGATGGCTGCGTCGACCACGACGCCGCGCTCGCGCAGCGAGACGCGCAAGCGCCTGGGCGCTGCCGGCAAGAATGGCGGCTATCCGCGCACCAACGAGCGCGAGCGGCGCGCCGAGATGGCTGGCCGCGCGGGCAAGCCAAAGGCCCGATGGCTCGAGACGCACCTGTGGCATGCCAAGCGCTTCCGCATGTCTGGCACGGAGCCAAAGATCGTGCGGCACGGCAGCGACACGCACGGCGGCTCCGATGCTGCACCGCACAGATGGGGCTTTAGCCTGGCCGAGGAGCCGCACATGAAGGGCCACCGGGCCGCAGCCCGCACCGTCTCGAGCGGCGCCGCCGTGCATGATGCGAGCTACACGGTGTCGCTGCGTCTATCGGCACATGCGGCGAGCGGACTGGAAGCCGAGGCAGCGCTGAAAGAGGCGCTGCGGGGAGCAGGAGTCGGTGATGCCGGACACCGAGACAGAGCCACGGACAGCGTCCTGCTCGGCGGCCCAAGTCGTACCGCGCTGCAGGCGCCCGTGCGCGTGCTTTGGGTATCGAGCGACGCTGCTGCAGAGACGCCTAAGCCCCAAGAGCCGGTAGCGAGTCAGGCCGAGCTGGCAGAGCCGCATTTGTCGGACAAGGCCCTCGGCAAACGCCGCGCCAGCGTCGAGGCAGACATCGAAGTGGGGCATGCGGCCGAAGTCATTCTCCTCATCCATCCCGCCGGGCTAGCTTCCCTACAGAGCGCCCTCGAGCTCTCTCTCGCTGCGCTCGATTCGCCCTCCTCGCATCTCTCGCTCCAAGTGCTCGAGTCCGCCTCTCCCGAGGTGTGCGTGCGCTCCGAATCCAAGGGCCGCAAGCACGGCGGCGCCAAGAAGGCTGCGGTGCCGCGTGTGCGTGCTGCTGCCGGCGACGCGCAGAAGCGCAAGGCGGTGGAGCAGCAGAGGCAGCAGGGCTACAATGTCTTTGAACTGTGCGGCCCGCACTGCGGCCGTGTGCTGGGCGGCGTCCTGCAGCCGCTGAGCAGCACGAGTGCGGAGAAGCGACAGGTAAGTAGGACGCTCCTGGCCCGGGCGTGCGCAGGCCAAGGCTCACAGCGCAATACAGGCATTCAAGCTCGTCACGCGACATGTCACGCCGGCGCAAGTGCGGCCAGGCACGATGCTGGCACTCGACGTGCACGACCCACGCATATTGTGAGCTCTCGCGCTGCGTTAGCACCATCTCGTCCAGCCCCGCCTGATGCCTTTCGCGCAGCTTTCCGCCAAAGAATGTCAAGCGCACGGACTTGACTGAGCGGGAGCGCAAGCAGCTTGCGCAGGGCCTGTCGGTACTTTCGGGCGAGGAGGAGCAGGCGGAGGTGCCGCGCATCCTTGCGAGCGGCAGGCTGCTGTCCGAAGGGGCGCCCGAGCCACGTGTCGCCAAGGGTGAGCTTGACTCGCAGCGCGCCAAGGTGAGTCGTCGCTTGTGCATCATAAGCGAAATACTGGCCTGACCTTCGCGTGCTCTCGGCCACAGAATCTCGTCCCAGGTCGCCGAATCACGCCCACGTCCACCTCCGACATCGTGCCGATCCTCCTCATCGCGCGTGCGCATCCCACCGCCGGCTGGACGCTGCTCGTGCCTCGCGGCTGGGCGCGCGCCTTCTGGCTCTCGCTCGTGCACAGCAAGAGCGTCGTGCTCTCTCAGCTTTCGCTCGCACATGCGAACCTGGAAGCCGCGCGCCCGGCCTTCCCTGCCGACTGGGTCGGCACAGCTGCGCACGCGCGCCTCGCCAAGGAGGAGGCGACGAGGGAAAGGGAGCGCTGGGAGCGAACGCCGCCTGCAAAGCGCATCGCGTGGGAGAGCGTCGGCACGCGGTGGCCATGGGGCGGCGACGGTCTCTGGCAAGCTGTGTGCGGCCTCGAGAATGCCGCACAAGAGAGCACGCTGGATGCGTCGCCGTCGAAGCCGAAGCCCTGGCTCCTCGCGCACCCGGATCTGGCGCCTGCGCACCCAATGGACGCCGCTGCATTGCTGCCCATCACCATCTCCGCGGCGCGGCGCGGCAACTTTGGCCAGCATGCCGAGCTACATCTGCCCTCTGCTCGCGAGCGCCAGGCGTGGTTGGCCGCACTGGCAGCATGTGCTCGCGAGGAGGGCACAGAGGAGAAGAGCGGGCGCGAGACACTGCAATCTGTGAGTCACCCGCTTCGCCGGACCGGGACCTTCTCTCCTCCATGCTCACACACGCCCGTCACCCTGAGCTCGAGCAGGACACCCGCGCCTCATCGCTTTGCGGTGCCACGACGCGCGGCACCTTTGTCCTCGCCAACGGCCACGCCGCAGCACTGGGTTGCATCTCGCTGCGCGCCTGGCGTGAGCTGTGCGCCGCTGCTGCCGCTGGCATCTCGTTGTCCTCGTCCGCTTCCGCCGGAGGCGGCAGCGAGGCGAACCAGCGCCTCGAGCCGGCACAGCGCCATCTCGTGCTGGTGCGCGAGCGGAGCGGCGGCGTGTGGCGTGCCGCATGGCTGGCCCTTGCGCTGATCCAGTAGCTAGTGCTATGTGCAGCGAAGCGACGCGACGAGGCAATATCAGGCACTCATCAGAATTGTGAAGCGAGAGCAAGGTACATGCGTGCCGGGGCGGTGCATCTCGAACGCAGACGAAGGTGAAGGGCAAGGGGATATCACGGCAGATGCCGTCGCGGGAGCAGAGATGGGAGTGTGGGAGCATCTATGGGACGTGTGCGCACCTGCATGGTACGCAGCAGCTACGACTCCTTCTTGACGTCGACCTTGGCGATGTTGACGCCGGCGGGCGCGCCAACAGCAGCCTTGATCTGGCCGTAGATGGCGAACTGGCCGCTGATGAGGAAGGCCGTCATGACGACACGCGTGCCGAGGCCGGCCCAGATGCCCACGGGGCCCGTCTCCTTTGCCAGCACGAGAAGCTTCTTCATGGCGCCGCCCTTGCCGCCTCCGCCCTTGTTGATCTTGCTCAGCAGCGTGTCGGCGGGGTGCGAGAGCACGGCGGCCGCGGCGCCGGCAAGCATGCCGTTGCCGAGATCGACGGCAATCTCGCTCGTCTTGCCCTTGGCCTTGAAGCGCTTCGTGTAGCCGAGGTCGGAGAGCATCTCCATCGTGGTGAACTGGCCGATGGCGTACGGGATCTGCTTGCAGAGCAGCGGTGCGTATCCGGCTGAGGGTTACCAAGCTGTCAGCGCGAGGCATAGGAAGCAGACACGGAGGCACGTACCGTAGAACTCGCCGAGGCCGCCCTCCTTGGCCATGCGGCCCACCGCGCCCACCAGGCCGTTGGCGTAGCCCTTGGACGAGACGAGGCGGATGCGCGCCGCCTCGAGGGGCGTGAGCAGAGTCGAAGCCACCAGCCTGACCGTCTTCCTGTCAGCCACAAGCCTTGTCTGTGCGTTCCTACCAGCACTCACTCAGCCGCGCTGGCGCCTCCAATGTAGATGGCCGTGCGGTACTTCTCCGCATCGGCCTGGCTGCCGGCCATCTGCGCAAACGTCTTCTTGAAGTACTCGAAGCCCGCAAACTTGGCACCGCCCTGGATCAGGTAGCCGACGGCCGTAGGGCCGAAGCCCGTGAGCAGGCCCGCGGCGCCCTCCTCGGCGACAATGTGCTTCGCCATCGAGCCCATGCCGTTGAGCTTGCTGCCTTTTGGCTCGAGCTGGACTGCGGACTAGGTGTAAGCAGGTGGGCAGGTAGCGCAGCGGATGCAGGAGAATGTCTGCAGCGCTTCGGCCAGCCCGTCTGTGCGGTGCACGCCAGCTGAGATAGCCGCAGCTGGACGCTGCTACGCTGCCTGTCGCAGCCAGCGGTGCGATAGGCGCAGAACGCCGGCCACCGGCATCTGACCGGGCCTGTGACCGCTTACACCGCCCCATCCAGCAGCAAACCGTCCACACCCGCGACGTCGACTCACTGCGCGTCTTGACGACGTCGATGGGCGTCATGGCGCCATGCGTGGCGGTTGCGCAGAGAGCGCCGGCGCCGAAGAACTGCAGGTAGTTGGTCGTCGTGAACGTCGGCAGCCAGTCCGACTTGGCGCCCGCAGGCGCGAGCGAGGAGGGCATGGCGGGCAGCAGCTTGTTGGTGGTGGATGGGAAGGAAGACCAGGCACGGAAAGCGCTTGTTCTGCGCCCGTCTCTGTCCGCGGCGATGCGAAGCTCGGCGGCTCGGCTCTCGCGCGCGGACGATGTGGAGGTCGCGCGTTGGCACGGGCTCGCCGTTCCGACCGACCATGCGGCGGCCCAGCCGGCGGTTCGACGGCCGGCATCTCGCCGCTCCCTCGCCGTGGTCGGCCCGCTGGCGCTGTCAGTAAGAGTGTGGCTGCGTCTCGCGCATCTCACGGGTGCAGCTTGACGTCGAGATGCGTGCGAACCTGGCGGCTGACCCGCCGCGACGCCTGTCAGACGAGCTTACCGCAGAGCAGCGCGCGCGCGCAAACTCGTCCGGGCCGGCGAGACGACAATGCCGGCAGCGGAAGTGAGCGCAGCCTGATCCTACAGCGCTCCGTCTGGCAGCACCACACACAGCGTGCGCCGCTCGGAGTGCCGAGCTGAGAGGTGCGAGGATGGCAGGCTGCGTGGGCCTTGCGCACGTGACGCTACGCGCCCGAGAGGGGCAGACGCGACGCGGCGCGGCGGCGTGATGCTCTCTCCATGCTGTGCGCTTGGCAGCGCTCCACCATCATCGCCGGCGCGCCTGTGCTCAAGACGCAAGACAGGGCTCGCAGAAGGGCGCAGCACCAGCGCAAGCCGCCGCGAGATGGCACAGGGCGGGCCGTCACGCCTGCCGCGCCGACCGCGGGCGTCGGCTGGCCCGACGGGCTCGGGCAGCAGCGGCGAGGCGGGCAAGGATGCCTGTCTCTTCCCTGCCCTCGTCGCAGCGGCACTCGGAGGACCCGCAGACCATGTGCGTCGGCCTCTTCATGTCGCTGCACCGATGCTGACCCCCGCCTCGTGCGCAGATCTCCAACTACGACGTGCTTGACACGCTGCCCAGCTCCAGCAGCGCCACGCTGCAGCTTGCAAGGCCTGTGCTGGGACCAGCAGCGCGCCGCAGCGGCAGCAGCACACAGCGAGTGGTGCTCAAGATGCTGCGCGTGCCCTGTGCCGGCGGTCAGGCGGCCAGTGCCGCCCAACGAGCGCTTCGAGAGGCAGAGATGATGCGTGCGCTGCCGGCGTCGGCGCATCTGCTCGAGCTGCTCAGCGTGTTCTGCATGCCCTCTGCAGATGGCAGCGCACATGTCCTAGTGCTTGTGCTGCCATACTACCCGCACGGTAGTCTAGCCGACGAGCTGGGCCTGCGCATGCGACGGCAGCCTGCACGGCCTTACAGCGAGGACGAGGTGCGCACCGTGCTGCGCGACCTCGCACATGCACTCGCCGTGGCGCACGACGCCCGCATCGTTCATCGCGACGTCAAGCCCGAGAACGTGCTGCGTGCGGATGATGGCCATCTGGTGCGCACCCAGGCCTGCCCACTGCGCGACTTTTCTGACTCAAGGCTGTGACAGCTCCTTGCCGACTTTGGCTTGGCCACGAGGATAGACACCTTGCCGCAGGGCAAGCAAAAGGCGCGGGCAGAGGAGGAGCGCGATGACACGCTCTGCGGCACGCCGCTCTATCTCAGTCCGTGAGTGTCTTTGTCGCCCAGGGCTGACCTCGCTAACCCTCTTGGCAGCGAGACGACGACGCAACGGCGAACAGGTCCACACGTGGACATCTGGGCACTTGGCTGTCTGGCCGTCCTGCTGCTCACCGGAGAGGCGCCCTTCGACGCACCTGCTCCAGGCGAAGGCGGCGACACGGACCAGGCGCGCGTGATGCGCGTCCTGGAGCGCATCGCGCTTGGCGACTGGGAGAGCGTGCGCGCACGCTTGAAGGTCTCTCGGCCATGCGAGGACCTGCTGCAGCGCATGCTGTGCTTTGTGAGTTGGTGGCTCGAGCAGACGCGCACTCACCGGTGCTGAAACCTTCTGTACAGGAGCACGAGAAGCGCATCGATGCGCCTGGCATGCTGCGTCACGCCTTCCTGGCGCCTCTCTCCCCACACACTGCCCCGGCGGATGGCAGCCGCAGGTCACGACAGAGCGCACAGCCCAGTCCTGAAAGCGCGACAGACGACGATGGCGATGCGGCTGCCCAGCGCGTGCCACGCAAAGTAGCAGGCGCTCAGCCAGTCGCCCAACGAGCGGCACGACTCAGCGCGCCGCCATCAACGGTGGCGATGCCTGTCTCCAAGCCACGGGCTAGCCAAGAAGGTCGCCGGGTCCCGAGCACAGCCAGTCTCTCGGCCTGGGCACAGCTCCGTGCTAGGTCTAGCTCTGCGAATCTCGAAGCGGGCGCGGCTAGCCGCACGCCAAAGTCAAGCACGCGCACACGCTCCGCCTCTCGCTCTGGCTCAGCGGCACCATTAAGCCGAGGTGTCTCGCTGCGCGCTGCGCTACAGAGCATGAGTCTGACGCCGGAGAGTGCACTTGACTCTGGGCGAGCATCAGGCCCTGGACGCCTGCTCGGGCAACGCACGCCCTTCGGCATCATCCGGCCACCGAACGTGCCGATGGAGGCCGAGCAGCTGGACGATGAGGCTGAGGACAGCGGCGAAGACGCATCGTATGTGCCCCGACAAGCTGCACGGCCTCACGAGCAGTCTGCAAAGCACCACGTCCCAGCAACTTCGCCTGGTCCAAGCCACGCCTCCGCACCCTGGGAGCCCGGGCCCTGGGCAGGCGGGCTCGGTGCCCGCGGCCTCGTTCCGACGCGGCAGCGCACGCGAATGGGCCGGCTGGAAACGCGCAGCGACGGTGCCGTGCTCGCCACTGTCGGCGTCGGTGGTGCGGAGAGCAAGGAGGTGCACATGCTCATTGCGCCGGACGGCGCTCGAGTCCGCGTCGAAGTATTCGCCGACGACACCGTCGGCGCAGCAGCCTCGACACTCGACGTGACACGAGAAGACATTCCTGAACCTCTGCGGCCGATCTACCTGCACGCCTCGCGCTGGCTGAGCCGACTCCGCGCACGCACACCGCTGGCCGCCTTCGTGGTGCACGACGCAGAGCTCGGCGCCGCGACCTGCACGGTGATGGCGAACGTGCCTCAGCCAGATTACGTGCTGCGCTGGAGCCTGAGCAAGCGCGAGGGCAGCAAAACGACGCAGGCGTCTGAGGCCTGCGCTGGCGAGCTCGTGGTGTCGATCAGCGAAGGCAGCCGCAAGGCACGAGTCTGGCGCCGCTGCGTCGTTCAGCCTCGCACAGCAGGCGCCGACGAGGCCGCCTGGGCACGGACGACGTTGCGGCTCAGCCGACCGTCCGGCCATACTGCACCTCTCGCCTTCGACGCCCACTCGCCCGTCGCGCGCGGACTCGCCAACCTCGAGCGTGCTGCCCTCGTCCTCGCGCTCGACTGCGCGCCCGCAGCACGCAGCATCGCCCTCGAGGCGCTGGCTCTCTGATCCCGTCTCGTTAATGCTATGCCATTGGCGCGCCGGGCGCCTATGCCTCAGCGTCTTCGACACGTGCGCGCTTGTCGCTGGATGCGTCTGGCGTGGCGTCGATCGGCAGCTCCTCGGCCTTGCGCTTGCCAGCCGAGCTCTCCGCAGCGCCCTCTGCCGCCGGCGCGATCGACGCAGCTGCGGCAGGAGCCGCGTCACCATTTGCAGCCTTGCTCTCCTCTGCCGCAGCCGGCTTGCTCTCGGGCTTCTTCTTCTTCTTGACCATCGCGCTGAGGTCGTTGACCGGCGCGTTGGGGTCGAGACGCGGTGCTCCGGCGCCCGCCAGCGCGTTGGTGCTGGCGCCGAGCAGCGCCTCGTTGATGGCCTCCTTCAGTGCCGCCTGGTCGCTGCCAGCCGCAGAGCCTGCTTGGTCCAGCGAGCTGCTGCCGGGCGGCGCAGCCTCGTACTCGTCGAGCTGAGATGAATGCGTCAGCGCATGGCTCCGCAAGCAGCGTCGCCAGAACACGCACCTTGTTCTTCAGCTCCTCTGCGATCTCCTGCACGTCACGCAGCTCCTTCTGCGCCTTCTCCTCGTCCATGTCCACCACGTCGTCGCGCTCGAACACATCCGTGTCCTGGCTGCGGCCCTTGCCTTTTGAGTCTGACGCCGCTGCTGCACGCGCTGCCGCTTCCCGCAGTTCCGCCGCGGCCGCCTCTGCCCGAGCGGCCTCGTCGCCCTTGGACAGTGTGGCCAGACGCGCCTGAACTGCCTCGCGCCGCCGTGAGAGCGCCGTCGCGGCAGCGCGCACGTACTTCTCGGCGTCGCGCCGACGGTCGGCGTCTGGGTGGAACTCGAGCGCGAGGCCCAGACGCAGGTAGGCATCGGCGAGCCGCCGCGAGTGTGCGTGCAGCAGCGGTGTGAGGTGCTGGAGCGCCGCCTCGTAGTCGGCCGACGCCTGCTGGAAGTTCTCTGCCACGCACGCTGTCAGTGCCTCATCCACGCGCAGCACTCTCGGGCCACTCACCGGACTCGAGACCGACGTCACCCAGGTCGTTGAGCACCTCAGCCAGCTGCGCCTTGATGCCCGACACGCCCCACGTCTCGTCGTCGAGCGTCGTCAGCGTCGCCTGGTCGCCGCCGAGCTCGAGGATCTTCTCGTAGCGCACGCGTGCGAGCTCGAGGACGGAGAAGGCGACGCTCAGGTCGTCCTCCTCTTCCTCCTCGCCGCCCTCGCCCGGCGCAGCGCCCTCCGCACCCTCTGCGGCATCCTCATCGTCCGAGTCGGGCCCATCGCCGCCGAAGCTGAAGCGCGGGTCCGGCGGCGGACTGCTGCCGCTCTTCTTGGCGCTGCGCGTCGGCATGGGCGCATCGCCGCTGCCGCCGCCGCCGCCGAGTGCGCCCGACGTGGAGATGGCGTGCTCCAGCAGCGCGTGGCCGTAGCGGTGAAACACGGGCGCCAGCAGCGGCGAGTCCTCGTCGTGCGTCTCGCGCCTGCGGTGATGACGCGTCAGTCTGTGCGGAGCGGCGCAGGGCGAGCAGCACGACGCACAGGCTCTCGAGCGCCTCGGCGTACGAGTCGGCGGCGGCAGTGAAGCTCTTGAGCGCCAGGTGGCGCTTGGCTTCGTCGAGCAGCTCGCGCACGGGCTTGGCGGGCGTGGGCGAGGTCATGGTGGCGGCCTCGTCGTGATGAGGTGGGAGTGGACTCGGATGCGCGGAGCGTGGTGGAGAGACGCCGAGAAGCGCACACGCAGCAGAGCGCGTCACTTTACACGCTACGACGCGTCGCGCGCCTTGCCGCGCACTCGGCCGCCTGCGCCGCCTCCGGTGCGCCCTCCGCCGGCGTAGACGCCTGGCTCCCGCTCTCTCAGCACTATACTTTACCACAGCAGCTGCAGCATCATGCAACTCTACCGCTGACCAGATCTCCTCTTAGTGCGGTGCCGTGCCGGCGGTTCGCGCGGCGTGGCTCGCCGTCCGGCCGTCGTTGTGTCCGTTGGCGTGCTCGTGCCAGGGGCTGCGCTTCTGCGAGGGGTACACCACCAGCGTGGCTCCTTCCGGGTCGCAGCGTCTAGGCGAATAGACCCAGAGAGAGGATGGCATTGGGTTTCGATTACGCGAGCTTCTGTTCGTTGACTTCAAAGGTCGTTGCTGGAGCCAACAGCAGCCGCCTGACCATCTCAGAGCCAGACGAGCTGGCACCAATTTGTCCGGGAGAGGATAAGTCTGAGTAAGAGTGCAAGCAGGAGAGCTCATTTCCTTCCCAGCATGCTCAGCTTCATGCAGGACCGAGGCTGCGTCCGATGATCAGCTTGACAGCGCCGGAAGCTCGCTCGCGCCTCGGATGCCGATCGTGTCACGGCGACGCCTGGCGCCATGCAGGCGATGTCAAAGCGCAGCCGTAGCTCCGGCGACTTGCGCCTGCTCACGCTCGCAGCGACATCGGCCTCACTGAGCAGCTTGTGCTGCTGCGGCATGTGATCATGGGCGGTGCTGCGGCAGCGACGGGCGACGCAGCACGCTCGTGGGTGGTACACGCAGGGCGGCGCTTTAGCGTGCTGCCGCCCGAGCTTCTGGCGCCGGCTGGCGTGCATGTGCCGCGGCTGGGCGCGCCATCGAGGAGGGGGAGAAGAAGGCAGCGCTGCCGCAGCACGTCCGCCTCAGCCGCTCAGGGATGCCGGCCTGCGGGCGCTGAGCAACGCCGACGTGCCGACTGCTGCCGGTGCATGAGCGACGGGCTGAGTAGCGAGCAAGGCGTGCCGCGGCGCATGGCAGCGGCAGTCAGAGTCAGGCGCTGGTGCTGCTTCGTCGTCGGGCCGAAGCGCATGGCGAGCCGGGATTGCAGGATGGGCCGCGGGAGGCTTGGCGCAGCGCGACGGCTCCGCGACATGCTGCGTCCCTTGATCCGCCGATGGGGAGGGCGCAGCGAGGCGAATTGCGAAGTGGTGCGAGCGCTTGGCCGGAGCAGCAGGCCCGAGAGAGGGCAGCTGCGGGAGCGCGACCTTTCCTGGGCCATGCCGCAGCGACAACCCCTGGCGGCGTGGCTGGAGCTCGGCGCGCTGGGCACGCGAGCAGCCGCGCCTGCACGCTGCCGGCCGCGTGCGTCGGACTTTCCAGGGCGGCCGATTTGCCTCCAGCGCAGCAGCATCCAGCTGGCCGCCAGCGACTTCGACCGCTCTTCCCCTCCTGAGCGCACCGGCCACAGGAGTTTCATCTGGGCCACGCGCTAATTCTGGCGCAGATGAGCTCCTCGAGATGCGACTTCGGGTGTGATGGCGGCGCTGCGATGTGATGGCTGGCGGCGGCGGCGGCTCGCTCATCAGCGGGCACGGCGCGCGCAGCGAGAGCAACACACCAGGCACGCGCGCGGCGGCGGGCGGCGAGCCAGCAGCATCGCAGGCACGCAGAGAGACGCCGCGGCCGCTGCCGTGCCCTGCCGCCGTGCCGTGCCCGCTGCGCGCCATCGCCGCCCAGGGGCCAGCGCCTACACTGCTCCGCCGCCTCGGCGTGCCTCCTCATGCTGCGGGAAGAGGAGCGTTCTGTCGAAGGGCGCGCCGCCTCGGCAGCGCCCAGCAGCAGCAACGCCGAGGCGTCGGACTCCTGCACTGGGCAGCATTCAGCGCTCACGCAGCAGCAGCAGCTCAGCGGCAGAGAGGTGCAGCGTCAGAAGCATGAAGGGCGCTGCGGGTGCGGCAGAGGTGCCTTGGCAAGCGGCTCGCAGCGTTTGTGGCAGCGTCGCGTGCGTGGCCGAGGCGCGGCACGGTGCTCTTCACCGGCCGGCCGGCGCGCTCCTCGCCTTCTCTCGCATCCACCACTCCCTCCAGACTCGACTCCCGTCCCCCTCACGACACAGCTCCTCACGGCCACACGCTCCAGCCGCCGCGACCCCACCTCCACGCTCATCCAAAACGCACACACTGCACCGCCCCACAGCCTTCGCGCACCCACCCACTCTCCTTTCACGATGAAGTTCTCCCTTGGTCTCGCGGCTATTGCCCTCGCCGCGCAGGGCGTGCTCGCCAACATTGCCATCACGAACCCCGTCGCGTGAGTAGGCAGCACGAGCGGCGCGGCTGGACAGCAGGATGTACGGCGGATGGGCGGGCCCGGATGAGGGATGCACGCCGGCGAGCGTTCGGCGCGTCGGCGCTCGGCCAGCTGGGCGCGAGCCAGCATCGCCAGATCGGACAACATGCTGGCGCGTACTCTCGATGGCTCTGGCACCGTCGCCGTGTCGCTTGCTGCCCCTGGACCACTACAGCTCCAGCCATGTCCGCATGCCGCTGACACCTCTCCTCCAGCTCGTCGACGCCGTCGGGCGGCCGCAACCTCAACATCCAGTGGCGCGACGACAGCACGCAGCCGCGCGTCGCGGACTGGGGAGGCATCAACATCTTCCTTGCCGCCGGCTCGCAGAACACGCAGTACAAGCTGCAGACCATCGCCACGAACCTGGCCGTGACGGAGACGAGTGAGACGTTCCGCATTGACCCCACCGTCGGCCCCAACGGCCCGTACTAGTGAGTAGCGCGGCACTGCATGCGTCGATGGGATGGCTGTCGGCAGCACAGGAGTTGGCTGCAGGGTGGCAGGGCACGGCCGGCGAGTGAGAGAAGTGTGCCGGGCGGGACAAAGATGTGGCTGCCCGCCGAGCCCTTCCTGCCCGAGTCCGTGCCATGTGTCCGGCCGTGTGCTGTCGACGCTCCGCCGCTGACCACTGTTCCACACCAGCTTCATCCGCATGGAGTCCGTCCGGCTCGACTCGAAGAACATCCCGTACATGTCCTTCTCTGCCCGCTTCCCGCTCGACAAGATGACGGGCAACTTCAACGCCACGATCCTCGCCGCCGCGCAGGGCCGCGAGGGCTCGGCCTCGACGACGGCCGCCTCGAGCGGCGCCTCGTCCAGCTCGGGCACCAGCATGGTGCGCTCGTCGACGACGAGCAGCTCGCTGCGCACCACCTCGACGCCCGCTCTCAACTCGACCGGCACGTCGGGCGCCAGCATGAACGCCCCGGCCCTCGTGCCCATCGCCCTGCTCGCCGCCGCTGCCGCGCTTCTCTAACCGGATCATCACCACCCACACACTGACCACATGACCACGCGCGAGGCGATCATCCTGGCGATGACGCACGCCGCGCCCCCTTATTCTGTTTCACACCCACACTCCGTTCGCAGCCGCTAGACGCCAATCACAGCTCACTACCCGTGCTTCTCGCGTGTGACACGCGCCGTTGGGCAGGGCAAGGCTGGATAAAGTGGATGTGCAGCAACGCCGGCAGTCACTCGGCTGCTGCGAGCGCGTCTCTGAGAACGGAGGGAGGGCTGTGCGTTGGTCCAGCGTCGGTCAAGACCGCACGGCTGGGAGCAGGACACGGGACTGAGGCAAGCGCTGCATTGGGTTCCTTCGGGTGCGATCGCAGCAGCCTCGCCTGCTGCTGCTACGGGAAGCTCGCACGAGCCAGGCAGGCGGCAATGTCCTTGCGCCAGGCGATGCGCTCGCGGGCCTCTGCCAGCGGCAGCCAGACGCGCTCGCCGCGCTCCTCGCGCTCCGGCCAGTCGGCGAGCTGCTCGGCTCGGCGCACGCGCACCTGGTGCGCATGGTAGATGGCACGCGGCACAAAGTCCGGCGATGCTGAATCAGTCTCGGGCGAGCTCTTGTGCGGCTTGTGGTCTGGCAGCGGCTCCTGCGGCTGCGTGTGCTGCTCGACATCCTTGGCCAGCCGCAGACCCGCTGCCATGCAGGGTCAGCGTGTGGCCTGCGCGGCAGTCGCGGCCTGGCGCTCGCACCTTCCTCCCACATCTCGCGCACGGCAGCCTGCCACGAGCTCTCGCCGTGCTCGACGCCGCCCTTGGGCAGCACCAGCTTGCCGTCGTGCTTGCGCGACGAGACGAGACAGATGATGACGCCGTCGGATCCAGCACCCTGCTCGACGTCGTACGCAATCGCCACGGCCACGTGTCGTGGGCCTGACAGACTGTGTCAGCGCACAGACGGCGTGGAAGCGGCAGAGCACGACTGACTGCTTTTGTCCTTGCCCATGTTGAGAGCTGAGCGAGTGAATGAGGCCGAAAGCCAAGCCGGATGCCAGCGGCCGGCGGCACGTGCAGACCGCGAGACGCGCGTTCAGTGCTTTGCTCCCACGGTCAAGGCGCACTCCGAGGCGAGGTGTGCTTCTCCCCTTGCTTCCCATCCATCACCCCGTCTGATGCGGCATCTTCAGCATGAGCGACCTTCGCTACGCCACACCGCCTCCCGAGGCCGTCGCCTCAAGCTCTTCGCTCTCTCGCACGGCGTCACCTTCGCACGCTGCGGCCTCGTCCTCGTCTGTCCCACGCGCCGTGCACTACGCGTCGCGCGAGGCGGACGAGCAGGACGGCTCCAGCCGCTCGAGCACCGGTTGGTCGCGCAAGCGAGCGTGGCGCGATGCTGATGAGGAGATCGACGCGCCGGCGGACGCATCGCATAGGCAGTGTCTCGACAGGGCACGCAGCTACCTTGAGCAGGCACAGGAGAGGGACGATGAGCTTCGCCGCGGCTACGCGGAGCAAGTGATCCGTAAGGAGAGATCAGCTCGAGATCGTACCGCAAAGGCATCGTCATTCGAATTTGACTTCGATTCGGTGAACGCTCCCTTCCATGAGCGCGAGAGCTGGAAGCTGGCAGAGCGCATGCGCATGCCGGCCAAGCTCGACCCCGTCGCAGTCAAGCTGCGCAAAGAATCCTTGCGCTGGGCGCGATCCGCGCTGCTTCTGCAAGAGGATGCAGAGGTAAGTTGGCACTCTTCATTCCACCAGCTGTACCGGACGTAGCTCACGGGCCTGACCCCGAGCAGAGCTACTACCGTGCTGCTGCGGCCTTCAAGGCACTCGCTGAGCCCGCAAAGGCACTCTCGGCGCTGGAGCGGGCACGCCGCTTCGACGACGGCGCTTGGGCTTCCGCCATCGATCAGCTTGAAGTTCGATGCTCGTCGCGCTTCGCCGCTGCGCTTCTGCCTGTCGAACTCTTCGTACCGATCTTCGGAGAGCTCGGCGCCGTGTACTCTGCGCGAGCTCTTCGCGTCTGCCGTTCGTGGCACTCGATAATGAGCAGACCAGAGTTCTGGCGCAAAGTCGTCTTCGCGCCCTGCTCCAAAGCGCGTAAAGCAGTTCCGAAGAGGACTCTCAAGCAGATCGCGTCGCGCTCCGATCACTCGATCACAGAACTAGAATCTCGCTCGCTCGAAACCAAGGAGCTAGACTACTTGTGCTCGGTGCTCGCTCGCAGTGCATTAAGCATCCGCAGTATCGTAGTGGACGCGCCGAACGCGGCGTACGATTTTCTGCGGCTCGCCGAGCAATGCCCCAAGCTGTCGATCCTCGAGGTCCACGAAATAGCCCATGGCCGGCGGCGTCGGCCCTTATTTGATCCGTCGCAAGGTCCGCTCGTCAAGCGCGGCCTCACTCGCGTCAGTCTGGAGCTCGATGCCGAATCCTGTGTCGGTCGCTTCAACGAAGGTCTCCTCCAGCTCATCGAGCAAGCTGCGTTCGCCCGTCTTAGCTTCTGTGGCGAACTTGTGGAGCAAGGCGAAGGGGACGATTTTCATTACCAGGAGCGCTGGATCGAGCAGAAGCTGTGCACTATCGACTGGCTCCTCGCAGCCTTCGATCGCTGTCAACGTTTGGAGACCTTCTCTCTGCAAGCTCAGCTGCCGTGGTTCGAAGTACGGTCGCCCTTCGCCGATGCCGGCCCGAAGCTCGCTCCGCATCTGCGTCATCTCTACCTCGAAGACTCCATCGCCAACTGCGACGCGCCGGTCTGTGTCTTGCCGGAGCACACCGCCTGCCTCTCCGCTCCGCTTCTCGAGACGCTCGAGTGCGATGCAGCGCTCCTTTCCATCTTCTCGCCGGTCTCGTTCTCCAGACCCATCAGCCTCACGCTCACGGTGGCAAAATATTGTGACCTGGACGTCGTCGCAAGAGGCGATCATGCGATGAACCTCACGGTCATTGAGGAGCGTGATGCGGACGTCATCGCCCGGAAGATGCTCGACGATCCGACATACTGTCGGAACGTGCGCAAGCTCAACGTCAGCCTGTGGGAGAGCAGCCCGCGGTGGTCCGTATGGGTGCGTCTCATTGCCGCCCGCCTCTACGGATCGCAGCCTGGCGCCACGCTCGACGAGTACTTGGCCATCGGCCGCCACAGTACCCAAGCGCCATCACCGCGCGAAACGACAGCGCAATCGGGGCCATTTCAACGTGGCAGTAGAGTCGCCGTCGAGGAACCAGCCATCGCGCTGCCGCAGGAACGCAAGCCTCTGGCGGCGGACAGCAGCCTGCCGCCTCTGTGCAGCGCCATTCAGCGGTTTGAGCTCTCGATCTGCGCAGACGAGTATCTCCCCGAAGAGGCGCTCAACTGGTTCAGAGCCAACACGAGCTTTGAGCTCAACGGATGTGAGCGTATCGCATCCCGCAAGTCATAGGGAGCTGACGTATTCCGGCTGCACAGAGCTCGATGGGTCAACGCAGAGGATGCGGGTGTGCCAGCGAGCCGGAGGAGGACAGGCGTGGCGCGACAGATCGAGTACCGGCACGTGTATAATATCGCAGCATAAGCATACACATCGAGACACCGCGACGAGACCCAGCGCAGCGCCTAGCCGAAGCTGCGGCTCTTGACGACGTTGGAGATGCCGCTCTTCTCGCCGCCATAGCCGCCCTCGAGGGCCGCGGCGCCGCCCTTGTACACCGCGCGCGTGCTGCTGAGCTTCTTCTGCGCCTTGTCGAACTTCTGCCGCTTCTTGACTCGCGGGTTGCGCACGCTCTTGGGCCGCCGCGGCGTGAGGCCGCGATTCTTCTCGATCTGCCGGTTGATGCCGCGGTGCGCGCCGGGGTCGAGCGTCGGGTCGGCGATGAACCTGGGAGGCGGTGTGAGCAGAGTGGAGGAGGAGCGACAAGCTCTCGCACTGACCGTTCTTCGTCCCGCGCCGCCTCGTACTCGTCCTTCTTGGCCTTCTTGGCCTGGCGCTGCCGGCTCGCGACAAGGTCGTAGTAGTCCTCATCCTCGTCCTGCCCTGCGCCGCCGTCGCCCGCCGACGCGCCCTTGGCGACGTCCTGGCCCATGACGTCGCGCCAGTCGCGCAGGTCCTCCTCGCCAAAGGCCTCGCCGTCGAGCTCCATGTCTGCCGCCTCTCTGCTCGAGGCCTTGGCCGCACGGTTCGCAGCCGTCTGCGCCACAACCATGCGCGAGCGCTCGCGATCCCGGTACGGGATGTCAGAGTCGCCGCCGAGGCTCTTGCGCGCAGCATCGCCGCGCCGTGCCTCCTTGGCGCTGATCTGGCCCGTGTAGAACTGCAGGCTCTTGCGCCGTGCCGCCTTGTCAGCAGCATCCGACGTGGCCAGCGCCGTCGGCTCGCCGAAGGACTCGGCGAGCTCGTCCGAGTACTGCGCCTTGCCATTCGACCGCTTCGCGCGCTTGGAGCTGCTGGCCGAGAGGCTGCCCATGGCGTCGTCGTCGCCGATGCTCGCAAGGCTTGCAAGCGGTGCAACGGGCTTCGGTGCCTTTGGCTGCTTCTTGGCCTTCTTCTCCTTGCCCTGCTTAGGCGCTGCTGTCGCGGAGCTGGCCTTGCTGTTCTTTGGTTGCCGGGGAGCGATGGCCACGTTCTCCTTCTCGTCTGCCAGCAGGCCGTCCAGCTCGTCCGACTCCAGGCTGCCGAGGCTCTCGCTGTCGCCATCGCTGTCGGCACCGAGGCGGTTCGGGTCGCCGAGCAGCCACCGCTCCTCCTCCGAGTTCAGCTCGCCCTCCTCGTCGGCCTCGCCGGCCGGCTCGAGCGCAGAGCAGCCGAGATCCTCAAGTGTGGCGAGACCGGACTTGAGCTTCACGAGGCGCTGCACAACTGGGTGCTCCGACAGGCGCGTCGGGTCGGAGACGTACTCCGGCAGCGAGCGCAGGTGGAAGTAGAAGGTGAGGGTCGTGACGTAGGTCACGAGCGTTTCTACAATCGTGTCAGCACAGGCGCCGGAAGCGCGGGCGGCGGGTGTGCTCACGATGATGGATGTGCATGAGGCCCAATCGGTCGTGGCCCGGCGTGTCAATCGCAGCCCTGATAGAATCTGGTGAGCGGATGTCTCGCACATGTGCACTCGAGCAGACTCACTGCTTGAGGCTCGCAGTCACCTCGTTCAGCTCGTCAACCACATCCGCAAAGTCGCCGGCCAGCGCAATCGTCTCTGGCGTGGTGCGCTGCACCTGTGCGAGCAGCTTTGCACGCTCCAGCGGAGCCTTTGGCAGCTCAGAGCTGAGGGTGGCAAGAGTCGGTCAGTGCAGGAAGTGTTTCTGCCGGCCGCTGCTACTCACGAAGCCTGCACTGCGCTAGAGCCCGACGCCACACCTCCGTCCAGCTCCGCCCGTCTCCGCTCGCGCGCAGCCTTGCCCGAGCCAGAGAGCGTGCCCTCGTTGGCCAGGTCCATCTCCGCCTCGGCGAGGCCGAAGTCATCGTCGTCCATCTCCTGGCGCAGCTTAGCCTGCAGCTTGCGTGCCTCGCGCACCTCCATCTCGCGCCGCTCCTCCTCGGTCATCTCCTCGTCGCTGCCGATGGCGTCGAGGTTGTTGGCGTTGTAGTAGGCACGCTTGTGCGGGCCCCAGCCGCCCACCTCGTCCTCTGGGTCGATGCTCGCATCCGAGTCCTCCTCCTCGTCATCATCGTCAGAGGGAGCCTCGGCCGCGGCAGCAGCCTTGGACGCTGCGGAGCGCTGCGGCACAGGTGCAGAGTCCATCTCATCGTCCTCGCTCTCATCGTCCTCCTCCTTCTCCTCGTCATCCTCCTCTGGCTCATCGTCGACGTCGATGCCCAGCACCTGCCGGCCCCGGCTGAAGGTGCCTGCTGCGCGAGGTCAGAAGCGGGCTGCGCACAAGCCGCTGGTCCAGCACTCACCGGCCTGGTCCTCCTCATCGTCGCTATCGCTGCCCGTACCGTCGAGGAGGATCTTGTCGCGCTGGCTGTGGAAGCGGTCCTCGGCGTCGTCGGGAATGTCGGCGGCCGTCTCCCAGTGCGCGAGGTGGTCGCTGGTGGGGCGCGCCTTGCGGCTGAGGGCGCGCGTGGCGGCGCCATCATCGCGCACTCGCGGGCCGGACTGGCGCTTGCCGCCGCGTGCGCCTCGGGCCATGCTGGGTGGAGACTGGAGCAGGGAGCGGGGAAGGGTGCGGGACGGAAAGGTGGGCTGCCCTGATGACCCGAAGCAGCGCCGGCTCGGCCGAGCAAAATCTGGCACCGCGCGCCGCGCCAACCGGCATGCCGCGCGTTCCGGCGGCAGGCGGGCACGAGAGCAGAGGCCGGCGCTGCGTTCATGCACGCCGCCTCTTGACCCACTCGCCTCGCCTCGGTCCGGCGAGGAGCAAGCCTCGCAGCGCAGACAAGGCGTCCAGCGTGCCGCCGGCGGCTGCTCGTCTCTGCTCCACACCCTCACCCCACCCTCCCTCGCACCTGGCACTGCACGTCCGCCGCCATGGTCACCACTCGCCGCGCCGCCAGCAGCGTGGCTGCCTCGCCCGCCGCCGCCGCGCCCTCTTCCTCCTCGGTGCCGCTCGCTCTCTCCTCTGCAGAGACGTCGTCCGCCTCCTCGGTCGCCTCCAGCAGCCGCTCCAGCTCGCCGTCGCCCTCGTCTGCCGCTGCCGCTGCATCCACTGCCGCACACGACGACGACCAGGAGCTCGAGGACCTCTTCGCCGCCTCGGTCGCCGCCCACGAGGCCAAGCTCGCCGCCGCGCGCCAGGCGGCCGCCTTCACTGCCGACAACGACATTGTGCGTCTCGACGGCACCACCGCAGCAAGAGTCGACCCCCAGCCGCAGGCAGCGCTCCACAAGGGCAAGCAGCCAGCTGCAGCGTGAGTCAGCGCGCCCGGCCTCGCCTTCGATGTGCTGCTGACCATGCTTGCCTGGCAGCGCCCCGGTGGCTCACAGCGACGCAGCGGTCGACAGGCACCTCTCGCGCCTGGAATCCGGAGAGGCTCTGGCGGATGCGCGCGCACGACGGAAGGGTTCGGCGGCCGCGAAGCGCGAGGCTCAGGCTGTGAGTCAGGGCAGTCCAGGCCTCGCCGGGTGCCCAGAGACAGACGAAGGATCAGATCCTTCCCTGTCCTCCAGCGCAGTGCAGCACTCTCACATGGACAGCCTCGCTGATGCATGCTTTCCACCACCGCAGAAGCGTGCCCTCTCCGCGGGCCCGGGCTGGTTCGACATGCCCGCCTTCCCCGGCGCCGCGACGAGCAAGGGCAGCGGCATGAACGTGGCGTCGGCGTCGAGCAAGTACGTGTCGTCGGCGCGCGGCGCCACGGCCGAGGAGATGCGGCGCGAGGTGCAGGCGATCCGGCTGCGCAACGCCATGGACCCCAAGCGCTTCTACCGTGGCGGCAAGGCGGACAAGGGCATGCCGAAGTTCGCACAGGTGAGTTGGCCGAGCTATGCACGGCCGCAGATGGACGCATGCATCGGCAGCGCTGAGCATTCTTCCCCTACAGCTTGGCCGCATCGTCGGCTCAGAGCTGGAGCCGTCATCGATCGTCACGGGCGACCGCAAGGGACGCAGCGTGGTGGAGGAGGTGGTGCGCGACGCCGAGGCGGCGGCGTATGCGAAGCGCAAGTTCGGCGAGGTGAGTGCTGCGGGGCGATTGGCTGGATACGCCGTCTCATGCGTCTCCTGTGCAGCAACAAGAGCGCAACGCCTCGGGCGGGCGAGGGTACCTCAAGGCGAAGAGCAAGAAGCCGAAGCACAAGCGATGAGCGCGCGAGAGGCAAGCGCTGCCGCCGAAGGCATCCTTGGCAGGCTCGCTGCTGGCTTGCGCTGCACCACCATGCTGGACCTGCTTCCCTTCCCCTGCTCCCTGCTGCGCTATCGGACGATGTCCGCCATCCCTGTCGCCGCCTGGCGTGCCGAGTGCTCCTCGCAGCATCGGGCAGCCTCCACGCGCGCTGCAGCTCCAAAAGTCGAGGGGCGCGCGTGGCTGTGCTGCTCCCACGCTGTAAGCGAGGCGGCTGCACGTGACGGCTGCCTCTCTGCCGCGTCCCGCCGCCGCACCCTATTTGCGACGAGCTGCCGCGGCCGGCCTTCCTGCGGCTGTTTGGAATGCGCCGCGCAATCTGCTGCCGCGCACTGTCCGAGCCAACATCTCATGCTGAGGGCCTGCATGCTGGAGTCGAGTCAGCGAGGTCAGCTTGCGATGCGCTGGCAGCCCTTCTGCTGCGCGCGATGCGCTCGCCCGCTGCAGCTGCCGTGCCGCACGCGCGCACCAGAGCAGCGGCCGCGCCGGGGCAGCGCGGCGCCGCTGCTGGGGTCTGGCGGGCGTCGCGCGCGGCGCTCCCCGCGGCCCCCCGTCTCGCACACCTCGCTCTTTTCACCCTCCCTCCTGCCAAAGCACGCGCCTCCTTGCCTCCCGTCCTCGCCTCACTCCGCGCCGAGCGCCCCCTCCTCCTCCCTCGTGCGACTGGCCGCCGCCTGCTGCTGCTGTCGCACCCCAGCACCGACCACCGCCCACGCCTGCTGTCCATCTTTGCTGATTGGCAGCAGCGTGCGGGGCGCGGCGAGAGGCCGCCCAGATGACCTCGCGCACGTCGCGCACGCGCGTCACCAAGCTCGGCCACCGCCAGCCCGTGAGTCGCGCGCCAGAGCCAGCAGAGCTGGCAGAGCCGCGCGCAGCAGAGCAGGCAGCCCGCCGCCGCGGGCCGCGCGCCGCGCCGCAGAGAATTCGGCGCGCGCGACGCCCGGCGCCGCGCCCGCACCCCGCCGCACCCCAGCGCTGCCTTTTCTCGCCCCAGCCCGCGCCGAATGCAACGATTTTCAGACGCGCCGCCGGGTGACCCGCGACGGGGTGCTGCGGATGGAGGAGGTGCCTGCCCCATCCGCGCGCTCGCTGCTGCGCGCCGCGTCTGCCCGCCCCCCGAGCCTGCTCCCACGCCGCCTCACAGCAGCCTCACTGACACGCCGCCGCCGCCGCCGCACAGCTCTGCATCGCAAAGGGCTCGCTCGCACTCGAGAATGCAGCGTCGGCGCTCACCACCGATGCCGAGTTCGAGGGCCAGGAGGACCGCGACCGGCATCTCGGCGTCGACGCGAGCGAAGTAGCGGTGCGTCGTCGTCCGCCGCGCCGCGCCCGCCGCTGCTGCTGACACACGCGTCTGCCCTCCAGGAGCACCATCTGCAGGCCGCGCTCTCGTCGACGCAGCTCGCCGCCGATGCCTCCAACGGCAAGGCGTCGGGCTCGCGCGCCGCGTACCACATCCCCACGCCCGACGCCAAGTCCGTCCTCGCGCCGGCGCAGTACTCGGCGCTGTACCCGTCGGGCGCCTACTCGGACCCCGTCACCTACGTGCGCTACTCGGACACCATCGAGGAGGCATTCAAGGGCCCGAGCTACTGTCTCGACGAGCACGATGACGAGTGGCTGCGCGAGCGCAACGCCAAGGCCGCCGAGGCTGCGGCGACGGCGCTGCGCTCCTTCAAGCCGCCGCCGCCGCCCGGCGCCGGCTCGGCCAAGAGCAAGGGCAAGGAGCGTGCCCGCGACGATCTCGCCGCCGCCATGGTGCGCGAGAATCCGGACCTGCGCGTGATCAGCGACGACGAGTTCGAGATGGTGATCAGCGTCTTTGAGAGCTACACGTCGGACCGCGTGCCGTTTGTGCATCTCGACCTCAAGACGCTGCCCACGCTCGACGACCTGCTGCCGGCGTTCGACGAGGACTCTTCATTCTCGCAGCAGGCGCTGCCCGAGTTGCCGGAGCTGCCGTGGGAGGCGCGAGCCTCCACCTCCGCCTCTGCGGCCACGCCGCCGTCACGCAGCGTCGCCTGGTCGCCGGCGAATCCGTATCGCAACCTGCCGGCGCTCAAGGTCCTCGCCAAGGCCATATACCCGTGGTGGAAGGAGCGGCGCGAGGAGCGCGAGGGCAAGGCGCTCACGCCGTACCTCAACTTCGACGAGTCGAACGACAACGACCCCTATGTCTGCTTCCGGCGCCGCGACGCCAAGGTGCTGCGCAAGACGCGCAAGACGGACGTGCTGCATCTCGAGAAGCTGCTGCGGCTACGCAGCGAGCTGCAGAGCGCCACGACGCTCCTGTCGCTCGTCGCACAGCGCGAGAAGACGAAGCGCGCCAGCCTGGCACAAGATCGCGCCTGCTGGGAGTCGGCGCGCGAGCTGCTCGACGTGAAGCGCACGTGGAACATCCTCGGCCCGCTGCAGGGCGCCGAGGACGACGAGCTCATCTCGGGCGAGAAGCGCGAAGACACGGGCCACGGCGTCGCCGGCGCGGCGAAGAAGAAGCGCAAGACGGATGCAGACGCAGCCGGCGCCGTCGGCACGGTCCGCATTCCCGCACGCAAGCCGCGGCCGAGCGAAGAAGGCACAGCTGCGGCCGCGAGCTCGAGCTCGTCTGCAGGCGCCTCGTCGGGCCCACAGGGCCTCGGCTCGCAGATCATGGAGCGCGTCCGCGCCGTCCAGGAGTACATCGAGCGCGAGTGCATGCGCAAGCAGGAGGCCGACCTCGGCTGGGAGGAGGGCACGGACACCGCCTTCCAGCCCGTGCCGGTGCCTGTCGACCTGCGCTGCTTCCGGCCAATCCACACGGAGCTGTCGCTGGAGCACCAGCAGCGTCAGCAGCAGCAGCTGCAGCAGCAGATGTCGCTTCTGCCGATCCACCAGGCGCCCTCGCCGTCGACGGCAGCCGCCGCCACCGCCGCAGCCGCCGCAGCCTCTTCGCGCGCCAGCCGACCGCCGTTCTTTCGGCGGCGTGTCGGCCGCGGCGGCCGCATCTTCCTCGACCGTCGGCTTCCTGCAGCGAGCCCTGCGCCGGCAAGTCTGCTCAACTGGCCGCGCAATGGCGAGGCTGGTCAGCAGGCGCGCCCTGCCGCGCTTCCCGCTCCGCCGCTTCCGTCGGCCGCCGCCGCGCGTCTAGGTCCGACCTCGCCGGGCAGAGCAGGCGACAGGCGCGCCGCGCACCAGTCGCCGTCACAGCATCTCACTGGGCCCTTCGCCTTCTCGCCGAGCGTGCGCCCGAGCCTGCTCTCTTCGCTCAGCATTGCGCCCGACGTTCGCGCCACGGGCCCATTCGCTCAGGCCGCAATCGAGAGCTCGCAGGCGTCGGACTCGTCGTGTGCCTCGTCGGTCTCGAGCGACCGCTCGAAGCACAGCACCGACTCGTCGGGCAGCGGCGCCAGCACGCAGCCAACGGATGTCGACGAGGAGTTCGACGTCATGGCGATGGGCGGCGACGACTTCGACAAGATGTCGACGGCCTCCGAAGACTCGGACGGCGAGCCAGACGAAGAGCAGCTCGACCGCGCCCGCGAGCGCTGGCGCTACGATGACGAGGCCGGCCGATGGGCTGGCCTCGGCCTCACTGGCCTCGGCGGCATGGAGGACGATGACGAGGCGGTGCTCGACGACTTCGACCAGCGGTTCGTGCGCTACCGCATGAGTCTGCTGCAGGAGTCCGACCTGCTCAGCCTCTCGACGGACCTGACGAACATCATGCAAGCGCAGGCGCACGCCACGCTCCCGGCGCCGCCGCCCGTCGGCAACGGCGTGCCGATCTCCATGGCGCGTCAGCCGTCCGAGGCTGTCAGCCAGGCGGCGCAGCACCTCGCCGGCGGGCCGCACGCTCCGCCCCACCAGATGCCGCCCACGCAGCAACAACTACCCCCGCAGCAGCAGACACCGCATTCGCAGCCGCGTCCGAGCTCTGCCGGCGCTCCTCATCAGCAGCAGCAGCCGCAGCACCTCGGCGCAACCCCTCAGCAGCAACAGCAGCAGCAGATGCTGCTCGCGCAGCAACAACAGCAGCAACAACAGCAGCAGCAGCAACAGCAGCAGCAGCAGTACGCCGCGCAGCAGTTCGCGCAGCGTGCGCATCCCGACGTCGCCGGGCCGCTGGCCGCGCTGTCGGCACAGCAGAGCTTCCAGCAGGCCGCCATCCAGCGCGCACTGATCGAGTCGCAGCGTGCGGCAGCCGCGGCCGGCGCCGTGGGTGTGCCGCCGGGTGCGCAGCAGGGCTCGCCGCTGCCGCGCTCGCGCGGCTCGACAAGCGCCGGCCCGACGCAGCCTCATCCGCTCTCGCAGTCGTTCAGCGGCTCGAGCCCGCAGCCGCACCAGGCCGTGCAACAGCAGCAGCAGCAACAGGCTGCGCAGGCCGGCGCCGGTGGCATGCAGCGTGCAGCCACTGGCTTCCCCAACGGCAACGGCACCAATGTGCTCGCCGGCACGCAGTTCGGGCACCAGGATGCGCAACAGCAGCAGCAGCAGCAGATGCACCTCGCACAGGCGCGCCACTCGTCTTCGCCGGCACCTGGCTCGACGAAGCCGTCGCCGCAGATGCAGAGCGTCGGCGCCTTCCCCGGCAATGGCGCAGCGCAGGGCCCGTATCTGCAGCAGCAGATGCAGCAGATCCAGCTGCAGCTGCAGGCGGCGCAGCAGCAGCAGTATCGCCAGCAGCAACAGCAACAGCAACAGCCGCAGCAGCAGAATGGCGGCGTCGTGCCTGGCATGGCGCCGCCGAACGCTGGCACGATGCAATTCAGTGCTGCGACGCTGCAGGCCCTCCAGGCTGCTGCCGCCGCCCAGGCGCAGCTACACGGCAGCAACGGCGCGACCGGCAACCTTCAGCAGCAGCAGCTCATCGCCATGAAGGCCGCACTCGCCTCGAGCCAGAACCTGCAGCTCAAGATGCCGCAGAACCGCATGGCGCAGATCGCCCAGTCGGGCCAGCAGGGCGCGCTGCCGAACGGCGCTCCGCAAGCCGGCTCGCCACGCATGGCTCCGCAGCAGGTGCAACAGCAGCAGCCGATCGCCGGCGCTGCCACGTACGCTGCCCGGCCAGCGCAAGCACAGCAGCAGCAACAGCCGCAGCAGCCGCAGATGACTCAAGTGCCAGGCCAGCCAGCACAGCGCGGCAGCCCAGCCCTCGGCAGCAAGGCCAAGGCGTCGCCGCAACGGAACGGCGCTGCCGGCCAGCCGCACCACTCGCCCTCGCCTGCGCCCAACGGCCGCTTCGGCTACGCCTCCTGAGCGCACTCAAGCTCCTCGCTAGCTCTCTTTCTCGTTGCTTCCCCACCGCTCTATTCCCCATCCCTCCTCGTCGCGCCTCCTTGCTGTACTCTAGGTCTCTTCTCTCTAGGCTTGCTGCCGTCTTGCCAATCGATGCGCGCACCTGCGCACGCGCCAACGAGCGCTTCGCCCTGCGGGGCAGATTATATCACACGTCGCGTGACCGCGCACCGCATCCACATGGTCTGAGAGGTGGCTTGACCGGCGTGCAGAGAGTATGGTACAGCTGGAGTCGCATCTGGGCCGACGCTCAGAAGCCGGGCGGGCGGATGCCGCCTGCTGCGCCGGGCGCTGCCGGGGCCTGGCCCGGCTGCTGAGGCGCGCCGCCACCAAGCATCTGGAGGGCACGTCAGCGAGGCAGGCAGGCAACCTCTGAGCGCCACCACTCACCTGGGCACCCTGCTGCTGCTGGTACATCTCCTTCTCCTGCGCCACGATGCGGCTCTCGTCCTCGAGCGCCAGCGCGTACGGCAGGCCCACGAGCAGCGCGCTCGTCGTCACGACCCACACCAGGTTGCCTGCCAGGCGGCCGCCGAAGAAGGCGTATGCCGAGGCCGTGCGGAAGGTGTGCGCAATGCGTGCGCGTGTTGAGGACGGCACAATGTCGACGAGCGCTGCAATGCGCTCCCACACCGTCTCCTGCTTCAGAGCCACGCCCCGCTCCGTCACCTCGTCGTCCGAGATGTCGGACTTTGTGTGAGGTGCGTGTCAGCAGGTGAGCGGCACGACGAGCTGAGCGTCTCAGCATCTCGTACAGCACGCGCGTGGACAGCGCATGGTCCTCTGCCGAGCGCCTCCGAGCCGTACGGATTCCCAGTGTGACGCGCAGTGTGCGAGACCCCGTCCGTGACACGACATTTCGACGGCCTCGTCAAGACGGGAGCTAGCGTGCGCTGTGGTTGCATCGCCATGCCGAGGCAGTGCGACTCGCCATGGCTACGTCGATGGCGCCACGGCTGGCCACGCTGCGCTTCGTCTCAGGCCGATGCTAAACCACGTCTCCTCTCCACTGCGCTCGCACCCTGCGCAGGTCGCCTGTTGAAGCGCAGCAAAGCGAAGACATAGATCCCGCCCGGCCGCTCCTCCTGCTCTTTGCCTGCTGCAGGTCGTCTCCTCTGCGAGCGCCCTTCCGCAGTCGAGGGCCCCTCCAGCCCCATTTGCTGAGCAGCGCACGGCATACTCACGCCCTCGGAGCTCTCGTCATCCCACTCGTCGTCGGCAGCGATGTTGGTGGCGTTGAAGGCCTCGTCGGGCAGCTCCTCGATGGTCGGCATGGTGCACGAGTGATGGGTGGTGGGGCAGTCGTGGAGGTGTGGTCGATGGAGCAGTGGGAAGCGCAGCGGCCGGCGCCGGGCCAAAATGGCTGGGCGCGGCACGTGACGTGGCCACGGCGCTGCGCTGACAAGGCCGCGGCGGCGCGCTGCTCCACTTGTGCTGCCCGAGGCGCCACCTTCCTGCCTCTCTGCCACAACGTCAAGATTGCAAGGATCATGGCTGTGCAGCACGGCCTGGCCACCGCAGCGCGGACGCTCGCACGCTCAGCGGCCTCGGGCACATCAACATGTGTCGCGGGTCCATCGCGGCTGCCGTTCGTGGCGCGCACGGTCGAGCGCCGCAGAAGCGTCTCCTCGCCCGGCCCGCGGAAGCGACACGTCGATGAAGGCAGCGATCTGCCTCGTCGAGCAACCGATAGTGCGCGGCACTTCACAACCTCACGACGAAGCGCTTTCCAATCCGCAGCCAGGCGCGGCGCTCACACCACGGGGCACGCCGGGACTAGCGCGTCCGCGGCCGAGCTGAGCAACGTCGCCCTGCTCGATGGAGGCCTCGAGGGCGACCTGAGCCAATGTTCCGAGGAGCAGCTACGCGCCGTCTTGGAGAATGAGCGGCTGTGCCATGCGAGCATCACCGTGTCGGACGCCTACCTCGAGCTTCGCAGCCGCAACGCCGACACGCTGGCTGAACTCTCCGACAACGCCGTGGTGCAGCTGTGCTCGTACGCCGCCTTGGCGCGACTGCCTGCAGTCATTGCACTGCTGCTTTCGGACCTGCCGGATCCGGGCCAGGAGCTCACGCCCGCCCTGTTGGTGGAGCTCCGCCAAGGCACGCTCGCGAACGAGGCAGGTGCACGCGTGCAGCGCGCACTGGAAGCCATGCTCGCCGCTGCAGGCAGCAGCGCGGCGCTGCTCGACGATCCCGGGTTCAGCATGGCCTTTCTCGGCCCCGCGTCGTCATGGCGGATTATAGCGGGCGTTCGCTCGCTCGACCTTATCCTGACATCTCAACATTCTCAACGTCTGCTTTGCAAGCTGGCCGAGTCGTATTCGCTCGGCGTTGCCTCGCGCTCGGCTCTGGACGACTCGCTCTTGCGCGCGCTCGTCTCTGCAGTCCTAGCTCAGGGTGACGTCGGCCTCTTTCCCGCGCTCGAGGTCTACTTGGCTCTGCTCGGCAGTCGGGGGAGCGATGAGCCCGCCTCGTGGAAGGACAACTGGCGAAAAGCGAAGTTCCCGAGCATCCAAGAGGCCGGTCTCTTGGTGGAGTACTATCTCGACACGATGGCGCGTCACGCAGACGATCCTCGCGCCGCGCAGCAGTGCCGCGAGAGCGCTTTGCGCATCATCGGCGCCTTTGTCGAACGCGCTGGGCTCGGACAGACGCTGTTGGAGCGAGCCGCAGAGGACGCTGGCAGCTGCGAAGGCTGGCTCGACGAACTCGCCGTGTCAGACGAGGCGAGGCGATCGGCGAACTTCGCTATCACTGTGCGCGCATTCTGCGTGCACGCCTTCATCGCTTCGTCGCTCTGGACCCCCGCGCGAGAAGCATGCGTCCGACTCATCCAGGAGCTCGCCGATCTGAGGAGCGCCGCGTCATCGACCTCTGCAGACGATCTCCCCGCGCGGCACGGGCTGCCGGAGCTCTGCGGGTCTCTTGCCCGTCGCGTCGTCTTTGCGACTACTCGGGCAGGAAGCTTGAGCGAGGCGATTGAAGCATGCGCGTCTCTCGCCTCAGCGCTGCTGCTCGAGCCGGAGAAGAAGCCCGGACCGGTCACGCAGGAGGTACGACCAGATAGGCCGCACTTGTGGCTGGACGAGCTCCTCGACGCCGTCAGCAGGGCCGGTGAAGATGAGCTGAACGGAGCTCTGTCTCGAGCGCTGTCGCGATATCCTCCGGGGTCATTGTGTCAGCTGCTCAATGCAGGCAGAACACTTGCGCTGCTAGCCTGCGTGCCGGCTCGTAAAGAGAGCCGGATGACCCGCCTTGGCAGTGTGCTCGGGTTGTGGGACGAGCGCCTCGATCCTTTCATCGACGAGCATTTCGAGGAGTCTCTACGGGCTCGCGTAGTCGCCGAGGTCGCGCGCTGTGGCGCGAAGGACCTCACTCGCCAGCTCTGGCTCAGGTGGACGGCAGACATTGCCGACGGCTCGTCTCCCGGCCGGGCCACTTCGGGTGTCGTCCAAAGCGTCTCGTCCATGCTCTCGGTCGTGCGCCTCTTCGCGGGACCGCCGTCCCATGTTCGCGAAAGCGTCGCTCCAGCAGAGGAGACTGAGGCGGTGACAGACGCGCATCCAGATCAAGCCTTTGCGACCCGCGTCCTCGAGCGATTCACCTCCTCACGCCCTCTGGGCCATATGGATGAGGGCGAGCTCAGTGCCGTTGCCACGGCCTTCTTCGCGCTCAACGACCCCAACTCCGCCTTCGAGGTCCTCGCAGCGATGCTGCGGCGCGACCTCGTTCCGAGCCTCTACAACGTGCACAATGCCGTGCGCGAGCTAGGCAAAGTCAGCATCGACCGAGCAGTGGACATACTGGCAGTCTACGGCGAGTCGACCGCTCGCAAGGCAGAGGAGACAAGCCACATTGCAGCCATCTACCAGACGCTCCTTACCAGCGTGGCGATACAGGCGCGCTACGACCTCGTGCCCAAGCTGCTGGCATCCGAGGAGCAGGCCGGCGTGCATCGGGCACTCGGCGTCCTGGCCGCTCATGTTCTGATCGAGCAGTTCGAGGCACTGGATCGCGCTGCCAATCGACGGGAGCGCAACGAGCCGATGCGTATCATGCGCGATCTGGTGCGCACATGCGTGTCAAACAAGGAGGACTTTCAGCTCGAGGCGACCTTGCTCAACGCCGTCGTATCGAAGGCCTCCACGCAGCTCCGAGCCTTCGCGCCTCCGCCCGGAGAAAGCGGGCCCGCTCAGGCACGCTGGCTGCCCTACGGCGCACATGCCGACACTGCACTCCGTCTTCTGCGTCTCGTCTCTGGCGCTGGCATGGCCTACACAGGCACAGCTCTGCGCGTCATGGCCGCAGTGCGCTCCCACTGGGACTACCGCCGACGCAAGGAGAGCCTCAGGGCCGGCGGCGACAGCAGCCGCATTCTGAAAGGCCTGCGCGTCACGTCACTGCTGCAGATGGATGAGCTCGTTGGCACGGTCCGCTGGGGTTGCAGAACCATCGCAGAGTCGCCTGCGCGGCTGAGCGGCGATCGCTTCCGCCACATGGCGGTCAACTACCTCGCGCTCGACGACGTCGACGGCGCCATCGAGGTGATGAGCTGGATGCGCGAGCTCGGCATGTCCTACGAAGGCGACCCACTCAAGAGCCGCTTCCTACAAGACCTGCGCCGGCGAGCAGAGGAAGACGCCGACCTCGCCGAGACGCGTCTGCTCCGGCTGGCAGGCGACATAGCCACGCCGCACACGAAGCTGTGGTGGGAGCGCGTGACATGGGAGACGTCCATCCCGCAAGACTGATGGCGGCAGCAATGACATTGCACTGCCGCACGGGTATCTGACGCACGACTGGGCCTACGAGAAGAAGGAGCGAATGTCGCCAGAGCGCTTGCCCGTCGGCGTGCGCTTGGGCGACCCCTTCTTGCGCGGCGGCGACTGCGCAGGCACGCCCGGGCCGCTGCTTGGCCCGCCGCCGGCCTGCTGCGTCTTGAGCATGTTCTCGAGCTTCGTCGGCGCAGGACGGGACGGACTGCTCGATGGCGGGTTGAATGGCTCGGGCGAGAACTTGGAGCTCGGCTTTGTGGTAGAGGCCGACGGGGACGGCGACGTGCGTGGTCTTGGCGATGCTGAGGGCTTGGGTGCGGGCGCGCGGTTCTGCTCGTCAGCATCCTCGCGCTCCAGCTGCTCGGCGAGCAAGCGATCCGCCTCGATCTGCGCTGCTCTGTCCTGTCCAGGGCTGCTGCTGGGCGTCTTGACGCGCTCTGGTGCCTCGGCCGGACCTGACACTTCGCGCTTGACCGGCTCCGGCTCGGTCTTGGCCCTCTTCGCGGGCGGCGCGTCGTCTGTGTCCTGCATCTTGCGTGCACGGCCAAACGCCTGCGCGATGCCGTCCTTGCGCTCGGTAATGGGATGCAAGAATTTCTCGTCGTCCGTGCCGGTCCTGCCCACCTCGCCGGGAACGCGATAGCATTCCAGCGGATGCTCGTACGGCCGCAGGAGACGCCCGACGCGCTCGAGCGGCGCTGGCACCAGCCCGAGCCAGATCTGCAGCGACTCGAGGTCGGGTAGAACGACTGGCATGCGCGTGTGCTGCAAGAGGCCGGGAGTGAGCAGCAGGAAGGTGCCGCGAACTGCGGTCTACGCACAAGAAAGTCGAGCTGCTTGTTGATCTCTGTCGTGCAGATGGTGAAGGAGCGCAGCCGCTCGCCGTTCTCTAGTGTGCACTCTTCCCAGAGCCCAGCTAGCGGCACCATCTCGCGGCCATCGCCGCTGGCCGTCTTGCGGCCGATGCCCGGCTCGGACGAGCCGACAAAGTGCGCCAGACGCGCCGACGGCGTGACCTGCCACTGTGATGCATGTGTCAGCGCGGCGCTGCGTGGCGCAGCATGCGCGTATCTCACCTCGTACCATCCCTGCGCCCAGACGACACAGCGCTTGCCACGACGAAACAGAGGCGCCCAGATGCCCTGGCCGCTGAGGATGGTGTCGGCTCGCGCATTGATCGTCTTGATCGTGTCTGCGCCGCGTGGGATGCTTTTGGTCGACGCCGGCAGCAGACCCCAGCGCATTGGCTCGAGAATGAGCTTGGCGTCTGCGCCACCGCCTTGCGCGTGCAGCACCGGGTGCTGCGTCGTCGGCGCCACATTTGTGGTTGCGTGATAGCCATCCTCCATCTCTGGCACTGCATCAGCAGTCCAAGCGGATTCTGCAGCATATACTGAGCCCGTCGGCGCCGATGCTGAGTCGCCAGCCGCACTCTGGCGCGAAGAGGGTCCCGCCGCGCCGCCGCGCGCGCTGGACGACGAGCCTTGGCCGCGTCCTGCCGCCGCGTCGGCATCAGCGCGGCGCTCGCGGCGGTGAGCACGGCCCAGCCAGTCGTTGACGGCGGCGCGGTGCTGCTGCGCTGTCAGCTTGTCGGCGAAGCGACCGCACATGGTTGATGAGGTGGGGAACACCCCCAGGTTGGGGTGCGCAGTCCAAGCACCAGCCAGCCACCCGACCCACGACGTTGATGTGGAGGTGCCGCGACAGAAAGTTCTGGTGTATCTGACAAGTGTGGGAGCACATGGGTGAGGGGAGGGACGCGGCGCCTGCGCTGAATTAACGATTTCGCAGCCCTCCGCCCCTTCAGAGCCAGCGCCAGCCCCACGGTTTCAGCGCGGGCCGCTGCGGCACGCGCATCTCATGCTGCTCGCCCCCTTGCAGGCGCGCGTCTCTGAGCTTGAGCGCTGCCAGCTGCGGTAATGCCAGCAGGGTCTGCGTCAGCGCAATTTGAATCAGAACTGCAACTCATGCGAAGATCACAGGTGGGGCCCTCGCGAGCGCCCCTCGAAAGCGAGCTGCTCCCGCGCTCTTGCCGGCTGCGCGTGCGGGAGCGCCATCCCACGCGTGACGGAGGCGGCCCGCTCTTGAGCAGCTGAGCGGCTCGCGGCCCCACCTCACCCCGACGACGAGCACGCTCCGAAGAGCGCAGCGAGGATGCCAGAGTCAGCTGCAGCCGCGGAAGTAGAGACTAGCAGCATGGAGGAAGCAGGAGCAGGGTGCAGCGACGCAGGAGCGCAACCGCCGGACGGCTGCCTCCCAGCAAGCAGGGCGCCGGCTAGCGTGGGTGGCAGCCGGCAGCGGTCGCTGTCGATCACGCTTGCTGCGGCGTGGTCTCTGCTCAAGGCCCTCGCTTCCCAATGGCCCCGCTCGCAGCGTGGTCTGTGCACGCTGATGGACGCACGAGGCAGGCTACTGCACCGCTAGGCGACGGTCGCCTTGCTCCCGGCTGCTGCGACGCTGCTGCACCTCAAGCACCCCCATCATGCCGCTGGCGCTGCGAGGAGCCTTTGGGCGGGGCCACGGCCATCGGCAGGTTGCCCTCGCCCTTGCGCCTTCTCTGTTCCGCTTTCGGCAGGTCGGATGTGATGTGCTGCGAGGCGGCATGCGACGTGACGCCGTGTCGTCGGCATCACCAGCAGCCAGGCAGGGGTACGCAGGAACCGCGGTGGCGCTCGAAACGTCGGGCTGCGAGCGGAGAGTCGCGAGAGGGCGTGCTGGGCGTCATGCGCCGTGGGGACGGGAGGGCGCAGCAGCGGCCGCGATGCAAGTGCTGCTGCCCCGACGTCCACATCGCAGGTCCGACTCTGCGACGGCGACCGCGCGAGGTGCCTGGCAGCGCGGCAGGAGAGTCGGAGCGCGGAGCGGGCGCGAGCGAGCGTGGAAGGCAGCCGCAGCACGCTCTTCAAGGCCCGGCCGGCGCAGCGCAGAGGGCCCGGAGTTACTTGCGCAGCTGCGAGAGAGGCAGCGAGCCCGGAGCGACGTCGCACAGAGGCACAGAGCGACCTGCGGGTGCGAGCGAGGTGCGATGCCGTGCACGCGCCGGCGCCGTGTGGCTTGTGCGTCGCAGGCGCGCGTGCAGCGTCGTGCGGCGGGCGATCTGATGCGCAGCGGTTGCCGACGACGAGCCAGACTCGTCCGGCCCATCCTCGACGAGCACGAGCTCGGCCAGCGCACGGCATTCTGTGGCTGAGCGCAGGCGAGTCCAACACCTCGAGAGCAACACGAGATTGCCAGCGCGCGCCGGCCATTCCTTGCGCGCGTGTCGCCGACGAGCTCTGGCTGGCGTCGCCGGCGAGCCGAGCTGCGCCCCGCGCCGACATTGCCGTGGCAGCCGCCTCGTCTATCGCTTGCCGCTGTCACCAACTCAGCCCCGCGCCGATCTGTAGCACGTCCTGGCGACGATCGAGGGCGAGCAAGCGCTCCCGGATGGCGTCCCAGTGGCGCTGGCGAGCTCGCGACCTAGCATGCGGCGCCAGCATCAGGCCGTCTCGGACGAGGATCGCTGGTAGCAGCGAGATGCAGGGCTTCAAGCCGTTGAGGCCGTTTGTTTGCAGGCCGCTTGTCAGCCAGCGGCCAGAGTGCAGCCGGCAGACCCTGAAGCGCGGCAACGGCCGTGCTGCGCCCCTACGCCCACGCATCGCAGCAGCATGCTGGCGCAACGGCCATGCAGGTCCCGTGAGGCAGCTGGGCGGTGGCGAAGGGGGCGTCGCAGGCGTAGGAGCGCGGCACGGCAGGAGTCGAGGGCGCTGGGCGCTGCGTGCGCTGTGTCGATGTGTCGCGTGTTGGTCGCGCTGGCGGCGGGCAGCGCGCCTGTGTGTGTGCCTGGCGGCATCGCCGCAGGAGAGATGCACGGCCGAGCGCCACCGCGCCTTGCGCTTCTGCCTGCGAGCGAGCTGCGCGCTGCTGCTGCTCGGTGCTGCCGCCGCTCGCCCCTGGCAGCGAGCTGCGTGCGGCTGGCGGCGCCCGCGCCCATCGGCGCTTGACGCGGCTCTCGCTCTGCGCTGCTGCAGCCCATCCCCCGTAGGCACAATGCTGCCCTCCGCTGCGGCCGCAATGCTGCGAGGCAATGCTCCGCTGCCCGCGGCCGAGCAGCACACCCCTGGCCTCCTCAGCGCTTGCTCCTCTGCACGCGCTGGACGCCGGCAGCCGGCTGCAGCGTTGCAGCCGGCTCCCTGACGCTCCTGGGCCCCCCCACCGGGCCTTTCTCCGGCTGCGCTCAGGGGCCGCCGGAGTGCCACCGAAGTGCAGCAGCGCTGCAGCATGCGGCCGTGCAGCGGAGGGCCGGCATCGCAGAGGCATCGCACAGGCATCGCTCAGGCATCGCTCCATCGCGCCTCCGACCAGCGCACGGGTGCGTCTGCCCGCCACCCCTGGGCCACGGCCGCGGTGGGCGATCTCGCACCGCCGGTACAAGAGGCAGCACCACGCCGCCTTCCTCGCCCGCTCGCCGCTGATCCCTCGTCCTCGACTCTCGCTCTCGCTCTCCATCTCCTATCACTTAGCCCCTCCACCATGCCTGCCTACCCGCCTGCCCTCGCTGCGGGCCTGCTGCCGCCCTTCTCGACGCCCGGCGCATCCACCTCGGCGCTGCCGCCTGTCGCACCCGCTCCGTCGCCGGCGCCATCCGCCTCGCGCGGCCTCTGCTTCTGCGGCGCCGCCGTCGATGCTGCCGACGCCCTCGCCGACGACGCCAGCTGTGTCTCCGACGACGACGACGAGGCGGCCATCTACTGCTCGCGCGCCTGCGCCCGCGCCGACGCCCTCCACGCTCTCCTCTCTGGCGGCTCGTCGTCGGCCGACATGATGCCCAGCCTCTCCAGCGACAGCACCTCGACCGTCTCGACCGTCGGGCCACGCACGCCGCCGCGCCTCGCCTCGCTGCCACGGGAGCCGGCCGCACCGCGCGCCGACATGGACGCCCGCCGAGCCAGCAAGGCGCGTGTGCTCGCCTGCGCCAGCAAGCAGCTGCAGAGCCAGTACCCGGACCTCAACATCGGCCTCGACAGCACCGGCCACATGCGCCTCAGCAGCGTCGCCGCCGAGGCTCCGGCTTCCGACGACGACGCCATGGCGGCATCGCTGAGCCTGCGCCTCGGCATGCTCGGCGGCAGCCACTACCGCCGCATCCAGGCCCTGCGCCCCGTCTTCGAGTTCAACGACAGTGACGCCGACGGCGCCGAGTCGCCATCGTCGAGCACGTCGTCCGGCTCGTACGTTGCCGCACCGTCGCACGCCTCGCCCGAGCGCGAGCAGGCCCGCCTCGCCGCGCTCAACGCACCCGCCCAGGCCCGCGCCCGCCACGCCCGCAAGGACGCCATGGCCGCCGAGGCACTCAGCTCGGCCCTCTCGCCGCCGGACTCCGGCTTCGCCACGGCACTGCCGTCGCCGGCGACGCGTGCCAGCTACCTGCACCACTCGCACAGCCGCAGCGACGCCAGCTCCGCCAGCGACGTCAGCGGCTCGGGCAACTCGCTCTTCAGCGACGACGCCGGCAACCTCTCGTGCCGCAGCCGCGCCACGACGATGAGCACCTCGGAGCGCCCGCCGCTGGTCAAGGGCCTCTTCTGCACCAACCCGGACCGCTCGTCGCGCTCCGATCTGCCCATCCCGCCGGCGCCGGCGCCCACGTCGCGCGAGCTCGACCTCCGTGCCGAGCTGGCGGCCCTCGACGCCGAGCTTGACTCGACGTTCGAGGCATTCGAGTTCTGGGCCGAGGAGCACTCGCACGGCAACGTCGAAAAGTGGAGCTCCGGCCTCGAGACGGACGCCGACGGCAACCTGCTCGGCCTGGCGCTCGGCGCCATGGGTCCGCTCTGCTCGACGCCCATGCCCAGCTGTGCGCAGTTCGCCAGCCAGTCGGCCCTCTTCGGCGGCGGCTTCGACGACTTGCCCACCACGCTGCCGCTGCAGTGCCGCCGGCCGAGCCTGGCGCCGCTCGACATCGACGCCAGCCTCAGCGTCGACCGCTCCGTCTTCGAGCCCGACAGCCCGCTGCTGACGCCGCCGTCGTCGAGCGCCCGCGGCGTCACCGCCGCATTCTCCTCCTTCTGGCGCCGCACTACGACCGTCTCGCCACCATGCACGCCCGAGGACGGCCAGCCCTTCGACTTCACCCAGCGCAAGCCCACGTCGCCGCCGTCGCCCACGGGCCGCGAGCGCGAGCAGGCCGAGCGCCTCGCCGGCCGCATCGATGCCGTACTGCGCAGCCGCTGGAGCAACGTCAAGGGTGCCTTTGCGCCGTCGTCACCACCGGCTGCCGAGGGCAAGTCCTCCGCTGGCCCATCGCCCACATCTCGTCCCAGTCTCGCCCACAAGCGCAGCCGCGCACTTCTCGCCGCCATCGCCGCTTGAGCTCATCTCACACACACGATCATTCACTCGCACTGCCTCCGTCTGCATTCCTTCCGCGCATTGCATCACATCGCTCCTTCATTGCTCCATCATCTGTACACTAGCCTGCTTCAATCACACGTCACATGCTGCCCACCTCATCTTCAGAGTGCCAGGCCCACGCGTGTCTGAGGGAAGCCGGCGCGAGGCACCGACGGCGGGGGACGTGACGGCGGCGGTGTGCGCACGGCGGCCTTGAGGTTGAACATCGAGCGCGTAGCGGGCGGGACGACAGCCGGCGCATCAGCCTTGATGGACGGCCGGCGCACGGCGCTCTTGATCTCGCCCTCGATCCGTCGGCTGCGCTCTGCCGCTGGCGACGCCGGTGCCGAGCCGGCATTGGCGTACGGCAGCACCCCACCGGTCGATGGCGACGGCACGCGCGTGTGCAACCGGTCGCGCATGGTCTGGACGGCCTGGCGATGCTCGTCCATGTCCGAGCGGCGGCGAGGGTAGGCGCTTGGCCCGGGCACGTATGGCTTGACCTCCTCGACCTCGTCGTCCGACGTCGAGAACGCCAGGAAGAAGGAGCTGCGCCGCTCCGTGGCGTTCTGCCGCTGCGCGAGCGGCGACTGCGAGTGCAGGTCGTCCGAGGAAACGGTGACGCGAGCACCCGTGCCGGTCTTGTGCGGGCGCTCTCGCGTGCGCTGAAGCGAGAGCGCATCGAGCATGGCATATTGACGCTTGGCCGCCGTCTGCGAGGCGATGCTCGGCCGGCGCGAGTTGTCCGCCTCGAAGGTGGCGCTCGGCGACGACAGCGCCGGCGTGAGCGGCGGCAGCGTCTCTGCGTAGGAAGAAGTCGGCGAGAACGTTGCATCGTCGCTCGAGCTCCACGAGGATGGACTCGTGCTCCACACGGAGGCGCGCATCGCTTCGCTGAGCGTCAGCGGATGGACATCGATGGCGCGCTCAGCTGCCGAGTAAGGGTGCTGTCCGGAGAGCTCCAGGCGGAGCGAGCGCTTCGGTGTCAGGCGCCGTGGCGCCGGATCGAGGATGACCGGCGAGCCGAGTTTCAGCGCCTTGTCCGAAGGGATCGGAAGCGCAGGCAGGGCGACGCAGGGGGCGGGGCCTTGGGGCGGAAGCGGCAGGCCGCGGATCGGGACACCCGAGGCATTCGAGGCAGAGTTGGCTCGCACCCGTCGGAGAGTCAGGGAGTTGCGAGCGGCCCTTGCATGAGCTCGCTCAGCTTTGGTCTTGCCCAGCACGGCGCTTCCGTCTGAGCGGACCATGGGGGCGCTGGCCGCCTGCTCGTCAGCCATGTGCTCCTCGTCCTCGCTGTCGGCGGCCAGCAGAGGTTCCACGCCGCTGGCAGGTCGCATGACCTCCAGAGCCTCGCGTGCAAGGGCCAAATCACCTGTGAGGCGAGCTCGTTCGAAGGCGAGGACAGCTTGGTCGAGCGCGAGCTGGGCAGGACCTGGATGGACCTCGTCGCGCGGGCTAGGCGAAAGTATGGCGGCCGCTTCGAGCGTCAAGCCGGTCCATTCGGTCTCGGCCATCTCGGGGGATACCTCGCCGGGCATGTCCTGCATGCAGCACCGGCTGCTGGACGACCGCGACGTGGCGTTACTGAGCGCTGAGCTGCGCTTCGAGCCAGCTCTGCCGGATAGACGGACGCTGGTGCGCTGGTTGCCCATACGAAAGGACTGCTCAGCCCGCACAAGGGCAAGCACGAGAGACTGAGGCCAGAGTCAGCCTCTGCTGCCGCCCTGAGAGGCACAGCACTTACCCGCAGCATCTTCTGCCAATGCACAAGTTGCTCAAGGCTGTCCAGCTGGATGCGCCATTCCTCGGGCGGAGCCCAGCGGCCGTTGACGTCGGTTGGAGGAAGCACCGAGGCCGCGCCGCCGATGCGCAGGACCCAGCGCTCGGAAGACGAGCGCGAGTCGGCTACGGCGATGAACGTCGTCGACGAGAGCGTGAGCCGCTGTAGCTCCACCAGGCCATCGCCCTTGAAGATGTGCAGACAGGCAAACGGCGCGGCCGTGCTCTCGCCGAGGCAGTCGAACTGAGGTGTGGGCGGCAGCGAGTCGTTGTCCCAGTGGATGCCGAGGCCCTCGCGCACGGTGGCGTTGCTGGAGAGCACGAGGCGCCGACGGTGCCAGCCGCGCTTACGTGCTAGCGCCATGCCTTTCCCCGCATCGAGCTTGCTGACCGGCTCGTCGAGCAGGATCGCACGTCGCAGGAGGCGATACTCCGCCGGAAAGGCCGGGCAGACCTTCGGCAGTCGGCTGCTTGCGCTGCCTGACGAGGCAGTGGCCGGCGACCAGGGCAGGGCGCGGGTGTCTTTCAGCGTCTCGAGCTCTGCTGCGCGGCGGTCGAGCAGGGTGCGAGGCTTGACCGAGCCGGCATGCCTGGTGCGCCAGGCCTCGTCTTGAGGGTCGTCGAGTGCCTCTCGCAGGTACGCCATGCTCTGGTCCGGAGAGCGCTTCGCTGCGCGAGCCTCGGGCGTCGCATGGGCGCGCACCTCTGGTTCGAGCGGCACCCGCGGCGCAGGGATGCACAGCGGGCCGATGTCGTCGATGGTGGCGCTCAGCTTGCTCCACGAGGCGCTATTGCGCAGCGTGCAGCCTGGCAGGTACACATCTAGCTGTGGCGGCGGCGGAGAGAGCGGGACTGCAAGCTGAAGTGCGTGCGGCGGCGGCACTGGCTCGCCGAAGAACTTGGCCAGCTTGTCGCTGTGGCTTGCCGTGCTGCTGCTCCGGGCAGCAGTAGAGCGCATGGAAGAGTCGCGTGGCGGGATGGCTGTGCGCTCCCTGTGGTTGGTGAGGCATCAGCAGATGCGATCCGGTAAGGCGAGCTCTAAGCGCACTGACATGGACAGGACGAAGATGCGTCGGTGGGTCGGTGTGAGAGAGCTCGCGAGGCGGCGAGCCTTATATATGCGCAAGGCGTCAGGCCCTTGTTGTAGCGCAGCTCGGGAAGATCACAGTCGATCTGCGGAGTCGAGTGCCTTGCTAGTCATGACGCCGGCTGTCCATCTACTGCCGTGGCGAGGTTGAGTACGGGCCAAGCACGTCGGCGCTCTGCCGAGGCATGATAGCTCGCGAGAGACGAGAGTTGAGCCAGGCAGCGCGGCAGGCGCTTTGTCGGATCGCACGAGAGACAAAGGACCCTCGCTGCATTCATGTGCTGAGCTTTGTTCTTCCCGCTGTGTGAGAAGCGTGCCTGACGAGTGTCGAGGACAACAAACAAAGCGCCCCGGGAGAAGGCGCCCGACCTCAAGACCCACGCGCGCGCGCATAAGGCGCGGCGCCGCGTACCGTTCATGCGTCGCGAGGACAAGACGTCGACGCGCGATGGAGACACGACGGTCCCGCTGCCGTGTCAGCCCCCAGCCTCGGGTCCGAGGGAGATTTAGGTCGCCGCGGGCCGGGCTGTCCGGGATCGCGCCGTGCTCGCAAGAACAAGAACGTCCTGTCCGTCGTGCCTGCGGGAGGCGCAGCGGCTGCGCCTTCGAGCTGAAGGCGCGGCCTCGCGACTGCTCAGGGGCCCAAGAGGAGCGTCGAGCTGCGCCCGTCGGACGACGCCACAACGGCCGAGGCCCATGATAAATGGCGTCTCATTAAAGGTGGCTTGACGAGCGAGCGGGCGCATCTCAACGAAGGTGGCTTGGTGGCGGCGCGAGCGCATCATCATCGACGCGGAACGGAGGCGGCCGCCTGCTGGATCGCACGTTCGCGCTCCTGCAGCTCGCGCTCCTTGCGAGTCAGCGCCGCCTCACGCTCGGCGAGGGAGCGCATGTCGCCTGACACATCGCGTGGCGCATGCTGCTGCGGCGGCGGGGCAGGAGCATACGAGGAGTGGTCGCGCGGCGCACCCCACTCGCGCATCGGCGCCTGCTGAGGAGCTCGCCGATCGACGTCGCGAGGCGGATATGCCGCAGGTGGCGCTGCGCGATAGTCTCGCTGCGAGTCGAGACCACGAGGCTGATCGTACTGGCGCGGCGCTCCAGGGCCCGCTTCACGAGCTGGCCGCGGCGCATACTCGTCACGCGGACTGATCGCACGAGGAGGCTCTTGAGCGCGAGGGCCGTACGCTGCGCGCGGCGCCTCGTGCGGAGGGTAGTTGCGGCGCGGGTCAGCGCTGCGAGCCGGCTCCCGCGGACCCTGTGCACCTCCGTGAGCTCCACGAGCGTCAGGCTCGCGCGACAGACGTGAGGCTGACGGGCGCCGGTCGTCGCGAGCAGCTGCGCCATGGTACTCGTCACGCACGCGAACGTCGCGAGACTCTAGCGCCGCGGCCGGCGGCTCCCGCGGTGCGCCCCATGCTCGCATGCCGTTGATGGCCGGAGCGCCAGCGCCAGGCGGGCCGCGCTGTTGAGCGGACTCGACGGGTGCGAAGCGATCGCGCATGGCCGGCAGCGCATCCATGGCTGGACGCGAGTCGTAGCGAGCCTCTGCGGGCAACTGCTCGGGCCCCCACTGCGTTTGACGCTCAAGGTCCGGATGACGAGCTGGCGGCGGGTTGTCGGCGCGGAAGCCAGACTTTGATGCCTGGCGCGGTGCAGACGGACGCTGTGAGCCTGCCGCAGCGATAGAGGCATGCGGCGGCTCGTCGTAGCGCGAGCGCCCAGCCGGCTCGCGTGGAGCACGCGAGTCGAGCTGAGCAGATTCTGCAGACCGGCTCACGACAGCTGCAGGCGTCTGCGGCTCGTAGCTGCGCCGGTCTCGCGCAACAGCCGCTGGCTCGGCCATACGCGAGTCGATCCGAGGACCCGCAGCAGGGGCGGGTGCATCTCGAGGTGCGCGGTCGTCGTACGACGAGCGGGATCCCCACGCAGACGGCGGCGGACCAGCATAGTCGCGGCCCGGCGCGTCGCGAGAAGGACCCTCTCGCGCAGACGGCTCACGGCTCATCGGAGCGTCACGCAGGGGCGCCTCGGCGGCCGGCGCAGCGCGTGCACCCCAGACTCGCATCTGCGGCTCGCCCGCTGCGCCCGAAGTACCTGGTGCGGCTCGCGACGGCCGGCGATCGTCGTAGGCTGGGCGCTTGTCGCTTGCCGGAGCGCCTCGTGGAGGCGAACGAGTTGGACCTTGGCTGCGGTCAGCGACGCTGTCGGGAGGCGGAGCAGAGGAATGCTGCAAAGGCGCTGTGGTCAGGTGGTCGGCTCTGCGATGGCCGACATCCACACTCACCGCCGGCTGCTCGCGCCCGCGGAAGCCGTTGCTAGGCTCAGGATAAGTGTCACGCTGCCGTGGTTCGACGCGCTCAGGCGCTGCTGGCGGTGCTGCGTCTGAAGGACGGTAGGAGTCGTAGCGCGAGCCAGCCGGCGCCGCTTCGGGTGCACGATAGCTGGATCTGTCGTGCTGCACGGTGGGAGGCTGCGACGTTGGCGCTGGCGCACCGCGTGCTGCGCCGTTGCGCCTCGCATATGCCGAGGCGACTGCGTTGGTCTCTTCTGCCGGTCGCTGCGAGATGCGTTACGGTGGTCAGAGAGACCCAGCGATGAGGAAGTGCGCCGCGATGCATGCTCACGCCGATATCGCGTCGCTCGTTCTGCGGGTAGCGAGACTCGCGCGCTGAAGCCTGCTTCTGATCTTGACGCTCGTTCTGCGACGCTCGGTCGGGCTGCCTACGGTTCGGCTCGGGCCGCGCTGCGTCTTGCACAGCGGCAGCGGGTGCGTCGTTCTGATCACTGCGTGGACGCTCTGAGGGAGATCGAGGAGCGGCCGAGAGAACGAGTGAGCGAGCTGCAGCGGAGCATCGAAGTGGCGTTCTGTTCGAGCGCCTCGAGCGCGAGGAGCCTATGAAGTTGCGCCAGACGTGCTGCAACGGACGGCCGGGTGCTGCGCACGACAGCGCAGACACACCGGCAGTGCGAATGACGGCGCGCCAGACGGGCGTCTGGGCCGCGACGAGCCCGACCGCATGCCAGCAGCCAGACTGGAGATCGACGCAGAGTGACGTCTGGCTCGCGATGAGCCCGACAGTGCGCACGAAGCGCTCGCCAGAGGATGAAGAGGGGTGCGGACAGATGCTCCGCGGTGCCACAGAGGTGACGCTGCAATCGCCTCTCTAGCCAGCCAACGCGACGCGCTCGAGCGCGAGCGGCTCGCAGTGCAGCAGTGAGCCAGAGCAGTCGCGCGCTCCTTGGGCAGATCGACGCCGGACGATGGCACGGCGGCGATGACGACGACGGAGCAAGGAACAGGGACGCGGATGCTCACTCTGGCGGTCCTGCTCGAAGCGCTCGCCCCAGCGACGCTTGCGCGTGTCGCTGGGCGAGTTCGGTCCGCTCTTGCTGGCGGGCGCAGCAGCAGCTGCTGTCTCGTCCGAGCGGCCACGCACAGGTGCATCTCTTGCGGCGTCGGAGTGCTGGCGCGAGTTTGAGCTGCTGCCTGCCGTTCGGCCTTCCTGCTTCATGGCCACATCTGCCTCGCGCGTCTGCGGCTCCTGCGACGAGCCAGCTTGGCGGCCCGAGCGCGCCGCCGCGCCAAAGATGCTCAGGCCCTTCTTCTCTTCCGGCGCCTCTGCCGGCGCTGCGGGCGCGCTGGACGCCGCCGCTGGCTCAGCGGCGGCGGCAGGCGAGCTGTGCTTGGGTGTGCCGGTGGGGAAGGTCCATGTGGCCGTGTCGCTGGCGGCATGGAAGAAGTACACGCCGCCGCTGCGCGCCTCGACGCGCTCCCAGCCCGCCGGCAGCTCGGGAGCAGGAGGCGAAGCAGTGGCAGCGGCAGCCGCGGGCGCAGCGTCGGCCGCGCTGACGGCAGCTTGTGCGGCGCCGGCGATGCGCACGCCGTCGTTGCTGCTGCTGCTCGCGTCTGCCTGTGGTGCTGCATCAGACGGCACTGCCTGCGCCTCGGCGGCAGGCTCGGCGCTCTCTGCCGGCGCCGCGTCCTCGGTGGAGGCTGCAGCTGCCGGCGCCTCGGCAGCGTCGAAGCCGAGATCCACGACGGGCTCGTCGCTGCCCTCGATGCCGAGGTCGACGACGTCCTCGTCGGCATCGCCAAAGTCGAGCGGGTCGTCCTCGGCGAACATGGCCGGGCAAAGGGAGGAGGGATGGTGGTGGAGGCGAAGGACCAAGCGCGCAGGCTTCGCGCGCGGCGCAGCTCGAGCGCCGCCGCGAGATGCACACGACCGCGCGCCGCGGCGGCGCCGCGGCGCAGCAGGCAGCGCAGGCGCTGCCTCCTTCTCGGCGCGCCTGCAGCAGCTGCAGCGCATGGCGCGCTCCCTTGTCGTGCGTGCCCGGCCTGCCCGCCAGGCTTGGCACACTCAGATGCTGCACAAGGGTCTCTCGTGATGCTCGAGTGGGCATGCCTGTGCCGCTATCTCGGCGGCTGCATTCCAGCTCTCAGCGGTGCCGACGGGGCAGCCTTGGCGGGTGCTGGCGCTCGGGCCTGGCGGTGCGGCTGGCGCTGCAGCGCCGTCGGCCGCCGGGGCCTGGCGAGAGCGACTCCGCGCGCGTGATTTGCGCTGGCGGTGCGACGGGCACCTCGCTCGGCTCTCGCTTCTTCCCGGCCAGGCACCCTGCACCACCTCCATCTCCACCCCTCTCGCACCCCTGCCGTACTGCCCAGCATGGAGTACGACCTCACCTCGACGGTGCTGCGCTACACCGACCGGCATCTGGGCTTCCCGCTGCTCAGCCACCTCGCCGGCACCGGCTGGTACAAGCAGCAGGACATTGCAAAGGCCCAGTATGAGCTGGCGCGCGGCAGTGAGTGGAGCGTGCCGGAGAGGCGAAAGAGCATCGTGGCAGGCAGGGCGCAGGCTATGGCGCAGTGCGGCGCTGCTGTGGAGCGAGTCATAGCAGCGCAGCAGATGCCTTGTCCGTGCGCTGCCCTGTCTGCTGCGAGCAAGCCGGCCCTGGTTCTCGCTGCGACTGTCCGCCTTGTTCTGACGCCGCCACGCCGCCAGCGTCCATGGTGGACTACACGCTGCAGCTGCACGCCGAGGCCTTCCCCGGCGCCGCGCCGCCCGCCGAGCTCGAGACGCAGCGTGCCGAGGCCGTGACGCGCAACGAGCGCCTCGGCCGCGACGTCGAGACGGTGCTCAACGTCATCGAGGACCCCAGCGTGGCGGCGGCGCTGAAGCAGGACAAGGCGCAGAACTTGATCTGGCTGGAGGAGAACTACAAGGTGCGTGTGGCGTGTGCAAGTGGAGATCTGCAGGAGTGCTGCGGGCCATGCGGCGGCAGTGCGTTGCTCACCCTGCCTCGCACAGCTCACCGAGAGCCAGATCAACGCCCTCTACCACTACGGCTACTTCCACTTTGCCTGCGGCAACTACGGCGAGGCCTCGTCGTACCTCTACCACTTCCGCGTGCTCTCGACGGACCCGGCCCTGACGCTCTCGTCGCACTGGGGCAAGCTGGCGTCGGACGTGCTGACGGGCTCGTGGGACGATGCCCTGTCGGAGCTGAACCTGCTGCGCGAGGCGCTCGACTCGGGCGTGTACACCGACGGCGGGCACGAGGGCGCGCTGCGCCGCCGCACCTGGCTGCTGCACTGGTCGCTCTTTGTCTTCTTCAACCACCCCGAGGGCCGCGTGGGCCTCGTCGAGATGTTCCTGGCGCCCGCCTACCTCAACACGCTGCAGACGTCGGCCTGGTGGCTGCTGCGCTACCTTGTCGCCGCCATCATCATGACGCGCCGCTCGGTGCGCACGTACGCCGTCACGGGTGCCAACGGGCCCAGCAAGGTCAGCCCGGCGGCGGCACTGCGCGACGTGGCGCGCATCATCAGCCAGGAGGAGCACCGCATGCAGCCCGACCCGCTCGTCGGCTTCGTCAAGCAGCTCTACGCCGACTTTGACTTTGAGGCGGCGCAGGAGCAGCTCAAGCTGGCAGAGGGTGTGGCCGGCGAGGACTTCTTCCTGCAGGAGCACGCCGCCGACTTTGTCGAGGCTGCCCGGTATCTCGTCTCGGAGGCGTACTGCCGCATCCACCAGCGCGTCGACATTGCGTGAGTGCGAGCAGAAGCGGATAGCAGGCGGCGGCGCGCTGACGACGAGGGCGTCACAGGGACCTCTCGGCACGGCTGAACATGTCCAAGGAGGACGGCGAGAAGTGGATCGTGAACCTGATCCGCGACACGCGCGCCGATGCCAAGATCGACTTCAAGGAGGTGAGCTTCGCGGCGCGAAGCGACGTCTAGATGCCGGAGGCTGACTCGCGTTCGCAGAACATGGTGCACATGAACCAGACCCACCCGCCCGTCTACCAATCAGTGATCGAGAAGGTGAGCAGCATGCAGGATCGCGTGCTTGATGCTCGAGGGCTCACGCCTCTCCTCGGCAGACGCGCGGCTTCAGCTTCCGCACGGCAGCGATGGGCCAAGCCATCGACCGCAAGGCGCACCCGCCGGCGAGCGGCGACGGCGGCGCCGGCGGCGGCCGTGGCGGGCGGGGCGGCGCTCGCGGCGGGCGCGGCGGCGGACGGGGCGGCAGCACAGGACGCGGCGGCGGCCGGAGTGGCGGCCGCGAGGAGGGCGAGGGCGCGCAGAGCGAGATCGCGGCCTGAGCCAGGAGAGAGAAGGAGGAGGGACAGAGGGGTGGGGCTCCGTTTGCGATTTCTACATGTATATCAGCAAAACAGGCGCGCCTCGATGGGCGCGTCAATCCATCGCACACACTGCAGCACACAGCCGAAGCAAGGAACGACGCATCGCATTGCGAGAGGGAGAGAGGGGCACACAGACAAGACGTCATGGCCGGGCGCCTCACTTGGTCACCTGCGGCTCCGGGATGCTCGGCGGCACATAGTCGCTCGTCTGCTTGCTCCGCACCTTTGCCAGCTCGGCGTCGGTCATGCGGCGGCACTCGTCGGCAAAGTCGTAGCCGAAGCGGCTGCGGTTGTGGCCGCCCTCCTTGTAGAACGGCGCCTTGCGCAGCACCGTCACGACGCACGAGCCGCCCAGGCCGATGTTGTGCGTCAGTGCCGCCTTGACGTTGGGCACCTGCAGCTGGCCCGCCTCGCCACGGAGCTGCAGCGACATGTACGCCACCATGCCGAGGCCCGTCGCGCCGAGCGGGTGGCCCTTGGACTCGAGGCCGCCCGAGGGGTTCACCACCCACTTGCCGCCGTACGTGTTGTCGCCCGACTCGACGAGCTTGTGCGCCTCACCCTCGGCGCAGAGGCCCAGAGCCGGGTACGTCACCAGCTCGTTCTGCAGAGAGAGAGAGAGGGTGAGCTGCTGCGTTGGCCGTCATGCCCTTCCTTGCTGCCACTCACCGGCGCGAAGCAGTCGTGCAGCTCGAGCACCTGGATGTCCTTGGGGCCCACGCCGGCCTGCTTGTAGGCGATGGCCGCCGCGCGGCGGCTCATGTCGGCGCCCGCCAGCTCGATGCGCGAGCGGTCGTTGTAGAGGCGCGGCGAGTCGGTGGCGACGCCCATGCCTGCGACCTCAATGGCGCGGTCCTGCAGGTTGTGCTTCTTGACAAAGTCCTCCGACACGACGATGGCCGCCGCGCCGCCGTCGCTCGTGGGACTGCACATGGGCAGCGTCACCTCGCGCGTAATCTTGCGCGCCTTGCTCACGTCCTGCGGGCTCGGCGCCACGCGGAACTGCGCGTACGGGTTCTTGACGCTGTGCTTGTGATTCTTGCTGGCAATGGCGGCGATGTGGTCCCAGGTGGCGCCGTACTTCTCGCAGTACTCCTGCCCCGCGGCGCCGAAGATGCGCGCGGCAAAGGGCCCAAAGTCGTCGGTCTCGTACTCCTTCTCGCCCTCGATCTCGAAGAGCTGCGACATGGTGCCCTCCATCGGCGGCGCACGGTCGTTCCACGCCGAGCCGAGCGAGCCGGGCGCCATCTTCTCGAAGCCGAGCGCCAGCGCGCAGTCGGCCTGCCCCGCCTGGATGCTGTTGACGGCGAGCACAAAGGCCGACGAGCCGGTGGAGCAGTTGTTGTTGACGTTGATGATGGGAATGCCCGTCATGCCGAGCTGGTAGAGAGCGCGCTGACCGCACGTCGAGTCGCCGTCTGCGCGTGTGTGTCAGGGTGCCGCGTCTGCCGAGCACGGCGCGCACACTCACAGCAGTAGCCGACGGAGGCCGTCTCGACGTCGTCGTACGTCAGGCCGGCATCGATGAGCGCCTTGACGGTGGCCTCGAGGCCGAGCTCGGGATAGTCGCGCTCGCCGCGCGGCTTGTCGAACTGCGAGCACGGGGCGTCAGTGCGCTGCTGGCGGGCGCGGGGCCAGGCGCGCACGCACCTTGGTGAGGCCGACACCGACGACGTAGGCCTTGTTGGGAACATAGGGCATGGTGTGGTGTGTGTGTGAGGGGTGAGTGAGGGTGGTGGAAGGGTGCAGAGGGTGGAGAGCGTGTTGCGCTGTGCCTCTTAAGCCGAGCGGCCGGGGGCGCCTGCCCAGGCGTGTGAGAGGCGCACGCTTCCCCCGCGCCCGCACCGAAGCGAGCCGGAGCGAGGCGAGCGGCGCGGCGCAAGGCAGGCACGCCGCCTGTGTCGCGCGCATGCGGGGTACGCGCACGGTGAGATCGCAGCGCAGCCGCTCCGGCAGGCGCGCAGCCGGCTAGGCTCAGGCGTGCAGGCAGCTCGACGTCCAGCTCGCTCCCTTACGGCCGACGCTCGGATCACTGCTGCCGTCACAAAGAGCAGTGTCAAAGCCAAGTAGAAGGCTGTCAGCGCGCAGCCGCTCAGGATGCGCAAGTGTGGCGAGCCGGCTCGGCTGCGAGCCGGGTTCAGGCGAGGGCGCGGCGCGTGGCAGGCAGGCAGAGGCGTCTGCAGACGAGCAGCGAGCGGCACCGGCTCCGCCGCCGGCTAACGCAAGACGCCGGTCCGGGCCGGAAGGACGTCGGCTTCCCACGCCCGATGGCTTGCCTCTGCTCCGCCTTCCCTCTTCTCCGCATCGCAGCGCTTACAGGTCGCCCGATGCCGCAACACGCATCAGTCTGTGTCGCTGCAGCGGATGCCATGCAATTCCCTCGCGCCTCACAGCCGCGCCTTCGGCTGTCCCTCCAGCGCCTCCTGTTCCCGCTTCGCCAATGCTCTCATCTCCTTCCTCAGCACTTTGCCACTGGCGCTGACCGGCACATGTTCCAACACCCTGACTCCTCCTCTCAGCCTCTTCTGCGCACTCGTGCGCTCCTTGACCCACTCCTGCAGTTCGCGCGGCAGCTCCGCGCTCGGCGCGACGCCGGCGTGCAGCTGCACGTAGGCGCGCGGCAGTTCCGTCGCTTGCGCAGCGTCGTAGATGCCCACGACGGCCGCCACGGCGACGGAGGGATGCTGCAGGAGAATGCCCTCCAGCTCGGCGGGCGGCACTTGGAAGCCCTTGTACTTGATCAGCTCCTTTTTGCGGTCCACGATGCTGGGGAGCCAGAGACGTCAGGGCGCCGCGTCAGTCGAGTCGAAGCCAGAGACGCAGCGCAAAGCCCTCCGTCAACCTTGCCTACTCACGTAAACTGCCCGCTCTCATCCACCACCGCCACGTCGCCCGTGCGCAGCCATCCGTCGTGCGTCTTTGCGCCGCGCGTGGCCTCGGCGTTGCGAAAGTAGCCCTTTGTGATGTTTGGGCCTCGGAGGAGCAGCTCTCCCCGCTCCCCGGGCGCCGCATCAACGTCATCATCATTGAGCAGCCTCGCCTGTTTGCAGGAATCAGCCGACTTGAGCGTGGCTCGAAGCGCGGCAGACTCACTTCGAGACCAGGAAGAAGCCAGCCTACCGAGCCCGACTTCATGCCGTGATTCATGCCGACGGCACTGACAGTCGTCTCGCTCATGCCAAAGCTCTGCAGGATCGGCACGCCGAAGCGCTTCTCTGCGCGCGACTGCAGCTCTTCGGAGAGGGGCGCTGCGCCGCAGCTGTACTCGGCGTGCGTCAGCTATGCTGGGGAAGCAGGAGGAAGAGACAAGACGCACGCGATGTGCTCCAAGGACCCGAGATACTCCTGCGTGCCCTTGGCGCTCGAGAGCAACGAGACAATGATGGGTGGCACTGCTTGCGTGCCTTGAATCTGGTATTTGCGCACCACATCGCAGAACGCGTCGGGGCGAAAGGGAGTGAGGATGTACAGCGTGCCTCGCATCGCTCTGCGCTCTTCGTCAGCGACAATGCAGTACGCTGCGCGAGTCACCAGCCGGAAGAGCGCGCTCACAGTGGCAGATGTACGAGCTTGATGAGTCCGACGGCATGGAAGAAAGGCAGGCAGCCAAGGGTGCGCTTGGGCCCGTCGTACAAGTCTGGAATGGCCTGCAGCGCCAAGAGCATGGAGACGACGTTGCGATGCGAGAGCTCGACGGCCTTGGGCAGGCCTGTGGTACCGGAACTCCAGGGCAGGTAGCACTGCCACAATGAAGGGTCAGTGCGCTGCGGCAGGATGGAGGCGATGGCCTACGCACGGTTTGCTCCAGGCTCGCGGGCTGGTGTGCTTCTGCCCGCCGAGAGTCTTCGAGCGAGATGAGGAGACGTCCGACGAAGGTGGTAGCATTGCCTGCATCGACATCAAGTACGATGGCCTGTCACCGCTGCATCAGCCTCGGCCTCTTCAGTCCCCAGGGCTCATGCGCACCTTGTCCCACGGCAAGCCCGCCTTGGTCAGGTTCGGCAGCAGGCGGCTCGTGACGAAGATGCGCTTGGCACCCAGCGTCTTCCAGATGTGCCGCAGCTCGAGGCGCGTATAGGCTGGATTGATGAAGGAGGCACGCAGGCCTGCAAACTGCGTCGCGAAGAGCGTGACGATGAAGTCGATGCCGTTGGGCAGGAGCAGCAGCACCGCATCGTCGGGCCGCAGCCCGCTGCGCAGCAGACTGGCGCCGAGACGTTGCGCGGCACTTTTGAGCTCGCCGAAGCTGGTCGTGGCTGCATCAGGTGCTGCGTTGCCCGGCCTCTTGCTCTGGCGCAACTCACGTTATCCGCCGCTCCTGGCCCTGGCACTCGGCGTACGCCAGGCGCGCATCGTCGAAGGCGACGTCGTCAAAGAGGAAGCTCCATACAGACTGCTGCGGCAGCTTGGGTGCCGGCGTGCGCGAGCGGTAGATGATCTGCTTGCTGGACATGCTTGCAGGTGGTGGTCGTGCGCGAAGGCCAGTGTGAGGGAGGGCGAAGGATGGAGCTGCAAGATGGACCACTGCGTTGCCCCGCCCACGTCAGGCGCCGGAGCGGGTATCGCGGCATGCGCGTGGGAACACGAGCTTTGCCTCAGCTGGACCCCTCCGCAGAGCTGGCGATGTCCGGCGGCTGCGAGGTGGCGACAGCCACGTGATGCCGATCGCATCTCTCGGCGCCCGCTGCCTGTGCCAGGCTCTCGCAGGTGCCGGTCCGGCATGGCGAGGCTGACAGGTGCGGATGCGGGGAAGGCGGCCGGAGTGCCTCGGCCTCGGCGTGCATGCGCCATGTCCGGCGAAGCGCGAGCCGGGCGGGCAAGAAAGTCGGGCGCCGCGTGCCGCCGCTGCCTGCTTCTCATCCTCAAGCCACGCCGCTCTCCGCCTTCTTGCTCCGCACCACATCGTCCAACACACCATGCCGCTCTCCGTCGACACACTCGTCAGCCTTGTGCGCCTGACCGTTGCGCGTGAGCAGCACGGCGGGAGCTATCCGCGGGCACAGGTGCCTGTGCGCTGACTCTGTCTCCCTTGCCGCACAGACCCCGCCTCGCTACTCGCCTTTCTCGCCTATCGCTACCAGCAGAACGCCGGCTCCATCCCTCGCGATGGCCTCGTGACGACGGCCTACGTCTGCCTGGCACTCTACGCCAGTTCCTGGCTCAACAACCGTCTGCGCAACGGCCTGCTCCCGCTCGCGCGCCTCAACGCCAAGACGTGGCCGCAGGAGCTCGTCTTCGTCACGGGCGGCGCCGCGGGCATCGGCAAGCTGACGGCCGAGAGGCTGGCGCACAAGGGCGCCAAAGTGGCAGCGGTGGATGTGGTCGACTTCAAGCCGGAGCATGCCAACATCAAGACGTACAAGTGCGACATCTCGGACATCGAGGCGCTGCAGGCTGTGCGGGAGCAGATTGTGAAGGACTTTGGCTTGCAGGTCACCATGGTCGCCAACATCGCTGGTGCGTGTCCTGTGAAGGAGGCTCAGCCGCGCAGGAGGCTCAGTCGCGCTGCTGCTGCACAGGCATCAACAATCAAAAACTCATCCTCGACCTGACGGCGCGCGACGTCGACAGGATGCTCAAGTGCGTTTGCGTGCTTGCGCCTGCTCGGCCTCTGCGCGCACGCTGATCCTCCTCTCTCGTCGCCAGCGTCAATCTCAAGTCGCACTTCTGGACGGCGCAGGTCTTCCTGCCCGCCATGGTGAAGCGCAAGCGCGGACACTTCCTCAGCGTTAGCTCGACGATGGGCCTCGTGGGCATCTGCCACCAGAGCGTGAGTATTGCGTGTGTCTCGCAAGTGCAACGCTCCTCTCTTGCTGATACAGTCCTGCACAGGACTACGTGGCGGCCAAGCACGGCATTCTGGGCATGCATGAGAGTGTGAGTCTCCGCTGAGCGACCAGCTATGCTGCAGCGCGCGAGACCGAGCCTGACGCTGTAACCTCGCACACGCAGCTGCACTACGAGCTGCAGAAGATGTACAAGACGCCGCACGTGCGCACCAGCACCGTCGTCATCGGCCACACGCGCACTGCGCTCTTCAACACTTTCGACGTCGGCGTCGTCGGGCGGTGCGTGCCCCCCCCCCCCCCCCGGTGCCTTTCGCTATGTTGCCGTGTCGTGTGCTCACGCTCGTCTCTCTCTGCACAGCTTCCTGAGCCCCTTACTCGAGCCCTCAGCGGTGGCAGACCGCATCGTGGCGCAGTTCGAGCGGCAGGATGGCGGCATGATCCTGATGCCGTTCACCAACGAGCTGCTGCCGGGCATCAAGGGCTTCCCGTACTGGCTGCGCAACGTGCTGCAGGCGACGAGCGGTGCAGATGGCGCGTATACGTCGCGGCCGTCGCGGGAACAGCTGGGCGAGTAGGGTCACTCCTGAGATGAGGGCAATGCAATGGTGCTCGTGATTGAAGGCAGACTGTGCGCTGCGGCATGTGCCGGCTGCCTGCTGAGGTGTCGTGGTGCGGAGAGAAGAGGCGTCTCTGGGCCGCGGCAGCAGAGCGGGCCGCGCCGCGCCGCCCGCCGCGCACAGAGCGAGACGCGTGCCAGAAAACACCCGCGGCGCTGCGACGCGTCTGGTGTTGCTCTCCAGCCTCCACGCCCTCGACAGCTCAAAGCAAGGCTCGCAGGCCGGCGCCAGCAGCAGGCGTCAGCCCAAGCGGACAGGCACAGATTGCCAGAGAGCGGCCCACGATGGACTTCACCGCAGCCTACCGCGCCACGGCGCTCTGCTACTCGCCCGGCTCCACGTTCCTCGCCTCGCTCTCCGGCGGCGCCGGCGGCCAGGTCGTGCTGGTGCGCGCCGCGCTCTCCCTCGCCGTCGTGCGCACCTGGAGCTTGCCGCTGCGCATCGCCTCTCTCTCTTGGTCTCCCGACGGCGCCTATCTGCTCGCGGTCGCACTGGCAGACGCTACGATCTTTGTGCTGTCTCTCGACCCGGCGCGCGAGGCGCAGCGCGGAGAAGACGCGGGCGAAGGCTGGGTGGCGAGGATACAGGCGGGCGCAGAGGGATTGGTGGCGGCGCAATGGGCGCCGCATGCCGCGAGCCACACCGTGCTGTGCTTCAGCGAGGATCAGGTGCGTGGGGAGCACTGCTCGCAGGCCGACGCATTTCGCTGATTCTTCGTCGCGGCTTAGCTGCGCGTCTCGGCATACGAGCTGGCCACGCAACGAACGACGCTCTTGGAGGCGCCAAAGACTGCCAAAGGTGCGTTCTGCAGGGCCTCCGCTCCGCCTGTGTCGCATCTGATCACCTTGGCATCGACAGCATATGGTAATCCACAACACGCCTCCTTTGCCCTGCTGCAGCGCGCAAACGGCAAGGATGGCATCTCGGTGCTGTCGCACAGCACGCAAGCGACGCGTCCGGCATGGACGCTGAGCGAGGTGAGGCGCGCTGCCCGTCGAGACCAGGAGCACAGATGCTGATGCTTCCTACTTCATCGCACAGAGCTTCGCAGTCGCCACGAACGACGCGGCAGACTTGGCATGGGCGCCTTCTGGATTGTCTCTGGCCGTGTGGGAGAGTGCGCTCGAGGTGCGTTCGCGGTGCAGGACAACGCTGTCCCCTCCCGCCGTCTAATTCCTTGCGCCTTGCAGTACAAGCTTCACATCTACACGCTCTCCGGCTTCCTACGCGCCACATTCGCCATTGGCGCGTTGGAGGGGCACGTGGAGAGCAGTGGTCCCGGGGGAAGTGATGCGCCACAGCCTCGGCTGGCGGCGAGCGGCAGTGTGCGACGACGCAACGACGACGAGGCAGAGGCGCTGCGGCGCGTGGCCGGCGGCGCGCTGGGCATTCGCACGGTGGTGTGGAGCCCCAATGGCAAGATGCTGGCTGTGGGAGGGTATGATGAACAGGTGAGTGGAAGCTGGTAAACGGCTCATGTTGCTTCATGCACGTAAAGCAGAGGCCGGCGGTCCCGGGGCTGACGTAGCGTGTCGGATCCTCACAGGTGCGCGTGCTGGAGGATGCCAATTGGGAGGAGATGGCGACGCTGGACCACGCTAAACGGAGCATCATGCCCACTCCGGCTGCGCGGCACGAGGCGTACGGCGAACTGGTGAGTTTGCAGTACATGTCTCTCACGCACACGCTGCGTCGTCTGCTCAGCATCTCATTCAACGCAGATCGCATGGCGCGAGCCGAGTCGCTGGATCGAAGAGACGGGCGGGCGCGGCATTGTTCCATGTGAGTCGAGAGTGTGCGAGAGAGGCCAGGCGTCCGAGCCGAAGCTGAGTGATTGCGCGTCTCTCGCCGATCAGACGAGCGCGGCAGCTTGCCGGCCGCACCAGCAGCGTTGCGAGTCGACCACGCAAAGGCGAACCCCAAGGTGGGCGTGCATTGGCTCGCCTGGTCGCCCGACGGCACGCTGCTGGCGACTCGGAACGGTGCGTCTTTACACCCCTCCTCGTCACTGTTCATGCTGATCGCTGCCGCTGTGCAGAAAATGTGCCAGCCTGTCTCTACATCTGGGCCTTTCCCTCCGACTCCGACAGCGCCGGTGCAGAAAGCACGCCGTATCTGCTAGCGCTGCTCTCTCAGAGCGCAGCCATCGAACACGCCGCGTGGCGCCCGGCTGCTGCTTCCCACGACGGCGGCAGCGGCGGCGCGACCCTCGCACTCCTCGCGGGCGGCGCGGCGCTGTATCTCTGGCGGCGCGAGGATGCGCAGCGGGAAGGGACGAGACAGAGAGCCGAGGCTGTGCCTGTGCCTATTGGTGCGTCCCCTTCTTCTCTTACGAAGCCAGCAGATCCAGGCTCGCCTCGCTGACGCCCACCCTCGGTCGGCTCTCTCCAACCAGATGACTTTGCTGCCAGCGAGCTCCTCTGGTCGCCCGACGGCCAGAAGGTGACGCTGCTCGACGGGCGCAAGGGCGCGTTCTGCTGCGCCATTGATGCGCCCGACGAGGCGTCGTTTGCGAGTCACGAGAGTGTCGATGAGCGATGACTGCAATGGGAAGCATGTGGTCGTTTGTGCGCTGTATTGCTGTCTTGCCCTTACCCCCTCTCTCCTCTTCTCCCGCCCTATCTGCTCCCCGTGCCTGCCCCCGTCCCCCTTTGCCCTGTCTCCGCCTACACGCGCACTGCGGCATTGCTGCGGTTCAGCGTGGCGACCTTGTGTGCCTCCTCCTTCTTCTGCAGCACACTCGAGTTGCCCTCGAGCACGGCACAGACCTCGCGTGCGAGGCGTGCATCGAGGAAGCGGTCTGCGCGCTTCTTGCTCGCCTCGATGATGGCGACGATGGCGCGGCGGCGCGACTGGCGCTCGTGCAGCGCCAGCGGCACGGGCACCGACTTGCCCGCCTGCTTGCTCGTCTGCATGCGCGTCAGCGGCGCCGCCGTCGCCACGGCACTGCGCAGCGCCACGAGCGGGTCCGAGTGCAGCCACTGGGCCATGTGCGAGAGCATGCCGAGCACGTGTGCGCGCGCCTGCGCCTTCTTGCCGTCGCGCATCAGGTGGTTGACAAAGGCGCTGAAGAGCGGGTCGGAAGTAGGAGGGAGTGCGGAGGCGGAGTAGCCGGACTCGGCAGGCGCCGAGGGCAGCGGCGTGGGTGCGCCGGGCAGCTCGAGCGGCGCAGAGGCGGCGGCAGGGGCGAGGGGCGAGGGAGGCGAGATGTTGGGTGCGCTCATGCGCGGCCGCGGAGACGTCGGCGGCGAGGTGCTGGGCAGGGCAAAGTGGCGCACGCGCGACGACGAGGCGACGGCGCTGCGCTGCAACAGCCGTGGTGCGGCGGCCCGCAGCGGCTGGCGGGCGAGTGAGAACGACATGCTGATGGTGGTGGAGGGAAGAGGAAAGACCAGGCGAAGGCCGGCAGGATCTTTCGCCTCTCCTCCGCCTCGCGCGCGTCACGTGCCGCCCGCTCTCGATGAGCTCGCCGACTGCTGCCAACTCCAGCCACGCCTCCACGACTCCACCTCGAGCACGAGGCACACTCCATGCAAACACAGTGTGGGATCAATCTCTGGTTTACATCCGCAACGCCATAGTCAAGGTGCGCGCGCGCGTGAGGTGTGTGTGTGGTGTAGCGCCCAGCCATCAAGAGGCCTGGACGGCTGCGAAGAAGCGAGCGTCGCCTTGAGAGGAGGACGGCGCAAGCCATGTTTGGGGTGGTGGGACATGCGGGGACATGTGGGGAACGTGGGTGGTGAAATGTGCAAGTGCGGAGTGGAAAGGGGACCCGAACGGACAGCGCTGGCTGCCGCTCAGTGTGCACGAACGACGGCGAGAGGTGCCTGCTGCTCGTGCGGGAAAGTGGACGTGGGCTGAGTGTCAAGCGTGACATTCAGGCCCTGCGACGCAAGAGTCTCGACTCATGCGCCGGTGCGCTCCTCCACTGCGCTACACGACGATGCGCTTAGAAGCGCATGTTGTGCGGGTACGTGCCGTTGCTCAGGCTGAACGTGGCGGCGAGGTACTTCTTCTGCACGGGCGAGATGGCGGCGAGAAGCGCCTTGTCGAGCGCCTTCTGGTCGGCAGCCTTGCCTGCCGGGTGCGCCTCCTTGTTGGCCGGGTCGGCAAAGAAGGACGCCTCGGGCTTGGCGCCCTTGGTGGCGGCGCGCGCGAAGTACGAGTCGTTCAGCTTGGCGTCGACCTGTGGAACGAAGGTGAGCATGAGGGTCCGGCATCTGCGGCTGCTGCTGCTCGGACATGGCCCGTCTTCCTTGCTTGCACTGCAGCGTTGGCTGGGGCATGCTCTGCCAGCCATGGCGCCCGCCCGCTCCACGCGTGCTCCCATCTGCTGTTGCCGCGCTGCCCTCTCCTGCCAGTCTGCTCCTCAACTCGCCCCGCTCTGACGCCTGCCGTCTTCCCATCGCCTTCGCTGTCCGCCATCTCCGCTGCTCCGCCGTCTGGCCTGCCAACTCACCTCAACGCTGCCAATGTCCAGCTTCGTGCTGGTGGCAATGACGTACGCCTGGTTCACGCGGCGGATGGGCACGCCGTTGACCTTGAAGGGGCCGGTGACGAGGAGCAGGCCGCTCTCGAGCTGCTTCAGGAACACGACGCGCTTGCCGCGGAAGCGGCCGGCGAGGAGGATGAGCACCGTGCCGGGCGTGATGCTCTTGCGCAGGTGCGCCGGGTAGGCGACCTTGCGCGTCTGCTTGGGCACGGCCACGTCCTCGGACGGGTAGAAGCGCGAGGCCTTGGCCGTCGGCACGCTGCGGTCGCCGCCCTTCTTGAGCGACTTGGTGCTGCTCGTGGCCGGCGCCTCGACGGCGGCCTTGACGCCCTTGCGGTCGGTGTGCTTGTAGCCGCCCTTCTTCTTGTACGCCTTGGTGCGCGACACACGGCCGGCCGAGGGCGCAATCTTGCTGTTCATGGTCACTGCAGGAATGCCGCCATCAGCACCTGTTACGACGTCGCCGATGTGCAGCCCTGCCTCTGCCTCCATCTCTCCGGCTGCATCTTCTCTGTGCGTCCATGCCCTCTGTGCTGCTCTGCATCCCCCTCTCTCTGCCCGCCGCCTGCTCCGCGCCTGTCCACACCCGCCAGCGGCGCCACCCGCCCCTCGGGCATCCTCCACTGCCTCTCCTCTGCATCTCCTCTCCTGCGCTGCAGCGCGCTGCAGCGTGCTCCGACGATGCTGTGTGGCGCATACGCACTCTTGATGGGCCTGGACGTGGGGGAGGAGACGAGGGTGGTGGGCGAGAGGCTTGTCCTTGATGTCGCCGCTGTCCCCGTCTCAGCGGGAAGGGGAGCTGTTGCTGCCCTGGCCCGCAGCGGGCCGACGCGCGCGAGACTCCATGCGCCGTCCTCCTTCGGAGGAGAGACGCGCGCAGTCGCTCTCGTGACTCGGGCAAGTGGGCGTGGGAAAGGGTGCACTGTTCCCACGGCACCCCAGCTCAGAGCGCCAGAACATTCTGCCGGCAGCCTTGCCCTCGCTCTCCTCCTCCACTTGCCAGCCCTCAGTCTCATCTGCAGGCTCCCTCACAGCACCGCATGGTCTGCGCATGCAAAGAGACAAGAGATGTGGATGAAAAAAGCGCGTACAAATACAGTGAGCCGTAGAGAGACAGAGGTATAGCTGGACAAATGTGGCGCGGTGAGTGTATAGGCGCAGGGCGCCCGGCGGCGCACGTCGCTGGCTGCGCGTAGGACAAAAGATGTCGCATGACCGAGCGGTTGCGGAGCAGACACACAGCGCTGTGAGCAGATGACTGGAGGGCGTGCAGCGCTTGACGGACGCCTCATGCCAGGATGAGCCGGTCGCGCGACGCCGAAGAGAGTGCACGTGTGCGCGGAGGCGAGAGAGGCCGAGGTGGCTTGACGAGCCTTGCCGACGACTACGCAGAGGCGATCTTCAGCGCTCGGTCTGAGCGCAAGAGGGACGAGTGAGAGTGTCAGCACTCCCTTCCCTTGCGCTACACAACGAATTCTGCGCCGAGATCGCAGAACACACAGGCCACGCGTCATTCGCGGGATGACTTTGCCTCGCAAGAAGGCTCGAGCACACACATGCAGACATCCGCAGAGCGCTGAGGCTCGAATGGAGACCGTGTCGCAGTGGCACACCGCCAGCCAGCAAAGGCCAGCAATGACGCGTCGCTGGTCCCATCGATCTCGCGCCCCAGCGCGCGTCCATCGCCTTGAGGGGTGCAGAATCCAGACTCACCGCCGACCTTGCACCGCAGCAAGAAGCCCACCACCACCTCTCCCTCTTTCGGCGCGGGTGCCGCTGTGAAGTGGCGTCCGGCCAGGCCGCCGAGGTACGCGGCCGCCGCGTCTGCATCTGCGAACTCGGGCGTGCTGCTCGACGCCGCCGCGTCTGCGCCTGCGCCATTGCCGCTCGCGGGCGCAGGAGAAGAAACAGCCGCGCGAGGATAGCTGTGTGCGAGATTGTGCGTCGTGACGTAGGCGTGGAGTGCGTCGGGCGGGAAGGTGGAGAAGTCGAGCAGCGAGGGCGTCTCGACTGCGAGAGCAGAGGGCGTGAGTCGGACGACACATGCGAAGTCTCTGCGCCAGAGAGAGGGCAACTCACGCTTCTCGGGAGCACTGCCACTGGCGTTCACGCCCGGTGCGGCGCTGGCGGTGTTCTGAGACATGCTGTCAGAGGAGAGAGGGGTGAGGGTGCGGAGCCAAGCTGCGAGGCGCGTTGGCGCTGTTGTGCCGGTGACCGGCTCAGGGCCGCACGTCTTGCTGCCCCGCACGGCACCCTTACTGCCAAGCAGTTGTCACGTGCACAACGCGCTGCGCCCAGCCGCGCGGCGGCCGTGCAGCTGCGACGCGCCTCGGGCATGACTCCGCTCCCTTGCTGCGCCTGCCACACCACACACGTCTCTCTCACCTCCACCATCCCTCACCTATCAGCCGGCATCGCATGCCCGCAGCCACACTCGCCGCATCGGCAGGGCGCGACGCCCGCAGCGGCAGCAGCGGTAGTGCTGTGCGCAGCGTGGCATGTCCCTGCCTCAACGTGCAGCTCAGCCTCGTGCCGCCCGCCGCAACGGCAGCGTCTCGTCGCAGCAGCGGCGGCAGCGCCGCGGCAGCAGAGAGTACAGAGCAGCAAGAGACAGAGCAGCAGCAGGAGGAATGCGTGCTAGCTGAGCAGGACATACAGGTGGTGAGTGCTGCGCTCGACGCCGCGATGCGGTCCGGCACCGCTGCCTCCTGCGCGCTTCCGACTGCGCAATCTAGGCGCTGGCTGCAGCAGCAACGCCGGCACGCATGTGCTGTGCCTCTCCATTGGCGCGCCGCCGCTGACTCGCCTCGCGCAGCTCCTGCCGCAGCTGACGGCACGCGAGGGCCTGCCCGCAAGTGCGCCGCCCAGCGCGTCGGCAAGCAGCAGCCTCACCGCCGCTCCGCCCTCGGGCACCTCGCTGATGCTGCGCTGCCTCGGCTGCTCCACCTCCGTCTACGCTGTGCCGCGGCCCGCGCTGCCGGCACCGGCGCGCATCACAGGCTTCGCCATTGGGCGCAGCGAGAGTCCGCGGCCCGCCGCGCCCGCCGCCGCCGCCGCGCCGGCGCAGGCAGACGCCATTCTGCGGCCCGTCGACGGCGTCGTGCGCCTGTGCAGCGGCCTGCTCGACGAGGCAGGCATTGCAGCGGCACGCCAGGCGGCGGACTACTCGGCCGCGTTCGGCATGCGCGTCACCAGTCCGACAACCCCGCTGCCAGCAGGAGCAGCGCAGCTGCGCTCGCCAGCACGCAGCAGCGCCACTGCCGCCTCGTCACGCCTCGCAGTCACGCAGCCGTTTAGTCTGCCCGCCATGCCCTCCTCGCTGCTCATCTCGCCGCCCTCTTCTCCGGGCCCCGCGAGCAGTTCGAGTCTCAGCATTGCGCTCGAGGCGCGTGCGCTCGAGACGCTGCGGTCTGCGCGTGCACGCGCAGAGGCGGCAGTGTACGAGACGCTGGCGCGCGAGCGCGAGAAGCTCGCGGCGCTCGAGGCACACATTGTGCGCGACGCCGAGGCGCTGCTGGCGCGAGCGCGCCCCGAGGCGCGGGTGTCGACGCCGCGCGTCGCCTCGGGCGGCAACGGCAACGTCGGCGTGCTCATGACGCGCACCGCCAGCGGCGGCAGCGAGAAGAACAGCACGCCGCGCCGCGATGCCTATCGAGCCCGAGGCGTCAGTCCGCTGCCGGAGCCGCCGACACTCTCGAGCACGGCCTTTGAGCGGCGACGCACGCCGCTGACCGATGCCGCTGGTACCTCTGTGACAGCCTCTGGGTCCGTCGGCAGTCTGTCGCAGTCCGTCAGTGCGCTCTCTGCCTCCTTTGCCATGCGCGGCCGCGACGCGCCTCTCACGGCGTCGCCGTCGGACTGGATGACGAAGAAGCGGCTGCGCGAACGCTACCCGGAGGCAGACCACTCTGCGCTGACGAGTGCGGCGACGAGTGCAGCCACCAGCGCCGACACGTCTACCGCCAACTCGGAGGACGAAGACGATGAGCGGGGACGCGCACGTGGGAGGGAACGCACGGCGAGGGATCAGCAGGCTGCCGCTGCGCCGCCGACATTGCTGCGCAGCGAGAAGGCGGGTGCTTCAGTGCAGCTTATGCAGACGCCTGCTGCGGGTGATGGGCGAACCAGTCGAGGCGAGGCGTGGACGATCAACGATGCAGAGCGAGAACGGCCCTCTGCCAGTGCGCGCAAGGAGCGACGTCAAGAAGCCGCGCCGGAGCCTGCTGCTGCACCGCAGCCTTCAGCTCGCGCCACGCCGCTCTCACCACCCCTGAAGTCTGCGCGTAAGGACAAGGAACGTGTGGCCGAGTCGTCTGCGACATCTACCTCGCAGGCACCAGAGAAGAAAGTGGCGTTTGTGGAGACGCCAGTGGAGGTGGCGCCGCCGCCGGCAGTCGAGGAGCCGGCACCTGTCAATGCCGACGAGGGCAAGTGTGAGTGGCCCACCCGCCAAGCCAAGCATGCAGTGTTTGTGCATTCTGCTGATCCCCCTCCCGCCCAGCCGCGGTGTTTGACATCGACGAGGAGATCGAATTGGATGTCGATGACGGCGCCGCCGCACCATCGACTGTCTCGGTGGGCGAGCGGGCACTGGAGCTTGACGGCTCGCTCGACGCCGACGACGCCGACTCTCCCTCGCGCTCCAGCTCGCCCGAAGAGTTCAACGCACCAGCGAGCATGTCGGCCATGCATGCCGGCAGCTTCTCTGCGCTTGCTGCGGCGCGCCAGCTTGGCAGCAGCAGCGCTGCAACTGGCAGCGAGAAGCGCGAGCTCGAGGCAGACGAGCCGGAGTTTGATCCTGCCAGTCTCCGTCTGCAGCTCGACGGCAGTGTGGTGCTCGACACCGAAGCGCTGGCGGAGCGGCGCATCAGCAGCGGCGCAAAGCCGGCGCAGTCCCGGCTCGGCAAGACGCGCGAGGAGACGTCCATTGGCTTCCGTGTGGCCGTGGGCGAGGCAGAGGCGCGCCTCAATGGCCTCCTGGCGCCCAACGTGCCAAGTCACCGCGGGCTCGGCAGACATACGGCGCGCAAGTATGCGCTGGACGAGGAGGACGATGGCTGGGCGGCTTGGCAGACGAGAGGTGTGTGCACACGGAGTAGTCGCAGCTGCGCTCGTTGCTGACATGTCCTGCGCCGGTCAGTGCGCACCCCCTCGCCTGCGCCCGACGCGGCGCTGCCGCTGGCCCGCTCCATGCCCATCGGCATAGTCGTCTCGCCGCCGGGCGCCACGACGCCCGTGATGATGTCTGCCCGCGCGCCGGGCACCACGACGTTCCGCGACGAGACGAGCGGCTTTGACCTGGAGGTGCGCCGTGCTTGGCGTCATCACTTGCGGCGGCCGTCGTTGATCCTCCTTTCACCTGCAGCCCAAGACATCGCTGCCGTACCGCGAGAAACAGATGACGCCCTCGCTGCGTCAGGCTCTGCGCCGCCGCGACCTGGGCGTGGGCGCTGCTGCGCGCTCGCCGCTGCCCGTTGTGGTGGACGAGCCGGAGAGCACGTCGGGCGAGAGCCGAGGCACGCCTCAGCCTACTCCCAAGCTGGCCGTCTCCGCGCCCCGAGACGCCGCGGCCAGCGTGCAGCGCGGCTTTGAGCCCGACAAGAAGACCAGCGAGGCGCCGCCCGCCGCCACGACGGCGCGCACTGCCGCAAGCGCAGCCGCCGCTGCAGCACTGCTCCCTGCGGCACCTGCCTCTGCGCCCGCCTCCGGTTCAGGCACGTCGACGCCTCTGGGTGGGCGACGCTCGCCTCGCCCGCCTTACGTGGCGCCTCCGCCGCCGCCGTCGGCGTCGACGGTGCTGGTTGCCGATCCGAAGCAGCGGCCCGCGCCTCTGGCCCTCTTCGCTGGCCCGCCCGACGACGGCAAGGAGTATGAGGAGGACGAAGAGGAGGAGCTGTCGTGGGAGAAGGTGCTGCATTTCCAGCATCGCCTCGAACGACTCAAGATCAACCGCCGCACCGGCTGGCTGCACCATCGCGTGCGCGACCCAGAGTGGTAAGTGGCAGAGCACGCTGCATGGCGTGACATCACAGCCAGCTGAGCTTCGTGTTTTGCCCCATCAGCATCGCGGCGCATATGTACCGCATGGCCCTGCTCGCCATGCTGCAGCCTTCCGACTCGCTGGACATTGGGCGCTGCGTGCAGCTGGCGCTCGTGCACGACCTGGCCGAGGCGGAGGTGGGCGATCTGACGCCGCTGGACGGCGTGCCGGGCGAGGAGAAGCTGCGGCGGGAGCGCGAGGCGATGCAGTACCTCGTGCACGACCTGCTGGGCGGCAGCCGCGCGGCACTGCGCATCGAGGCGCTCTGGGAGGAGTATGAGCGCAGAGAGACGAAAGAGGCGCGCCTTGTCAAGGAGTGAGTTGTGCAGGCTAGCCCATGCCACATCAGTGCTGACGCCTCGGCAGCCTTGACCGCTTCGAGCTCTGTCTGCAGGCCGTGGAGTACGAGCGCTGTGAGTGGCACTTTCGGCAGTCCCTTGTCGCTGGCCCTGTGCTGAACCTCCTCTCAGCGGACAACATCACCGATCTGCAGCCCTTCTTCACGGGCAGCATTGCGCACATTCGCAACCCGCTCGTGCGCAGGTGGGCCGCGCAGCTGGCGCAGGAGCGCCAGCAGCTGTGGGCCGAGCGCGGCATGGGCTACGTGCAGCCTGAGGTGCGGGATCAGGGTGGCGCTTGATGAGCCCCAGCGTAGTCGACTCTTTCGAGAGGAGGAGCAAATGCAATCCTTGCTGGAGCTGCAAGGCTGTGCGTGCGGATGCGGTCGAGGTTGGCGACGTGAAAGGCGCGCCTGCAGCAGGAACGCAGCGCCACAGCAGCAGTGACCAGGCAGGAGAAGCGACAGCCGCACCAGTGAAGGGGGTATCGCGTTTGTCATTGTCTCCCTCCCTCTCACTTGCCGCTCACAAAGTCCCTGCTCAAGTCGACGCCCTCCAGATGCGTGTTCTGCACGCGCACCTTTCTTCCTTTGCCCCTTCCTCTGCCTCCCTTGCCGCCTCTAGCCGCAAGCGCCGCCTTTGCGCGCTTCTCCTCCGCCTCGGGGTCGATGTGCGTCTGGATCGTACGCAGTCCTTCGGCGGCCAGCTCGCGCGGCAGATCGACGGCATCGGGAATCGTCTGGGCGTGCCAGAGCGTCTTGAACTCTGCGGAGCGAGAAGAAGGGCATCAGCAAGGGAGCATGCCTACTCCTCCTCCTCCGCGCATGCACTCACCATCATCGACATTCCCCACTCCCTTCTCCTCGTTCCAGTACACCATCTTTGCCGTGCCGTCCTGCTTCCGCAGCACGAGCACTTCGCGCTCCATGCCCTTGCCCGCCCACTCTTCGATCACCTGCCGCGCCAAAGGGTAGCTCTCGCGCAGCTCCGCCAGCTTCATCCCCGCGGCGTTGGGCGCGCCGGGCCGCGAGGAGACGGCGCGTGAACGCAGAAGAGTGAGCAGCTCGGAGGGCGACTTGACGTCGAAGTCCGGCTGAGCAGGGCTGGGATTAGCGAGGCAGCGGCGGGGAGGCGCAGATGCGCCCGGACGACAGAGGCGAGAGACAGGCAAGGCGAGGCACAGGCGAGGCGAGGCACAGGTGAGGCGGAAGGACACGCCGGAGACTCTGCCTGACGCCGATCCCTCCTCGACCCCCCTGCGCCTGCGCCTTGCACTTCGCTCTCCTGATGCCCTCCTCGCTCGCTGTTCTCGCACAGATAGTTGCCCTCTTGCTCGCCTTGCCTCCCTCAGCCTCTCTGCCGCACTCACGCGATAGCTCCACAGGCCCGTCTTTTCGCCGCGCTCCACTCTCTCATGCGCCTCCAGTCTCCTCCTCGTCTCGTCGTTCTCATCGAGCAGGAACTCGAGCGAGTTGCGGATCGCAAAGTCCTCGAGGCGCACGGGGTTCTTCTCGGCCTTGAGTGCCTCGAGTGCGAGGATGAGGCGCGTGGTGGAAGTGGCGCCGCTGCCGGTGAGGGAGGGCTGCGAGTAGATTTGCGAGGAACGACTGGCGGAAGGGGGTGAGCGGTGCGAAGAGGGTGTGAGAGGCGGCAAGGCACGCACCTCATGGCTGCAGAGATGCGGGAGCGGCGCTGGCAGAAGACGCAAGCAGCGCAGACGGCAGCCGCGAGTGCCAGGTGCGAGGCCGGTGGAGCGAGCAGAGCGCCGAAAGGAGAGGCTGCAGATGGCGGTGTGGAAGCAAGGCGCTGCTGGAGCGGGCGGCGGTGGTGGTTGGGAAGCAGGCCGCTGCCGTTGCTGTGGCTGCGTCTAGCCTCGCCTCGCCGCATGCGCCTGGCGCTCGAGCCACCGCCACGTCTTGTTGCCGCCTTGTCCTCGTTCGCGTCTCGCAGCGCGCCGCTGCTCGCTTCCCGACGTCCACCTCCGCCGCCGCGGCGTGCTCAAGCCATCTCTCAGGCCCACGTCTGCCACGTCTCGCACCGGCAATCATCGCGCCTTTGCAGCCACCATGGCGGCGTCTCCCAGGCTGACGCTGCAGCAGCAGGTGCGTGGCGAGTCTGCTCGCCCTTGCGGTGTGCGTCGCTCACCTGGCCGCCGCATCAGGCATTCCGCTCTCTTCTGCTCGCCTATCACATCCGTGCCGCATCCGCCGACTTCCATGCCGCGCACCTCACCTCCACTCTCTCGCCGCTTTCCTACAAGCCTGGCGGCGCCGCGCTCTTCGCCTGGACGCACCTGAAGCGCGCCTTTCTGCCCACCTACAGCATCCTGCGCGGGCCGAGCCACGCAAGGGGCGTCGGCGCAACTCGCCCTCAAGCGGCGCCGCTCACTGCCGACTCGCACGCTGCCGTCAAGGCGCTACAGGAGGCCATCCAGGCGCGTGTCAGCGACGCACGCTTGCACATCACAGGGCCGCATCGGCGAGACATCACCGCGGCCCGGCCACTCTCGCTGCTCCTCATCCACCCACTCGCCTCGCACTCGCCCGAGGCAGCCTTGCCGGGCACTGCATCTGATGCGGCATGGCACGCTCGTGGCGCGATGCAGCAGATGCTCTTGGAGGAGCGCTTGTTGCTCACGACGCCCGGCGCCGCCAAGGAGTCTTCAACACCACAGGAAACGAGGCAAGCGGCGCACGGCTACGTGCCCCTCTTCTTGCCCGACGCCGCCCGCACGCCCGTTGATCTGCAGTACGTGTCCCTTTGGCCATTGCTCCGCCCTCCACTCCGCCCTTCGTCTTCCTCGCCATCCGCTCACCTCAAACCTCGAACTCGCAGTGCGACCACCTGTCTCTCCCCCGGCGCCGCACAGCTCCTCCTCACAGGCGACGCGCGCTTTGCGCGCTTCCTGACGGATCTTGCCGAGGAGGGATTCGGCATGCGGTTGGATGCTCATGGGCTTTGGACGCGTCCTGGGCTGGGCTCATCACGAGCCGAGACGCGCGCCGTAGGAGGCATGGGCTCGTCTGGCGTGCCAACGGGAATGCAGATGCGTAGCTTCCTAGAAGATGCGCAGCCAGAGGAAGCAGCAGAACGACATGCTTCTGCCCTCTCTCCTGCGCCTGACGCATTGAGAATGGCGGAGCCACCGAGCACACGGGAGCCTCAAGAAGAAGGAGCAGAAGCGTCGGCAGACGCAGCGCTCGAAGCTCGACGCGAGCGGAATCGCGCCATGGGCTTGCCACCAGACTTTGACAGCGGACTCGGCCTCGATTCTCCGTCCGACGCTTCCTCGTCGCAAGATCCGCCATCAGCCAGTGGCACCACCCCGCCGCAAGCAGAGCTGATGGCGAAGCAGGACAAGCCACGCGAGGATCTGTACCATCCATCTTGGCGGCGTCTCTGTGCGGAGGCAGACGAGGAGATGATCCTGGACACGCTCGGGCTGGCTTATCTGCCGCCTGAGGCCAGAGTGTCGAGGGCACAGGCTGGGCGCGATGGATGATCCAATGACATTGGGCTCCCTCCTTGCCCGCTGTGGACGTAGCAGCAAGAGGCCATTGGGAGCGCTCTCATGTGCGACGCCCTGACTCTCCACTCCTCTTCTCGCTCCCTCGTCTCGAACCCACAGAGAAGGCACGTGGCGCGGACCTCTCTCACCCGCTCCGTCCCATCTGCCAGCTCCCAGCTGCCGCTCTCAGCTCGAGGTGCCGCCGACGAGGATGGCGAAGTTCTAGTAGCGCATGCGCGGCAGCGGAGAGGCAGGAGGCGAGAGAGGCGATGTGATGCGTCAGCGAATGAGCCTCACGTGCGTATGACATGCCCGGGCGACTGTGCCAGCGCAGCAACGCCTCACAGGACGTCTCTCGGCCTCTCCAACTCACATTCAGTGCCTTGCCCTGATGCACCTCCTCCTTCTTCCACACCTTGCCATCCCACTCCTTTCCCTTCTTCAAGCTCTTCAGCACCCGCTCCTTGCGCGTGCACAGCCAGCGCGTCAGGCGCTTGCTGTCGTCTTGCCGCTCCACGTCCCAGCCGCACGAGCCGAGGATGGCGGTGAGCCGCTCGTGCGTCAGGTAGCGCGAGTTGGAGACGCATGCGCGAGGAAGGACGAGATAGAGGCGACCGGAGGGCTTGAGGTAGGAATGCGCGTGCAGGAGCATGCGACCTGGCAGAAAAGGTGAGCATTTGCGGCTCTAGATCCGCGACCATCAAGGCAGCATGGCACTCACCGCGTTCCCGCAGGTCGCCGACAAAGTTGACCACCAGACTCAGCGCCACCACATCATACTTGCCTCTCCATCTTCCCTCCATCTCCATCTCTTCCCTCTCCTCCTCCTCTTCCTTCTCTGCATGCTTGAGCAGGAAGGCCTGCTCGGCCTGCAGCGCCTGCTCCTCGTCCATGTCGGGCGCCGGGAACTGGAAGAAGTCGGCGCGGATCACGCGTGCGGAACGTGGGTTGAGGTCGATGGGCGTGTCGGAGACCCAGGGGAACTTGGCGTACGCAGTGCCGGCGATGGCGCCGACGTCGAGAATGCGGCACTGCAAGCACGTCAGCCGCCTGGGGTCAGCCCGGGACGAGAGTGCACGTCGCCGGCGAACTCACCTCCTCGGTGCCGCGCACCTTGGCCAGCGTCTCGGCGAGCCATTTCCCCGTCTCGCCGCCCTTCTGCTTATCGCCGCCGCGGATGCTGGCATCCTGGTATGCCTTCAGCCCACCCAGCGCCTCCTGCTCCGCTGCGATCTCGGCGCGCCGAGCGGCAGTCGTGGCGGATGCATGTGCCTCCTTCTCCAGCGCATGGTAGCGCGCAATGGCCAGTGCGCCCATGCTACGTCCCTCGGAGGAGGCGGACTTGGAGGCCTTCTTGGCCGCGGCCTCGACGTCGACTGCGCCTGCTTTGCGGTTCTTGGCACCGCCACGCTGAAGACCAATGCAGATGGTAAGCGGGGGCCGCTGCGCAAGGAGAGACAAGAGAGACGCACCTTGCCGCGCGGCCGCACCAGCTTGCCCTTCTTGGCGGTGCCTGCGGCGCTGCCCTCGACTGCCTCGTCGGCGGCAACATCCATGGCCACCTCATCGGGCTTGGGCGACGACATGGCGGAAGAGAACAGAAGCTCGGTGCTTGGGGACAAGTGCGAGGGCGATGCGAAGAGGCGAAGTAGGCAGACGTGAGGTGCTCCAAGCGTGCGTCGAGGTGCGCAGAGAATGCAAGGAGAGAGACAGACGACGAGGGAGTGCGAGGGTGAGAAGCGAGGAGCGAAGGGCGCGAATTCAGCGAGCGGAGGCCGCCGCACTTTTTGACGGCTTCCCGCACGAGACACGGCAGCGGCGAGCGGAGAGGGCGCTGCTCCCACGCTGTCATCACGTGCGCTCGGCCTGGCCGCCTTGCCTTTGGCCTGCAGCTGCGACGCCGGACTGCGCTGTCAGAAGCAGCAGCAGACTGTGACCGTGACTGCAGCTGTGTGCGTTGCCGAGTCGACGGCCGCGAGAGTGCGTGAGAGGTGGGCAAGCTGGCGGCGCGGCGGCGCGTGCTGCGCCCAACGGCCGCGACGCGGTCCGTGCATGCTCGCTGCGCTGCAGCCACGCCCCTGGAAGGGCACCCCGCTCCTTGCCTCGAATCCACCACCTCCGTCCCACGTCTTCTCCGCCAGCTCTGCGCTCGGCCCTCGCGCTGCCACTCTTCTGCGCGGCAGTATGGCCACCTTCCAGCCGCTCTCCACCGGCTCCGACCGCTGGGCGCCCGACGATGCCGCGCCCTCCTCCTCGCGTCCGCGCGGCGGCCTCGGCCTCGGCGCGGGCGCAAGCAGCAGCCATGCTGCGCTGCTGCGGTCTCCGCCACTCTCGCCCAGACGACACGCCCAGCCTCTCTCCGGGCTTGCGCTGCCTCCGCCGCGCTCCCTGCACTCCGCTCTCGGCGCCGCAGCAGGACCCAGCGCTCGTCTGCGCGACCCTACGGCGCGCGCTGCACCGGCGCACGCGCGGCCACGCCAGCCTGCGCCGCGCCAGGGTGCCTGGGCATGGCTCACCAACGTGCTGCCCAATCCCTCTGCTGCAGCAGACGAGGATGAGCACACCTCCCTGCTCGGCGGCGGGCCCCGTCTGCGCACCGGCCCTGGTCTGCGTCGTACGCATCTGCCACGCGAGCCCAGCTCCACTGGCCTCGCTTCAGCCGCCGGTCCACGACCACGTTGGAAGGATGCCTTTCGTCCCGAAGCACGCACCGTGGAGCGCTGGCTCGACTCCTTCTGGCGCCGCTGGCTCGTGTTGGCCGTGGCGCCAAGTCTGGTCGTGTGGGCGTGGTGCGCCATGCCGTTCCCAAAGACGGATCCGTACGACAAGAATGCGCCGTGGTGCGATCCCGATAGCTCCTCGCCCGACGCACCTTGGTGCAGGACACCGACACATGGCGAATATGGCTCCTCGACCACAGACGCAAACTTCTGGTTCTTCCTCTTCTTCTACTATGGCATCTACGTTGCGGTCGGTGCGTAGCTCCTCACCATGCCCCTTGGTGCCGCAGGCTGACCTGATTCGGCTTCAGCGCTCATCTACATCACACAACTCTTCTCGCTCTACCGCCTCAACTGGTGGCCCGCCGCGCTGGGTGCCAAGACGTCGTACGCCATGTTCTGGCTGCTCTCTCTCGCCTCGGGCTACACGCTGCACTCTCTGCGCCTCGACTCGCTCGGCACGCGCCGGCCGGGCAGCTGGCTGCCGGGCTGGGGACACGAGGGTCATCGCGGTGATAACGACAACGACGACGTGCAGTGGCAGCGCAAGACGCTCTGGGTCGGCCTGGCGTTTGCTACGATGGCCATGCCTGCGTTTGTCTGTCTTGCTGGCTTGAGAAGAAGCGGGCGACAGAACTACCGCCATAGCTTGACGCACACGCAGAAAAGTGAGTGGCTGTCCGATTGCTCTCTCCAGGTTTGACGCCTGATGTCCTTCATGCAGCGTTCCTGGAGCGTCAACTCGCGCGTCGCATCCCGGCGTCATACACGCGCTTCCTCTGGTTCAGCGGCACGATCGGGCTGGCCTTGGTGGCGCTGCTCGCGGGCCAAGGCTATGCGAGCGTCTATCTCTCGACGCTGCCGCACACGGGCCTCGACGGCACGGCCTACGTCATGTTCTGGACGATCAACGTCAATGTCCTCATGCTGCTGTCGCAGTGGATCCTGGAGGAGAGAGTGCGGAGCAGAGCATTGCAGTTTTGCTTCAGGTACTACTATTTCATGGTGAGGTGCGCCGGCTGCACGAGGCACTGCTGGCTTTGCTGACGTCTCTTCGCGGCAGGTCTACTTCATGTGCGCGCCTCCTCGCCGCGCCGGTTACTCGCTGGCCCTTCCATCTGACTCTCATCGCGCACCCAGCTTCTACCGCAACCTCTTTGCGCGTCTGCGCTCCTTCGACCAGTTTGCCCTCGTGCAGCTCATGAGCTCCTTCTGGGTCTGCATCTGGTATCCCTTCAGGTGCGTGTGGGCAGCATGCATCAAGGACGCGCTCGAGGCATGTGCTCACTCTCCTCGCACACGCACACACACAGCATGACGAGTCTCTGTCATCGAGTCGTACAATATTTCAACCCGGACCCCAAGTCGTGGGAGGAGTACGTCGAGGGCGTCGGCATTGGTGCGTGCCGCGCTTCTCCGACATCACACGGCCCTGTCCGCCCAAGCTGACCTGCACCGCCGCCAGCATTCTACCTGCGCAACCTGGCGCAGAACACCACCATGCTCGCCTTTCTCGGCTGGGTCTCGATTCTGCACTTCGGCAAGAACCAGCGTGCGTGCCATCATCGCTTCTCCGCTTCCTTCTGCACTGCTCATTCGCTCCTCTTGCAGACCTATACCCCTTCTTCGCCTTCGACGACGCGCGCGATCCCTACAACTACCAGCTTACCATTCTCGGCTCGCTCGCCATCTGGGCGTCGGAGCTCTCCAGCTCCTGGGTGGCGCGCACGCTCTGCCTGCTCTGCTTCGACGTCGACGTCACCAACCTCGGCCTCGACGAGATGCGCGCGCATCCCGAGCTCGTCACGAGCGTCGTGTGGACGAGCGTGCATGTGCTGCAAGGTGAGTAGCGAGAGGCAGAAGGCCAACCTCGGAGCTCCGAGTAGAATGCTGATGCTGCACACGCGTCTCTGCGCACAGACTGCCTGCTCTTCCTCATCAAGCTCAACTTCCGCTAGCCACCTGCTTCCCCCGTCACACGCCATGTAGAACCCTTACTCTCAACTGATACCCTATCACGTCGTCGCGCGCCTGCGTGTGCTCGAGATGCTGCATTTGCGAGTCATCCTCTACGATGCGCATGCTCTGCTTTCTAGTTGTTGTAGTCGTACTTCTTGTAGAACTGCGGGCCAGCGAGGTCAGCACATGCGAAGCAACGCCCCTCGGCTCTCCCGCTCACCGTCTCGCTGTCGGTATCTACCTGTCCCGCCTTCGCGCCTCGCTTGACATTGCCGCTCTCTCTCTCCGTCTTGATGCGCAGCTCGCGATCCGCACGCAGCCACGCCAGCGCCGTCGGCAGCAGTGTGCCGCGCTCGCCCTCGGAGAGCGCATCGGCATCGCTGCCGCTCTCGTCCAGCACGGGCAGCGCATCTTGACAGACGCCGTCGGCGCGCGGAGGCCAGGTGATGGGCATGGACGAGGTGGTGCGGCCCATTTGCATGTGCAGAATGTGCGTCGGGAACGAGGAGAGGCCGTCGAAGATGTGCGTCGCGTCTGGAGGGCAGTGTCAGTCTGGCTATGATGCCATGCCAGTCGAGTGACTCACAGATGATGGTGGCGCCTCTCTCCTCCGTCTCGCTCCTCAAGAACTTGAGCAGGTCCGCGCGCACCTGCACGTCGAGATCGACCGTGACTTCGTCGAGGAGCAGCACGTCCCACTCCTCCATCAAGCCCATCGTCAGCTGCACGCGTCTGCGTTCACCGTCGCTGATCTGATGCATGCGCCACGAGATGTCGACGTCCAGAATGTCGAGCAGGCGATCACGACGCGCCTTGTGTCGGAAGCCCCCGACTGAGTCGAGAAAGTGCGAGACGCGAATGTCGCCGCGAACCACGGGGTTCATGGCCCACTCCGTGCCGAGATAGACGATGCCGCGCGGCGCATCGTGGAAGACATCCTTGCCGTACACGCGCACGTGCGCATCCCGTCCAGGCAGACGCTTGCCAGCCAGCAGACGCAGCAACGTAGACTTGCCAGCGCCGTTTGCGCCAATCAGGAGGCAGCGCGAGCCGCGCGAGAGGGAGAGGTTGCAGTCGACCAGCGCCGGCTCTCGCTCTTGCGTGAATGCAAACGTCAGGTCCTTGACATCGACAGCCCGCTCTGCGGATGCCAGCTGCGTCACGTCTGCAGGCTGCTTTGCGCCGTTTTGAGAGGCAGACCAGTTCCAGTAGCCCGAGCCGGCAGCTTGGATCTCGGGACCGAGCTTCTCGGCGGCGAGAATGGCCGCGGCACCCCAGCTGCCCGCTGAAGAGGCATCGGCCTCGGACACCAGCGTGATCAGCGCCCGTCCGGCGGACGTGATGAAGCCTTCAGAAACGCCGCGCTCAACCAGCGCAAGGAGCGGGTCGTAGAAATTGTTGACGTTCAGGAACACGACGGCTATGAGGCAGTGACTGGCCTGAGCACCGCGAGGAACAGAGAGCGATGCTACGGCGCCACTCACGCTTTCGTTGGATGCCAAGCTGCGTCCAGGTGATCATCTCAAACGCTAAGCGCGCACACCAAGTCAGCCTCTCCCTCGTGCGCATGCTCGCCCGCGCGACTCACCCTCCTCGAAGCTGCCGTACCCGCCGGGCAGCACCAAGAACGCATCGCTCTCGTTGGCCATGCGCAGCTTGCGTGCATGCATGTCGGGCACGAGCACGGTGGTGAGGCGCTGCGTGCCTTCGGTGCCGTTGTCGAGCTGCATCGGGCCGGCGCCCTCTGCTGAGCCGGTGCCCGCTGCGGCGTTGGGCCCGCGAGTGGGCGCCTTCACCATGATGCGCGGCAGCACGCCGAGTGCGGCGCCGCCCGAGGAGAGCGTGGCGGAGCAGACGGCGCCCATGCTGGTGCGGGCGCGCGTCAGCGGCGTGCGTGCAAGGCGTCAAATGCGGCTACTCGGGCTACTGGCCAGGCGGAGGCGCTCGCACGTTGGAGCGCAAGCCATGAAGCGCCATAGCTGCCGCTACGGCCACGCATGCCCAGCACTCTCTCTCGCACCCGCCCGGTGCCCCGCCTGCCCGGCTGACTCACAGGCCGCGCTCGCCGCCGCCGTACACGAGGCGTCGTTGTTGTTGAGCCAGCGCCGTGCCGACATCGCGCGCCGCAGCCAGATACTCGGGCGCGCTGCCGGGTGCCGAGCCGCAGAAGACGGCGAAGGACTGCATCGTGGTGGGTGTCCGGGTCAGGGTGGTGGTGGTGTGAAGCGAAGGACAGGCCATGGGCGGGGTTGCCCTTGTGGAGGCACGTTCAGTCCTTCGAGTCAGGTCAGCGGGCGTGGGAGCAGCAAGCCTCGCGGCCCGCCGCGGCATCCGCGGAAGACGCCCCGCTTACCTAAGTCGAGTCGCGCTCCAAAAGTTGGCCCCTCGAGCGGGGCTGAGAATTTGCGGCACTGCCACGCTCCTCTGCCTGCCTCTCCTCCACCAGCCTCCTCACCCTCATCCTCAGCACCATGGGCGGCAAGAAGCTCACCACCAAGACGGTCAAGCGCAAGGGCGCACCCACGCACCCGGGCAGCCGCCGCGCCGCACAGCTGGAGCGCTGCCACCTGCGCGAGACGCGCCTGGCGCAGGGCAAGGGCGTCGCCGGCCGCAAGCGCGGCGCAAAGGGTCAGTGCCGGGCCGACGAGAGGAGGAGAAGTGGCGCTTGCTGCAGTATGGCATTGTGGAGAGGTGCGCTGCTGCATGAGGCAGACGCCGGCCTCGTGCACTGTGAGGCACGCTCCTGGCCTGCTGGCAAGTTCTGCTGTCGGGCGCGGACGAGGGCACACTGCAAGCTGGCCGGGCGTGGCGCAAAGATTGCTGCGGTGCTCCAGCGGTGATGGCGCGAGATTCGTTCAGCGCGCTCTCGTCTGCCCTCGCCCACGAGCAGACGCGACGACGCCACGAAGGCGCTGTGCTGTCCTCCAGCTGGACTGGCGACGCTTCCTGGCCCCTCTGCTCTCTTCTCTCCGCCATTGCTGACGCTTCAAATCACAGTCGACAAGCTGCTCTCCATCATCCTCCTCCTCCCCTCGGAGTGGTCCTGCATCCCCGATCTTCCCGCCTTCCACTCCTTCCTCCAATCCTCCTTCCTGCCCCGACACGCTGCCGAGCTCTCCGAGATCGAGTCTCAACGACGAGCGGGCCGCCCACCAAGCGCGCGCGAAGTGGCGCTGCGTGCGCAGGCAGAGAAGGAGCAGCAGGACTACGAGACGGGCATGGAGGTGCCAGACCTGCTGAGCGAGGTCAACGTGCGGCTGCTGCGCGAGTGGGAGGGAGATGAGCGGCAGCTGAGCCTGTTCCGGATGCGGCGCATCAGTGGAAAGTTCCAGTGAGTGAACCTGCGCTGCGAGAGCGCGAAGAGAGGCTGATGAACCTGTGGTCTGCAGACAGCAGTACGACATGGTGCAGAAGGGCCAGCACAAGGAGCTGGAGCTGGAGGATGCACGCAACGCAGCGGGCGCCAGCAGCAGTAGCAGCAAGACTGCCGCAACACCGGCGGCAGCTCCGGCGGCTCCGGACGCCATGGTCCTCTGAGCCTCTTCCACACGTCCGCAGCTCGTTCTCGACTCTTCAGGGTACAATGTCACGCTCCTCATTCCAACATCAGCACGCGTGGGCCGAGCCGCGTGCTCGTGGTGCGACTGAGGAGATGGTGAAGGCGAAAATACAGACGTCGAGCGGCGGGCCTGGGCGCGTTGGCCGCGTCTCGTCCTGCCTCCTTCCTGCTCGCAGTGCGCCAGAGCAAGCAGTAGGTAAGAGTAGCCATTGCTCGCATGTCGGGCCTTTGCCAGCGGCGGCATCATTATCGCGAGCACATGTCTTTGTAAGAGGAGAGGAGAGGAGAAGCGAGATTTGCTACGAGTCTCTTGTCGTTTCGTGCTCTCTCATGCGGCACCCAGGCCGCCGCGCTGTGCACTGACCATCGCCAGTCTGCGCACCTGAGCATCGACAGAAGGCGTCAGCCGAAGGCTCTTGCTTCTGCGCGTACGCGTCACTCACCTGCTCCATGGAGATGGCGCCACTCTTGAGCGCCAGCGTACTGCCATCGTCGCCGGCGACCTGCATCGCCGCGCCGTCGTCCGAGTATGCCACCGGCAGGCTGGCCGCCTCTCTAGCCTCTTCCACCTCCTCTTCGTCCTCGTCGTCCATCGCGTCCGCCCGTCGTCCCCGCGCCGACGAGTGCGGCGATGCGCTGCGGTACGCCGATGCGTCTCGTGGCGCTTGGAAGGCGGATGATTGAGGCGATCCGAATGCGCTCGAAGAGAGGACGGGAGAGGCATTGGCGGAAGCTGACGCGCTGCCGCCGCCGAAACTCATGCCAGGAGAGGCGCTGAAGGCACTAAAGTCGCTCACTACCTTGCGGCTGCCACTGGCGCCGCCCGAACTGCGACGCCGCTCGGCGGTGCTGCCACTGCCTGACGCGGCGGGAGGAGAGAATCGCGGATGCGCGTACGGCGTGAAGGGCTTGTAGCTCGACGAGATGGAGCGCTCTCGCAGATACTTGGCGGAAAGGCGCGAGCCGACGACCTATGATGCAAAGTCCCTGTCAGCTCAGCGCAGTCCCGTTTCACACACCTTGCTACGCACCTTCTTCAGCAGTGGCCGCGCAGCTGCCAAGTCGCGCGCCTGCGTCCAGACCTCAATGTTGTGTTTGCTTTCGGCGCTCTCATTGTAGATGCTCTCGACGATGAGATGCTTCGTCGTCTCTCTCCGCAGCGTCAGGCTCTCGAACAGATCGCGCGTCACCGAGTCCATGACGTCGCGCTCGTTGTTCTCCAGACTCATGTCTGCGATGCGCTGTGCTACTTGGTCACCGACCTCGCGGTGCAGGCGGTCGAGTGACATGCACTCCGCTGCGGCACCGATGATGACGGGCGTAAGGAGCGAGGCAGTCGTGAGCGGCAGCAGCTGGCCGCCAGTGAGCCGCACGAGGCCCTGGTAGAAGTCGGCGGCTTGCTGGTAGCCGCTGAGCGCCGGCTCGCAGGCGACCATGAAGAGCGGAATGCCGGCAGCTGCCATGCCACGAGCCAGGCGCAGCGGGTCTTCGCCGTCTGGCGAGCCAAGATGGAAGCCATCGCCGTACTGCCGCCGCACAGATCAGCACGGCTTCTCGCAGGCGAACACGCATAGACTCACCTCGCCGATGCCGTGCGGCGGCGCATCTGCAATGAGCACAGCCAGACGTGTGGCACTCTGGCGCCACTCCAAGTCGCACGCAGCTTTCAGCGCCGCCGTGACTGCCTCGGGGCCATCGCCTCCGCCCGATGCGTACAGCGTGCTGAGGTTCTGCTTGATCACCTCAACGGACGTCGTGAAGCCGCCGACTGCATCGAGGGTCAGTAGAGGCGCAGTAGAGGCGGAAAACAGTACGCACACGTCTTGACGATATACGTGTGGTCTTGCGGCGGGTGGTCGCGGTAGGCGACGAGAGCAATGCGCAGCGCACCGGGCGACGAGAGCTGTTCTGAGCGGATGATCTGCAGGGCACGGGAGTGAGCGGACAGCAGCAAAGTAAGGCGCCAAAGACACGCACGTTCTCGCAGATCGTCTCGATGTTGCGCGTTGCGGACTGCAGGCGAGAGGTGAGCCAGGCGCAGAGCGTGCTGAGGCGTCGCAGCGAACTCACGGCAATGTAGCTGCCCATCGAGCCGGTCGCGTCCATGATCTGCAGCAGCACAAGCATCAGTACAGCTCCGAAGGCGGTGCTCTGCAGCGAGCCTGTCATCTCAAGCCAGGCCCAATGCGGCAGCAGTCCCACTGACAGCTCCCGCGGCAGTGCATCATGCGCAGTGCACGGCAGGGTGTCGTGTGCGCCGAAGCAGCTCCTTGGGCGCCTGAGGGCGCCTGAGGCAAACTCTGAAGCTCGTGTGTCGCACTCGCTACCGGACACGTCGCCCGCTCTGCTGTAGACGACGTGCCCAGCGCTTCTGCCCAAGCCTGACGGAAGCTCATCTGCCGCAAGTTCCCTTGCATCTCTGCTCCCGCCTCCTTCGCCGCACTCACGAAGACCAAGTCGAGTTGCCGCTCGTCCTCATCGAGCCAGAAAGCCGCCGCGCCACTGCATCCTGCCTGCTGCTGTTGCTGCTGCGCCTCAGCCTCGAGCTGCGCCTGCTGCTGCGCTGCTGCGTCGCTGTTCAGGTGCGCCGCTGCGGCGCCGAACATGCTGCGGCGCGATGCGAGGTCAGCGCACGGAAGAGGCGAGCCTGGCAGGGGTGGTGAGGACGCACCCGTAGACTCCACGGCTGGATCTCATGCCGGCGAGAGCGCAGGCGGCGCTGCTGAGGGAGAAAGGAACACGAAGAGGCGCCTCCACACGGAGAAGCGCAGCTAGCAGACGAGCTGCTGCTGCTGTCTGGGTCGCTCGGACAAGCGCGAGGCAGCGACAAAGTTGGAGGTGTGTCTCAGCTGGCGAAACGTGTGAGGTGCCAGGACGAAGCTGCTGTGTTCTAAGGCGGGCTGAGGAGATGGAGAGGGAGATGAAGTGAGGAGCGCTGCGCGCGGCGCGGCGCAGATCAGCGCACGCTGTGCCAGCGCAGGGTGCAGGCGCAGCAGCAGCAAGCCGGGCAGGCCGCCTGTGTGTGGCTTTCGAAAGTGACGCCTTTGTGCATCGCGCGCGCGCAATACAACCACGCTAGCGCCGTTTGTAGTCGTGGGGCGTGTGGGAACAGCTGGCGGTGGAGCAACAGCCTTGGCCGGCCTTCGCACAGCCGCAGCCGAGCTTCTCTCCTCTCCTCCAGCAACATCCTCGCATCCGCAACCATGCCGCGTGTCCCGTCAGCCTCCAGCAGCGCACGGCACAGCGCCGCTCTACCGGCGCCGCCGTCGCGCCGCAGCTCGCGCCTCGTCTCCAGTCTCGGGCCTGGCTCCAAGCCGAGCGCCAGCAGAGGCGCCGTCAAGAGCGAGGGCGGCGTGAAGGCGGAGCCCGCCGACGCAGCAGCAGCAGCGCCGACAGCTGCGCAACTCAACGTCGCCGAGCCATTCGTCAAGGCCGAGCCATCCGAGACTCCTCTCGACGCCTTGCCACTGGCACACGACCCCGCCCGCGCCTCCGCCGCGCATGCCGCACTCGCATCCGGCTCCTCTCTGGCCGCACTACTCGACGATCCCTCTTCCCCCGCACTACGACAAGCCGCGTCGCGCCTCAAGGCCGCCTCACAGCGCGCTGAGGCATTGCATGGCCTGCCACCATTGCTGCCGGCCGAGGAAGTGCGGCTGCGCACGCATATCCTGCGCCCTGCTCTGCCGTACGACTTTGGTGCCGCGCGGGCACATCTGGAAGAGGCAGATCCGCGCTTCCGGATCCTCTTCCATCAGGCCGACTTTCGCAAGTATCTCGCCAACGGCAATGAAGGGCCGGAGAACCTGAATCTGTTCAAGTACGTCTGGTGCCTCACGCTGCCGCCGCTTCGACTGACCTCTGCATGTCTAGGTCGCTCGCCACCTCCATCCTGGGGCAGCAGATCTCCTGGAAAGCCGCGCGTGCCATCTGTCTCAAGTTCCTGGCGCTCTTCGACGCATCCACACTCGATGCGGCACCAGCAGCGCCCGCATCAGCCGACGAAGAAGATCCGGTCGCCGCTCTGCCCTTCCCTACGCCCTTGCAAGTGCTAGCACTGCCTGAAGGCGCTGTCCGAAGCGCGGGCGTCTCGTCAGCCAAGGAGAAGGCACTGAGGGACATCGCACATCGCTTCGCGGATGGCAGGCTGGACGCACGGAGATTGTCGACTGCTACGACTGAGGCGGCGTGGGAGGAGATGATCTCGGCGCGAGGCGTGGGGCCGTGGACTGGTGAGTCTTGCTCGGGCCTGCCGTTGCAGCCGCGAGGCTGATCCTGAGGGCAGTGCAAATGATTCTGATGCTGGCGCTGCGCATGCCCGACATTTTGCCCGTCGGTACGTGCCCGCCGCATCGTGTACCTGCTACGTGTGCTGACACTGCGAGCACAGGCGACGTGGGCGTGCAGAACGGCATGCTCAAGTTTTTCCTTGCTCCGGCGACTGGACCTGTCATTCCAGCGCATCGACGACGACCACTGGGCGCTGGAGAGGCAGAGACACCGCCGGCGAGTGCCCGTGGCACGCCGGCTTTGCCGAGTGGCATGCGGCCCGAGATGCTGCGGGCACGTCTGGCCAAGAAGGGCAAGAAGGGCGCAGCGCTCGAGTGAGTGCTGGCGGCAAGACGAGACGATGCGCGGCTGACCGGCCCTGGCTTCGCACAGGCCGGACGAGATGGAGCGCCTCACCGAGTCCTGGCGGCCCTTCCGCAGCCTGGCGTGCCTTCTGATGTGGCCCATCGCCGACGTCCTCGTTTGAGCTGCTTGGAGCAGCACGGAGAGCATGCATGTATTGGCAGCGCAGGTATGACAGATTGAAGATTAGTGCTGATGAGAGGGAAGGCGTGGAGAGTGAAGATTGCGCAGGCCTGCGCAGTCTCAAGAGAGGTCGAAGCCAGCATTGCTGTTGATGGCGTACAGCAGCTTCTCGCGCGTCTGGGCCACCGACGTGTAGCGCGGCAGCTTGAGCAGGTTGACGCACGTCGATGCGGTGGGCAGACGCGTGTCGTCGTTGCCGGCTTGCCGGATGCCGAACTTGGGCCGCAGCTCGGAGAAGCCGAGGAGCGGAGGCGAGGGACAGGAAGTGACGAACTGCGAAGTGTGTGAGCGGCGGAGAGAAGGATGCGAAGAGGAGCACTCACCTTGAGCATCGCGCGCCGCTCGTTGGGCGTGAAGCTGTGCAGCGCGGCCCAGAAGTGCTCGATTGCCTCGTCCTTGTCGTCGTACCCGCCGAGCTCTGTGTTGGCGCGCAGGTCCGTCTGCAGAGCGACACGTCAGCTTAAGCAGAGCGCGGCCACGCCATCACCACACACCAGGTCAATAGGCTCCTCCGTGCCGCACACGAGCACCTTGAGCTCATCCACATCGAGAATGCGTAGCCAGCGCGGGTCGATGATGTCCGAGAGACCGCTGAAAAAGGCGTCGCACTGGCGCGCGATCTGGCCTGTCAGGCGCCAGTGGCTGACGCGGTAGATGTAGCTGAGGCGGTTCTCGCGCGTCACGGGAATGTTGGAGCCGCCGGGGATCAGATCGTGGCTGGTGACGTGGCCCAGCTCGTCGGACTGCACGGTGAAGTTGAGCGCCAGGTCCGCCTCCACATCTCCGTCGTAGTTCTTCAGGTACAGCAGGCCGCGATACATGACGGGGTCGAGGCTGTCCAGACTGGCCAGGTCGTCGAGGTAGCCCTGCCGGCCGAGCCACTTGGACAGGAAGAAGCGCGCAAACTTGATGTCGACGAGAATGCCCATGTACAGCGCCTTGCCGAGCACGCGGCCGAGGAACTGGTACCACTCCAGCTGCTCCGGCTCGCGCGCATAGGCGTGCGGGTTCGGGTACAGCTCCTGCTGCTCCGTCGCCAGCCAGAGACCGCGGTTAGTGTCGAATGCCTGCGTGATGAGCGACGTGAGGAACTCCTTGAAGAGGCCGCCGCCGTCGATGCCCGCCTCGACGTTGCCCCAGTCGTCGATGAACTCGATGAGCACGCGGTCTTTGAGCGCCGCGCCGAGCGGGTTGAGCGCCAGGAAGCCGTCGTGCGCCACCTCGCTGCGGCGGATGCGCACCGTGCGCGTGTGCCGCACGCGCAGGCCCGCGCGCTTGCGCCGCTCGTGGTCGCGGTAGATGAATTGCCGGAAGATCTCAACGCGCAGCTCGAAGGGAATGGTGAAGGGAATGTTGTTGAGCACGCCGAGGCGCGGACTGAGGAACGCCAGCTGGCGTGCGTTGAGGTTCGAGCCGGACTCTTGCGTTCGTCGCAGTGCCTGTAGTCGGGACGAGACCGGCAGAATCTCGTCGTCCTCGTCGAACTCATCCTGCATCTCCCAGTCGTCCTCCGTTGGCGCGGCGTTGTTCAGCGGCTCCGCCAGCTCGTCCTCCTCCAGCATCACCGTCTGAATGAAGCTGTTGAGATCCATCTCCGACGTCATGAGCCAGTGACCCTCGGGCGCGAAACGCTTGCGCGCATCACGGGCGTGGATCTGCCGCAGCAGGTTCGTGAAGAGGCTGCGCAGCTCAATGCGCGTCAGGCGGAAGTTCGGCACGCGCGTCGAGAGGTCGGGCAGGCCGGACGAGCCCTCGAGCCAGTAGAGTGAGAAGGACATGGTGCGCAGCAGCGCGCTGAACGTGACGATCTCGTCGAGCGTCAGCGGGTTGCGGCTGGGACTGCTGGAGCTTGAACCGGGCGCGCTGGCAGGCGGCCGGAACTCGTCATCGCCGAGCGTAAGCAGCACTCGCGAGTAGAGCTCGACGAGCAGCAGCAGTGGGCCCCATCCCTCGGCCAGCTCGGCACTGTCCATTGTGGCTACTGCCGCGCGTGCGCCGCCGGCGCCACCATGCCCGGCTTGTCCGATCGCCTTGGCCAGGGGCCCGCCCCGCACCCAGCCGCGCCACAGCTCGCGCACGAGGCCGTTCGGCGGGCCGGGGCCAAAGAGCGTTGCGGAGAATACGCGGTCGCGCGCCGATGCCGGCCATGCCTCGAGCGTCGAGACGAGGAAGCGAGTGAGGGCTGGCCGAGACGAGGAGAACTTTGTCGATGCCGTCATCAGCGCACTGAGGTGCGATGGCGCCACGAGGCCCGAGAGACGCTTGTGCGTAGCTACATCAGTGACAGTGCGTGAGGAAGACGCCTGCTCGAGATGCACGTCCGGCACGGCCGTCGAGCCTGCCGTGCCCTCGAGCGCGCCCTCGAAGGTCGAGCGCGGCAGCGCATCTTGCATCTTGGAGAGCGTGTCGAGGTATGTCGAGAGCTCGTTGGCGTTCTTGAGCTGCGGCACGCGACGTGCCGAGAGCGCAATGAGGTTCGCCAGCAGATATGGCGTAGACGGCACGGGATCGATGCAGCGCAGCACGTCCAGCAGTGGCAAGTCTGCCGCCAGGCGCGCAAGGCTCGGCAGAGGTACCCGTGCGGGCAGATGCGGCACTGCGAGAATGTGCAAGACGAAGGCCTGCAGCGCGCCGGGCACTTTGAGCGTGATCGGCACGAGGGCGAGGTCGATGGTCGGCTGCAGCGTTGGCGAGGCCTTGCGATCGACCGGCTGCACGCAGAGTCAGCAAGAGACCAGGGTGCCAGCCCTAGTCTGGACTCACGAAGCTGACAAGGTGCGCGTGCAGCGCCGGGTATAGCGAGGCGCACACCAAGGACTGTGCGAACTGCACAGCGAAGTCTGCCTGTCCGCCAGCTGCAGCAGGGTCGCACAGGCGCAGCAGCAGCGAGAGCGCCGCGAGCGACTCGGCGTTCCGCTCTGCACTCGGCGTGGCGCTGCCAAGTCTCGCGAGCAAGCACCGCACTGCCAGCGACACAAGCGTGCGCCACGAAGAGGCATGCGGTGATGCATACAGAGTGAAGAGCGCTGCTGACTGCTGTCAGCGCCGCTCGCAGCTGCGCCTCCACGTCGGCCACTCACCGTCGTCGATCTGCATCGTCTGACTCCATACGCGCAGCAGCTGGCCCTCCTCTGGCGCGCCTCTTGTCGCACAGAGCAGTCTGAGCCAGCGTACGTGTGCTACTTGGCGGTCCTCCGACTCGCTCGGCTCTGCGCTATGCCGCAGCACGACCTGCTGCTGCGCCACAAAGTCCTTCACCCGCTGCGCCCTGATCCTCCGCGCCTCGGTCCGCCCGCGCCACACGGCCTGCACACGGGTAGCGGAGCGGGCGCGGTCGCGCTCAGCCTGGCGCAGTGCCCGCTCGGCGCGCGCAGAGGCGGCTAGCTGGGCGGCAGAGGCGCCACGCGGCCCGCCGAGGTTGATGGTGCGCGTGCGCGCGGCACCGGTGAAGTTGTACTCGGCGTTCATGGCGCGTGGCAGCGGAGTGGCCGCGCAATAGCTGCGAAAGGTGCTGCTGTCGATAGATCTGAAGAGCGTCTAGAGGTGGCGAGATCTGAAGTCGGTGCGGGGCGTGATGGGAGAGAGGAAGCGGGCGAGAGGGTGTGAGGTGGAGGGGCGACGCGAAGGGTGCAGCACGCGCAGCGAGCAGCCGCGATAGAAGCGCGGTGAGGCGACTGGTGCTGGTTGAGGTGAGTGTGTCTGTCAGTGTCGGAGAGAAGGAGTGAGGAGGCGAAGAGGGTGTGGTGGTTGGCATCTGGCGTTCGAGATTTATCGCTGCCACTCACGCGCCCAGCCCTTAGATGGCGTCAGCTCCACCTGGCCGCGTCAGCGCTGCGCGTCGAGGCGACTTCTCGAGCCGCGGCTCGCTGTGCAGCCCAGCCACAGTGCCGTGCCCATCCACCGGCGTCTGCAGCCACTCAGGCACTGAGACTCGGCCGTAAGGTAGCTGTCGCCCTCACTCTGATTGCGAGCTATTCCCACTCGTCAATACTGCGAGAACGGCGGGAGCAGCCCAGTCGAGAAGGGAGGACGAAGACCGTGGGAGCGCAGAGCCAGGCACGCGTGGGAACAGCAGCGGCCGCTCGCACGAGAGGCGCCCGGAAAGCACGGCGGGCCGGCAGTGGCAGCGCGCCGAAGAGCCGGCACGCTCGCGGCGTGCGTGCGGGGAAGAGCCGCGCAGCGCTCGCAGCGATGCTTTAAAGCGAAGGCAGCCACGCAGGTGCTCAACAGCGACCCTGCCTCTCCTCCGCACCAACACCACAGCACACTCCTGCCCAGCATGGCCCAGCGCATCACCCAGCTCGCCTCGCACCTCGACCCGCGCACGTGGAGCGGCAAGGGCCTGGCGCACGCGCAGCTCAAGGGCGACGACGACGTCGTCATCGTCGCGGCGGGGCGCACGCCCTTCTGCAAGGCGCGCAAGGGCAGCCTCAAGGACACGCCGTGAGTGCGGTGAAGCGTGGATGGCCAGGCAGGAGGAGACGCATACATGTGCCGCGTCTCAGCGCTGAAGCCATGCCCACAGCTTTGACGTGCTCTGCCTGGAGATGTTCCGTGGCCTGCTTGCGCAGTCCGGCATCGACCCGAAGCTCCTGGACGATGTCGTCGTAGGCAACGTCGCCAACACGGCGTCGGCGTACCACGTCCGTGCCGCTGCGCTTGCCGCTGGCATTCCGGCCGAGACGCCCGCCATCACTGGTGAGCACAGCGGAGTGACGGCTCGATGCCCGTGCTGACAGACTGCGTGCAGTCAACCGCTGGTGCTCATCTGGTCTGATGGCCATTCGTGCCATTGCAAACGGCATCCAGGTGCGTCTGCTGCGACAGCCTTCCGCCCCGCCAACGGCCTGCTGACAGCTCCCGCAGGCCGGCGAGATCAACTGCGGTCTTGCCGTCGGCGCCGAGGCCATGTCGCAGCACGACCGCGAGCAGCTGTCCTTCTCGCCCGAGCTCACCAATGCGAGCGTCGAGGCCGGCGACTGCCGCATGCCGATGGGCTGGACGTCGGAGAACGTTGCTGGTGCGTGCCGCTGCAGCACATTACTCTCCATCTGCTCACATCTGTTCCGCAGGCGACTTTAGCATCTCGCGCCAGCAGATGGACGAGTTTGCCGCGCGCAGCCACCAGCGTGCCGCCGCAGCACAGGCAGCCGGCGTGTTCGACCGCGAGATCATCCCTCTGACGGGCATTGCCAAGGAGGGCGAGGCGCGCGTGCACAAGACCGTCTCTGCCGACGACGGCATCCGCGGCAGCAGCACGGCCGAGAGTCTGGCCAAGATCAAGCCGGCGTTCCCGCAGTGGGCGCCCGCCAACACGACGGGCGGCAATGCCTCGCAGATCACGGACGGCGCTGCGGGTGTGATCCTCATGCGCCGCAGCATGGCGCGCAAGCTCAACGTCCGCATCCTCGGCAAGTATGTGTCGTGCGCCGTCAGCGGCCTGGCGCCGCGCATCATGGGCATCGGCCCGACCTACGCCATCCCGAAGGTGAGTGCGAGCGAAAGGTGCGCCTTGGCTGAGGCTCACATTTGTCTGTGCACAGCTGCTCGAGCAGACGGGCATCAGCAAGGACCAGGTCGACCTGTTCGAGATCAACGAGGGTGCGTCGCGTGCGTCCCTCCAGTGCTTCTCCTGCTCACGTCCACGCAGCCTTTGCGTCGATGGGCGTGTACTGCGAGCAGAAGCTCGAGATCCCCGCCGACAAGTTCAACGTGAACGGCGGCGCCTGTGCGCTGGGCCACCCGCTCGGCGCCACGGGCGCGCGTCTGGTCGTGACGATTCTCAACGAGCTGGAACGCCGCAACCAGCACGTGGGCGTCGTGTCGATGTGCATTGGCCTTGGCATGGGTGCTGGTGAGTCGTGCTCGCGAGTACCTGCGCAGCACGGATGGCTGACGTGCTTCCTCAGCGGCCGTCATCATCCGCGAGTAGGCGGTCTACGCAGGCTGTTGACCCTTTGTGTTAATGTCGAGCACTTGATCGAGCATTGCGAGCGCGCAGCGGCATCCAGCCACAGGAGAGCGGCATGTGCAGCATAGCGAGGACGCGGGCTCTCGTGCAAGACGTGAGCAGAGCATCACAGCAGAGGAGGCGGGCGCAGCGTTCTGCCGCACCAGAGGAGAGCGCATCCGACGCCCCGCGCGTTCCAGACCTTCTTCGTCGAGCGGCGCCTTGACCCTGACGCCCTCTGCCCAACTAGCTCATCTCTCTTGCCGTCCGGAAACAGCTGACATCACGCTTAGGAGCAGGCGACGTGCGCTCGCCGATGCCCGACGCAGCGCTTCGGGGTGTCATGAAGACGCCGCCGGAGGAGGCGGTCTAGCAGCATGCGCCAAGCATGTACGGCACACTTCGGCAGCGGCGTCGTACATCAGCATTCGCCTTGCGGCATCGTCCCCTCTTTCCGCAGGACCCTCTTGGCGACGCCGAGGCCATCTAGAGGAAGAAGAGAGGGCTGCCGGCGACCTGTACGACTCATGGTGTCATGGAGCGCTGGCAGGTCCGCCACAGGGGCGTACCGCTGGGCGCAGCGAAATTGAGGAGCGGCATCGGCGCGCGGGCGTTCCGCACCGCATTCCGCCTGATGAGCGGCCTCGTGCCTGGAGGCGCCAAACGTATCCCGCTCTCTCCTGATCACCCCAGCCCCAAGATGCTAGGCCCGGGGCGCAGTCGGCTCGCCTCGGCCCTCATCGGCGTCAAGAATGGCTCGCACTCATGACGTTTCCGCTCCTTGCCGCACTTCCAGGAGCACGAGAAAACGCGTGCCCTGCCACGGCCTGCCTGGTCAGCACGAGCGGCGTGTGGGCGTACGCACTGCGTGCCTGCTTGGCAGTGGCGCCCATCAAGGCGAGGCGTCGAGCCATCACCTCTATAGCGAAGGCGCACAGCTCTTCGGCAGAGGAGGTGTCTAAATCGGGCATCGCCTTGTCCAGCAGCAGGTGCAGGTCACCCCATCTGACATTCCACAGCCGCAACACGAGATGTGTGTCCTCTGCTACGGTCTGCACAGCATGGGCAGTCGGCTGCCTGCCAAGCGTCTGAGCAAGCCCGTCAGCGCGGCAGCTTTAGCGAGCCGCGTTCGGGCGCGGCGCGGCAGAGAAAAAGAGGCACGCCCCCTGACGCTCAGGGTCGTGGGCGCAGCGCGCGCGCCCTGAACGGCGCCCAGGGGCATGGCCGAGGCGCGGCCACTTTTGCCTCGCGGGCGGCAGAGTGCGCCGCCCCTCTCGACCGCCGGCAGCGCCTGTTGATGCCGGCGGCGTGCGGCGGCGGAACGGCGAGGCCAAGAGCCTCCGCTGCCCCTGCCGCCGAACGCCCACGGCCGAGCTGTCGGCGAGGGCGTCGAGGAGCACAGAGCAGGCACGGGCGCAAGAAGGCGCGCGCGCGCGCGTGCCGCTGCCGCACACGCAGCGCGATGGCTGGCTCGTGGCACGGCGCAGCGGCGAGAGCGAGCGGCTCGCGTCGGGTACATAAAGCTGCGCCCTCGCTGCGTCTCTCCCACTTTTCTGCATCCTGCGATCACACACACTCTTACACCTTCAGTAGCTGCCGGCCAGCTCACTACCTCTTTCTTCTACTTCTTCATCCCGCCGGTTGGCTCATCTTCTTTCGCTTCTCAAGCCTTCGAGCGCTCTTCTCGCTTCGCTTCTTTCGCCTTTTCCCCTCGCCACCCAACCTCACCACCTCGCCCACCCTCTCACCCTCACGATGAAGGTCGCCTCTACCATGCTCATCACGGCGCTGGCCCTGTCTGCTGTGCAGGCTGCTCCGGCGCCCATCATGGAGGAGCGCTCCGAGTCGACGACCGACGCCGCCGCCGCCGAGGCTCCCGTCGAGGCGCGCAAGTTCCCGCTGACCAAGGCGCAAGGCAAGATCGTGAGTGCGGAAGACGACGTCCTGTTTGTGCTCCTCTTCCGAGCGAGGCTGGCAGGCGGGCGGGCGGGCCGCGGAAGTACCAAAGCCTGAGCACCGCCTTTCAACAGGCCAAGAACTTGCTGAAGGTCCTCGTGGCCTCCGGCAGCACCGCCGCAGTGCGCCACACACTGACTACACAGGGACGTGACCATGAGCTGACACGCACCTCTCCCTCTCGCTCCTAGGCCGTCGACAATGCCCGCGAGTGAGTCATGCCGCAATTGCCTGCTTCGCAACGACTGACACTCTCGACTCGACAGAGGCAACGGCCACCCGCCGGGCATGCGCCGCTCGCTGCCCGAGGACGCCGAGGCCGAGGTCGACACGCGCGCCTCGCACAAGCATCAGATCAAGATCGTGCGTATCGCTGCTGTGTGCTGTTGTCGAGCCTCATGTCGGAGGCGCCTTGCGAGCCATGCCTTCGGGCGCGTGCGTTTGTTCTCTGACCCCGTGCGCTTCTCTTTAGGGAACGGGAATCATCAGTGTCATCGGTGGCGGCATTGCCACTGCTGCTGTACGCCGTGCCGTGGCCCCATGCCTGCTGTATCTGCTGCTAACAAACCCACCTCTCCTAGAACACGTGGAACCTCACGCAGTGCGTGCGCCTGGCTCGCCGCTGGCCCACTCAGCTGACCGTGTATCAACCTCGCAGCCCGCCGCGCTCGGTCGACGACGAGGACGAGGACGTCGAGGCACGCGACGACGCAGAGGCTCGCGCTGGTGAGTCGAGCATGTGATGCTGTTCTCCGCCGCTGTCGCTGACGCCTCTTCCTCGCAGTCGACGGCGCTGTGAGTGACCTTGAAGCGCGCAAGCTGTCCGGCAAGGCAGCCGCTGCCGCCAGAGGCGCGTTTAGAGGCGTCGCTGACGGCGTTCGCCTCACCTTCAAGGGCCGCGACGGCATCGACGCTCGCGACACGACGGACGCCGAGACGGACCTCGAGGCTCGCAGACTCACGGGCAACCAGATCGGAGGCCTGGCGATTGCCGGAGGCTCTGTCCTCGCCTTCGGCGCAGGCGTCGGCAAGGGCGTGTACGACCGCGTGCACCACAAGAACCGCCGCAGCCTCGAGGAGGACGACGAGCAGCTCGCACGTGACACGGCTCAGGACCAGATCGATGTGCGTTGCATTGCATTGCAAGATGTGGACGAGGGTCGGAGGGGGTCGCGAGAGTCCGTAGCAGCGCAGCGATCACTAGACTGACACGCCTTGCCGTGCAGTACACTCCTCGTGAGCTCGCCGAGGAGGACCAGGAGATCGCTGCTCGCATGGGCAAGAAGGCCAAGTGGGCTGCCAAGATCGTCGGAGGCACGGCGGCCAGCGCGACGATCATCGGCGGCGGCCTGACGGCCGCACTGCTCCCCGCGCACCTCAGGGAGAAGCAGCAGGCCCGCGAGGCCGGCGCAGACCAGCACGTCGCTCGCGACCTCACCGAGGAGGACTACGCGCTCCTCGCTCGCCACGCCGAGGGCACGCAGGCCCTCATCGCCCGCTCCACCGAGGACGACCATGTTCTCGCCGCCCGCTCCGCCGAGGAGAACGCGCAGGCGATCATCGCTCGCTACGTCGAGGACGAGCAGGCCCTCGACGCGCGCAAGCTCGGAGGCAAGTCGAAATTCGCTATTGCGGCGGGTGGAATCGTTGCTGCGGGCCTTACGGGCGTTGGCATCGGCTCGGTGATCAAGCACTACCAGGAGAAGAACAAGGGCCGCTCCCTGGACGAGCAGCTCTCCGCGCGCGAGATCGAGGAGCTCGAGACCCGCATGTCCGGCAAGGCCAAGTTCGGCTTGGCTGTTGGTGGAGTCGTTGCGGCGGGTGCCACTGGCGTCGGCCTTGGCTCGCTCGTCAAGCACTACCAGGACAAGCACAAGGGCCGACGCGACCTCGAGGGCGAGGAGCAGTCGGAGCTTCTTGCGCGCGAGCAGCCTTCTGAGCTCGAGGCACGCGGCACCGCGGGAAGGCTGGCGTACGCAACAGCCGGCCTGGTCAGCACGCTCGGCGCAGGCGTCGGCGGAGCTGCCCTTTACAACCACTTCCACCCGAAGCAACGCGACATCTCGGACGAGCCGCTCTCGGAGCGCGAGGAGCTCGAGGCACGCGGCGGCAAGACGAAGGCCGCCGTCTATGCCGCCAGCATCGTGGGCCAGCTGGGCATCGGAGCAGGCGGAGGCGCACTCTACGAGCACTTCCACCACAAGCAGCGCGACCTCGACGGCGAGGAGCTCTCCGCACGCGATGTGCAGCTGTACGAAGCCTGCGCACGGGACATCGAAGCCGTGGCCAACGAGCTTGCCTCACGCGGCTACGCGGTCGACGCTCGGGACGTCCAGTCCGCACAGCACGAGCTCCTGGCCCGGAGCCTCGACGACCACATCGCCGCGGACTCGCTCGAGGCGCGCGGCCACGGGCTCGGAACGAGCGCGAAGGTCAAGCTCGGTGCCGGTCTTGTGGCAGGCGCAACGGTGCTGGGCGGAGGCATTGCGGCGGCTGTGATTCACCACAAGAACAAGAACAAGCAGCGCGACCTCGGACCAGAGGAGCTGCTCGACGCCCGCGACGTGGCGGAGGTGGCGGACTCGCTCGAGGCCCGCGGGAGCGGACTCGGCAAGAGCGCCAAGGTGAAGCTCGGCGTCGGTCTGCTGGCAGGCGCGACCGTGCTTGGTGGAGGCATTGCAGCGGCCGTCGTGCACCACAAGAACTCAAAGAACAAGCAGCGCGATCTGGACGGTGCGTTCGAGGAAGGAGAGCTCGCCGCCCGCAGCCCCAAGGTCAACTGGGGACGCGTCGCTGAGGGCACGGTCGGCACTCTGGCAGCGGGCGGCATCACGGCGGCACTTGCTTACGGCTTCACCCACAAAGGACGCCGCGACTACGAGGAGCTGCCCGAGCGCACTTTGGAGGAGCTGTTGGAGCGCCAGATCATCGAGCTGCCGGAGCGCGACCTCGACGAGCACGTCCTTCCTGAGCGCGCGCTGGACGAGGAGGAGCTCGCTCTCGAGCGCCGCCTGAGCGGCATCGGCCGCCTGGCAGCCAGTGGCGCTTCAGCAATTGCCGGCGTGGGCTCCGTCGCCGGCACGACGCTCCTCATCAACCACTATCGCAACAAGGACCGCCAGCACGCCCGCCCGCAGGCCCGCGAGCTTCCGGAGCGCGCCATCGACGCGGTGTCGGAGCACGACGAGCCGGACCAGCTGGTGGACGAGCGCGCAAAGGGCTGGCGCCATGCCACGACGGCTGACCGCATTGCTGTCGGAAACGGGGCAATGTCCATCGGGGGGGCCGCGATGGGGCTCGCTGCCGCGGGCATCACGGCGTATCACAAGGCCACGGCGCCGCGCGACCTTGAAGAAGTCCACGGGCGCGCTCTCGAGTCTCTGCCGGAGCACGAGCAGGCTCTCCTCGCCCGCAAGTTCGGCTGGAAGGCAGCCTCGCATGCCGACAGTGAGTTCCACGGTCTGATTGCAGCCGCGGAGGACTGATCCATGCACTTTCAGAGCTCGGGGTGGTCAATGGCGTTCTCGGAGGCGTCGCCGGCGGTCTCGGAGCCGCCGCCGGCACGGTCTACCTCGTGAAGAACAAGAACAAGCGAGACGAGGACGAGGCGTCGCTCGAGTCGCGCAAGTTCGGCTGGAAGGCGGCGTCGCACGCGGACAGTGAGTTCCACGCGCAGACTCCTCTTGCGGACGCGCTGACCTTGTTCTTCAGAGCTGGGCGTCGTCAACGGCGTGCTCGGAGGCATTGCGGGTGGGCTTGGAGCGGCGGCAGGCACGGTGTACCTGATCAAAAACCACAACCGAAACAAGCGCGCGCTGTACGAGGACATCTCGCTCGATGCTCGTGACGAGGACACCGCGCTTGCGGCAAGAGAGTTCGACATCTCACTCGACGCACGCGATGCGGACAGCGCACTGCTCGCTCGCAAGTTTGGCTGGAAGGCCGCATCCCACGCAGACAGTGAGTTGAAGCATGCATCGCAGTGGCACGACGTCGCTGACAGACAGCAGAGCTCGGCGTCGTGAATGGCGTGCTGGGAGGCATTGCCGGAGGTCTCGGAGCAGCGGCGGGCACGACGTACCTCATCAAAAACAAGGGCAAGCGCGACGTGGACCCGTCGGCAGACGCTGCACCGTTCGAAGAGCGCAAGTTCAAGTTCCGTCACCCAGGCGCCGCGACGACGGGCGCTGCGCTGTCCTTCACGGGCGCAAACATCGCCGCCGCGACGGGCCTCACGACGCTGTACAACAACGTGAAGGGCCGCGACGCAGAGGAGACCACTGTCCTCCGCGACGCAGAGGAGCTTCAGGCCCGCCGCGCCGACGAGGAGCTCGAGGCACGAAAGTGGTCGTTCAAGCACCGAGCCAGCGCAGCTACGGCGTGAGTCAAGAAGGACGTGAGAGAGACCTCCGCCGCTGACTCTCGCACGCTCTAACAGGGGCGCCGCACTCGGCACTGTGGCCGCCACGGCAGGCATCGTCGGTGGCTCCATCGCGCTGTACAATCAGCTGCACCGTCGTGATGCCGAGGAGCTTCAGGCTCGCATCGACGCTGAGGAGCTCGCGGCGCGCGACCCGAAGTGGACATTCAACCACCGCCCGTCTGCTGCTACGGCAGGCGCCGCTCTCGGCACTCTCGCAGCGACCGCCGGCATTGCTGGCGGAGGCGTCGCCCTCTACAACCAGCTTCACCGCCGTGACGCCGCCGAGGAGCTCGAGGCTCGCCGCGACATCGACGAGGAGCTCGTGGCGCGCGACCCGAAGTGGACGTTCAACCACAAGGCCTCCGCCGCGACTGCCGGAGCGGCTCTCGGAACACTCGCGGCTAACATCGGCATCGCTGGTGGCGCAATTGCCCTGCACAACGTCATCAAGAGCCGCGGCATCGACGAGTCCGAGGCGCGCCGCGCGTTCGAGGACCCCGAGGTTCGCCGTGCCATCGAAGAGGAGCTCGAGGCGCGCCGCCGCAAGGCCCACATGCCCTCGGCCGACACGGTTGGCTCGATGCTCGGCTCGTTCGTGGGCGCTGCCTCGCTCACCACCGGCGGCGTGTGAGTACTCCGCTCGATGCTGCCTTCGGCTCGGCGCTGACTTCTTTTCCCTCCAGCGCTCTGCACAACGCACTGCACCCCAAGAACTCGCGCCGCGACGTCTACGTCATCCCCGAGACGTCGCTCGACGGCCGCGGCCAGGTGTACGAGGTCTTCAACGACCGCGATGTGGCCGAGAACGAGGCCTTCACGTCGGCGCTGCCGGCTCGTCGCCAGGCGCAGGACACCTACGTCTTCTGAGGCGCGCGCTATCGCCGCTCACACTCCTTCCACCCCTTTGTACCGCCCCCCTTTGTTACCGGATCTCTTTACCCGCGCTCGAGCACCGTCTAGCCTCTGTCGCAGCCACAGACCATTGTGGAGAGGCTGGGAGATCGTAAATCACGATGCTTGAGCCCTCTTGCTGCGCGCTGTGCTGCCTCCGATGCTAAGCTACAGCCTCTGCGAGAGAAGAAGCGCTGGCCGCTGCTGCGGCGTGGCCTCGCGTGGACGGCTCTGATAGCAGGCTCAGGCCGCGTGCTGCAAAGCACATCGCATACCGCGAAGTCACTGTAGTATCCTGTAGCGTGAATAATTTCAGGAATTATCTGAGCCCTATTCTACTTGCGTGACTCGCTGAGTCGAGTGCTGCTTGCAGAGTTTCGTGGCCCATCCAGCTCGTTTGCGGCGCCTGGGCGTACGCGCTGGCCCGTGCGCGAGACCAACACTCTCGAGCTTTCAGCGCGCGGCGCGGCGGCGCGGCTGACGCGTTAATTGGCGCGCCACGCCGCGCGCCGCCCCTTTCTCTCGCCCCACCACCTCCTCCGCGCCTCGCCCATCCACCACGCACTCCGAGATGCCAGAGGCCCGCGACCAGCGTGGCACCGACGCTCTCGTCAGCCTCTCCGCCTATGTCGAAGAGCTCAAGGCCCGCATCAGCGCGCTCGAGGCCAGCAACAGCACGCTCGTCGCCAACAACAGCGCGCTCACGACCAGCAACAGCGCGCTCACCGCCACCAACAGCACGCTTGCAGAGCAGCAGCGCGCTCATGCTGCCGTCTGCCTCGGCAGCGGAGCGGCAGCACCTTCCATTGGCGCCAGCTCGCCCGCAGCGGTGTCGAAGAAGCGCAAGGCGGCCGACGACGATGGTGAGTGAGGGGCTCGAGCAGTGCAGGAGACGAGGCGCGGCGATGGCACGATGTGAGGCGTGCGGCTTTGGGCGCACAACGCAGAGTCGTGCGGCTCCACCAGCCCCCTCCACCTTAGGCACTCCTCCACCCTCGACCTTTGGCATTGACGCAGCCGTCGCAGATGATGCGGAAGAAGATGGCCGCTCTTCGACGCGCGTGTACAGCCCCATGATACAAGGCGAAGCACTTTGGTACGTCACTCTCTTATCGTACTGCAGCGCCACCACGCAATCTGCCACGCCGGCCGTCGTCGTGGTCACGTAGTGCTGCTGCAGCGCCTCTGTCTTAAGCTGACATTGCCTCGACCCCAGCTTGCTCTCCCGTATGGACCATTTCGAGCGCCTCATCCGTGCTGCAGGAGTTTCCACGCTTCTACACGCCAGTTACATGTCAGCCGACGCCGTCGCAGGGTGGCTGGCTTGCGATCGACTCGCTCGATGCTACCCTCTGATCGACCTCAACGATGTCGATCCTTCGGAGGAGGCGATGCGCGCCTCTCTCAAGGCCGGAGACTATTGGGCCCTGGACTCGGCCAGCAACTTCGACCAGCATCTAAGCAGCCCGACGCTGAAGTACCGCAAGGACAGAAAGGCGGCCTACAAAAATTGCTTGGAGTCAGGCGCGCTCGGCATGACTCCCGAGCAGATCCCGGTCATGGAGTACTACGCGCACGAAGACGACCCGGATGCAGATGAGCTCTGAGTCTGGGCCGGCGAGACGATACTGCGGAAGAACTGCTGCCGCCTGTCAGAGGGTCTCCGTCATCTCCCTCCATACCCATGTAACAATCTGTTCCTCTCCTGTCCTCGTCTCTCACCTGTACATCTCCGACAACGCTCCTTCCACGACCCGGACGTTTTCTGCGACGTCTCTTCACCTACCTGTCCGTCTCGCGCTTCTTCGACAATCTGTCTCCCATCCCCTCGTCAACCGCTTCTTCCCCTCCGCTTCCCTCGCCAACCCCTTCTCCCATCCGCGATCGACCTTCATCGTTTCCCCTCTCTCACCGGTCAAGGTGCGTGCCCGTACCAGAGAAGACGCGCTCTCCCTGCGCGCCCTGCTCGAGCCGCAACTCCGGAAGGAGACTGACACAGCCTCCCGCAGAGCACTTGGCAGGCCGTACAGTCGCTGCAGCCCTCTGCAGCGCGGAGAGTGTCGCACCCCAGCGCTCTGTCGATCGCCGCCTGCTGGGAATCGCGGCCCATCGACTTGCCGTGAGTCGCCTGACGCCACCCGGCACGACCTTCTCCGCTGCGCTCGCTCCCGCCTCGTCCACTGACACGCAGCGTCGCAGAGCATGCGGATGAGGTAGCAGCCTCTTCGACGAGCACGCGCAGTCGCCGCGATGCGCAGCGCTCAAGCCCGCCGTCGCCGTCGTCCAGCAGCTCGGTCGACCTTGACGCTAGACGCACTGCTTCGCGCCGCACGTCGTCTCCTCTCCGCAACCGCGACAATCGCCGCTCCTCGTAGCTGTCGCGCTGATCGTCCTTTTTCGATCTTCAGTTTCCCCCTCCTCTCCATCTCTCCTCCCCTTTTCCCCCCTTTCACCTTCCCACTCATCCTCTCCCCGCCTCGGCGCTCCTACTTTAGCGCCGCCCGGCATCGCTCTTCTTCGCTGCGCCGCTCCTCCACTCTCTCAAGCGCAAGGCAGCTGAGCGCCCATTCCGAGAAGAAGGTGAGCAAGGCTGGCAGGGCGTGACGTTCTCACGCTAATGCCCGACCCTCTAGCTCCATCCGGCTCGCGAGCGCCACATGCGCAGCGAGCTTTCCCAGAACGACGGCACGGCCATGTCCGGCCCAACATACGCCACGTCCCATCTCCACTTCACGCGCTCGCACTCATCAGAGATACCACCACCACGCATTATCCCACGTTCCTGACTCAAGCCTCAAGCCGACGCCACACGTTCCCGCAGTCCCTCTCCTGTCCGGCTCAGAACACCGTAACGACACGACCCGTTCCCCGCGCATCGTCTGACGTCGAGCACAAGGCATCGCATTGAGGGTGTGGAGGGGCAGCACGCACGGAGACTAGCACACAACTACGCCTCGGCGGCAGCTCAGTGGCGGCGCTTGAGGCCAATCTGCAGCTCCGTCGGCTTGACGAGGAAGCCCTCGACCTTTTCGAGGGGCTTCTCGGGCGACTCGAGCTGGCAGCAAGGGCGTCAGTGTGTGAATGCGGTGCGGCGAGGGAGCGGCACTCACCACAATGTCGTAGCGCATGATGATGGCCGCGATGAGGATGCTGAGCTCGGCCATGGCCACGTTGCGTCCCACACAGGCGCGCGGACCGACGCTGCGGAGGCGTGAGCACAGCGCGGGCTGCCACACTGCAGCACACTCACCTGAAAGGCACAAACGCCTTGTCAAACTCCTTGCGCGCGCCCTCGGGCAGCCAGCGGTCGGGGTTGTACTCCTCTGCGTCCTTGCCCCACACCTCGGCGTCGCGGTGGATCGTGTATGCCGGGACAGAGAGCACGGAGCCGCCGGGGAAGAAGCGGCCGCAGATGGTGGCGCCCTGCGGCGGCAGGATGCGCGGCAGGCCGAGCGACGAGGTGCTGTGGTAGCGCAGCGACTCGCTCAGCACGGCTTGCAGGTACGGCAGCTCGTTGACGTCGTCCATGCGCGGCACGCCCGACTCGTCGACAATCTCCTTGTCGAGCAGCTCGCGGTCCAGCTCCTCCTGCAGCTTCTTCATGGCGCGCGGCGTGGTGCCGAGGTGGTGCAGGATGGCGCACGCAGTGTTGCTCGTCGTGTCCGAGCCGGCGATGAGCTGGGTGAGCGCCTCGGCGGTAAGCTCGGCCTTGCCCATCGGCTGGCCACTGTCGTCGGTCGCAGCCTGCAGCTTGGCCAGCAGGTCGTCGCGCTCGCTGCCGTTCTCGAGGCGGTCGTTGACGCGCGCGAGTGCAATGCCGGTCAGCGTCTTGACGGCACGGAGGCGGTGCGAGAACCAGGGCTGCGCGCAAGGGTCAGCACTGGCAGCGGCTCGTCTGCAAACACTACTCACGTGCTTGAGCACGAGCGGGCGCAGCCAGACAGGCACGAGACCCAGCGTCGAGCTGACCTCGCCGCGCAGGTTGATCGTCTCGACGGCACTGCACGTCGACGTCACGAAGCCGCCCTTGCCGTCGTCGACGTCGACGGACGCCTCGTCCTTGCCATTCTCGAGCATGCCGAATGCTGGAGCAGAGCGTGAGCTAGGTCACTCGTAGCTGGACGCACGCGACTTACTCTTGCCAAAGGCGAGCGTGCCGATGCTGAGAGAGTAGTGGGATTAGCTATGCGCAGAGGCGCTGAACCTAGAGGAAGGCTCACGTGTCCTGAGGGGCGCTTGTCAGTCTGCGTCTCGCAGCCACGCAGCGGTGCTACTCACAAAAGCAAAGTAGTTGAGCCAGAGCAGACTGTCGAGCCAAGCGTATCCGACCAGACCGCGCGGGCCCTGCGACTCTCGTCAGCTCGCACCCTAGCGCCCACACGCACAGCGCTCACCTTGGTGCCCTCCTTCTTCGCCTTATCGCAGAACTCATCCCAGCGCTCCAGCAGCAGCGCGACTTCGCGCCGAATAAACTCCTCAAACGAGATGATGCTCTTGGGCGCGAAGCTGTGCGCCACGATGCGTCTCTTGCGGCTATGCTCCTGGCGGTCGCGCGTGTTGAACACGCCACGCACAGCGGGACGCGGCGGGACAAATGCTGATGCATATGTCAGGCAGGCATGCAGGAGGGGGACAGGGAATGGCTCACCGTCGTAGTACTCCGACTTCATGGTGCCGGTGCCGTGGCCGTACACGGCGTTCAGAGCACGGTGGTCCGCAATCGAGATGTGATTCGGCGCCAGGCGCACGAACTTGCCTGTGCCGTCGCAGTCTCAACATCCGCACAGCCGCGCTCTCCGGCCTCTACTTCGACTCACCGTGCTTCTGGTGCAGCTCATGCACCACCACGAAGCGCTTTCCCTTCTGTGCCTGCCGCACGAGCCAGAAGTCCGAAAATTTGGCCAGCAGCGGGCCGGGGTAGCTGATCGCGTGCGTGGCGGTGATGAAGGGGATCACATGCGCGACGACCTGTGTCTGGCGTCAGCGACAGCAAGGCTGCAGTGCTGCGTGCTACTCACGACGGCGACAACGAGCGCGAACACGGCGTTGAGCGGCGAGTCGACGAGCCAGTCGGCGGCGCGCTGCAGCGCGGGGAGAATGTCCGTCTCGACCATCGTGGATGGGAGTTAGAGGTGGTGGTGAGAGAGCAAGAGGCGGCAGCCAGCGACGAGAGCTGGATTGCGTGCGTGCCGCGCAGCCAGTCGAGTGCTGAGCACGCGGAACTGCGTCGAGCGCAGGTGAGGAGGTAGGCCGAGCGCTACGATGCGCAGTGCGCTGCTAGGGATGGTGGGTCTGGGATCGAGGCGCCGGTGAGAGGCCAGTGCGAGATCGAAGCAGGTGCGAGAGGGGCAGATGCGGCTTCTGCGAGTGCCTGGAGCTGCCCAATATATGCACCGAAGGCACGAGGTGGGGAAGTGGTGGTGGAGCAAAGGAAGGCCGCGAGGGCAGGCGGCAAGGCACAGCGCATCCGCCGCGAGCGCGGAGAGGCGCGCCGTGCCGCCGCGTCGGGCCGCTTCTTCCACCCCGCCCCTCTCGTGACCTCGCTCTCGTCAACGCACTCCTCAGCGCCGGCGCTGCAGTGCTTGTACCGCAGCCTGCCTTTGCTCCGGCTGCTCTGCTCTGACACCGGCGCAGCCTGTCTGTGCGACAGCATGCAGCGACGCCGCACGAGCCTCGTCTTTCCCCGCACGCTGCCTTCACGAAAGCGCGGCCGCGTCATGCGCCGCTCGTTGTGCGCCTAGCGTGTCGGAAAAGACGGCATGCCGCTCCGCAGCGCTGCAGCCGGCACCGCCGTGGCTTCTTCGCGCAGCGGATGGCATGTCAGAACGCAGCAAGGCCGCACCGCACGCCTCGCGGAGGCGTCAGATTGGAAACGCGCAGCACACGGATGGTCAGGGATTCATGGCGCCAGGCCGTGCAGAAGCGGGCGCTGTTTATCACGCGGCGATTGCGTCGGCCCGAGGAAGCACAGAAAGGATGAGCCGGCGTAGCGACGCTCTCTCTTTCGCTGCTCTGCGGTACGCTACGCCTCAAGTCGGGAATCTGTCTAGGGCTGCTGGCTGAGGGAGCTGCTCCTCATACATTGCATTCGGCGTGTACGGAGCGCTGGAGAGTGGACAAGCAGCTTGCACAGCGCGCAGGAGCTGCGGCTTTGCGGCAGGTTGCTACGACGGCGTGGGTGCTCGCAAGCGAGGATCTGCCCACTGTGTCGCACAAGCAGCTGCGCGCGAGAGGCAATCAGCCGTGTCGCATGCAAGGTCGGACTGCCTGGCATGCAGCGCGCTGCTGCGGCCGAGAGTCGCATGAAGTGTCGAGGTGTCGGGTTGCGCCGGCGCCAGCTGCGGCGGACTCGACGACGAGCGATGCTACGAGCTCCGTGTGCGTAGAGGCGAGGCGAGGATGGTGTCGAACGAGCAGCCGTCGCTTTGAGCTGGTCTTCGAGACCTGACATATGATCTGCATGGCGTCTGTGCGCGTCAGCAAAGACAGCGCAGACAGAATGGGCTGTCGCCGAGATGGCGCGCTCTCTTCCCTCCAGTCGACCGCACCACTAGGCATCAGATTAGTAGTATGCATTCACCGATCGCGGCAGCGATCTCGAAAGATTTCAAAGATTTTAAAGTAGACATCATGGCGCCGCCCACCCTGCCTCCTCCCACTCTCTCAGTCGAGGCGCACTCACCTTCATCGCGCCCTGCTGTCCCACTGCCGCAAATAATCCGCTCCACCAAGAACTCTCCCTCTCTCATCTGGCGCACCCTCCGCCTTTCCAATCTTCGCCTTGATCCCTCTCTTCTTCTTTCCCTGGCTCTCCTTCTCCGCCGCCTCAGCCCTCCTCTCCTCCGCGAGCCGTCGTCGCTCCTCCCCCCGCGCCGCCGCCGCCGCAGCCTGCTCGATCAACCGAGCCTCCTCAGTGCCACTCGCACGCGTCTTCTTGGCGTTGCGCTCCGCGACGGTCGGCTTCTTGTAGAACTTGGCGGAGCGGCCCATGCTGAAGCGTGAGGAGGGGGGGAGGAAGGGAAGAGAAATGTGAGCAGCCGGGAGTCGGGCGGGCAAGCGCCCGTCGGTCTCTCGCACGGGAAGAGGGCGCAGCAAGGCGGGCCAACAGCGCCGCCAGGCACCGCGGCGGCCCGCCTGCTCCTTCAGAGGTGCTTCTCTCTGCGCTGCACACCCTCGCTTGTTTCCCGATGGCGAGCACGCCGCCCCGATGACGCTTTTCGTTGGCCGTAGCCTGCTGCTTCACTTGGCGACGTCGCACCTGCCATGCAGTGACGACAAGGGAGGCGAGCGGCAAGAGATGCGAGGCTGCTGCTGCTGCTGCGTCGCCCCCTCCACCTCGAGAAGTCACACACACCTGCGCCGTGCATGACACGACCGTGCGGAGCTAGGCCAAGCAAGCTCGTCGTCAGGCACGGCACGAGCGCTGGCCGGGCAGGGAGCTCCTGTGCGGCTGCAGCTGTGCTCTTTCAGCTGCAGCCTCGAGCTTGAGCGCTCCCCTTGCTCCTTCGGTTGAACCTGCGCCGTTGGGGGGGGGGGGGGGGGGGGGTGCAGAGGCGGAACGGCTGCGGCGAGGTACGCGCCCCCTCGCCGCGCCGCACGCGCGAGGGAGCATACCGCCGCTGTGCCTGCCTCTCATGTGCCTCGTCCGAGGCCGCTGCACCTGCTTCCTCGCCCTTCGTCTGCCTCAAGCTTCGAAGCGCTGCACAGCACAGCGTGAGGGTGCACTTTGCCGAGTCAATAAGAATGGCGAGCCTGATGGCGGAAGTGCGGTCTAGCCTCCATGCGGAGTGCTCGCTGCTTGGTGAAAGGGGCAAGGCTTCGCGTTGCTCTCGTGCCTGCAGCTTTGTTTGCAGCCGCTCCTTGCTGCTGGCAGCGCGCCGTCCTCATCTTCCAGCTGCTCTTCTCTGGCTGCTGCTTCACCACCACCACCACCCTCCAGCGCACCTCTCCGTCCGCTCCCATTCGCGTTCCCTTGCGCCCACTGCCCACGGCACCCGCCCTTGTCCCCGCACGCCACGCGCACTCCAGCACAGACCGCCTGTTCGTCTACTGCGCCGATCCCTCCAGATCGACAGCCTGTCAACTGTGGCGCAGCTCATCGGCCCGGCGCAGCGACCTCATCACTGCGACTGCAGCACGGCGAGCTTAACCAGCTGCTGCATCTGTTCGACAGATAGCCGCCGGCGCCGCTGCGGAGAACGTTGGCCCGCTGGCTGTCCGTGCGCCCCGTGCGCGCGCAACTCCACTTGCACGCCCCGCCGCGCCTCGTGCCGCTGGTGCTTTGTGCTCCGCCCCATCCTCCGCTTCCCACTGCCATCAGCCAAGCCTCGCCGGCCTGCATCGCACCAGCACTGCCTGTCCTCATCAGTCGCTGCCCTTGCACGCGCGTCTCGCACTCTTCTCTCCTCTCTCGATCTCCCGTCTCAAGGCCCGCATCTCCCGCAGCGGCGCATCCGGTCACCTCTGTCTCTCGTATCGTCACCGCATCCACGACCTCTCGCGTGCATCCCGAGTCACATACCTCAAGGACACCCTCGCGACTTCGGCGCTGGCGAAGAGCGCGCTTCCGTACGTGATACCCGCGCTGTGATCAGCCGAGAGCGGCTCGATAGGTGAGTTGGCCGGAAAGGGCGGCAGCAAGAGGCAGAAGGGGGGGGGGGGACGCTCTAGGTTGGAAAGTACGTACCTAGCAGCGAAACAGAGAGACCTCGCTCTCGCTGGCTGGACTGAGCAGCTCGTGGGACGCACAAGGCGCGCCCACCGGTCTTGCCGGACAGCTCTGCGCACCAGCAGCAAAGGCGATGCGCTCCATGCGGCGCTACTGGCCATGCATCGCCCAGGCCGCCACGCTCAGAGCTGACGCTCTCACAGCCATGTCGGTGCAGCAAGACTCGCCGCCGCAGTCGGTCTTCGTACCGAGCGACTTTCGGCGGGAGCGGCGTTCGCCCGAGGGCATGGTGCGCAGCACCTCGAGCAACCAGAGTCTGTCCAGCATGCGGCGCGCCTCGCAGCCGTCCGTCGACCGCGCCATCGCCGGCAGCTCAGGCAATCCGGCCACGCCCAAGTCGCGCAGCACACCGCCGGCGGAGAAGGGCGCCGTCCACAATGCGGCGCGCAGGGCGTCGCACTCGCCCGTCTTGGAAAGCCCGCAGCGCCCAGACGTCTCGCGCATGTCGCACGACGTGACACGACGTAGTGCGCTGCAGGAGGAGGCGGCGCGGTCATGGGACTCGTACCAGCCGCGGCCAGTGTCTTCGAGCACGGGGATCAGCTCTGGCAGCTCGCTGACTAAGGCTGCGCTCGCCAAGATGCCCGCCGCAAGCTCGTCACAGTCCGCCTCGGCGCCGCCGTCGCCGACGTTTCGCGCGCAGTACGAGCCCTCTCTGCCTTCTCTCTCGCTCGGCGACGATGGCGTGCTGAAGCACATTGCGCCGTCTCGCAGCTCCGTCGTGCGCTACTCGATGTCGACGCTCTCGACAGCGAGCCCCATCTCAGTGCAGGGCGTCACGGACGACGACGCGACTCAGCGGCTGCTGGCAGCTGCCGAGGCGGCAGACAGCCGCAGTCGCTCGCCCGTGACGCGCATTCCTCAACCGCCGCCATCGGCGCCTCTGCCGAGCACGAGCAACGAGAAGAGCGCCAAGGAGCGGCGCGAGCAGCTGAAGCGCGCTCAGAAGCTCGTCAGCCTGCTCGGCGGCGAAATTCTGAGCGAGGGCGAGGGACACGAGATTGTGCGTCTGCGCGAGCGCGACAGCAACCGCCCGCCGCTGCTCGTGCGTCGCTCGAGCGATCCGTTCGAAACCCTCGCACAAGCCAAGCTGGCACTCGAGGAACAAATCGCGCGCGAGGGCAGTCCGAGCGCATCGCGCCAGTCGAAGCTGGCGCTGCGGCGCCGCAGTCGTGGCAAGACGATCATCGCGGCGCCGGCTCTTGACCTGCCGCGAAACGTCGGGCCCAAGGCCGCGGCTGTGCTCGGCCTCGAGGCGCCTCTGCCCTGGCAGGTCAACTCGGCGCCTGCTACGCCGGCTGGACCGGTCGGCGCCAAGGCAGCTGCGCTGCTCGGCATGGACCGCGTCGACCTCGCGAATGCACATGACAAGAGCAACACTGAGCCGCGCCGCTCCGCCTCCGTCGCATTCAAGACCAGTGGCACGCGTGCGGCCAGCCTAGGCAAGGGCAAGGCAGACCAGGTGCATGTCATTGGATTCGAGGCAAAGTCGGCCCTCGAGCAGACGCCCGACTCTGAGCCCGAGTCGCCCTCTGTGCTCGGCGACGACGAGGAGCGCACGGCGGCGGTGCAGCGCGAGGAGCGCCGGCGCCGCGTGGCCAAGATCAGCCGCTGGCTCGGCGCCGTCGTGCCGCCGCATCTGATTTCGTCGGGCGAGGGCTCTGCGGCGCCGGCGTATGGAGCCGGCCAGGCGCCGCACCTCGAGGGCTCGGACTACTACAGCGGCCAGCCGGCGTCGTCTGAGCGCGGGTCGAGTGGGCTAGGCCGGGCCAAGGCCGCGACACTGGCGAAGCTGCGCCGCCCCTCGGTCGATCAGGACGCGACCATCGACGCCAACTACTCGCGGCCGCTGCAGTCTCCTCCCGACGCCCTCTCGCCGCGCGAGAGGATCGCCAATGTGCGCCGCGCCAATACCCTCACGAAGCGCTTCGGCGAGGCGCCGCCTCAGCAGCTCTTTGCTGCCTCGGCCGGCAGCGGCAGCGACACGAGCACGGGGCCGTTGCGCCGACACCGCCACACGCAGTCGGCTGCGCTGCCGCTGGCCTCGACACAGCCCGAAGAGGCGGAGGACGCGCCGACACAACAGGTGCCGCAGGGAGCACGGCACAGCGATGACTCGCAGCAGTACCGCCAGTCCATCGGCAGGTGAGTGAAAGAACACAAGCGACCGCCGTTGCAGAGAACACCCGCTGACATCTCTCCAGCCTCGAATACCTGCTCGACAACGACTTGTCTCTCCTCAGCGAGCTCGTACAGGCACTCGACGAGGGCTCCGAGGCGTCGGACGACGTGCACGCAACGCCCAAGGCGCGCAACCCCTTCGAGGCAGGCTGGCGCCGCCCGTCGGCCGACGACGACGCAGGCACGTCGCAGGCGGCCGACTCTTCGTCGCTCACGTACAAGACGGCCAGCTCGCACGCCAGCGTCGCGGACGGCAGCAGCAGTCCGCTGCCCGTCAGCACGCCGAGCGGCTCGGACGATGACTACAGCGAGGCGCCGGCGCTCGAGCTGCCGTCCGTCAGCGCCTTGCTCCCCGACGCCAGTCCGCGGCGCGCCTCACTCGGCTCGCTCGTGACGCTCGCCTCGACCACCGACTCGCTCAGCTCCGAGTCGTCGGCGCACGCCGGCACGGACCCCGAGTCGGCGCTGCACAGCGCGCACCGGCAGCAGGCTGCGCGTGCGCAGAAGCTGTCCAAGTTCTTCGGCGAGTCGGTGTCGCTCACGCCAACACGTGCGGGCACGTCGCAGGCGCCCGCCGCGCTCTCCTCGCCTCCCGCGCGCCCCGTGCAGCGCTTCTCTGGCTCGCTGGCGCCGCGCCTGGCGCCGCGCAGTGCCGGCTCGGCACGGCCCTCGGCGGCGTTCCAGCGGCTGCTGCGCAGCCTCGAGGACGAGCTGGAGGACGACGAGAGCCTGAGTGCCGCGGAGCGCCACGACCTTACGCTGCGCATCGAGCAGCTGCGCCGGCGACAGGCCGACGTGGATGCGTAGGTGTGGATGCGTGAGGAGGGCAAGCTGTGCATGATTTACGCCTAATGCCATATGTCCAGGAGAGCGAACGAAGGCCCAGCTCGGAGGTGTGAGGGTAGTGGTGCCTCGCAGAGCGCTGCGTCGAGCTGCGCTGAGGGGTCCGACAGCCGCGGGAGTGCACATCTTGCTGCCCATGCGGCCGAGCCGTTCGATGCGTCGATGCGATCGAAGAATGCGGCCGCACCTTGCGCACACAAATGCGGCAGGCCCGTGTCCGTTGGTGCAAGTCTGAGACAGCCGGCGGCAGCAGGCGAGGAGGCGAGGCGGCTCGCTGCCATGTCGCCGAAATTGGCGCATCCACGTGCGTGCACTTTGCACTCGGCTCGGCAGCTTCGCCGAGGCGCATGCGATGCTGCTAACTTTTGAGCGGAGTTGGCCGCAGCGAGATCTGCAGCGTGAGCTTGTGCATGCGTGAGTGCGGCGATGGGCCTATGACGCCAACTCGCAGCGCAGGACGCGAGACGCTTGACGGCTGCGGTGCGGCCGGGGTGAACGCGTCGCGCCAACGCCGGCGGCCATGCGATGCGATGCGTGTGCCGCGCCATGCTATGCGGCCGGGCTCCGATGCGGCTCGCTTGAGCAAGGTGCGGCTGCAGAGCCCAGAAGCACCTGAGCAAGCGCCCAGCAGCAGCAGCTTCGGTGCCGCATCGTCCATTTCGCCGCTCAGGCCGCGTGCCGGCCAGCGTTTCAGCCGCACCTGTCACCGGCGGCGGGCCTGAGGGCTCTCGCCAAGTCCTGGGTGCTGCGCCGATGCGGCTCAGGGCCTGTCGCGGGGCCGCTCTTGCTAAGCCAGCTGCACCGGCGTGCGTCGAAGCTCCGCTCTGCGCGATCTCGGCAAGGTGCAGAGACGCCGGCCTTGGGGCAGCCATCGTGCGCATGCGTTTGTCTTTTGCGTCACGGCATGAGGGCGGCCCGACTGAATAAGAGGAGCTCAGCTGCGGCAGGCAGCGCCCAGCACCCACACAACCCCACCACACCCTCACCATGCCCGGCAGCGTCCTCGACGAGAAGCTCAACCAGGCCGGCGGCCTCGACAGCAGCAACGCCAACGCCGAGCCGGCCATGCAGGCCAAGGGCCCCATGAGCGACGCCAACCCCACGCAGACGCACTTTGCGCCCGGCGTCAACGGCGAGGACCACTATGCCTCGGGCAATGCGACGCCCAAGACGCGCGAGCACGGCCACGGCTGGCGTGCGCGCCGCAAGGCGCACCACCACGCGCGCAAGGAGAAGCGCGCGCACAAGGCTGCAGACGCCGTCGAGAAGGGGCTGCCGTCCATGTTCCACAGTGATGAGGACAAGCACGGCGGTAAGGACCGCTTTGAGCGTGCTTCGAAGCGCATGCGCATCAAGAACGAGTTTGTCGCGGTGAGTCGGCGCGGAGACAAGCGCGCGGACAGGCGCGCGCGCGTGCGTGGTGCCCCGACAAAATACTTTTGCCAACTTTCTTGACATGCAATTGATGCTGATATGAATCCACAGGCTCTGGCGGAGTTTATCGGCACGTTCCTGTTCCTTTTCATCGCCTTTGGTGTCGCCAATTCGGCGTCGCAAGGCTCGATCATCGCGTCCGGCCAGGGCGGCAACACCACGGCGAACGGCGGACTCGACCCCTCCGCCCTCCTGCTTTCGTCTCTTGGTTTCGGCTTCTCTCTCGCCACCCAGGCGTGGGCCTTCTTTCGAGTGAGCGGAGGACTTTTCAATCGTGAGTCCCCAGTGGAAGCACGAGGATGTAGAGGAGGAACTGACGGAACGCGTCGGCAGCCGCCGTCACCTTCGCGCTCTTCTTGACGGGCGCTGTTGATCTGGTTCGGATGATCATCCTTGTACGTTCAACACTACAAATGCGAGAGCAGCCGCTGAAGCAGCATCTTAGACGATAATTCAATTTGCTGCTGCGATCAGTGCCGCCGGCATCGCGCAAGTCCTCATTCCAGGCGGCATCAACGTTCGGACGCGTCTGGGCGCGTCCACCACCATCGCGCAGGGCTTCTTCATCGGTGAGCGGACCTGCCGAACAGACATCCGGGGAGTCGAAACCTGACTCAGCGACCCGCGCAGAATTCTTCATGACGGCGTCAGTAAGAGTCGAGGCGTGAAGGCGCAGTGCGGCCTCTGCCGCAGCCCATTTGCCTACAGCAATCGCCCTCTTCCCGTCGCTGAGACAAGCTCTTCACCACCCAGTAACCTCATTCTTGCCGTTTTCTTGCTTGCCGGAGAGAAGCACAAGGGCACCGTGAGTGGAATGTGGCCACAGCGCATTCGAAGCCCATCTCACACCAGTTCACAGTTCCTTGCCCCCGTTGGCATCGGCCTCGCGTGAGACACCCTCGACGGGTCCAGCGTTTGTAGCTCGTGCTAACTTGCACTCCTCTCAGGCTCTTCATCGCCGAGCTCTTCGCCACCTCGCTCACGGGAGGCAGCTTGAACCCGGCTCGCACACTCGGCCCGGACGTCATTGCTTCGACCTTTGACGGAACGACGTGGATCTACTACGCCGCGCCCTACTCCGCCGCCCTGGTCGCCTCTGGCATCTACAAGCTGCTCCTCTGGCTCAACTACTACACGGCCGTCGAGGGCCAGGACTCTGACGGCGTGCACCTCCTCATGCGCGACAAGGACGGCAAGGCCACGGGCTTCGTCGACCAGGTCGTGAGTCTAGCCTCTGGTTCGAGCGAGGGTTGTAGCGCGACGCAGCTGCGAAGAGTCCGACTGACTCTCCTTGCCTCCACAGACCGCAGCCGACGCTCCGGAGATCGAGCGCATGCGCGAGGCCGAGTTTGACCTCGAGCGCCAGACGAGCCACGACACCGTCGGCACCAGCACGACGGCGCCCCGCAGCGCCGTTCCCCGCGACAACTCGCAGGGCGCTCTGCTGCCTGCGCCCGTCGTGGCGACGCAGACTGCGTTCACCAACGTCGGCGTCGCTCAGTAAGAGCGCGGTCTCTCAGACGGCAGCTCTCTCAAGGCGTGGCGCAACCGCGCTCAGTCTGCGCGCGCAGCGCCTCAGGCAACACCTGCAAGATTGGCTGCGCTGAAAGCGCCTCGTACGCTCCGTTGACCATTTCTATGTTCGCCCGACATCCGCAATGGCACGACATGCATTGCAGATCTAGCATCTTGATGCTGCGGGCGCTAGGCGGCCCAGGAACAGGAGTGTGCATGCGCGCACGCCGGCCCGATAGGCTCGATCGCGTGCTGGCGCGACCCACCTCGCACGGCCCTAAAGCCTCCAGAATAGGGTAAGAGTCTGGTTATCACCAAAGCAGCTTCCTAGCCTGGCTTTTGCGTACAGGTAGGTCGGCAAGACACGCCTCTGGGCCCATTACGTGCGACGCGCGCGCGATGCGCCCCTCTCTTTGAGGCGCGGCGGCCCGATCACGCGAAGTCCCATGGCCAGCAGAAGAGAACGCAGGCAGCCTGCAAACTGCTTTGCACCACTCACATCCTCCTTCACTCCGAGAGCCCGAAGGGCACGCCGCATCCTCATCGCCCCAGCTCAGTCGCTGCTGAGCACTTCGTCTGCCCCCTCCTCCGCCGCATTGGCTGCGCGGCGCGAGGTCACGCTGCGCTCTCCGCCAGCTCGTGGCCGATGCTCCGTAGCAAGAATGGTATTAACGTGAGGGAGACCTAGTCCATCGTCGACGCCGCGCCGTTGGACGAGTCTTCGCCTTCGAGCAGGGAGAATTCTGCGGGTGTGCGGGTCAGACGTGCACCTGTTGCGCTGCGCACAGACCACTCACGTCGTGTGAGCGTGCACTCGCCGCCACTCTCGAGGTCGATGTTGTACGAGTAGAAGAAGCCCTCGCTGGTTGCGACGAGGACCTGCGGCGTGGTGCTGGAGACCGCGACGACGGACGAGACGCCGGCGGACGGCAGCTTGAGGTAGGCAAAGTCGCGACTTGGTTCCCAGTGCGAGTTGAGGAAGCTGCCCATGCCGCCGGCGGCGCGCGCGACGGCCATCGATCTCCGCTTGAGCGTGCCGCTGGAGAGGCGTCAGTCACGTCTCCACCTCTGTGCTGCGGCTGCACTCACCTCAGACCGCCGCCCTTCTTCTTGTCGCTGATGAACGCCTCGTACCCGCCCTGGCCCGCACTCGACGCCTCGCTGCCCTCGAAGCTCGGTGTCGGGCTCGAGCCGTTGCCCGCCGCGCCAATCGACGGCCGCGCGCCGGCACCGACTTGCGGCGCCAGCTTGAAGATATGCACCGTCTCCGTGTCGCTGGACACGCAGAGCAGCGTCGACACGGCGTTGAAGCTGCGGCAGGTGTGAGGAGCCGCAGCACTTGCGCTTTCACCCTGTACTCACCTGATGTTGTAGATGCGCGCCGGATAGCTGCCGCGCCGGAACTGGTACAGCTTCTGCGCGCCCGGCACCGAGAAGACGCGGATAACCGTGCCCTTCTCGCTCGATGTGGCCAGCAGCGTGCCCGTCGAGTTCAGTGCGAGGCACGAGATGGGCGCCTTGTGCGCCTGGATGATGTTCGAGACGCTCAGGCTCAGCAAGTCGAAGATGAGCACGTCGCCGGGAGTCGACGACGACGCGCCGGCTGTGTTTGAGAAGGGCGACGTCGGCGAGGGCACGGGCGAGGGGTATGCCAGGTAGCACGGCTCGGACGAGGGTGAGAGCGCGCAGATCGCTGCAGCAGCGTGTCAGCAGAGAACATGAGGCATCGTGCTACTGCCGCACCTTGCGGGTTCGGGCTCGTCTCAATCGTGTGCAGCAGCTTCATGTTCGAAATGTCGTAGATGTAGATTTCCTCCTCGAGCACGACGACGAGCCGCCGCCGGTTGAGCTTGACGGCGAGGATCGACGTCGGGAAGAGCAGCTCGCAGATGGTCGATTGCCGCTGGGAATGCCGGAGTCAGCGCCGCTCGCTCGCGCCATACGTGAGAGCAAGGCACGCTTCCAGCGGCTGTCACGCCCGTGCGCAGCACCGCCTCTCGGGCACAATCGTCCTCGGTCGGCTCAGTGCTGGGCAACGCTATGCGCCCCTGACCGCAACGCCGCTGCGCGTCCAGCGGTAGGCACAAGATCCTGCGCATACGCTAGCTGGGCTCTGAGCCTGAAGCTTCGTCGAGAGCCCGCAGGGTGCCTGCTCGCTGACCTGGCCCAAGCGCGGGCCGCCAGGCAGAACGACAGGCGCAGCAGGCGCGGATCGCCAGAGTAGCCCTCAGATCACGTCTGTGCACCAGCTGGGGACCTCGAAGCGCCGCTCCTCGCGCTGCCACCTCCACGAATGGCCGCTGCTGCTCACCTTGGTGTTCACAATCTGCAGGCGGCGCGGCGAGCTCTGCGGGCTGGAATCGGCAGTGCCCACGAGCGCGACGAGGCTCGTGCAGAAGAGCATCTCGACGATGGCCGTGGGCCCGTCGTCGCGCGCATAGATGCGGCCGAAGGGCTCGGCGTTGGCAATGGCATAGCCCTTACGTGTGCCGACGGAGATGCAAGAGCTGTCCTGGTTGAAGGAGACGGAGAGGAGCGCGGGCGCCGACTTGGGCGCGGCCATGGCGGCGGCAGGCAGAGGTGCTGCAGGCGGCAGGGAAGGGTGAGAGTGACGAAGTGCAGGGGTGCGACGCAGCGGTGGCAGGGAGATGGCGGTGAGAAGCAGCGATGGCCGCCGCCGACGAGGCTCGAGATCGCTGCGCTCGGAGCGGGCTGGTGCGTGCGCAGCGTGGGCTCAGGCTCCGCAAGCGGCTGCCCCGCGCCGCGGCAGGCACGCCGGCAGTGTCTGCTCGCCAGGCACGCGCCGCGCCTTTCGTCGGCCGCAGAGCGCCGCCGGCCGCATCTCCACCCAGCGCGCGCCATGCTTCGCGCGTGCGGCTCGCCTGCTGCTTCCTACCCTCACCACCCCATCCACGCCATCCGCAGCGCACCCGCGTCTCGTACCTGTACCTCCATCGCTGGAGAGGGCATCAAAGCGCACACCCTCGCGTCCCGCGGTCACCCCCGCCGCAGGGTCAGCCGCCAGACCGCGCGCGGCCATGGCCGACGTCGCCATGGACGACGCCGCGGCCGCACCGCCGGCAGCGCTGCAGCTCGCCGTACCGGCCGAGGTCGACCTCGGCGCGCTGCAGTTGGTGCTGTCCGACGCAGTGACGCCGCTGTCGCTCGAGCGCCTGGCGCAGCCAGACGAGGCCCTCGTGCTGGCCGTCTACAAGGCGCTGCTCAAGAGCACGTCCGAGCTTGAGGCGCAGCGCCAGGCGCGCGAGCGTGCCGACGTCGACGCCGAGGGCACGCTGCACACCGCGCAGAATGCCGCCAAAGAGGCGCTGGAGCGTGCTGCGCGTCTTGAGCAAGAGGTCAGCGGCGCAAAAGAGGCCGTCGCGCCGCTCGAGCGCGAGGTCGCCGCACTCAAGTCTGAGAACGAGCAGCTCAAGGCAACGCAGGGCGCCGGCGCCGTGACGTCAAAGGAGACGAGCGAACGCCTGCAGAGCATCGAGGAGGAGAAGCGCGGCCTGCTTGACATGCTCGACCGCGAAAAGGTCGAGAGCAGCCGCAAGTCCGGTGAGTCGGGCAGCGCGTCAGCTGCCGGCGTGGTCTGACCGCTTGCGCAGACGAGATCGACGCTCTCAACGCGCGCCTGAAGGAGTCGAGCGCCGAGGTCTCGCGTCTCTCTTCCGAGGTCGCGTCCATGCGCAGCTTCGACAGCACCTCCAAGGTGAGCCCCTCACTGACGCGCGAAGGTGCCTGTGCTGACGCGGCAACGTCCAGTTCCGGATCCAGTCTCTCGAGCAGCAGGTCGTGCTAGCCAAGAACGACGCCAAGTGGGCGCATGGCGAGCTGACGCGCGCCAACGAGACGCACGCTGCGGCGCGCAACTCGTCGCACGCCGAGACGGCGCAGCTGCAGGCGTCGCTCGAGGCGGTCACCTCGGCCTCGAACGCGGCCAACGTCAAGCTCGATGCACTGCAGTCCGCCTACGACGCGACTGTGGCGCGTCTCAACGAGTCGACCAGCAAGCTGCAGGAGGCCACCGCACGCGAGGCGGCTCAAGAAGAGGCCTTCCGCGCCGAGAGCTCCACCACGCAGCGCCTCATGACGCTGCTCGAGCGCCGCGCCGAGCAGTCCGAAGAGCGCGCCAAGAGCCTCGAGGAGCAGTGGGAGAGCGTGCTGGAGCGCGCGCGCGAGCGCGAGGAGCAGGCGCAGGAGGACCTACGCCAGGAGACCGCGGCGCGGCAACGCATCGAGACGGAGTGCGCAGAGTTGCGCGAGGCGCTCGACCGCCTGGCCGAGAGCGTCGGCATCGAGCTGGAGCCTGGACAGCGTGCGCGCAACGGCAGCAGCATGCCGGGCACGCCCGAGCGCTCGCTCGGCGCGTCGCTCGGTGCATCGCTGGGAGCATCGCTCAGCGCCACGCTCTCGCCCACTGCGGCGCTGGCATCCAAGGTTCAGCGCAGCGGCAAGTCCTTCTCGGCCATCTACGCCGATCTGGCACGCACGCAGGAGGAGCTCCGTCGCGAGCGCGCCGAGTGCTCGCGCCTGGGCAGCGTGCTGGAGCAGGTCATGGCGGATCTTGCGGAGCGCGCACCTGCGCTCCAGGCTCAGCGCGAGGAGACGCAGCGTCTTGCAGCCGACCTCGACGATGTCGCGGCGGCACTTGCGCGCGCATGCGAGGAGCGCGACGCTGCTGAGCGCGCTTCCCGCAGCTCCAAGGCCGAGGCGGACGCCGCTCGCAGTGACGCAGAGCTCACCTCGCAGCAAGTAGCGGACCTCGGCCGCCAGGTGCGTCACCTCACGCGCGAGATTTTGCTCCGCGAAGACCCGACTGCTGCGGCACGTCTCGAGGACGAGGGGACCGAGCTCGCGGCGGCCTCCTCGAGCGACACGCAGGCCGTCATCACGATGGAGCTCGTCACCTTCTCTTCCCTCAGCGAGCTTCTGGGCCAGAACCAGCGGCTGCTCAGTGTCACGCGCCAGCTCGGCGCGCAGCTCGAGGCAACCGTCGAGGAGAACGCGCGCAAGGCTGCTGCCGATGAGAGCGAGGCAGTGGCAGAGGCAAAGACGATGATCGTGCGCGCACAAGAGGAGCTCAAGGCAGAGCGCTCGCGCTCCGAGGCCGCGCGCCGCGAACGCGACATGTTCCGCGCCATGTGCTCGCGCAACGGCGCCGTCGTCGCCGGCGTTGAATCGTCCGGCAGTGCCAGCGGCTCGGCCATCGCGGCGCAGTACGCCGAGCTGCAGTCGCAGTTCGAGATCTTCAAGCAGGAGACGCGCAAGGACTCGGACAGCCTCAAGAACGAGGCTCACGCTGCGCGCACCGAGGCCGGACGGGCAAGCGTCACGGCCGCGCGCGAGAAGGCGGGTCGCGAGGCCGCTGAAGGTGAGTCTACCGCGCTTAGCCTCGGCACACAGCCTACTGACGCGACTGCGCGCAGAACGCTACCGCACGCTCCAGCAGACCTACGACCTTGCCCGCTCCGAGCTGGTCGAGCTGCAGAAGCGCGCGTCTCTGCTCGCCGAGAACGTCGCCCGCCGAGACATTGCTTCACACAACGCCGAGACGCAGCTACTCGAGGCCAAGTCCATCGCCGAGCGCTTGCGCAACGAGGCGGCCAACCTGCGCGCCGAGAAGGAGCTGCACGCCGGCACGCAGCAGCGCCTGCTCGATGAGAACAAGACGCTCATCTCGGAGAAGGCCAGCCTCTCGGAGCTGCTGCGCAACGTCCAGGTCATGCAGAACGAGCTCGAGCGCGTCGGCGGCGAGGCGCAGCGCCGTCTCGCTTCTAGCGTCGAGCGTCTGGAGGAGCAGACAAAGGACCTTCGCGAGAAGCTCACGAAGGAGTCGGAGGCCCTCCGCCAGATGACGATGCGCCGCGAGGTCGAGACGCGCGAGCTCAACTCGCGCGTCGAGAAGGCCACTGCGGAGGCATCGACTCTGCGCGAGCAGCTTGCCGCCGCGCGCACGAGCGTCACGCACCTGACCACGCGCACCGAGGACCTCACCAAGCAGCTCGACGCAAAAGAGGAGAAGCTTGCCGTCTACGAGCGTCGCACTGGCGGCGCAGCTGGCGGCAGCGGTGCTGCCTCGCTTACTCGCGAGCAGCAGCTCGAGGTCGAGCTCGCCGACATTCGCGGCGACCTTCGCAGCGCGCAGATCGAAGTCGAGCAGAGCCGTGGCCACGTCGAGCAGTTCAAGGCCATCGCCGAGGCCAGCGAGGAGGCGCTCGCTGCGCTGCAGGCCACGTACGACTCGTACAAGGCTGCCACCGACAAGGCCGTCGCCGACAAGGACGTGCGTAGTCATGCCTTGTGCAGAAACGCCCGCTTGCTGACACCTCATTTCCCCAGGCCGAGATCGGCAGCCGACGCGGCCGTCTCGACGGCTTGCTGGGCGAGCTCACCACTGCCCACGAGGAGGCGAACCAGGCGCGCCAGGCTCTCGCCGCGGCGCAGGAGAGCTTCGCCTCCGAGAAGCGCACGCTCGAGGCGGCGATCGCCGATCTCGGCGGTCTCGAGGAGCGCACGCGTGTGGAGCAGCACGAGGCTCGCCTCGAGTCGCAGAGGCTGGTCAGGCTGGCGGAGGAGGCACAGGCCAAGTACCAGGCCGAGCTGGTGGCGCACGCCGACGACGTGCGCGACCTGAGCTCAATCAAGGAGCAGCTCGAGCAGGCGCGCAGCGAGGCACGCGAGGCCATCAAGGTGCGTGAGACGGCCGAGGCCAACCTCTCGAGCTCGCAGGCCAGCTGGGAGACGCAGAAGGCCACGCTGAGCCAGGAGATGGACGAGGTTCGCGCCCAGTGAGTAAGCGTGGCTGGGTGCAGCATGAGCCCCACTGACCATCCGCCAGGGCCAAGGCGCTGCAGGATCAGAACAAGATCCTGCACGGTCACCTCGAAAAGGTCGGCGCGCAGGCTGCGCAGATCCGCCAGGCCGCCGCGGACAGCTCCGCCGGCCAGGCGATCGCCGGCGACAGCAGCTTCAGCGAGACAAACGCCGGCGAGCTGCAGGAGGTCATCAAGTACTTGCGCAGCGAGAAGGAGATCGTCGACCTCCAGATCGAGCTGCGCGACCAGGAGTGCGCCCGCCTGCGCCTCAGCGCCGAGCACGCCCAGTCGAGCCTCGACGAGGTGCGCCTGCAGCTCGCCGAGGAGCGCGCCCGCAGCGCCGCCGCCGGCAGCAGCGCCAAGCAGCACGAGGAGCTCCTCGAGAAAGTCAACCAGCTCAGCATCCTCCGCGAGAGCAACGCGACGCTGCGCGACGAGGCCGAGCGCTCTCTGCGCAAGGCACTCACGCTCGAGACACAGCTCGCCGCCAAGACAGCCGAGCTGGACCCGCTGCGCGAGCAGCTGCGCGTCGCCCAGGTCGAGCTCGAGGCGTGCCAGGGCCAGCTGCGCATCGTGCAGGACGACAACAAGCGCTGGCAGGCGCGCACGCAGACCATCCTGCAGCAGTACGACCGCGTCGACCCGGACGACATCGCCAAGCTCGAGCAGCGCGCCACGGCCGCCGAGGCGGCGCTGGAGGAGGAGAAGACGCGTGCGCAGCAGGGCACTGCCGAGCAGGGCAAGGCACTCGAGGCCAGCCGCGCCGAGTTCGCCGAGCTGCAGAAGAAGTTCGGCCAGCTGCGCAACCAGACGATCGAGAAGCTCAAGGCCGCCACTGCCAAGGTCACCGCGTCGGAGGCGCAGGTCAAGGAGCTCGAGGCTGCTGCCGCAGATCAGTCGGGCGTCGAGGCGGTGCGCGCCGAGCTCGAGAAGGTCAAGGCGGAGCTTGCCCAGCAACAGCAAGCACTGCGCGAGCGCGAGGCGGAGGTCCAGTCGCTCAAGGAGCAGCTCGAGCAGCGCCCGCAAGCCAGCAGCACCGAGGAGGGCGAGGCGACTGGCCCGAGCGACGAGGCACTGCAGAAGGCCGTCTCGGACGCGCTCGAGCAGGCCAAGGCCGCGTGGGAGGAGGAGAAGACGCAGCTGCAGTCGGCCAAGGAGCTGGCCGAGCGCCGGCAGAAGCAGCACCTCGACAAGGCGCGCGAGTTCAACACCGCCATGGTGAGTGCATCGTGTCCCGGTGCTCGGGTTTGGAGCTGACACTGTTGCAGCGGACGGCGACGACCGAGCGTGACGAGGCCCGCAAGGAGCACAGCGAGCTCGAGGCGAAGCTCAAGGCGCAGTGGGAGAACGAGCACGACCAGGCCATCGAGAAGGCCGTCACCGAGCGGCTCGCCGCCAAGGGCAGCTCCGGCTCGGGCCCGGCCGCAGAGACCGAGGAGGGCGAGGCAGCTGAGCCGACAAACGCCAAGGGCGAGACGATGAGCTTCCTCGAGAAGCGCGTCGCCGATCTGCAGGAGGCGCTCGACAACTCGACGGCGAAGATCAACCAGCTGCAGGAGGAGCTGGCGGCGCTCAAGGCCGGCACGCCCAGCTCGGCGGGCGAGGAGGAGCTGAAGCGCAAGCACGCCGCCGAGCTCTCAGCGCAGCAGGCGCAGCTCTCGCAGCAGTACCAGGAGCAGCAGCGCAAGGCCATCGAGGTCGCCGTCAGCAAGGCCAAGGCTGCCGTGGCCGATGGCTCTGGCGGCGCGCCGCCGCAGGACGTCGAGGAGATCGTGCAGGCCCGTCTGAAGGCCTTTGAGGATGCACGCGCCGAGGAGCTCAAGGCTGCCATCGCCGCGCGCGAGGCCGAGCTCAAGACGGTGCACGACGAGGCGCTCAAGGCGCGCTACGACGCCGGCAAGGAGGAGGCGAGCCTGCGCAACCGCCTCGTCGTCAAGCAGCGCGACAACAAGATCGAGAAGCTCACGGCCGAGATTGCGCAGCTCAAGGGCGAGCCTGTGCCTGCAGCAGCCAGCACGAGTGCTCCTGCGGCTGGCGTGGCAGCCCGTGGCGGCGCTGCACCTGCGCGCGGAGGTGCGCCGGCAGTTGGCCGTCCTGGCGCTGCCGCCGCTGCGGCCAGTCTGCCCGCTCGTCCTTCGTCCGAGAACATCAGCAGCACGTCGGCGGACGGAGCCGCCACCACGCCGCCGGCGGCGCGCGGAGCACGAGGCGGCGCCGTGCGCGGAGGAGGCGCGGCACGCGGTGCTCGCGGAGGCGCTCCCGCACGCGGCGGCGCTCCGGCAGCAGCAGCAGCCGCTGCCACTGCGGCAGGCGGAGCCAAGCGCAAGCTGGAGCCCGCAGCGAATGGCGCTGCGCCAGCGACGGGAGAGGGCCAGGCGAAGCGCCCGCGTCCAGCGGGCGCGCAGGTGTCGATCCGCGGCGCGCGCGGCGGCGCACGAGGAGGAGCCGCCGGAGGCTCCTCGTAGCACACTGTACTCTAGTTTCCATGCATGCGATTGCCTACGACGCACCGGCTGGCGGCTCGTGTGATGACTCTGAGGCGGCCTCGTCCAGTGCGCGCTCCAGCAGCGGCATGCAGGTGTCGAGCCGCAGCGACGGCACCGTGACGCCTGTGCCGCCGATCGCCGTCTGCCGATTCGGCAGCACGAGGGAGATGGTAGACGGATAGGCAAGAGCGAGCGATGCCACGAGCCTGAAGCTGCAGGTCAGAGGCCGCGCAGATGGACACCGGAGCAAGACTCACTGATCGCCGAGCCAGATCTTGGCGACGCCGCCGAGCTTCGCCGTGGCCTCTTCGCCGCGACCCTGGAGCAGGGCAGCAGCCCAGGCGCGGACGTCGGAGAGGCTCTCTGTAGGCTCGACCTCGAAGCGCGCTTGCGGCATGGTCTGGCACAGGGCGTCCAGCTGCATGCGCAGCTTCGAGATGAACTGCAGACGTGGCCGTAAGCAGGGTATCCGCGACCATGCCGCAGCACACATACCGAGGCGTAGTGCGTGAGGCCCAGCAGAGGCTCGAGCAGCGCAGCGCGGCTCTTCTCGCTTGCGCTCTTCTCTTCGCTGTCTTTGCGTACGCGCTGTGACCGCCCAGAGGCGCGATCGCGGTAGCGCGCAATCAAGCCCAGACGAAGATAGGCAAGTACCAGGCGTGCGAGCGGGGACGAGATGCGGTCTTGTTGCTCTTTCGAGCCGGACGGCAGCGGCTTGATCTTGCGATCGGTCTGTGGCTTGTCGGCAGCCGAACTGTCCGCGATCGGCACCTGAGGAAGGCAGCCAACGTATCAGCCGCGCGCGCTTGGTCCAGGATGCAAAGCAGCGGCACGCACCAGCTCGAAGCACATCTCCACCCGCGGCGTGACCGAGAGCGTGACGCTCGAGGCACTGACGCTGCTGAGCATGCTTGCAGACGTATGCAAGGCCCGCGTCTCGCGCACGAGCTGAAGGGCCGTCAGCTGGGTCTCTCTGCAGGACCCGTCGTGAGAACGCACTATTGTGAAGAGCTCCGCATCTGCCATCTCCTCCTGTGCCCGCCTCAGCTCTTCGTCGATGGTGCTGAACTCGGAGGCAGCTTGTTCGCGCTCAACGTCCGGCGCGTCGCTCCACCACACTATCCGGGTGTCCTCCTCGTCGCGCAGCGTGAAGGACACCCTGAGGCGGGTCCGCGGTCGTGCCAGGAACATAAGTCCGTGCGATGGCGGAGGTGCAGCAGCTTCAGCCGGGCCTTCAACACCCATCGCTGCAGCATCAGGCGCCAGAGTCGAGGCTGCCGGAGCAGTCGAGACGGTCGGCGAGAAGTAGGCGAGGGCTCTCTGCTTCTGCTCCGGATGTGCTGGGGCAGAGAATGTTAGAAGCCGCGCTCGCACGACCGCGGACCGAGCTACTCACCTTCCGGAATGCCCCAGCCGACCCACGCATCCCGCGCGCCTTCCTCCTTGCTGACCGAGCGCGCCGCAACGCCGACCATGCCAGGTGTGAGGCCCCAGCCGCTGTTGCGCGCGTCCTTGAGGCCCTGCCAGCGCCTCATCTCCGCCTCGCCGCGCTCGCCGCCGCCCTTGTTCGGCGGCAGCACGTCCGTCATTTCTTTTGCGCCTCGCCGCAGGATGTCTGCGGCACGCAGGATGCCTCGGCGTGTCGCATCGTGCGTTCCGATGAGGGCACGAGCACGCGTGTCGGCCTCCTCGGCCGTGAGCTTGGCGTCCAGACGAGCGAGGCGAGCAGCGTGCTTGGCCGAGGAGTAGAGCCCATCGTCTTCGTCTTGCTCCTTGAGGCGCTGCTCCTCGTCTTCGCGCTCTGTCGGCCGCTCGCCAAGCAGGCTGACGCCGACGTTGCTCGCCTCGAGACCTAGCTCTTCTGACAGCGCAGCGGCCGAGCCAGGAGGCGCGCTTGACACGCCTCGCCCGGCGAGCGAGCCTGCGCGCAGACCGCCCGAGGAGGACGCTCCGCCTGCCCCAATGGCCGGCGAGTCGCCACGCGAGCCTGGCGCGCGGCCTATCCCTCCAGGTGTTGGCCGTGACAGGAGCAGCAGAGACACCAGAGCGTGCGAGTGGTAGAGCGAGCTGTGCGCCTCGCTGTGGGTCGAGGCCTCGCATCAGACACACAGCAGGAGTGCGCTGGATCGTAAGACTCACTGCAGCTTGTTCCACATCATATGCTTCAGCTCATCCAGCTCTGCCGGCTTGATCTCCGCCTTCCGTTTGGCCACATCCGGCGACGCGGGCCGCTTGCTGGACGAGGCCTTCTCGCCTTCCTTGGCCTCTTCCTCGTCGCCCACGACCCAGGCGGACGACTTGCTGCCCGATGCAGCAGCAGAGGAATCCTCGGCCTGCTTCTGCTCCAGCTCGGCCGCGGCACGCAGCTTGGCAAAGTCCAGGCGGCCAAAGTCGCCTCGCTCCGCCCACAGGCGTGCAAGCCGGACTGCGAGCGGCTCAGCTCCAGCAGGCCTGGGCGAGAGGAAGCGCAGACTCATGCGGTGAGCGTCATGTCCTGTCGTCAAATAAGCTCGCGGCACACTCACCCGTACTCGAGCTCGCCGTCGGCGCCAATGCCCTTCAGTCGCGCTGGCGGCTGCAGCAGCGGCTCGGCCTTGGCGCCGGCGCCGGGTGATGCAGCGACCGATGGGCCGTCGCCAGCAGGCGGCGCTGCGAGCGGCACAGGCTCGAGCGACAGCGCTGGCAGCGGCATGATGCGCAGGCGCTGCGTTCAGAGCGACGTGGAGTGAAGGGGTGAGGTGGAGGTGGGGAGGCAAGCCCCGGCGCCGAGCGGCATGCGCGACATGCGCGGACTTGGAAGAAGCCAGCCGCGCGGCGAGGTGCACGTCCGTGCGTTCGCCGCGCTGATCCTCCTTCCTTCTGACCACCACACGCAAGCAGCACCGGCGCAAGCATCAAGGCAGGCCTTCCTGAGGGAGAGACGCTGTTTCGACTGCGTCGCCGCTCAACAGCGTATACGAGGCGCGCCATGTCAGCGTCATCACACGCCTCCAGCTCGCGCAGCGCACAAGCAGCCGCATCGTCGAGCAGCGCCGCAGACGAGCTCGATGCGCACCTCGTCTCGCTGCTGCACACGGCCGATGCCTACGCTGCATCGCAGCAAGCCGCCGCCGCACATCTGGCACGGGCATTCCTCAGTCTCTCGCGCGCCCGCATGCATCTCGGCGCTCTCGGCGCCAGCAGTCTGCTGGGTGCAGACGGCGCAGACGCCCGCCTCAAGGCCGGTGTGCGTTGTCGCGTCGACGACGCGGGCCGGATGAGGCACGTGCGAAGCGCTCCTACTTCTGAGGCGCCTGCGATCGAAACAGAGAAGAAGCCTGCAGCGCAGGGCCTGCGGCGACGGCAGAACGCAAATCCTGCCCTGAGCGAGAGCGAGAAGCAGAACGCAGCCTCGCACGAGAAGGAGGCCGCCTCGGATGCGGTTGCCGTCGAGCAAGACGAGAAGGCATCTGTCGACATCAACGCCGGAAACAAGAAGAGCGATGCGCCTTCATCCAAGCCCAAGCGGCCGCCCCAAGCGCCGGACCCGCTCTATCAGTTCAGCGCGCTGCCGCCGCCGGCGCTGCGCTCGGCGCAGAAGAGCTTCATCGCGGCGCTCGACGAGCTGCTGGGCGCGAGGAGCGGCGCAGATGGCGCATGGCAGAGCGTGCAGCGCCTGGCGCAGCTCGAGCACGACGTAGCAGATGCGCGACGCCGTGCTGGCGAGGAGGACACAGCGACGCAATGACACGTCGTCAGGTGAACGAGACGTGATATTGGAGTGAGAGGGTAGTATGGCCGCGCCTGTGCGGCGGGTAAGGGTCGAGATAAGCGAGGATACACGGGGGACTGGACATGGAGCGGTGGGCTGGAATGATGAGGAGACGCGGGTCAGGGAGTCGACTGGATTGGTATAGTACACGAGGGTGCGATCGGACGAGAACGAGAAAGAGAAAGTGGGTGAGGGTGTGCGCGGCGGCCGACGCTCATGCCTTCGTGTGGCCTTGACGGCGGCCGCGCTGGCCCTTGCCCTTGCGCTCCGCATGGCTCTTGGCCTTCGCCTTGACGTGCGCCGCCGCACGAGCGCCGGCCTTGACCTGCGCCTGGATGTGCGCCTTTGCCTGCGCCTGCGACTCTCTGATCTTCTGACGCAGATGCTCCGACATCTTCTGCTCGAGCTTGCGGTGCTGCTGTCGCTGCGTGCGCGCCGCATTGCGCTCGGCGGCGTGGAAGGCCTTCATCTTGAGCACGGCATCCTTGCGGCGCGCATCGGCGGTCGCCTGCAGCTCGTCGAACACATCCCTGATTGCCGCCTTGGTCTTGCGAGCGCCGTCGACGGCGCGCTCGATGCTGCTGCGCGCGCCGCGAGAGATGTGCTCGGCGCCGCGAGTGATCTGCTCGGCAGCCTGCTCCGCAGCGTGCTCAGTCTCGCGCGTGGTGCGCTCGATGGCGCGCAGCACAGCGCGTGGCTTGTCGAGCATCTCGCGCGAGTTCGCGACGTGCTGCTGCGCGGCCTTGAGCTGGCGCGGCGCCGAGCTGACGTGGTCGATCGCCTGGGAGCCGAGGTGTCTGGCCTGCCGCGCTGCGCCTTCCATCGTCTTGCCGAAGGCCTCGCCGCGCTTCTTGAGGTCAAGCTCGTAGAGACGGCCGCGAGCGATGCGGATGCCCTGCAGGAAGATGCCAGACGTGTGCTCGATGGTGGCGCTGGCGTCGCGCAGACGAGCATTGATGTCCTTGTAGGCGGCGTCCATGCGAGGCTGCACCTGCTGCGCGTAGAAGGGCCGCAGCTGAGCCTCGTAGAATGGCAGCACGTGCTGCTCGTAGAACATCTGCAGCTTGAGCACCCAGAAGGACCACTCGCGCACGAGGTGGCCTAGCACCTGCTGTGCGCCGCGCGATGCATCGCGCATCAGCATCGCCGTCTCGGCTTGGAGTCGCAGCGTCCACTCGTGGTCGCTTGACGAGGCGCCAGGCGTAACGGCAGCGCCGGCGAGAGGAGCTATGGGCGCGCCAAGGTGCTCGTATGTGCTCGCTACAGGGCAGTCAGCGACTGACGCATTGACGAGGCATACAGGGCACTCACGAGCAGGAGCTTGCGTGCTGCTGGGCTTGCGGCTTCGTCGCGTGCGCTGGTACACCGCCACATCCTTCGAGAGCTGATTGACGACCGTGACGTCGCGGCACGACGCGCGTTGCGGCTTCTTGCCGTCCTGCGCAGAAGCCTTGCCCGCCGGCTTGTCGGCCGCCAGCAGGAACGCCGGAACCTTGCGGACCGCGCGCGGCTCATTCTTGACAGGGAGCTCGGGCGCCGTTGCGCTCGACTGGTGCCGCTCGAGGAAGGCGCTGCGGCTGCTCTCCACGGCGGCCATCAGGCGCGGTGGAGCGGCAGCGAAAGACTCCCACGCGGACAGGGCACGGCCGCGCAGGCTCGAGCCCTCCGCACTCGACTGCCCATTCTTCTCCGCAGCGGCGGCATCGAAAGCTTTGACGCTTGAGCTGCCGAAGCTGCCGCGAATCGAGTCGAGGAGCGCAGCAAAGTCAGTCCCGGCGAGCATCGGCGAGGGGCGGTTGAGCACCACGCCCGGCGTCCGTATGTCACGGCCGTTCATGAGAGCGAGCAGCACGCCAGCAAGCATGATGATGATGGCGCCGGCGCCCGAGACAGATGTTGGACGCAGCCTGTGGCGCAGAGAGCGCGGCGTTGACGGCTCAGAGCGAGTCTGTGTGGCGCTCGTGGCTTCGCGAATGGCGGAGGACGAGGCTCCTGACGCCGTTGCACGGCTCGCGGTGAGCTCGACCGCGAGAGGTCCGTCGGATCGAAGCGCCTCGCTTGATGCCAGCGCGGTCGTGGCAGCCACGTGCGGCAGAGAGGTGAGCCAAACTGCCGTCTTGGAGAGCCAGGTGGGCGTAGCCTCCGTCTCGGCGCCAAGACGCGTGCCTTCGCGCGGGCTGACGCGGAAAGCAGCGCGGGCGACCCAGGCAGCGTCGCCGCCGAACCACTCGGCCTCGCCACCGAGTAGGAACTGCTCGTATGTCAGCACGGTGTCCGACCGCTGAGCCGACTCGACGGCGAGCTGCGTGACGCGCGCAGTGGCGCTGAGCTCGTTGATGCTCGCGCACGTCGCCGAGAGGACGGCGCGCCAGGTGCGCTCGGCAGCGCGGAGGTCGAGCTGACGCGACAGAGCGCGGACGAGGTCGTTGCTGACGGTTGCCGCCGCCGCGCCGTCAGCCGCGACTGCGCTCGAGGAAAGACTGTCGCCTTCGTCTAGGTTGCTCGGCGAGCGCGGGCAGAGGATCGGAAGCAGAAGTGGCATCGCCTGCGCCCTCGACCAGAAGGGCTTGCTGAGGTCATGTGTCTCGCAGAGCAGCGCGGCAAGCTCGGTCGGCAGGCGCTGCTGCCGCTCGCCGTTCTCAAGGAAGCAGATGATCAGCGCACCGCCACGCTTGAGCTCGGCGGCACCGTAGGTCGCGAGGAACTTGGCGATGTCGGAGCCCGTGGTGGCATCCGAGTCACCGAGCGCCGAGGTGCAGTCGAACTCTTGCAGCTGCGTAGACGACAATGTCAGCAAGACCTCGTCGAGAAGCAGTGGCGAGAGCATGCACTCACCTCGACATGAGGGCCCTTGCGCGAAGTGCGCCGCGTCCATGCGACGCCAGCTGGCCGGCGACCGAGACGAGCGTCGATGCGGACCTCATCTCCGAGGAACAGCGGCTCAGCAGTCGATTGTACGGCCTCGTAGGCGCTGAACAGGCTCTCGCGCGTCGCTTGCGCCACGCGTCCGAAGACGTGCTTCGCAGGCCGGCTGCCCATGTAGAAGACGTTGAGCTGTGCAGGCAGAGGCAGCGCTGTCGGACCCGGACGAGCGTCGATCGCGGCGTCGACCGATGAGGTGGTGATGCGCTCGGCAGGCTCGGTCTTGATCTGTGCCGCCTGCACAGTAGGCTGAGCGGTGTTGAGCGCCGGATGGCTCCCAGCGAACGAAGACACGGCCATGGCCTCGGGCGAGAGCTTCTCATTGACGATCTCGAGGTGACGATCGCCGCTCGACGCCAGTCTCGACGCTGCATCTGCCGTGCTGCTGATGTTGCCGCGCGAGCTCGGCACTGGATCCCACGGGTTGCGCAGTGCAGCGCTGCTGTTGCCATGCGACAGGAAGGAGAAGCGCGAGGCGGCGTTGAGCATGTTGACGCTGCCGCCGCCGCTGCTGGACTTGGAGTCCACGAGCGCCTCCGTCGCTGGCACCGTGCTCGTCGATCTAGTGAGGCACGTCAGCATACACGCAACGGCGTGCCACAAGCTGCTGACTCACTTCTCGACCCGCTCAGCCGGCCGCTCACTCGCATCGGCCTCCGACTTGCGAGCGCCATCCATGGGGTCCGGGAAGTGGAAGAGGCTGCCCGATGTCGGCAGTGGCGCGGGCTCGTCACCAATGCTAGATGGCTGAGCTGCCGCGCCACTACTTGGCGCATCCGACATCTGCGGTGGCAAGAAGCAGCGCTGATTGCTGCGAGAGCCACGCATGGTCGAGGCCTCGGTGAGCATCGAGACCTCCGCGGAGGCCGTCGCGGTGGACACGTTGGAGGTGTCGGCCTCGCGAGCGCTGCTGGCGTCGGTCCGGAAGAAGTCGTACGTGCTGCCCAGGCTCGAGTTGAGCGCCTCGACCTCTGCGTAGCGGAGGCTGTCAGAAACGCGAGCAAGAGCAGCAAGAGAGGTGCGCAATCAGAGCTCGAGAGCGGCGGCTGCTGTGGGCCATGCGCAGCAGCCTTCGCCCAATGGTGCCACGCCGATGCTGCGCGAGCCCGGCCGTCGGCATTCTCGGCAGAGGGATCGAAGTCTGTACTCACCTAGCAGCCGGTTGTCCGCGCGAGGAGCGGCCATCACATTGTTCGGCGTGACGAGGCGCGGCGTGTCGTCCCAGTGCGCGCTGTCCGCCAGATCGCTGATGCCCGCAACCGAGCCGCCGCCCGCAGCGTCGATGAGCTCAAAGTCGTCATCGTCGAGGCTTGAGATGTCGCTTAGGCCTTCGTCTTGGATCGACGACGGCGCGCGCGACGAGGAGGAGAGCGTTGGCGAGAGGAGGCTGTTGCGCAGCTCGCCGCGCGGCGAGCTCGTGCTTGAGCGCTGCGCATTGTCGCTGCGCAGCCGCGCTGCGTCGCCCTGCGGTGGCGGCGAGAGGGCACGCTCGTCGGCGGCCAGGAAGCTGGCGGCCGAGTCGTGCCGCGGCGGCGAGCTGCTCTCGGTGCCGACGAGGACGAGGTCCTGCGCCGAGGCGGTGAGAATGCGCAGTCGTGGGCTTGACGGCTCGTCGCTGTCGCTGTAGGCGAAGCTGCTGCCGCCCGTGCTGGACATGCCGTCGTCGGAGCGCACCGACATGCTGTGTGCTGCGCTGGGTGTGTCAGGAAAGCACACAGCGGACAGTGCTGCCTGCTGCGCGCACCTGATGACGAGCTGCAGGGAGCTGCGCGGGAGCGCGCGATATGCAGGGTCCAAGGCGGCGCTGCTGCGCTGGTGCTGCGGCTGTCAGGCCGGCGGACTGCGCTTGGAGCAGTCCGAGTGGTGGAGTGAGGCGGCGAGGATGACGCCGCTGAGTGGTGGGGCCAGGAGGGTGACGGTCGGGACTGAAGAGGGCGAGATGGGGCCGACTCAGCACCAGGGCGCGGCCGCGCGGCGGGGCAGCGGGGCAGCGGGGCGCAGGCGCAGCGGCAGGCCGGCCGCCGCGCGAGCGTATCTCCTTTTGCGGCGGCGGCGCGGCGCGGCGGCCGCCTCTCCGTCTGCCGGCGTGCTGCGCCGCCGCGCTGCAAGCGTCTCTCCACAAGAGAGCAACAAAGAGGGGTGCACACCGCTCAGCCGCTGTGCTGCAGAACAACCCATTGGGCGCGGGTGCCGCCTCGGCAGGGAAGGTGCTGCGGCGGGTCCCGACTCGCAGTCGCCCCCTGCCCCGCTCCCGTCCGGACACTCTCCTTGGGTGCGACACGTGTCGCCGCCGCAGAGTGCTCCTCAGCATCGCTCCACATCGTGGCCTCCTCGCAAGATGTATCCTCTCAGCACCTGCTAGTCCTCGCTGCAGCTGATGCGGTCCTGCATCCTGAGAGGAGCGCCTCGCCGAGGGTGGCTTAGCGCACCGGCATGGCATTGGCCACGGGGCCGAGGCGGCGGCGCCCGAGGTGTCAGGTGCTGCAGCGCTGTGGCTCCTGCTGCACCCATCTGTCGACTTCCTGCTTGGTCTCGGCTCTCTCGCAGCTCCGCCCCAGCCGCCACGTTCAGTTTGCACCCCTCCATGCGCTGCTGCTGCGCACTGCGGCGGCGGACGCGGCGAGGGGCTGCGCGCAGCTCACACGAGGCTCCGCCCCGCCGGCGCTGCACCCGTGTTCCCCACACGCGCCAGGCAGCACACTGCTCCCGTGCCCGAAAGCACGTCGGTGCACGGGCCACCACGACGCCTGCATGTCACTTTTTTTGAGTGCGCGCGCCGGCGCCGGCGGAGATCGGCGACGCCGTGGGAGCACCGGCCGATAACGCATTTGCCGGCCTCGATCGACGGATGCCGGCGGCGAGAGGCCTCTCCGAGGGCGCTTTCAGACGCACAGCACACAAGAAGGGCCCAAATGCGTCTGCGGCAAGTCAAAGCGACGCTCCTTTGAGGCGGCGAGTCAGGGCCGGCGCCGCGCGTCGTCGGCGAGCCGCATGCAGGCGGCGAGAGCAACACCTGACGGCGCGCCTGTCTGGCGGCGACGAGCACAAGCGGCCTGCTGTAGCACCGACTCGGCCATCGGACAGCAGCAATAAGCATCGTCTATTCCCTCGCGGCGGCCCTGATCTAGAAGGCCAGCACCTCGCGCACCTCCTCGTCGTCGAGCAGCACGCTGATGTTGGCCGCCCGGTCCGTCAGCGGCCTGACGGGCGGGTCGGCGTTCATGTGCTTGAACGTCAGCGTCGCCTGCGGCATGCGGCCGACGGCGCCGACGGGGGCGTAGAAGGGCCACTTGGGCACTGCAGGGGCGTGTCAGCGAGAAGAGAGGAGGGAGCGAGCGCGGGTAGACTCACCGCCGGCTCCATTCGGGTTGCCGCGCGAAACGAAATGCACCCAGGCATCGGCCATCTGGTTCGCCACGGCCTCCCAGCGCGTGCCGGGCAGACGATACTCTGCGGAGGCACTGGTAAGCATGTTGGGCGCTCTCAGGAGGTGGCGACTTGCGCACCAGCTGGCGGCTTGAAGAAGAGGTAGGTCGCGCGAGGACTGCATCAAGAGAGTGTCAGAGGCAGGCACCAAGAGCCTGTGATGCTGCGCTCACGTGAAGACTGCAAGAAGGAGCGAGGGTCAGCACAAGCAACGCACGGTGTCTCCTAGGCCACTCACGGTAGTCCAGGTCGGCCGCATGCGGCACGCCAACAGCCGGGTCATCGCCCGGGCCGGCCTCGGCCAGGATCCAGCTCCAGATCGGGAACGTCTTAGTCTTGCGGTGATGCTTGGCGTGCGAGTTGAGCAGGTGGCGCGTCGGCGCGACGAAGATCATGTCGCCGACTGCAGAGGTGTCAGCTGCACAGCCACGAACCGACACGCCTCGCAACTCACGCATCGACGCCGCTCGATGGTACTGATTCTCCTCGCCGTACAGCCGCTCGGCGTTCTCGCGCCCGTACGGGCTGCCCACGCGGTGATCGTCCGGGTATGCAGCGAGCACCTTGTGCATGACGTGGTCTTTCTCGTCCAGCGCCACGCCCTCCGCTGCAAGCACGGAGCGGCGCATCCACGGCAGCAGCACCGTCTCGTTGTGCAGGTCCGTTGGCGTGAAGAGCGTGCCTTCGTCCAGGATGTTTCCCACGAGCAGAGGCACGTCGGCGTACTTGCCCTGCTTGACGAGCTCGTACGGCGACTCGCTGATGAAGTCGCCGTCGATGACGGGTGTCCATGGGAAGAAGAACGGCGCCTGCCAGCTCTTCTCCTGCTTGAGGCCCAGCAGGTACATGATGGAACGCGTGTTGGCAGCCTGCACCGCCTGTGTCGGCAGGCCACGCAGGCAGGCCAGCTGCTCGCTCGCGCCGACCTTGTGTGCACAGGGCGTCGAGGCCAGGAACATGTTGTAGCGATCGCGATGGCGGAAGTTGCTCGGCAGCACGGTGCCGACGCTTCCACCGCCAGACTGCAGAATAGCGCCGTGGAAGAGCTTCTCGCCCGTGCGGTCGGACGCGAACATCTGGTATGTCGATGACATGCCGCCCGCCGACTCGCCGCTGATGGTCACGCGCTTCGGGTCACCGCCAAAGCGGGCAATGTTCTGCAGAACGTCGCTTAGCGAAAGCGCCTGCGGGCGTCAGCGGCCTTCACTCACCCGCTGCACCCATCGCAGCGCGGTGCGCTGGTCGTGCAGGCCGACGTTGAGGTCGGCGTTGCCCTTGCGCGCCTCCTCCTCGAGCGCAGGGCCGGCCATGAAGCCGAAGCTGGCGACACGGTAGTTGAGCTGCACGAGAATCATGGGCTCATCGCGCACGATGGAGCGCGACACGAGGTGCTTGGGGTCGTGCGGGACTGGCGAGCCGGTGTGAGGCCTGATACAGCAGCACACCACGCTCAGCGCACTCACAGTCTGCTCCCATCAGCCAGGCGCCGCCGTAGATGTAGACCAGCACGGGCAGCGGGCCGTACATGACCTTGGGCCGCGTCACGCTGACGCTGAGGCAGTCCTCGGACACGGCCTCCTGCACGCGGCCCTCGGGCAGCGGCGGCGTGTAGCCGCCCATGAACGCTGGCGGCACGAACTCTGCATGTTTTGATCAGCAAGGGGGGAGCATGAAGCATAATGCGCTCCTGCCTGGCCTCTCGCACCACTCACGCGGGCAGCTGGGGCTGTAGAACGACGCATCAAACACACCGCTGGCGTCGGTGCGGTTGAGCTGGATGCTCTCCTTCTCAAACACGTGGCCCAGGTGCTCCCAGATGGGACGCGGGCGGCGATACCTGTCGCTGCCGGCGGTGGTGAGGGCGTAGCGGATGCCGCGGAAGTACTCGAGCTGCCCGTCGGCGAAGCCGCGCACGGTGCCCTGCGCCAGGCGCACCTGCGGCTCCGAGGCCAGCGGCGTGGTGAGGAGCGCGAGGGCGATGGCCAGCGCGAGGCATAGCTGAATCAGGCCCGTCGTCAGCAGCTCCTGGAGGAACGACATGGCGGCCGAGGAGCAGGGCGGCGCGCGAGATGTGGTGGTGAGAAGGTCTTGCTCTCCTGCGCTCGGGCCGCCGGCACAAGACAGCTTCCCCGCTGTCACGCTCGGCTCCCACGCCGTCGCGCTAGAAGCACAGCACGATGGGCGTGTGCGCGACTGCCTCGTGACGGCCGAGCACGGTGTGCGAGCGCGAGTGGAGGGGCAGCACCGCACCTCATCAGCGCACGGCGCCTCATCTCGTTCTTCCGCACCACATCCTCCCCTTGTCCTTCGCCATGGCCACGCTCGACCGCCACGCGCATGCCCGCGCGCTGCTCGGCACCACCCGCTTCGAGCGCGTCGCGAGCGCCCGCGTGCTCGTCGTCGGCGCCGGCGGCATCGGCTGCGAGCTGCTCAAGAATCTCGTCCTCGTCGGCTTGAAGGACATCGAGGTGGTCCGTGCTGCGGCCCGCTCCGCTGCTGCATCTCAGACTGACTCTCTTGCAGATCGACCTCGACACCATCGACCTGAGCAACCTCAACCGCCAGTTCCTCTTCAACAAGTCGCACATCAAAAAGTCAAAGGCGCTCATCGCCTCGGCCACTGCACAGTCCTTCTGCCCCTCGGCACGCATCACGCCGCACCACGCCGACATCATGCGTGGCGGGCCTTCCGGCGCAGACGAGGGCGCTCGCTTCGGCGTTGCGTACTTTGAGCAGTTCGACGTGGTGCTCAATGCGCTCGACAACCTCGAGGCGCGCCGCCACGTCAACCGCATGTGCGTCGCGGCCCGCGTGCCGCTGGTGGAGAGCGGCACGGCGGGCTTCCTGGGACAGGTGCAGCCCATCATGAAGGTGAGTGGATCAGCGGGCATCCATCCCTGCAAGATCAGGCGGCTGACGTCCCTCGCGCTGGCAGGGCGTCACCGAGTGCTACGACTGCGTGGCCAAGGAGACGCCAAAGAGCTTCCCGGTCTGCACCATTCGCTCGACGCCCAGCACGCCGATCCACTGCATTGTCTGGGCCAAGAGCTGGCTCTTCACGTGAGCCGCCCGGCCGCGTTGGCGCACGAGCCCCACGCTGACGCCTGGCAGGCAACTGTTCGGCGCTGACGACGAGACGGAGGACGCGGAGCTGGACAAGGCGCTGCAGGATGGCGAGAATGGTGAGCATCACATCTCCTCACAGCTTTTATTCATGCTGAGCCCAGCACCAGCCACGGAGATCAGCAACCTTCGCGCCGAGGCGCAAGAGATGCGGAACCTGCGTGTCTCCCTCACCGAGGCCGGCCGCACATCGCGCGAGAATGCCGCACAGGTGTTCGCGAAGATCTTCTCGTCGGACGTCAAGCGGCTGCTGGGCATGGAGGAGATGTGGAAGAACCGCCGCAAGCCGGTGCCGCTCGACTTTGAGGAGGCCATGAGTGCCGAGCAGGCCGGCCAAGGCTCTGGTCTGCGCGACCAGCGCGCATTGAGCCTGAGGGAGACGGTCGAGCTGTTCGAGCAGAGGTGAGTCCAGAGGACATAGCGCCACCAAGCCTCATTCACTGATCTGTGTGGCGCCCAGCCTTGCGTCGCTCTCTGCCCGCGCGGCCAAGAGCCCTGAGGACCCGCTCTCGTTCGACAAGGACGACGACGACGCGCTGAACTTTGTCACTGCCGTCGCCAACCTGCGTGCGCGCGTGTACGGCATCGACACGCGTACGCGCTTCCAGGTCAAGCAGATGGCCGGCAACATCATCCCTGCCATTGCCTCGACGAACGCCATTATTGCCGGCGCGCTCGTGCTGCAGGCGCTGCATGCGCTCGAGGGAGACTGGAAGCAGGCGCGTCTCGTCAACAAGACGGCCATGCCGCGCTTCCTCGTCGGCTCGCAGACGTGTGCGCCGAACCCGGCATGCGGCGTCTGCGCCGACGTCTACGTTGCGCTGCAGGCGGACGCGACGCGCTTGACGCTCGGCCAGCTGCTGCAGGACGTAGCTCGCGCGTCGAGAGAAGACGGAGGGCTGGGCATGGAGACGGAGGATGTCGAGGTGTACGAAGGCAGTCGTCTGCTTGCCGACTCGGACTTTGACGACAACCACGAGAAGACGCTGGCGGAGCTCAACATTGGCATCGGCAACTTCGTGGCGCTGGTGGATGAGGGCGGCGAAAAGTCGACGATTCAGTTCGTAATTGAGCGCCTCTCGCCCGCTTCAAGCAGCGCGGGCGACGAGAAGGCATGGGCACTGCCGCCCGTCGAGAAACTGCCGGCGCTGTCGGACAAGGTGGAGATTCCGGCCCCGGCGCCCGACTCGGACGACGACGATGACGAGGTGGCCGTCGTGGACGCGCCGAGCGCACCCAAGACTGCTGGCGCATCCGAGAAGGCGTCGCGCAAGCGCTCGGCCGCAGACGACGCCGACGCGCCAGACTCGACGGCAGACGCAGCAGCGGGCGAGAGCGACGTCAAACGTGCGCGGATACAGCAGACGGGCGCAGATGCCAGCTCTGCCATCGAGCTGTAGCAGACGGGCTCCTTTCGTGTCACACGTCTGCCTTTCACACGCGCGCTTCACGGTGAGCGGAGCAAAATTATGTGTTGAGAGCCTCCATGCGAGCGTGCGATCAGGGAAACGGGACATAAGCGTGACACAGGGGAAGGACTTAGTCGCTCTCGTCGATGATGAGCGTCTTGACGGAGAACGTGGAGCGGTCCGCCGAGTGCTGTGTGGCGAAAAGAGGTAAGCAAGGCGAAGCCGGAGCGACTTTCTGCCCCGGGCAGTACACACCTCGACGGCCTCCTTTGCCTGCTCGAGCGGGAATGTCCGCGTGACGATGCGCTTGATGTCCAGCACGCCGCCGGCGACGAGGCGGATGGCACGCGGCCACGTGTCGCGGTAGCGGAAGAGGAACTTGAGCGACACCTCGCGCGTCGAGAACTCCATGAAGCTGTCGAGGAGGCGAGTGTGTGAGCCACGCTGGCCCGCCTGCCTGCACGCAACTGGCTGCGGCGCTGCGCTCGCTGTGCTCCACACTCACGGAATGTTGATGTGCGACTTGCCGACGCCGATGACGAAGACGAGACCGGCGCTTGCCGTCGCGTAGCCAGCCACCGCGATGGAGGACTCGACGCCCGTGCACTCCATCGTGACGGCGGGCATGACCTCGACGCCCATGTCCGCCACGCTCGTGAAGAGCTCGACGATCTCACGCGCCGTCTCCTGTGCCTCCTTCTTCGTGTCGACGGTGTAGGTGTGCACCGAGGGGACGAGGCCCTTTGCAAAGGCCAGGCGCTCCTGCGAGAGGTCGGTGATGACGATGGGCGAGCAGCCGGAGGCCTGGGCGCAGAGCAGCTGCACGACGCCGATGGGGCCGGCACCGGTGATGAGCACGGGCATGCCGAGGCGCAGCTCGGCGCGCAGCGTGCCGTGCAGGCAGACGGAGAGCGGCTCGAGCAGCGCAATTTCGGCGTACGACATCGAGTCGGGCACCTTGTGCAGCCAGCCGGCGGGGTGGACGTGGTAGCGCGTCAGCGTGCCGTCCATGGGCGGCACTGAGTAGCTGCAGCGCGCGTTGTGGATCAGCAACGATGGCAGACACGCATGTTGCACGCAAGGCCACTCACAAGTCGACAGTGGGGCAGAGGTTGTACTGGCCCGTGAGGCAGAAGTTGCACGTCGCCTTGCCGCACGGCACTCCCGGCTCGATGGCGACGCGGTCGCCCACCTTGACGTTGGTGACGCCCTCGCCGACGGCAATGACCTCGCCGCCGGACTCGTGGCCGAGAGCCTGAAGAGAAGCGCGCGCGTCAGCTTGGAGTGCGACGGCAACTCAACAGCGCGCAGATGGGCGCCACGCACAGTCTTGTCGCAGATCTTCCACGGGCCGAGACCGGCGTGCTGCCAGAAGTGCACATCTGAGGCACACGAGTCAGTTGCTGACGAGCCTGAGGAGGCGCTGCCTTGCGCGCGCGCAGAGGAGGCCCTTCTCTGCGTGCGCGCCCGACGTGCGCGCGGCGCGTGGCACACAGACGACGAGCGCGCGCATTGATGCCGGCTCCTCGCTGCTGCCTTTGCGCCCAGTCCAGTCACTCACCAGAGCCGCAGACACTGCGGCGAGGGAAGCAAGGCTCGCGGTCAGCGCGCGCGCTCCAGTGTCTCTTGCAGTGTCGTGCGACTCACCCCGTGGCGCGCACGTGGACGAGCGCCTGGCCCTTGCCGGGCTTGGGTGCGGGGCTGCGCACGAGCTCGAGCTTCTTCTCGTGCGTGGCCTGTTGCGGTGAAGAGGAGCGCGCGCGCGCGTCAGTGGCAGCACACGAAGGAGGGAGCAAGGGAGGCGGCGCACCATGAGCGTCAGGTTCTCGCGCAGGGCGCGCGGCGGCGCAGCGGCATCGGCGACGGGAGCCATGGTGCGAGTGAGGAGGGTGGGTGAGGGGGTGAGCGAGAGGTGTGGAAGTGGAGAGGGTGGGCGAGCTGGCCGCTGTGGCCGCCGTGCGCCTGCTTTAGTAGCTCGCGCGCATGGCCGCGGCGTGGCCCAGCGGGAAGATGAGCGGGCGGGGACGCCTCGGAGATCTGTCCAGGCGCAGAGCAGGGGGCGCGAGGGGCGGGGCAGCCGCAGCGCGCGCGCGGGGAAAAGAGCGCACGCCTCGGCGCGCGGTGCCAGCGCGCCGGACCGGCTGCGGGCGCAGATGCACACCGCACGCCGGCGCAGTCGCAGTGGCGGCCGGCAGCGGCACCGACGGGAGACAGCAGCCAAGACACAGACAGCTGGCATGCAAGCGGCAGATCTGCCGGTTTTTCTTCGCGGAGAAGAAAGAGGGGCTTGCGGCGGCACGGGTCCACCGGCACGCTCGGCAATCACGAGAGATCTCCGTGCCGCGAAAGTGGCCTTGGCGCACAGACCACGCTCGGCTCTCCCGGCCGAGAGTCGCCGAGGGATCCTTGTGCCCCGAGTCCCGGCTCGTGGAGCTCCACGACGAGGATGCCCTTGCCTCCCGACCATCTCCACCGCTGCAACACTCATCAACCCGCTGGTCTGCTGACGGCCACGCGTCTCTCATCCGCAGCGATGGCGCCCTCCGAGGCGGTGCGTGCCGCGCGACGCCCGTCGCGCTGGCGACGGCTGCCCGTGCTGCTCAGCGTGCTGCTCGCCGTCTTCCTGGCGCTGCACCTGGTGCGCTCCTTCGTGCAGCTGCCACGGCGCCTCTGCCTCGCGCAGCGCTGCCGCATGTCGCGCATGTGGCCCAGCTACGTGCGTGTGCCGCTCTCCAGTGCCTCGCCGTCCGGACTCGACCGCAAGTACACGCTGCGCCTCTACCGCGAGCGCGCGCCGGGCACGCCCGGCCGGCCAGCGCACGGAGCGCCGGCGCTCTTCGTGCCTGGCAACGCGGGGAGCTTTGGGCAGGTACGCAGTGTCGCGAGTATGGCCGATGAGTTGGCGCACCCGGACAGCGGACAGGCAATGAGAGAGGTGGATTGGTACACTAGTGAGTCTGCGCCCAGCCTTGCGCGAGCACAGAGTGCAAGGGAGATGAATGTGCGATGCTGAGGCTGTGAGAGCGCCAGTCGACTTCAACGAAGACTTCTCCGCCTTTCACGGTGCCACGCTGCTCGAGCAAGCGACGTACATCAACGAGGCGCTGCTGCATCTGCGCAGCCTCTCGCACGGGCAGCTCATCCCGCTGCTGGCGCACAGCATGGGCGGCATCGCCGCGCGCTTGGCGCTCCTGCAGCCGAACCACCCGCACGGCAGCGTCGACACACTCATCACGCTCTCCAGTCCGCACGCCTATCCTCCTGCCCCGTTTGACGACTCGATCGAATCGCTCTACAGTGCACTCTCCTCGGCCGCGCGCGCAGAGCTAGTAGCATCGAACAGCGCGTCACAAGTGCTACTCATCAGTCTCACCGGCGGTCTGCTCGACACGCAGCTTCCCGCCGAGCCCGCCTCACTCGACCTGGCGCGTCTCTGGCCCGCACACGCAAGGCTGACGGGCTTCACGAGCGCCATGCCCGCGCTGTGGTCGGGCGTCGACCACCTGGCCATGATGTGGTGCGACCAGCTGCGCACGCGTATTGCACGCGCAGTGGCGCTGGATGCGAGTGTCTCGAGGGCTGGAGAGGAGGGATTGAGACGGCGACGCGCTCATTGGGCCGAGATGCTTGGCCTGCCGCTCCCGTCGCCGGACAGCGCATCGATGCTTGGACCTGAGCGCGACGTCGCCCTGGACGGTTTGCACAACGCCACGGGCGTTCAGGTCTATGCAGTCCCTCTGGGTTCAAAGCACAGCTTCGACCTCATCACGTCCCACATCGTCGCCGGCCAAAGCGCCGGCCTGCTCGTCGAAGTGTGCCAAAGTTCTCCAGACGGCCACGTCCGATGCCGCAGCGTCCTGCCCTCCGCCTTCGGAATGCTTCCGCCTTCGCCGCGTCTCTCGCATACCACCGTCTCGCCGAGCTGCGCCGGCAGCGCCTTCCCCATCGCCGAGGAACGCTACGATGCGCCGGGCGCAAGTCTTCATCGGCTCTCGCTGCCTGCACGCCTGCTGTCGGGCGACGGAGAGCGCTGGGTTCGAGTCAGCGAGCGCTCCTCGGACGGCGCTAGCTCGGGCCGGTGGCACAGCGGCGGCTGGACAAGAGACGCATCGCTGATCACTGGATCACCATGGCGGCCCGGCGGTCTCATGCTGCCACTCGAGGCAATCTTCTCGAGCCCACTCATCAAAGTCGTAGCGCCAAGCCTGGACTCCTCGCTTCTCGCATACACGCTCCATCTCGAGCCCGACCCGACCTGCGACGCCAGCGCTCTCATGATTGCGCCGCTGCTGCGCGTCTCGCACCGGACGACGGGCGATGCTGCTTTGTTCCCTCATCTCTCGCCGACGACTTCGATAGTGCTGCCCCTGGCGCTACACGGCACATCGCCTTACATGCCCGCATCTCCCACAGAGGGCAGAGGCATGCTCTTTGAGCTCTGGGCGCCGACTGCAGCTGATGGCCCGGCCAAGTGTGCACGTCCATTCTCGGGCATCAGAGTCACTGTGGATTGGCAAGCCAGCGCAGGTCTACTGCTTATGCGCTACCGCATCGCGCTGGGCATCTTGCCGCTCGCGGTGGTTCTCGCGACTGCAGCGGCTTCGTGGCAGACGTGGAACGACGAAGGTGAGTGCTTTCACTGCACGGCTTTGCACGCAGCAGCTCATCCTCTGCTCCCATCCAGGTGTGTTCCCTTCCATCGTCACTCAGCTCCTCTCGACTCGCAGCAGCGGACTTCGCTCCCTCATCGCCGCCTCGCTCGCCCTCTCTGCGCTGCAAGCCGCCTTGCTCGCTCTGCAAGGCAGCGACGTCCCTTCCTCCTGGCTGCGCGACCTTTCTCTCGGCCTCAGCGGCGTGCCCTTGGCCTTCAGTCTCATCCTCGGTCCTCTCTTCCTCCTCATCGCGCACGCTCTCGTTCTTTGCGTCGCTCTCTCACTCCGCGCCGTCGTCACAAGCACGGTGCTCGCGCTCCGCGCTGCTGGCTTGACTCGCTTCGCACAGTGGAGCGGGCCAGCGCCGAGCCGCCTTCAGACAAAGAAAGGCACATGGGCGAGCATTGCGGCCCTACTGCTCGCGGTGCTCGGCTTCCTGCCTTATCAGTTCGTCTATCTGGTTGCATTCGCCATGCAGCTGCTCGCCGTTGTGCGCTCGAACGCGTCGCTAGTGGATGACCAGCCCGACTACCGCGCTCTGCCGGACGACGCAGGCCGAGGCAAGGCCTCGTCGCCAGAGGACTCGGACGATGCTAGCGACCTTCGCAAGCCTCTCGCCTCCGACGACTCGTTCGCAGCCTCGCGCGAGGCGCAGCACTTGCTGCTGCTCAACATCATGGCCTGGCTGCTGCCGCTCAAGGCGCCTGTGCTCGTCGTGTGGGTGCGCAACCTGCTCGTCGGCTGGCGCGCACCTCTCGGCGGCGCGGACCACAACCCACTGCGTGTGGCTGCCGTGCTGCTGTTGGTGCAAGTCGTCTCGAGTGGACGCGTGCTGGAGCGCGCACAGAGCCGGTACGTGTTGCGTTGGCGCGCCGTCTACGTGCCGAGCTGATCCATCGGCTCCGCAGCCTCGAGGGCCGCATCACGCAGGCGATGTTCGCTGCCTGCGCCTGCTACACACTGGCGTGGGGGCCGCGACACGCCTACCGCATCTACACGCTCGCAAACGTGCTCTTCGCCGGGCTGCTGCTGGTGCATTTCCGCGCTCGGCGTGCCGGCGTCTCGTCGCCTCTGCCGCGCGCCTACCCGCTGCATCTCGCCGACCGCAGCGTGCGGACAACAGACGAGCGCTAGGCGAGACCTCCATCCTGTATAATTACACACTCATGCTGCCCCTGACACCCCTTCGCCACGTCACTTCTCGCTCTTGGCGCGCTTGCCTTTGCTGCCGCTCGCAGAGGCTGCCGGAGCCTTGCGCTTTGGGCGAGCAGGCTGCTTGTCGGCCGTGGCGCTCTCTCCGCCTGCTGCTTCGTGCAGGTGCTCCTCTTCCTCTTTCTTCGTCGAGGCTGGCTCTTCCTTCTCGGCCTTCGCTTTGGCCCACGCCGGTCTGGGCCGGGCGTCAGCCTCGTGCGCTAGGGGGGGCAGTGCGGCGCCTGCGTGGCTCACACTTTGCTCGCTGCGCTCTTGGGAGCCGTGGAAGGCTTCGGATCGGGAATGCCGTGCGCCTTGCGCAGCCTCGCCTCCGCCTTGCCCGCCAGCACCTCCTTGTCCGCTCCGTGCAGCTTGGCCTGGCGAGCCAGCATGTGTCAGTGTGCGCCGCCGCATTGCAGCTCGCGGAGCCACTCACAGTGAAGGCGGCCTTGCAGCGAGCAATGCAGTTGCTCTTCTCCTCCTTCTCGTCCAGGATCGGCGCAGGGTAGTCCTGCCCGATGATGCAGCCTGCCTTCTTCTGCGCCTCCATCGGCGCCAGATGCGGCGAGTAGATGTACTTGTCGTCAAACTTGGCCAGCTCGGGGCAGTCTGGCATCGCGCGTCAGCAACGTCTGCGATTCGGGCGATGAGGCCGCCGCACGCGCGCGCGAGAGACTCACATTGACGGATGAGAGCGCCGGTCTTGTCGTACTTCTGCCCGAATGTGGCGAGGCCGTAGACGCGCATGTACTGGTGGAAGAAGGCACTGCAGGAGAGCCACATCCAGTTGCCCGCGTTGGCTGTGGGGGCAGCGATCAGCTCGTGTGGCGGGCACGCGGCGCGGGCCGAGGCTCACCGGACGGGTCCCAGTCGAGCAGCAGCTGGACGCCAGGGTCAGACACTGCACGCGTTCGCCCACCGCAGAGGGGGACTCACCTCCTCGAAGAACTCGGCACCTCGCTCCCAGCTGATCCAGCACTGTCCGCGCGTCAAGAAGCCTGCGATGCCAGCGCGCGTCAGCGATGCAGCTCCGGGGGCTCGTCACCGGGGCACTCCACGCACAAGCCAGCGAATGCCTGCCCAAATGGTGAATCCAGCCGGTGGATCGCAGCTGTCTCGACAGCGCGTCGATCCAGGGGAAGCCAGTGCGGCCCTGAGCAATGCTGGTGAGTGTCGTGCCGCTGAACAAGGCGGAGCCGCAGCGCACGCACCTGCACGAAGGCCTCGTAGCGCTCCTCGCTGACCTCGTCTCCGCGCGGCCGTGGCAGAATCACCTGCCCGTCCTTGTCGTAGGCTGTCGGTAGGTACCAATCCATCTGAGGCAGCCACACCTGTGAGCTTCTGGGCACGCTCTCTCAAGCCCAGGCGGGGCAACTAACGTATCGCGAGATCTCGTTGCCGCGCACGTGCTGGTATGCATCGCCCGTCGCGCTCTCGACGACGGAGTACATGAGGTTGAACAGCTGCTGGCCCTTGAAGTTCTCCGGGATCGGCGTGTGCTTGCCCTTGTACTTCCGTGCCGCATCGTGGGCGTCCCACCAGACTCTGCGACAGCTGATGGCGCCGAACTTGAGGTAAGGGCTCAGGAGCGCCGTGCTGGCCTCCGACGTGTCGAGTGCGGGAGACGACTTGGGCTTGCTGAACGTCGCAAAGTACGCCGGATCCTTGCAGCGGAAGGCCAGACGCTTCAGGGCCGCCTTCTCGCCGCCGGGCACGACGGCCGTCTTTGTGGCGCCGGAGGCCTCGGGATCCATGCCCATCGACTCGAGCGTAGGCACGCCGAACAGATTCTCCACATCCTCGTCTGGCCCGACGAGGCTATCGTACACCGTGACCTTCTCGCCCTTGACGCGCTGCCCGCCCTGCTTGGGGCCGTTGAGGTCGACGTCCGGCGGACCCTTGGCACTGTAGTGCGGCATGCCGTCCAGCGTGTCGCGCAGCGCAGTGAGAAGCGCCTTGCGATCCTTTGCTGCGCCCTTGGCTCCGGGCACGATGGCATCTGGGAGTGCCCCGGGCGCGTCGAGCGGGCGTGCTGGCTCGCCAAGCGGCGCAATCGCCTTGGCGTAGCGTCAGTGTGCGTCTAGTGGCGTGCTCGAGGACAGCTCACTTTTTGCAGCGACTGCATCGTCATCGGCGCCTTGCCGCCCGCGCGCTTGAGCACCTCGGAGACGGGGTACAGCTGGTGGCCATCCACGTCCACCAGCTCGACGCCTGCGTCCTTGGCAATCTCTCGCACAGCTGCATCTCGCGTGCGCGCATAGCCATTGTCGTCCTTCTCAAAGACGAGGTGCGTGATCTGCCAGCGCCGCAGCAGCTCCGGCAGCAGCTCCGCCGGGTTGCCGCGCACGACGAGGAGCTGGGAGCGCGCGTTGAGGGCGGTGATGGAGGCCGAGACGCAGGCCAGGGACTCGAGCAGGAAGCGCAGCCGGTTCACGCCCACGCGATGGCCGTAGATGTAGGACGGGTCCCAGCACCACAGGGGAAAGAAGGCGGCGGGCTTGAGCTCGAGGGCCTTGAGCAGCGCGGGCGAGTCGTGCTGGCGAGGGGGGCGAGGTCAGCGTGCGAGCACTGCGGCGCCGCCCCTCTGCCGTCTGCTCACCAGGCGCAGATCGGTGCGGAACCAGTAGAGCACGCGGGCGCTGGACGGCGCCATGCTTGCTGGATGCCGGGCGGCTGTGCTTGCTGGTGGTGGGTGGGAAGCAGGCGGCCCCTGGAGCGGACTCGGCATGTGCATGGCCGTGCTCAGGTCATCGGGCGCCGTGCTGCTCCACCTGCCGATGCCTCCGCTTACGCGCGCCAGATGCGGCACGTCCGCCGCGCGCGTCCGCCGCTGTGCTGAGGATCGCTGCACCCTGCATCGCACATCGAACGCAAGGCGTGCCGTCTTCCTTTCTCTGCGCGCGCGAGCTGGGCTCCTCCACACAGCTTGCCAAAGAGCACGACGACCATCTCGTTGGCAAGCTTGGCATCGCATCGCCGCCGCGGGTGCGGCGCGCTTCAGTTTGGGCCACAGAGCGCTTGCACCGGCCCCATGAGCAAAAGTCCGCGTGCCGGGCGCTGCTCGTGCGCCACCCGGCCGTCCGTCGCGCAGCCCGTCCTCCGTGCAAGGCCACTGGACGTCGTCTGGATACGTCGAGACTCTGCGCCCTACTGCTCGTCCGTGTCTGCTCCTGTTGCCCTGCGGTAGGGGGCGTAGGCAGTCGAGGGCGGGCAGGAGGGGCAAGGCACGAGGCTCCGCGGGCTCCGCGGTCGCCGCACGGCGCGCGCTGTCGTGCGGGAAGAACGCCGGTGCCGCTCTCGAGCGCCTCATCTCCTTCCCACCACATCACCCCCTCTCCTCGTCCGCGCAGCACCTCGTCTTCCCAGCAGCGTCTGCTGCTGATTCGCACACGCAGCAGAAACGCAGGTCCACATCCCGGGTGCGCAGCCGAGCCAGCCATGGCGGCGCCCGCGCCCGAGCCGACGCTGCTCGAGGCGGCGGAGCAGGAGGCGCCTGTGAGTCGCGAGGCGCGAGGAGCTGCGCAGCAAGGCGTCGAGTAGCGCGTACGGTCGCCGGCAGCAGTGAGCTGCTGCCGGACTGCTGCTCGCTGCGATGGTTCAGTGTGGCGCTTTCGCCGCGTGCTGCTGCCTGCTCAGGACTGACGCGGTCTTCCCTCGTAGTACCTCACACTGCGCCAGCTTGCGCTGGGCGTCACGCTGCGCCTCTCGGCGGCGCTGAGCGCCGAGCAGAGCGAAGATGCCACGCGCACGGCGCTGGGTGCACTGGCCGTCTCGGCGCGCAAGGACTTGCTGGCCGCCAGAACAAAGGGCGGTGAGTTGGACGAGACACGCGCCGAGCGGATGGCGGGCATGGGCGTGCTGCAGAGCGGCAAGGATGTGGCTGCTGCGCGCCCTGTCGCACCCGCTGCGTCAAGACTGGCCCGGGCCGGCGTCGCTCTAGAGCTGCCATCAGCTGCGTTGATCTCCCCCTGTCATCTGCACTGACTCCTCTTTGCTTGCGCAGGCTTCGCCGTACATCGTCTCTCCTCGCTTCGGACTACCTTTCAGACCTCTACGCGCAACACCTCGCCAGATGTTTCAGCCTCGGCACTGCGCACCGTCGCGACGCCCGCGGAAGTCGCCTTCCTGCGCATTGCCGACAGTGATGCGGCGCTCGTCGTGGGCCTGGAGAATGGGACTGTGCTGGTCTGGGGTACGGAGGCGCTCGAGGGAGAGGTGAGTTGGGCTGCAGCGGCGCCTGGGCGGAGCACCCCCGCATCAGAGAAGGTAGCTGACCTCTGTGTTATTATGGCTAGCCGCGCTTCACGATCGCCCCTCCCTCACCCGCAGGTCTTCTCGACATTGTTGCGCAGCCCGGCGAGCAAGCGTCTCTCTGCGCGTGCGCCTACGCGTCAGACGGCGCAGCAGGGCGCGTGGCTCTACTCGACGTGCGCAGCGGGGCATGGCAGAGCGAGCTCTCTGCGCCGGCTGCGGCAGCCAGCGTCTGCTGGAGTGTGCGCGGCAAGCAGCTTGCGCTCGGCTTGGCAGACGGCTCCATTGCGCAGATGGACCCCACTGACGCGCTCAAGGACACCGTGGCGCGCCCGCCTGACCTGCCCGAGGGGCACGCGCTGATCGCACTGCGCTGGCTCGAGAACCACGTCTTTCTGGCGACGTACAATGCGCCGCCGTCGGCAGACGAGCCGGCGCCGCACGACGAGTCGACGTACGCCATTGCGCGCGCCGGCGGGGCGTTGACATACACGCGCTTCGGCGAGCCGGCTCCTGCGTTCGGCGATGCGGCACGCCGGACGCAGCGCTACATGACTGCTGTGCGTGGCTGGGCACCTACGAAGCATCTGGTCTTCGTCGCCGCGAGCGCAAGCACGGACATTGGCGCCCTGGCGCTCGCAGAGTCTGGCTGGCAGAACCTCGAGCTGGAGGAGACGAGTCGGCCAGTGCTGCCCTTTGCAGCGCACGACCGTGCCTCGGACACGGCGCCTGTCGCGCTTGAGCTCGACACTGGCGCCACAGAGGAGATCGACGACCCGTTGGCTGCGGCGCGCGGCGACGACAAGAAGCTCCCGGCGGCGCCGATTCTGCTCTGCTATACCAACGACGGCGTGCTGATGGCCTACCACATCATCAACACCGAGGAGCCAGCATGCCCTGCGATGCTGAGTGCGACCGAGACATCCGCCCAGCAGGCAGCTACGCCCGCCGCCGCTCCCGCCACGCCAGCAGCGGCGGCAGCTCCTTCGGCGCTCGCCTTTGGCGCCTCCTCGTCTGCAGCGCCGGCGTTTGGCACGCCCTCGGCCTTTGCCTCGCCTGCTGCGCCTGCCTTCGGTGCGCCGAGCTTCGGCACGCCCAGCACGCCCGGCGCACCTCCCGCGTTCGGTGCCTCCAGCTTCGGCAAGCCCAGCACTCCGGGCGCAGCGCCCGCGTTCGGCGCATCGAGCTTTGGCGCGCCCAAGACGCCTGCCACGCCCTTCGGCGCGTCGAGCTCTGGCAGCGGCAGTGGAGGCGGGTTCGGCGCCTTTGCGAGCAAGCCTGTCGGCTTCGGAGCGGCGGCCGGCAGCAGCACGGGCTTCAGCTTTGGCGCGCCCAAGGACGCAAAGAAGCCTGACTCCGTGTTCGCTTCGCCCTCGCCCGCGCCGAGCTCCACGGCGCCGACATCCGCCTTTGGTGCGCCCAGCACGCCCGCCTTTGGTCCTCCTTCGCCGGCACCCAGCTCTACTGCGCCCTCATCTGCGTTCGGTGCGCCGAGCGCGTTTGGCAAGTCTCCCTTCGGCACGCCCTCTGCGCCTGCCACATCGTCGCCGTCGAGTGCATTCGGCAGCACGACTGCCTCCACTCCGCCTGCCTTTGGCGCCACGTCCAGTGCCAGTGCCGTGTCGGCCTTCAGTGCGCCCACCGGCTTTGGCAGCAGCACCTCCAGCACGCCAGCCTTTGGCTCTACGTCTGCGCTCACTGCTGCGCCCGCCTTTGGCTCCAGTTCGGCCTTTGGCACCGGCCCTCGCTCGTCTGCCACGCCGCCGTTCAGCACAGCGGGCGCGTTCAGTGCCTTCAGCGCACCCAGCAGCACTGGCTCGCCGAGCGCGTTCAGCGCCTTTGCCACCGCCAAGCCGGCGTTCGGCGCCTCGAGCGATGCGCCTGGTGGGTCCGTCTTCGGCAGCGGCGGCAAGCTTGCCGGCGCAGCTGCGCCGCCGGACGCCCCGCCATCGGGCTTCCAGACTAGCGGCTTCCGCACTGGGTCCTCAGTCACGCCAGCGCCGGCTGCGTCCGCCTCGTCCGCTCAGCCGTCGCCCAGCACGCCTGCTGCGTCGGGCTCGGGCTCGTTTGGCTTCGGCAGCATGTCTGCGATGCTCGGCGAGGAGTCCGACTCCAAGCAGACTACGCCGGCGGCCGCGGAGCAGCCGGTGCCGGAGACGAGCACGCCGGAGAAGCAGTCTTCGACGGGCGAGAACGCTACGCCTGCGCCAAAGGCGAGCGAACCGCCGGCCGCGCCGTCGCCCAAGCCTTTTTCTTTCGCGCCGTCCAGCACGCCTTCGTCAGCCGGCCAGGCGCCGGCGAAGCCCTTCTCGTTTGCGCCGTCGGCTTCCGCCGACAGTCCAGCCACGTCAGCTGCGTCCTCAGCGCCTGCGGCCAAGCCTTTCTCGTTTGCATCGCCCGCGGCGTCTGCTGCGAAGCCGGCCGCGCCTTCAGCCTTTGCTTCGACCTCTGCGTTTGGCGGCTCGTCTGCCTTTGGTGGCACGTCGGCCTTCGGCTCGGCGAGCAAGCCTGGCTCGGCCTTTGGCGGCACGTCCTTCAGCTTTGGCGCGCCAGCCAGTCCGGCGGAGAAGCCGGCCAGTCCGGCTGAGAAGCCCAGCGCCGCGGACGCAAGCGTCAGTGCAGACCGCTCGGCAGAGCAGGCCGACGAGACGCAAGATCAGCTGGAGGACGAGGAGGACGAGGAGGACGAGGAGGAGAAGTACAGCGTCGAGCACGACGACGAGGAAGACGAGGACGAGCAGGAGCAGGACGAAGAAGAGACGTTCGACGAGTCTGGCGCGGAGGAAGACGCAGAAGAGGACGACGAGGCGCAGGACGAGAGTGCCGGATCGGAGGCTCACGGCGAGCCGCAGCGCAGCACGACGCCGCCATCGCCCGCCGCGCCCATCAAGGTCAAGGAGGAGCCGGTCAGTCCGCCGCGCGCGCCCAGCCGCAGCCCGCCAGCCAGTCCCGCCAAGCCGCCGCCGAGCAAGCCGTTCTCATTTGCATCGAGCGGCGACAAGCCGTCGTTCAGCTTCGGCACGCCCGCTGCTGCGTCGCAGGCCAAGCCTGCTGAGGCGTCCGGCAGCAAGTCTTCGTTTAGCTTCGCCGGCGCTGCCCTTGCGCCTGCTGCGCCGGCAGGCAAGGCTCCGTTCAGCTTCGCCAACGCCGGCGACGCGCCCAAGGCGGCAGACAAGCCACAGCAGAGCAGCGCTGCCCCCGCCAGCAAGCCGGCATTCAGCTTCGCCGGGCCCAGCAGCGTCCCTGCGCCGCCGCCGCCAGCAAGCACACCGAGCGCTCAGCCATCTTTCAGCTTTGGGTCGCCCAGCAAGCCAGCTGCGCCGGCTGCGGCAGCCGCCAGCAAGCCAACGTTCTCCTTCGGCCCCGCTCCGACCACGTCAAGCTCGTCTGATGCTTCCGAGTCACCCTCCTCCTCCTCAGCGCCAACTCGCGCGCCGTTCCTGGGCAACTTCAACTCGCGTGCGCCGCGCAGCAGCTCGCCGCTGACGAGCACGCCAGTGAACCGCGCCGACCTCTCGCCGTCGCCCGAGAAGGCCAAGGCGAAGCCTGCGCAGCAAGGCTCGCGCCCGCCGCAGCCCTTGTTCGGCCAAGCCGCGGAGGCGCCCAAGGCGGCGCCGCGCGATGTCTCGCCCTCGCCGGCGCCGCTGCCGCCGCCGGTCACCAATGCCTTCGCCAACGCACAGCCGCCGCGCCTCGGGGCCACCGTCTCCTCGCTCGGGCCCAACGACGTGCAGGAGACGGGCGTCGCGGGCGAGTTCCTGCGCACGTTCCTCACGATCGAGCAGGAGCTGCGCGTGCTGCGCAGCAACGTGCAGCGCTGCGACGCCTTCCAGGCCGAGCTGCGGCAGGCCTCGGGCGGCGCCTTCGACGGCACGCCCTGGACATTCGGCGACCTGCCCTCCATGCTCACTCTTGCGCGCGAGCTCGGCGGCGAGGTGGCGACGTTCGACGAGCGCACCGAGACGCAGCGGCGGCGCGCGGCCGAGGTGCAGAGCCTGCTACTCAAGGCCGAGGCCAAGCGCGAGGAGGCGGCGCGCTACGTGCGCGCCCACGCCGACCCGCAGCTGGCGCGGCTGCTGCGCGTGCGCGAGCTGGGGCCGGAGCATGCCGAGAACCAGACGAAGCTGCGCCGCGCCACGCAGGCGGTGCGCACGCGCCTCGCCGAGCTCGAGGAGCACGTCACGGCGCTGCGCCGCCGTGTCGTCGACGACCGAGCGGGACGGGCACCGCCGATGAAGGGCCCGTCGCTAGACTCGATGCGCCGCGCAGTGCGCAACATCAGCTCGATGGCTGCCGCGCGCATTCTGGACCTCGATGCGCTGCAGACGCAGCTCGAGCTCGCCGCTGGACCGCGAGGCGGCAGCACCAAGAGGGGTGTCAGCCGCGCACACTCGGTGCTCGACTCGATCGGCGACCTTTCCAGCGCGCTGCCCTCGCCGCCGATGCCGCAGCGGCGCCACGGCGGCTCGGCCAGTGCGCTGGCGGCGAGCGCCATTGCCTCGCAGCGTGGCGCCGCCGACCTGCGCCAGGCCTTCACGGCCCAGCGCCGCGAGCCCATCCTGAGCCGCGCGCCGGGCCTGCGCAGCAGCAGCAGCAGCACTGCGGCCGAGGCAAAGACAGCGCGCCGCTTTGCGGCCTCGGACCTCGAGATTGCATTCGCTCGCGGCCCGGCACACGTCTCGGCGCCCGTGCTGGCTGCACCCGCGCAGCCGGCGCCTGTCAAGGCAGTGCCTGTGCCGGCCTCTGCAGCGCCCGCACCCACTGCGGCGCCCGCTCCATTCGCAGCGTCTGCGTCCTTCGGCACACCACCAACACGCGCCGGGCCCAGCGCCGCTCCCGTCCTCTCGGCTGCTGCTGCGAGCGCCGCGTCCGGCTCGCGCGCCGCGGCTGCTGCGCCGTTTGCCGGCTTCAGCTTCGGGCCGGCGGCGTCGCTGCCGCCCTCGCTCTTCAGTGCGCCGGCCGGCGCCGGCGCCGACGACGGCGACACGTTTGCGCCGGGCGCCCGTGCGCCCTCGCACTCGCCCTCGGCGCGCCAGGCGCCGCGCGCCTCGAAGCGCAGCAGCACGGCCGTGCACCTGCCGCAGGGCCATGTGCCGCCCGCCGCTGCCGCGGCCGCCGCCTCGTCGTTCTTTGCGCGTCCCGACGCTGCCGCGCCCGCGCCGCAGTTTACGACGTTCAAGGGCCTCGAGGCGCCCAAACGCGTCGTGCCGCTCGTGGTGGAGGAGGACTCGTCGTCGGAGGAGGACAGGCGCGCTTTGAGCGACGGAGAGGATGAGGAAGATACGGAGAGGGGCGAGGAGGAGGAGGAGGAGGAGGAGGAGGAGGAGGAGGAGGAGGAGGAGGAGGAAGAAGAGGAAGAGGAGGGCCTGAGTCCCGTCGAGGAGGACGAGGAGGACGACGGCGAGTGAAGGGCCAACAAATGGAATGCTAGCAGACAAGCGAGAGGGCGTCGCTGTGCATGCCTTTCAGTGTGGGCCAAAGCTGCCCTGCCATCATGCAGCTGTGTGAGCGTGCGGGGGAGAGAGACTAGGCAAGGGGAGCAGCCAGCCGAGCGGCTCAACCTGGCGCTGCTCGACTGCCTGAGGGACGCGTGCGAGGCGGTCGAAGTGTCTGCACCTTGGAGAGACGCGCGTCGGCTCAGCAGAGCTCGGGCCTGAACACGCTCGACTCTGACGCCGGGTGAGCAGCGAGTGAGGCGGCGAGGCGCGAGACGAGGTGCCGTCACGTGATGCTTCGCGCCCCGGCTTGGGCTGGCACCTGCTCGGGGAAGCGAGCGGGGGGCCGCTGGCGGCGTGCCAGGGAGGCGACGCGCAGCTGCTGCCGGCGGCCGGCGTCGCGCGCGGCGCGCGTCGCTTGGGGCGCGGCCGGCTTCGGCGCGCGTTGAGAGCCGTGCGCGTGCGAACGCTTCCCTCGTCTAGCCTCCTCCCCACTACGTCCTTCCGCTCACCTCACACACACACGTGTGCCCGCCATGTCGCTCCCGCCCCTGCTGCCGCGCCTCTCGCACGCGCTGCAGCGCATCGCCACGGGCCCCGCCCGCACCATTGCCTCGCCCTCGACGCAGCCGCGGCGCGCCTCGGTGGCGCTCCTCGTGCGCATCCGCCCGCATCCCGACGACGAGGCGCGCCTGGCCGCCGAGTACGACGGCGCCGGCATGCCGCTTGCGGCGCAGGCAGAGACGCAAGGCAGCGAGACGGGCAATGCGACGGTGACGCAGGCGCCCGAGGCAAGGCCGCCGTCGCCGACTGCCAGCGCCGCCGGCCTGACCGAGAGCTTCACGAGCAGCTTGGCGCCCGACTCGACGGCGCAGCTGGGCGCCAGCAGCAGCTCGGCAGAGCTCCTCTCTTCCTCCGCCTCGCCCTCCTCCTCCTCCGCTTCCGCGTCTTCTCCCGCCTCTGCCTCCGCCTCCGCCTCTCTCTCCAACGCCACGCCGCCCAGCACCTCCATCACGCACGCGCTCGCCTCCTTCTTCTCCCTGCCCTGGGTGGCGCGCGGCACGCCCGAGGTGCTCTACATCAAGCGCAGTGCGCGCATCGGCGACAAGTGGTCTGCCCACGTCGCTCTCCCGGGCGGGCGGCGCGAGGAGAGCGACGAGAACGGCCTCTACACGGCCATGCGCGAGACGTGGGAGGAGGTTGGCCTCGACCTGGCCGAGCGCGAGTTCCTCAGTGTGGGCCAGCTCGACGATCGCGAAATCACGACGAGCTTGGGAAAGAGACTGTTGATGGTGCTCAGTCCATATGGTGAGTGGCCTCTCACACTGAGGGCGCGCTTGCGTGGACTGCGTGGGCTGCGTGTGCGGGGAAGCAGCCCCATCGCTGTCCTCATGCTCACCACCGTTGCACGGGGGGGGGGGGGGGGCAGTCTTTCTGCAAACGTCGCCCTTCTCGCCGCTGCCCGAGCTGCAGGCGTCGGAAGTGGCGTCTGCGCACTGGATTCCGCTCTCGCTGCTCTACACGCCCACGCCCAAGTGGGGGCTCACCTCCGTCGACATTGCCTCGCGCCTGGCGCCCAAGTCGCCCTTTGTGCGCGCGGCGCTGCGCGCCCTCGTCGGCAAGATGGACTTTAAATGTGTCCTCCTGCCAAACGCGCCCGTGGCGACGGCGGGCGAGGAAGAGGAGTTTGGTAATGGAGAGAAGAGAAAGGAGAAGAGTGTGGCGCTCGAGGAGGGAGAGAGACCGGAGCTGAGATTGTGGGGCTTGACGCTCGGCATTACTCTGTGAGTTGGTGCTGTGTTTTCTTTCTTACGCCCATTCGAGCGCCCGCTTGCGCGCCTCGGAAAGAGGGGGGCGGGGGGACACGAGAAAGGAGAGGCGCCTCCTGCAAGGTTGGCTGACGCTGCGAATGATCAAAAAGGGACCTGCTCGCCAACATGTCGACGCTGCCGCCCTCCGGTCTGCGCACGCACCACTCCTTCACGCCCGAGGGTCTTCCCTCTGCTTCTTACCTCGACTCCAGCTCGTCTGCGTTGCCGCTCTCCTCCTCCTCCTCCTCTGTCTCGCTTGCCGGCAGGGTGCGTTCGGCGCTCTCGGCACTGCGTGCCGAGCTGCACCTGAGCCCGCCGGCGCACGCCGACGCGCTGGCGCCGAGCATGACGAGTGTCTTTCCGCGCTTCTCCTACCTCGACATCAACATGTGGATCTGGGTCTTTGGCTGGCGCTACCGCGCCATCATCCGCGGCTGGGAGCGCGCGCTGGCGAGCGGCGGGCGCGGCGAGCGCGAGCGCAATTGGTCGGGCTTGGCACTGGGGGCTTTCTAGTGAGTCCTCCCCCCCCCCCCCCGGCGATACGCCCAAAGAGAGAGAGAGAGAGAGAGAGAGAGAGAGAGAGAGTCCCGACTGTGGCTGATACCCTTGTGCAAACCCCGCAGCTCGGCCGTGCGCAGAGCCCTCGTCGTCGCCATCCTCATGCGCGCCCTGGGCTTCGCCAGCGCCGCGGGCATGCTCACGTGGCTGGGCGTGCGCAAGGTGCGGCGCACCCGCCGCGGCCTGGCTGGCTTGGGGCTGGAGGAGCTCTTCGGGCCTTGAGGGGGGGGGGAATCGGCTTTTGCGACTGGTCGAGAGATGGCAAGGCAAGAAGAGCAAGAGAGAGAGGGAATGCACAATGCCGATTGCCATTGACTGACTTTGCATTGCCTCGTCTTGCCGTCTCTTTCTAGTGCGATGCCTCATCGAGGCGCTTCTGCAGCTTCTCAAAGTCTCCATGGATGAGCCACGCATCCGTATACTCCTCCTTGCCGTGTGCATCCACCACGAGCAGCCCAGCGTGCGGGATGCGGCCGACCTTGGCGAAGCCGAGCGCGTCCCAGATGCGCGTCGAGGCGACGTTGCTCACGTACACGAGATTGAAGACGCTGCCCTTGAAGCCCAGGCGCGGCGCGTAGTGGATGTAGGAACGCCCGGCGAGGGAGCCGAGTCGCTGGCCGCGCATCGAGGGCGGAATGAGGAAGCCTGCATTGCACTTGTTTGCCCCGAGTAGCGTCAGCAAGGTTGGAGAAGGCGGGATTGAAGGGGGAAAGAGAGCAGACGCACGAGATGCGAACTGCGTCCCGGATAGTTGGGCTTGATGTAGTAGCCGAACGCGAGGCGCGTGGACCAGTCGACGTCGGCGAGGGAGAAAGAGAGGGAAGCGAGCGTCGTGGCTTGGCCTTGATATGGTAGTGGCGCACCCTCGCCCTCGCCCTTGGAGGAGAAGGAGGAGGAGGGCAGCAGAAGTCCCAGGATCAGATCTGTTGCGCAAGCCGCAAAGGAGGCGCGTGAAGCTGGGTCAGCACACACACACACACATACACACATATACACCACGGGGGGGGGGGGGGGGCACGTGGAGTGAGAGCGAGAGGATAGAAGAGAGAGAGACGCACCGTAAGAGAGGAAGTAGGCGTCGAACTCGGCATCGCTCAGGGGGCCGCGTTGAGGGTACGTCTTGCCTGCGGCCAGCTCGCTTGGCGGGTGGAAGGAGAGAGGTTGGGCAACGCCGGTGAGCCACACCACGCCGCGCCTCTCTCCTATACACACACTCTGGGCTGCGGAAGAGGCGTTCGCTTCTCTCTCTCACTCGCTCACTCCTCGCGCGCTGCAGCTTTCGCTTGCCCCCTCTCTCTCCTGCGCGTTCCTCCAGTCCCACCTTCCCACCTCCCTCTCCACCGCACGCAGAGTAATGCCGGGCACGCCACTCACGCATCAAAGCACGTCTTGAGCGCCCGTCTCGCCTCATGCGGCGGCGGGTTCGCCTTGGAAAAGGGTAGCGCCAGCACGAGGCACGCCTTGTCGGTAGGGTGCGCATACAGTCGAGGCCCCACGGCACGGCGCGGAGCAGGAGGAGCGATGGCAGAGGAGCCGTACGCTGACATTGCCTTCGCGCGAACTCGTGGAGTAGTAACAGGTGAGGCGTGTCAAGAGTGGGATGAGGAGGGCAAGCAAAAGAGACAGCGCGCCCGAGAAAGGAGGCAGGAACGTTGGGCCCGTGCTCCTCTGGACGTGCGAGAGACTCAAACGCGCCGCGCCAGAAGCCTCCACTTGGCCTTCTCCTTCCACCACCACCACCACCACCACCACCACCACGCACCGCCCACTACGCCCTCTCTCTCTCTCTCTCTCTCTCTCTCTCTCTCTCCTCTCTGCCCATTCCGCGATCATGCCCTCCGAGCCGCCCTCCATCCTCTTCGTCTGTCTCGGCAACATCGTGCGTGTGTGTCCCCTTCATGCCCCTCCCTCTCCCTCTTTTCTTCCAGCTGCGGCTGAGGCTGACGCGCGCGCCACACCGCACACCGCCGCAGTGCAGGTCGCCCATGGCCGAGGCCGTGTTTGCACACCTGGTCGACGAGCTGGGCCTGAAAGGAAGAGTGGGCAAGGTGGATAGCTGTGGCACGGGCGCCTATCATCAGGGCGAAAAGGCCGATTCGCGGTGCGTTTGGACA